GATATTGCGTTTTTTCAGATCGCGCTATTTATGAACATGACTTTTTAATATTTATTGTTAATTTTAACGTGATGTAGGTAGATATTTTAATTAAAACAATATTAGTAAAAAAAGACGACTTCCTTCAGTGTCCTAATATTTTACCAGAAAATCTTTTAAACATCAAATAGATATTAAATAATCAGCTGTTTACAGTAGACAGATACTAAATAAACAGCTGTTATGATTTATTTTAGTCCCTTAATCGAGTATTATCCAATAATTTTCAAGTGAAGATTGATCCTGGATGTTGAGTAGAGATAGGCGCTACCAACACGAATAACAATTCGAAAACCAAGCTGTTGCGTGTGAAACTGAAGAGATGTCGCTACTCGTCATTATAATCGAGTTTACTTGCACTACAAATCTGAGGTTTTTCGGATGGCGCTATTCATGAACATTATTTTTTTATATTTATTGTTTTTAATAGTATTCTGTTATCTGTGCTATTAGAAAAGAATCAACGTAGTGGTGTTAAGTACTTACTATTTCAGCAGGTAAGCAACAGCAAGCAGTAGGTACCTACCTACCTTGATTGATTTTAAAGAAATACGATTTACCACCTACCTACTACCTACCTACCTACATATCTGTTTTTTTTTCCTTTGTGATTTGGTTTTGTTGTGCATTAAATGAATTAGGTAGGTATTTTGGTAGTTTCTTCGAATGTATAAATTTGGCTCACTGATAAAAATTACGATTATTATATTTTTTTTACCTCGATTTTTACCAGTAAGACCAAGATAGACAACGCATAGGTATTGGTTTTTGTAATAATATGGTATTGTAGTTTTTGATTGGTTTTGTTGCTCTGAAAGAAGGGCTGCCTATTTGGTATATACCTTTGTAGATAGGTACCTACCTACCTTGATTGGTACCTACCTACATTATCTACTAAGTGCGCATACTATTTCGGCAGGTACATAGATAGGTAAATACCTTGATTTTAATAAAATACGAATTGCACAATATATGTTAAGTATCTGTTATTAAAATAATAATAATTAAATAAAAAAATAGGTGAATGGATAATTATTCGCAATTTTTTTGGATTTTAAATACCTGCCTACTTACAAAACATTTTAATACTGTTGTAATTAAAATAGGTATTTTTTTTATAATAAAAAAAATATTTCAGATACCTTCACCGTAAAAATGACTCGCAAACGCAAATCTAGCCTTTATAGAGTATTATCTCAAGCACGAGCAAAGAGATTAACTAGGTCGCAAGAATCGCTTGAAGAAATTGAACTGAGAAGGCAAGAACAGGCAGATCGCTAAACTGCTTTGAGGGCCTCAGAATCTCAATCGCAGACACAGGAAAGGCGTCTTGAACAGTCTGAACGTCAAGCGAATTTGAGGGCCTTAGAATCACTGTCGCAGACCTTGAGAAGACTTCAGGAGCAGACAGAGCGGCAGGCTCATTTCAGAGCCGCTGAATCGGTTGTTCAGTCTCAACAAAGACTACTTGAACAAGCGGGGCGTCAAACTGCTTTAAGAGCTGCAGAAACACCTGCTGAAACTCAGCAAAGACTTGATGAGCAAGCAAAACGACAAGCTTTTTTTGAGGTCATTCGAAACATCTGAACAAGCACAGGCGCGCAGAGATTTAAATGTACTGCTTCAAGCAGAAAGGCGCTGTAATTTTAATAGAAATAACTACTTTTTTACTCACTATGTCAAAAGAGGATGATAGCCTCAAATAGGAAAACCACGCTAGCGTAGCCGCGGGTAACAGCTAGTTAATATATAAAAGGCTTTGGTAAAGCCAATATTGTGTAGGTGTACCGTCAATGGGAATACAGTGACCTCAATTAGAGACCTCTAAAGTTTGGTTTGAAGTTTGTGGGGTGAGATTACCCTAATCTCAGGAATTAATCATTATCAACAATCCCAAAAGTGTAAATTATTTTCTTATTCAATAATGAAACTTTAAATGGACCGAGTATTAATAGCTTTTGGTTTGTATAAGGTTGACGTACACTAACATACTTTAAATTCAAAATTCCTTATATTTTCATTATTTATAAGCATTTTACTGCTAGATGTTGAAATCTAAAAAAAATGTATTAGAAAAAATCTACTCAGTCCAGGTTTTAGACGGTATCCCATCTGAAACGTGGATCGAATGGTTTTATTTCTAGAAAAAAAATCTTTGAATTTGCAATTACATTTTAAACAAAATACTATTAGTTTATATAATAAATGTAAACATTTGTATGTTTGTGACTCGATCACGCAATAACGGCTGAAATGTAATTTGGCTATCCACACAAAACCGGACACAGCTTGACCATACGCAGGGACAAACAGATTTGGGCTAAAAAAAACGGGTAAAACTGTACTTCCAGGGTCCAAGACGTGATACTTGATTTTTTTGTGAGAAGGTATATTTTAAAAGCGTTTTTTTCTGCCGCTTCGCTGGCCGCTGCCGCGGCACGCTCGCTTTGCTCGCTGGGCTCACGCGTTTGCACGCATTATGGTTACTACAACACTACAAAACCCGTAACCTAGGTAGCTTTCCAATGACAGCATTATAGCGCATTATGCGGCATAATGCTTAACGTTGAGTGTTTCAACTACAGCAAAGCTTCGCACAATCGAGCACTCTCAAAAGTAATGCTTTCGTGTGATGCGTGCAATCGTACCAACTCAGAGACAGAAAATTAACAAGTGTTTTTTCTTTAAGTTGGCATTGATCGAAATGTTTTATTGATATGTTATCGTTAGTAATATTATTTATTGTTAAAACTTTCGTTTCATTATAGTTTTTTTTTAAATAATCAAAGTTAATTCAAACTGTGTTAAAAAATTAAATATAAATATGGATAAAGGTACAAACATTGACTTTTTCTTCAACACTGAACTTAGCGCACTCTGCTGATGCATTTGAAAACTAATTCACGTTCCAATTAAGTATCAGCATAATTCGGCATTGTGCGCCACTGAGTCGCATTATGCTCTGTAATTGGAAAACCACCCTAGTATGAAGTCTCATCGCTTGGGCCCTGGTAGTACAGCTTAGCCAAAAAACGGGCTACCTTTTCCAAAAAGGAGACAAATAATAATTTCGAACTTTAAATTTCGTTCAGGTGAGATCTTGACCTTTACATTAATAATAGGTAACTTAAAAAATAATGATCCAGGTGTGTCATCTGTCAAATGTAATCAGTGTGACCAGATTCAGTATTTTAATACTTTTTCAATATATTTTATCGACGTTTCTGAACGTCAGTATTTTTGTAGGTATTTTGTACTTTTTATCCGAAATATAAGCGATAATACTGAGCTCAGCCAATAGCTCAGTATTATCGCTTATATTTCGGATAAAAAATTATAGCAACACCGCAGCGATCGTCAGGCAAACATTACCTGGTCTGTTGTTTTTCCGGGTGAAGTCTTTAATTCATTTAGGATCATTAGTCAGTAAGTTACAACTAGGACATGACAGGCACATCATTTAATAGCTACGACGATTTAACTGTTGGCTTAATCTTTTAAGGAATTCAGGAATTTCCGTAAAGTAGTTCGTTATTTTAGTCGTCATGTAAATAGAGCGCTTGGTTTTCTTTCTTATGCCATAAACATATTGACTTGACATGTCGTGTCGTGACCCGCAAGAAGCACATCAGTACCCCTAGCACGAACCAATATCGAATTCGTATCGTTTGCGAGTCCGAAATGTCATTGTCCAATGTGTACTGATTTTTAGTTCTCGTTACAATACAATACAATACAAAACACTTTATTGTACACCACAGATAACATAACATTTAGTACATAACTATTTAAAACTAGTGTAACAATGGGCGGCCTTACCGCTAAGAGCGATCTCTTCCAGACAACCTTTGGATGGAAGGGACTAGAAGGAAGTGGGAGAGACGGTGGCGTAAATCGTTACATACTTTTTGCCGCTGCTGTTCAAGTTTCCATACAAAATTCCATTTGCAAACTATTGGAATTCGATATTGGTTCGACTAGGGGTAAGGTTTCATACATTTACTATGGTTAGCTCTCTTTCTCTCTAACCCATCATAAATGTATGAAAACGATGCGTCACGACACGTATTTGATTTTATAAATAAATAATAGCATAGTTAACTACTGGCCGCCAGTGTCTTCGTCCGCGTTCGCTTTAGTTTTTTGAAAATCCCACAGGGACATAAGTTTTTGCGGGATAAAAAGTATCCTGTCTCAATCCAAAATCTATATGTATACCAAATTTCATTCAAATCCGTACAGCAGTATTTATGTGACTGAGTAACTAATATACGAATTTTCAAATTTATAATATTATTAAGTAGGTGTAGTATACATGTACTCTTTGTCGCTCGTTGCGCGCTCTCGCTTGCACTTCAAGCTTATAATGGAACGCCTCAGAGCGAGGTAACGCCGCATGCGTGCAGCCAGCTCCATCGAATTATAAGACGTTGTCACGTCAAAAGAGTACAAAGAAACAGAATTATAAAACAAATATGTGATGATGAATATATTATAAAGCCTGTTTTGAAAATCAGTTTTTTTTATTTGGTCAGGTAGGCAAATGACTCTACCCCACCTGATGTTAAATCGTGATAAAGTCCAAACGTGAAGACAGCTGGTACAGCAATTGTAAACTGTCACACCAACCATCCTTACCTTGCGCCGGCTTCCAAAATGCTTCTTCACGTCTCTCTTAATGGATCCCAGATTGTAGGAAGGAGCAAAGGTGTTTGAGCGGGCAAAGAATTTCACTTATGAATAGTACGACAAAGAAATGAGTCACCAAATTTCTTTGTTCGTGTAAGAATAGTGGCCAAAAAAGTCGGTGGCAAGGTAGGCCAGCACGCGCGGTCCTCTGAAGAAAAGGTGCTGGAAAGATAAGGAAGAATAACTTCTCAGAAAACTTGCCGTGGTATAGTCGGTCATTGGTATATTTCCTCTGTGCAAGTCAGTAAAATTCAGTATTTTTTTAGAGGTGCTACGTATATTTCGGTATTTTCCTAAAATTTATTCTGGTCACACACACTGATAGTGACATTAGTTTGACAACTAGAATTCTTAGTTTTTCAGTCAGCTCAGCATGATTGATTTATTTTTTCACGGTGTTGTGCATTTTTAACTATAAAAATTCGCTTACCTAATGTCTTTATTCGACACGGCAGTATTTAATTCCACCCTTTACGAGGCTCTGTACCTTCAAATAGGTGATACTTTAACATTAGCCAGAGAGTTCATCGAGTCTTGTATCACTGCTTTGCCCATTGAAAAACTTCCTAATACTGTAAACTTATCTGAATTATCTATTTACGAGGAGATTGCTAGTGTTTTCTACTTCAACGAGTTCCAGTTCTTGTTGTTGAAGACATTTTTCCTGATACTTTTGTTTACTCTGCTATTGATTTTCATTTCGTGGCGGGTCTACGGAAAACGCATTTCTGAAAGGTTTATGAGACCCGGTGAGTAATGATTTGTTTTCATGACCTTGACTTAGTAAACTGTCATGCCAGTCTATTAGTCATTGTTGGCCTATCCAATTTTTATTGTTACCCTTTGCATTGCATCAACATTCTATTCAGTCGTATTATAGTACACAGAATGTGATCTTTTTGTTGTTATTAATGTTAAATAGTAAATTTATCTTTTACAACTTCAATCTGTATAAATTTATAACCTAGCATCAGCCTGTTAAGGGTAAAAATTTAGAAATAAGTCACCTGTTTTTTTCGCAATGTGTTCTACATATTTTTTGAGATAACATTGATCAGTTTTCTTCAGTGAATGACACGCACTGAAAAACGTAGCCAGTAGTAGCACATTCAGGACAACTCGAAAGCAACGGCATGAATGACACACAATGTATCTGTCAAAATCTACATTCAAGATGGCACTTTGTGTTTCGTTTTACACATTTCTTTAATATTTTTCTTTAAAGACAACAATTATACAAAACTAATATAAAAAGATTACGTTCCAGTCCACTCATTTACAATTTTATTTTACGAAATTTTGAAAATAGTTTTAAAATATTTATAGGCAACTCCGCAACCCCTAACCCCTTACACATCCAGTAACCTCAAATTCAGGTGACTTGTTTCTAAATCCAACTCAAATAAAGGTTCACTGCTTCTTCCCGTAGGTGATAGCGTGATAATATGTAGCTATGAGTTGACCCTACTTTGAAATAAATCCATGCAGTACTTTTTAAGCTTATCCCGGACATACATACAGGCAAACAGACAAAAATTCTAAAAGCTATATTTTTGGCTTCGGTATCAATTATAAATCACACTCCAAGTATTCTTTTAAAAAAATATTCAATGTACACTTTTGACTTTTCTACCATTTCATTATAATATTTAAGAGCCTAATGCAAGATTTGTAAATTATCTCATGCCAATCTCTTCGTTATGATAATATATAAAAGTTTCTATAAAGATAATGTGTTTTGACTCAACTATTGTATCATATATTTATTTGACAGAAAATTTTTATTTATTCTTGTTTTTCAGCGACATCAGCTACAATCGAACAATTGAGAGAGAGTGTGTCAAAATTGAAGTTACCAAAAGAACACACACCTCGCATATAAATGGATATGAAGGAGAAATTCAAAAACTTTTTTCAAAAAAAGAAAGCCGATGCCAAGTTTAAGCTCGCAGGTCCAGGGCACAAGTTGAGCGAATCGAACGTTAGTAACAGTTCTAATAGTTCTAGAAAAGATGTGCCCGTGGTACCGAGAGCGGGTTTGTCGGAGGAGAGTAAGATTGCGGCAGAGGCTGCCTTAGCTAGATTACAAAAGAAGAGGGACAATCCATCATTTAATACTTCCTTGGCTGCTATCCAGGTAACTGCAAGACTTCATTATCCATACATCTGTGATAGTAGTTCATCTGTACTGTCAACCCATGAGCAATTTACTATGTTTATTGCTTTCTTGCGCTCTTTTTTGTAAAAGTTTAAACAAAAAGGGTCCTTAAAGAGAGATATGAAGAAGCATTTCTGTAAGCTAGCAAGCTGAGGATGAATGGTGTGACAGTTTATAACTACTGCACCACATCTTCGTGTCTGGACTTTATCACCACTTAACATCAAGTGGGGTAGAGCCATTTGCCTAGATAGCTATAAAAAAAAACAAGTATTCTGTTAAACATTATAAAATAAAACAAGTAAATAATGGTAAATAAAATATCTATATATTAATTATATATTAATACATACATTTCTTTAAGGCACAAGTAAAGAAAGAGATGGAAAGTGAAAGAGCAGCTGCATCGACAGCAGCAACCAGCTCGCCGAATACTGAACAAGAAAAACATGACACTGAGGCAGATTTGCCAAAGAACTATGCTGCTAGTGGAGTATTCTTCAAGTATGTTTATTGAAATCACTAACAAGTCTGTCTGTAAATAGAAGCCAACATCTTATTCATTTATACACATTTTTGAATTTACATATATCCCTGATACATTTAATATAGGGACCTACTAGTCAAGAGTAAATTAGGCATTAAATAATGCCTAATTTACTCTCAAATCAACTCAAAACAGACACATGATTGCTTAACATGAGGTGCGACTCTGGACAAATGCACTCAAATATTTTATATAAAAAAATGTCATCAGTTAGATATCTAAAAGTTATCATGTAAAGTTTCAAGTATGATTGAGTTCACTGATATGCTATGAGTGTAGAAGTTAAGCAACTTTAAAATTCATTCATCTTACTATTGGGCATCGTTTGAGAGATCAGAAAGTTGATTGCATCATACACCAAACCACATAACTATGGCATTTTAAGTTATTGGTCTTAACTGCATCTGTAGTTGTAAGTGTGTCTGAAACAATGTTTCATCACCTTTGTTTGAAGGCTAAATACAGAGATGATGCAACATTGTGAAACATTGTTAATAAACGGTGTTTATTAACAAGTGTTGCTTAATGAACACGTGACTGAACTCTGAAAGAGTAATAGTTCATTCTTTCATCACCAATTATTGAAAAATACTTCTTATCATCATCATAAACTATTGTGAACCTTTTTAGATGTCCCTTAATAAGTAATGACATTCTACCCCGTGACGAATGGAAAATGAACATAAAGAAGTTTCTTTACGAACAACTGGCGGAAGAGAGAGGGCTGACTGCGTGTCTCATGATACAGTCATGTAACAATAACAGGGAAAAGGTAAAGTAATGACAATTTATTATAACTATCAAATACAAGACTATAATAATTATATTAAATCAAGACATTATTATTTTTCCTAACAACAAACCTAATAAATTTCCGATAAAATGTTTATTGAAGTTATACTTCTTTAGGCGCGTTATGAAAAAATGATGAGAGTGAAATTTTTAGATGCGCGCGCATCACTGTAACACAAAAGTAACAGCATGAAGTTGGCCGCGGGCGCGTTATGAAAAAATCATGTGAGTGAAATTTCGAGATGCGCGCGCATCCCTGTAACACAATAGTAACACCATGAAGTTGGCCGCGGGCGCGTTATGAATGTTAGTGTCTACACTGTCTGACATCTGTTCGAAAGGTACTTTGAACGATCCACGGAGCTCCATAAGATGATCGCGTTGTCAAAAACAATGTTGGCCCGCTGTAACACAATACACATCACTGTAACGCAATAGTAACATTTATTATTATTAACCACTAAGTGGTTAATAATCCACCATTATTAGACATCTGTTCGAATGGTACTTTGAAAGATCCACGGAGCTCCATAAGATGATCGCGTTGTCAAAAACAATGTTGGCACGCTCGTCGCCTCTGATCACTGTTTTCATATTTATAATATTTATCCACATGTTTCTAGTTTCTATATAGACACAACGTGTTTTAGTTACTTACAAGTGCTTATTACATATGGACTAATAACTTAAATTCAGTAGTGATTTTAATTGAATATTTTGAATATTTATTTAATTTTTCAAATTAAAACTGAACTTAATTGACTGTGTTAACTATCCTTTTCCAGTCCTTTTATTATTAAAAAATATTTTTAATGATGCTAAAGAAGTATAACTTCTCACGCGCGTACATAAGTTGCACGCATCCATTTTTGTAATTATATAATGTGTAAATTTTCTACAATTGTTTGTGTTGCACAAAATTTATTTTCATATTATTAAATTTAAACAATGCGATTCAATCATTCCAGTTTGGTACTACCAAACTGTGATTAGTACTTTATAAAAAATAAATATATTAGCAACCATGACTTTCATACTGTACGGATGGTATAACACCTGCTAGAGGCTAATGCTTAAACAAGAATTATATATAAAGTATTCTTGTATTAGCTTACATATTGTGGCTTTAATACTTGAATAAAACCACGGGGTTTAAGTAAATTTTTACTTTAAATTACGGAATTTAAAGTAAAAATTTACTGTACATCAAATCATACATGACAATGAGACCGCAGCTAAAGGAATGAATAAATTAAGATGGCGGTTACATATAGTTTTGTTGTATAAACACCTTACAATAAATAATGGTAAATAGCTTAAAGAAAAGAAGACTAAATAAACACAGAATGCAAATGGCTGTTATACAAACACAGAATCTTGATTGCAAATAGCTGTTATACTAACCAGTTTACAACCTAATTCGTAACCAAAACCATTAATTTTCAGATAGACACCTGCGTAGAGACTCTTTGTAAATACCTGGAGAACATAATTCAACATCCAGACGAAGAAAAATATCAAAAGATTAGAATGAGCAACAGGTATACAACTGCTTTTTTAAGTTCTCTATTATTCTTCTTATACGACTTGTATCAGAAATAGTAAGTAAATCCGCTTCTGAATCTATTTCAATAAAAAAAGCATATCTCAAAAGATTTCAAAAATAAATTATTCACTGTAATTTAATAATTCTAAGCAAAAGGTATATGGCACATAATACAAAATAATATTATTAAAACTGTACATGTTGTAATATTAAAAAATAAAAAGTTTGTTGTGAAGTTTGCTTTAAATGGATAGGTCGAAATTAATGAAAAAAAGAATACTCGGGCGCCAGACCTACCACATTATTATACCATATTAGCCGGGAAAGCATTGAACTATTAATCGCAAAAGGGGAATTAATGCAAATCCATTCTCATTTTGGGTTGTCTATATATTGAAATTTAGTACAAAACTACTGGTCCGAAAGAATTACTGCTAAATTTTGAAACTAAGACTAAGATGTAAGTGAAAATGTTACCCTTAATATGGGGGCCGAAACACAATTATAAATTTAGGAAATTTCCGACCTTGATGCATCCTTGGAGTTAAAATATGTCTGGTTTCGCAAGTATGTAGGGGATGGCCGTTTTTAGGTCCCGTGGGTTCACCTCCACCTCACGGGAAACATCGTGATTTGAATTCGATTTCCAAATAAAATTTCAAATATATAAAAAAACGCTTTTCGCTGAAAATAAATATTCCTCAGATTAGCACATGGCTCACAACAAAGGAAAAAAAGTAAAACTAAGGAAAACTCTAAGATTCTTACCGTTTTTTAAACAAATTAAGCTTGGAATGCGATACCCGCCATTCCGAACAAAAGGTGCAAAATGTTACATCTGTAAAAGAAATGAATTCTAAGGTAAATCATTGAAATATGTGAATTAAAACACTTTTCGAATTTGGAAAAACACTTACCATCAAAAACAATCGAAAATCCAATGGATTATCAACTTAAATAATGAGATTAATTAACCTGCATGTTGTACGTTAAAATTTTGGTCGTGAAGTGAAGTGACAGTTCTTTTCTTAGTTTGTCTTGGCGGTAGGCAAAGTGAACAACGTCCATTCAGCCTACTGCTCGATAAAGGCAGAAACACACTTACCCAAAAGTGCACAGATTAAAGAAAATGGGCGCGAGATAAAAACGACCAGAGAGACAACCAAAAAAAATCTTCTATCTCGCTCTTCGAGCGAAGGAGGTCCATGTGACGTTTTTAACACGTTACATTTCACCCTTCCCCGAATAAAGCATCGAGAATCGAGGCTGGAAAAACTACAGCTAAAGTCCAAATACTAAAAGCCAAAACGAAATCCGTTGAATTATGGATGAAAACGAAAACCCAAAGTGAAAAGAAAATAACTTATAACAAATAAAGTTATCCAAATACCAAAACATCATCAAACTATGGAGTCCTTGGACAAAAGGTCACAAGTCTCAAAACAAAAGCTGTTAAACTGAATTAGTCACAGACCCAAAATTATTAAAAACCTAAAGCAAAATGCTCTAAAATAAAAGTATGCAAAGCTTACTACAAAAAAAATTCAACCACTATCATCATCATTATTGAGATCTGTCGAACATAAAAAGTCGCAGACTCTAAAAAATCTCTAAATTTAAACTACTCTAACTAAACCCTGGTGAGATCTGTTGGACATCTAAGTCGCAGACTCTAAAATTTCCTAAACTAAAACTCCTTCAAAACCTAAACTCCTGTGAGATCTGTTGGATATTAAAATCGCAGACTCCTAAAATTTCTTAAACTACTACTCTACTACTCTTAACATTAATTTCTGAAGGTCTGTTGGACATTGGAGGTCACAGACAGAAAACTACAATCTACTCCTACTACCAACTCTTGGGAGATCTGTTAGACAACTATGTCGCAGACTCTAGAAAAATCCCACCCCAGTACTGCTATACTAGAAAGTCGCAAGTACTATTAGTTAAATCCCCAAAAAAGTTCGAGATGAGTGGCAAAATTGACACAAACTCATTTAAGTCACAATCATGGTCGGCACAACACCACGGGCTTTCCGAACATGATGTGCAAAAGGCGTCGAGAACAAACAGTTCGACAAAAAAAATGTAGTGACGAAAGTCAAAACAGCAAAAAAATTTGGCGAAAACCAAAACGTGACATTCATGGCCGACTCAACACCAACGACTTTCCGGACATGAAGCACCCAAAACAAAAGTTGTAACTACATGATCGGCACAACTCCACCGAACTCCCGAGCATAAAGCACAAAAACAAACAATTGATGTCCATAAATATGGGCAAACAAAATACCAAAACAATATGGCAAAACCAAAAAAGCGTCAACAATGTTGAACAAAAAGTCGAAATTGCAACTTCATGATCGGCACAACACCACCGAACTTCCGAACATGATGTGCAAAAACAAATAATTGATGTTCACAAATATGGGCAAACAAATTACCAAAACAAAGTGGTAAACCAAACAAATCGTCAAAAATATTGAACGAAAAAAGTCAAAATCATGGATGTCAAATCCAAGGAAAAATGGGAGCTCCAAAATGTCAAATCCGGGTGTAACAATTATCACACACACAAACTTCTACACAAAACAAATTGTTATAAAACAACAAACATGCAGAAACACAACTATAGTACTAACAAATAAGTTTGTACAAAAATAACAAATGAGGACATATAAAATCCTAATAAAAAATGTGTCCATACAGATAAAACATCTGCACGAAACAAAAGGTTATAAAATCTTATGATGCAGAAAATAAGTAGGCATACTACGTAAATTTAAATTTTACAAAAAATTTTCAAAGTCATTATTTGACTTTGTCAATCATAATGGCAAAACTTGAATTTAATAAAAACCAGAAAGTCATTGAGTAAAGTCAAATGTAATTGAGTAACCCCACTATCTTTCATCATCTTACAAGTGGAAAGCCTAGCATACTTCACGCAGATAAACTAACTCTCAAATCCACAAAATCACTCGTGTTACAAGATCCTAAAACCCAGAGGTTTGTTTAAGTAACAAAACTAACCAAACAATAGCTAAGCAATCTAAATTTTCAAAATATCTTTAACATGGTAACGACCAGAAGTACCTTTAACCAAATCCTTCAAAACATAAACATTATTAGAAATTTTATCAATAATCTTACATTTAATAAACTTCGGAGCTAGTTTTGCCGAAAAATAATGAGCAGCACTAGATTGAACAAAATTCCTCCTCCAAACAATATCACCTACATCATAAGAAGTGACTTCACGACGCTTGTTATAATAAGAAGCATTACGTTTATATGCTTTAAATAAAGTTCCAGTAACTTTAACAAAAATACTTTCAAGTGAAGAAAGTGAATGAGCAAAAGCAGAACGGTCAACAAGATCGATCTGTGTTAAATTATCAAAAGAATTACTAAAACGGTGCAATGACGCATCAACAATTAACTCCCTACCAAACATTAGGAGATTCGGAGTGAACTCCGTAGCCAAATTAACACTACTATTTAAAGCTAACTGAACATGTGGAAGAAATTTCGACCAAGTTCTATGATCATCACGAACGAAGCAAGAAATGCAAGTTTCAACCGTTTTATTATAACGCTCCACTGGATTATTCTGAGGCGTATATAAAGTATTATAAAATATTCTATCAATATTAAAACCTTTAAGAAAATTACAAAATTTCTAGAAGTGAACTGAGTACCGTTATCACATACAACTATTTTTGGACATCCGAACTTAAGGAAGATATCTTTTTCTAAGAACTTACACATTGACCTAGTCGTTGCATTAGCCAAAGGAAATAACCAACAATATTTTGTAAAAACATCTACTACAGATAATATAAATTTATGACCAGAATAAGTTTTGGGTAAGATTCCAATTAAATCCATACTTAACATTACCATAGGTCTATCTACTTTTTTAGGATTAATCATAGTTCCAAGTGGTTTAGAAGTCGAATGCTTATAAGCTTTACAAATATCGCAACTATTAATATATTTATGAACATCATTAAACATACCTTTCCAAAAGTAATGTAGTTTTATTTTATGCAAAGTTTTATGAATTCCTAAATGACTCGAATTTAAATCATCATGATTATTTCTAATAGAATCTAAAATATGTTCTTTTGGAACAACAATTTTCCAATCTAAATTATTATTAACGCTATATTTTGATTTACAAAATCTATACAAAGTATCATTTTCTACTCTAAAATTTTTATATCTAGAAGGGAATTTTTGACAATGGACAAAAATCTTTCTATACCAAGGATCTACGATGTCATCGTTAGGCGAAACAATTTGATTTGAATTTACTGTCAACGCAGCTATATCATAACGAGAAAGAGTATCAGTTGCAACAGAAACAGGTTGCTCCTTAGGCGGCAAGGCAGCAGCTAATGCAAGTTTGTCACCTTCCATTTTTGCAAAATGCCAAAATAGCAGTGAAATTATAAACGCAGTTAACGCAAAGTAAATTTAAAGCTAAATCTTTTAAAAGATAAAGCAAGATGCAGCAAGTTTACAATTGGTGAAAGATATTTAAATCTTAAGTTAAGTTATGTAACCAAATTAAATTATTTAAAAATTATTAATATAAAACTTATATTAACTTTAACTGAAATAAGTTTGTGACAAAATGTCAAAATATCTAAGTTACAACAACATCAAAAGTTATTTTACAATATTATTATGACTCAGTTAATTATTATTATTATATAAACAATGCTTCATTAAGTTATGAAAATATTTCAGAATATTTAGTTATATTTTTTTCAAAGAATGTTAAATTATTTTAAGTTTATGTTATTATTTATAAAAATTAAACTTTATTGTTTATGTTTTATTTAAACAATGCATATACTAGCTCAAAACAAGTTGTGGAACAGTTATATTTATCATTAAGAAACTTGTATAAATTTCAAATAATGTTCACAAAACATTTTAAAAATTATCAAAACGTTCGAACAAAAAGTCCTAATTTTTTATATATATATATAGCAAAAAGCTTTGTAAATTTGCATATTCAAATGTAAATAACAAAACAATAACACAATGATCATAGTTAACAAGGTAATAAAAGTTTAAGTTATATGCAATATGCATCAATTGGTAGAAACCAAATAATTGTTAACGAGTTAAGTAAATTCTAAGGAATTTGCATGTGCAAAATACTAAATTAACATACAAAAGTAGTAAATATTATGTGATGCATCACTACAGACGTATATAGAACATTTCAAATATGAAATAAAGTTCAAAACAAGTAGTTAAATGAAAAGTTAATATTAACACGAACCATCCAAAACATTAAGTTAAATTGTAATTATATTACAGACAAAATCTATGTTTATGTATCAAAATTCAAGTACAAAAGTTATATTATATCACAAATGTAATAATAAAGATTACAAACAACCAGACAAAACTACTATTATAGGTACAAAATGAGATGGATTGCATAAACCAAGTCCCTGTGCGCTGGCGTCAATTGTAATATTAAAAAATAAAAAGTTTGTTTTGAAAATTACTTTAAATGGATAGGTCGAAATTAATGAAAAAAAGAATACTCGGGCGCCAGACCTACCACATTATTATACCATATTAGCCGGGAAAGCATTGAACTATTAATCGCAAAAGGGGAATTAATGCAAATCCATTCTCATTTTGGGTTGTCTATATATTGAAATTTAGTACAAAACTACTGGTCCGAAAGAATTACTGCTAAATTTTGAAACTAAGACTAAGATGTAAGTGAAAATGTTACCTTTAATATGGGGGCCGAAACACAATTATAAATTTAGGAAATTTCCGACCTTGATGCATCCTTGGAGTTATAATATGTCTGGTTTCGCAAGTATGTAGGGGATGGCCGTTTTTAGGTCCCGTGGGTTCACCTCCACCTCACGGGAAACATCGTGATTTAAATTCGATTTCCAAATAAAATTTCAAATATATAAAAAAACGCTTTTCGCTGAAAATAAATATTCCTCAGATTAGCACATGGCTCACAACAAAGGAAAAAAAGTAAAACTAAGGAAAACTCTAAGATTCTTACCGTTTTTTAAACAAATTAAGCTTGGAATGCGATACCCGCCATTCCGAACAAAAGGTGCAAAATGTTACATCTGTAAAAGAAATGAATTCTAAGGTAAATCATTGAAATATGTGAATTAAAACACTTTTCGAATTTGGAAAAACACTTACCATCAAAAACAATCGAAAATCCAATGGATTATCAACTTAAATAATGAGATTAATTAACCTGCATGTTGTCCGTTAAAATTTTGGTCGTGAAGTGAAGTGACAGTTCTTTTCTTAGTTTGTCTTGGCGGTAGGCAAAGTGAACAACGTCCATTCAGCCTACTGCTCGATAAAGGCAGAAACACACTTACCCAAAAGTGCACAGATTAAAGAAAATGGGCGCGAGATAAAAACGACCAGAGAGACAACCAAAAAAAATCTTCTATCACGCTCTTCGAGCGAAGGAGGTCCATGTGACGTTTTTAACACGTTACAATGTTTTATAGTTTTACTAAAATTTAGATATCACTGGGTAAACTGATTAAATAATAATTCCTGAAATTGATTTGTTGAGATATTTGTAACTAACTACTTTCAGGATGTGCGTTATTTCTGATACACGATGTATAGGTAAAATTGTCAAAAATAGCCTAAAGTTACTCGCTACTCCATCTTTTATTATTTTTTCATATAAGTAAATATTTTCTTTATCTGTTTACTTTATAATTCTAAGCAGCATCAACAATAATTAAAATCCTGGACTAAATAAAAAAAAAATAACAAGCAAACTTAAGATTTTATAGAAGACTTCTTAAAACGGGGTGTTTTCTGGATGGTCAATTATAAAAATAAACTTATTTTCAGGGCTTTCTGTGAAAGAGTCCAGCCTATAGAAGGAGCTATGGAATTACTAATCGCAGCAGGATTCACACAAACTAAATTACAAAACCCCGAAGGAGTTGATGAAGAATACCTCGTATTCAACAAGGATAACGTTGAGTCAATAGAAAGCTTAGTGGTAAGTAAAACTTAGTATTATATAACTATTATTACAGTCAAATTGACTACCTCCGTGGCCTTACTTTGGTGCTAGGCTAATTGGTGTGAGTGTTGGAAATATTTATTATACAATGGTGACGATTCTAGCATGATTCTCTCAACTTAAAACAAAATTAAACATCAGTCTCTCCTTTTCATTCTGTATAGGGAATGACAAGAATACACTGTTGTCAAATTTACTTTTAAATTTAGAGAATCATACCGGAATCGATACCACTGTTGCCATTTCTGAATATAAATCTATTATTAGGATCTTTTGTGAATAAAGATATGTTATTATTATATATCAGTTACAAGCGACCCATATCTGGGCGATTCTTGTGTATGCTAAATTGATGAATTGAATATTATCAATTTATTTCTTTTCAGACTTTAATAGATGCTCTTCGTTCAGCGGAACCAATCCAACTGGAGTTGGATAGAAACTTGCAAGTGTTGTTGCCTTCACAAGCGGCGGCTAAAATGCAATTACCTTCGTCTTTCTATGCCCTCACTCCTGAAGAGTTGAAGAGAGAAGCACAACTTAGGTATGTAATTTTTTACACATATTACTGATTTGGACTGATTCTTTTTAGTAGGCGGCTTTAACTTAGTAGACTTCAAATAAAAACTGGAAAGAAAAAACAAGTATAGTAGTCTATAATTCTGTTAAGTAAGGAACAAAGCTACTTTAACAGTCGGGACCCATTAAATATTTAAGAATGGATAAAATATTTTAATAATGGGTCCCGACTGTTAAAGTAACTTTGTTCCTTACTTAACAGAATTATAGACTTCTGGACTTGATTTTTTCTTTTCAGTTTTTATTTGAAGTAATATTTAAGCAGGTTTTGGGTTTTTTGGTTTTTAAATTTACCTTTTTTGTTATTGTGCAATTTTTGTTTAGAATATTATTACATGTGCTGCTACCTGACTAGTAGGTATTTCAACTCATAGCAATTATTTTCCAAATATTTTTTGTACGTATAAACTAAATAAGAATGTATAAATTAGCGAATAATTAGCGCATGAGCGAGAGTATCAGTCAGTTTGGTTTTTGCTCTTATGGTGGTTCACTTTGGTCACTAACAATGTAGCTATTAACGGGATTGTTACCATGTACCTTGTTATTCATCATCATCATCAGCCTATTAATGTTCCCACTGCTGGGGCACAGGCCTTCACTATAGATGGAATAGGGAGATTGGGCCATGACCCACCACGCGGGCCCAGTGCGGATTGGCGGGTGTTAACGACTGCAGATGCAGCTGGGACCAACGGCTTAATTTATTCAGCCGCGGAATGTTTTAGAAGAGATTTTTTAAACAAAATAGGAATGATAATGGAGTGAAGTAAATGAAATTAAATTAAGTCAGACCGCTAGATTATGAAAAAATAATCTTTTGTTTATCAAACAAAAAAATACTAAAATGAAGTACAGTGTATATATTCTATCCATTACCCTAGTATCCCATAACACGAGCTTTACAGTACTTATTTATTTCTTAGGTTTTCACGCACATCACTCATTAAATAAAACTAGTTTTAACGGGTTAATGCACGAACTTTATTTATTTATTGACGTATCGCAGCCTTTACAGATCTGCATCGTCAGAAGAATGATTTTTTATTTACTTTGTCTACCTACCTTCGAAAGACTTTTATTGATCGTTCGGATATTTAAATCCGAACGATGCCCTTCTATAATCCTTCGAAGTAACTTTTTTTTTAAATCATTATTCTGTCGATGCAGACCTGAAAAGGCTGCGAAACGTCAATAAATAAATAAAGTTCCTGCATTAACCTATTAAAACTAGTTTTATTTTACAGTACTTACTTTGGGGCTAGGCTAAATGGTGCGAGTGTTGGAAATATTTATTATTTAATTATTTATTATTAATAGGCTGATGATGATGATGATAAATTGATCCTAAGCCTTGCATTTATCTCACATTCTATAAGGCAAAATTGTTTAAAAGGTGTTTGAAATTTTTTGTTCACCTATTCATAATGTGATGATGTACCAGGGCTGAAGCCATAGAGAAGAGTCAGATGCTGCGGACTAAAGCGATGAGGGAAAAGGATGAATTAAGGGAGATGAGGAAATACAAATTTGCCATCATAAGGATACGCTTCCCAGACGGAATATTGTTACAGGTAATGTTATTAATAAAATCATTATTATAACTTCTAAATTTATATTACAAAAATAATATTTGGAGAGAAGATATTGTTTTAACAGAACTTTTGTGAATTATCAAAAAAAAATACTAAAAAAAAATATACTTATACCTAAAACTCTGAGGAATCGAAAATGTCAACGCAAGAAGTTCAGTCTGTCTGTCTGGAGAGCATGTGCGAGAGGGACAGAATTTCTTACGTCGTCATTTGCGATCCCTTATATTTTCAGCCTACAAAATCTTGGAGATGTGTGGTGTTGTTTTGTTTATTTTTATTTAATCAAATTTTAACGTAATTTTGAGTGTCTATTTGCCTTACACAATTCGGTGATTCGTAAACAAGGTTGTATAACATGCAACCTTTTGCAAACCTGCTGGAACTTGGATACTGTAGTGCGATTCTATAAAATGTGGAGCTGGCCAACAAAACGGTATAATAGGGTATTTGACAAGTTTTAGAAATCGATCTCACATTATTGATAAATGTTTATGGAGTCCGTAAAAAGATATTCATCATTTTGTTGTGTATTTCAGTAAAAATAACCAAATAAAAAACTCCATTTTCAAGTTGTCGCGAAAACGTTTCTCTGGGCAATATGGCGTCTTACTGTGTGTGACGTCACACGACTGTTATTAAAACGTCAAACGATACAATGTAATGTCACTGTAACCGAAAGTTTACTTGCGTGTGACGTCATTTTAGGCTCCGCCAATCCCAAGCGTTTTAAGTCACATGACAATAGATAAGAATACTATTATCTATTTCGTTAGTTTTTAGGAAAATTATGAATATTTTTTTGTAAAAATAGTAAAAACCCCTGCCAATGTTCATTCTAAACACAGATGCCAACAATTGGCACTTTATTTTTAACACTGTCAAATACCCTATTACGCATCTGGTCAAGCTACTTTTATTTTACAGTCCGGAGGTTTCAGGCCCGTTGAATTTGAATCTCAAATAATTTTCAATCGAAACCACCCAAAACAATGTTAAATTACTACATTTATAAATTAAAACCCATGCCAAAAGCTCACTGTAGGAATGTCATTTAGTCTTACACAGCTCCTGAAAAATTTATGTAATTATGCCTTTTTTTTCGTCAGCTCCTCAAATAAAATCTGACTTCCGAATTCGATAGCTGCCATTTTATGTCGGAATTTTAGATGGCTGTTCGTGTTTGCTATTTGTAAACTTGACAACGATAGCTCCTTTTCAGTCCTATAGTGTATGTATAAGGACAACCTGCTGTCAAAATTACAAATAGCAAATACGACTAACCATGTGAAGCGTGGGTATTAGACATTAGTTCGATATACATAACTCCATTTACAAGGCAAAATAGACGACATCCGTGGCCGAGTGGTTTGTAAGCTGGGTTTCAAGGTGTCACATACTCAACAGGTCCCAGGTTCGAATCCCGGCGGGGACAGATGTTTGTGTGATCAATACGAACATTTGTACTCCAGTCATGGATGTGTAATATGTATTTCTATATAAATATATTTATATATGTATGTTTTCTATCCGTTACCAAAAACTCTAGTATCCTATAACACAAGCCTACAGTGCTTACTTTAGGGCTTGGCTATTTGGACATATATTACTTATTTATTAATTAAAACAATGTTGCAATGACTATTTCAAGCAGCCAGTAAAAAGATATTTGAAAATTGAATTGAAAATTCGAATAAATCAGATGTTTTGTCTACTTATCATAATAGCAATCATAGAGGTATAAGAATAGAGTGAGAAAGGCAGCTCTAAGGCCTGTATTACAGAATGACAACTAAGTGTCGATCTTTACTTGAGTACAGTTACAAAGGGATGTCGCTATGTGATATATATAGCGACATCCCTTTTTAACTATGCTCAAGACTAGATCAATCACTGAGAATCTTTCTATAATACAGGCCTTAAAAAGTCTGTCTAGTACAAAGAGAAAGAAGATGAGAAACCGCTAGCTGTCTCTCTCTCTTGTGACGCATCGCATCCAATGGCATCACATCGAAATAGTACGATGCTTACGGTTGCCAATGCGCATGCGCGATTACAGAGAAAAGCTAGGGGTCTCTCATCTTCTTTCTCTTTCTATTAGAAGGACACTTCCACTTGTAGTAGAGTATATCTCCCCTACTCTATTCTTATACCTCTATAATCGCAATACATTTATAACAAAAAAAAATTTTTTCAGGGCACATTTTCCGTATACGAACGCTATATGGAAATCCACGATTACGTTCAAGAAAACCTCGAACATAGCGGTCTCCCATTCGTCCTAAACACTCCAACGGGCCACAAACTACTGATCGAAGAGGACGCGAATAAGACCCTTATAGACTTAAGACTTGTACCGGCGACAGTGCTCACATTCGCTTGGCATTCTTCCGTTATCGAAGAAGTCAATCAGAGTCCAAATAAGGATGTTTATTTGAAACCGGAAGTCATGATTTTAGTGCAAGAGGTTTAAGGCAGTATAAATAGCACATTGCAACGCATTTGTCTCGTTTTGTTGTGCGTTTTGAACGTGTCTGTGAATATTAAATAACCTCGTTAAAATGATTTACTAAAATTATAAACATAGCGGGACTTACTATAAACAAATTAGACACTGATGTCGATTCTGGCATGATTCTCTAAACCTAAACTTAAATTTGACAACAGTGTATCCTTGTCATTCTCTATACAGAATGAATTGGTGAGACTGATGTTATTTAAGTTTAGAGAATCATGCCAGAATCGACACCACTGTTTCAAACATTGTAAAGGCAAATTTGGAAGGAAGGCCTGTGCCCCAACAGTGGGGACGGACAATAGGCTGATGATGAATGTAAATTTAATTACAATCATTTATTTCAGCCATTTGGCCATATCAATATAACAATAATAATAATTAACAATGAATGCCAACATATCTATTTGAGATAAAAAATTGCCAAAATATCAGCAAAAATTTTCTAAAATACGAATGAATTCATAAAAAATTAGAAAAATAAAACAGGTTCAAGGAAAAAAACATTTTTTATTATATTATGTTACAAAAGTAGGACTTCGCCATAATTTATTATGCAAGAATATGGTACAGATCTCAATAGCACAGCATAAAGTGCATAATATTATCGTCATCATCAGCCTATTAATGTCCCCACTGCTGGCAGGCCTTCCCTATGGACGGAATAGGGAGATTGGGCCGTGACCCACCATGGGGCCCAGTGCGGATTGGTGGGTGCTAACGACTGCAGATGCAGCCGGGACCAACGGCTTAACGTGCCTTCCGAAGCACGGGGGAACTCGAGACAGAAGATCTTTGGTCACCCATCCAATGACCGACCACTGCGAAAGTTACTTAACTTCAACGATCGCAGCCGAATAACATTATTATTAACATTATTGTTTCGTCAGCATTATTTTATAAAAATATTACTACGGTTCGGACACTTGTGCGTTGCAATGTGTTTTCCACGCATTTCAATGTAATAATTTATTATTATATACAGGTGCTTATACAGGCGAGAAATGTATGCTAACGAATAAGATGTTTCCCGTCTGTGTTGGATTGAAATTGGAATTTGTAGCCGAAAAGCGGTTGCGCTGTCTTTTGTATTATAATAAAATGCGTCCATTGTTTATTTGATTAACTTTGTAGAAAATTAATAGCACACAGGGCCAGATTAAGGGCAGGCCAAGTGGGGTAGTGACCCAAAAAATAAATGTCAATGGGTCACCAACCGAGGGGGGGGGGGGGTATATAGGGGCCTTTACACCTTTAAATCCGGCCCTGTTTGCACATTATGTTCAATTTACCCAAAACACAGTTTTTATTGTTGTTTATTCAGTGGGACACTTTTTGCAGGCTATTGTAAGCTTCAATATTTAAATACTACATATTTTCTTGGTATATTTTAGCCAGCTTAGCGAATGTTTATTCAAATGTTTTTGGGAGATATTTTTTGTCCGCACTACACTTGGCTTTTCGTCTTTGCTATATGTCACTTGAACAGCAGGTTGTCCTTATCACACACTCTATAGAGAATGAAATGGAGTGACTGTTGTCAAGTTTGAAAATAGGGAAGTGCTGGCGTTATGCTTTCGTTATGGGAGTGGATAAGATCCATCACCATAGCATATTTGTTTTCATTTATTAAATGTGCACCTATTAATATTTTGAAAGCCCTTTTGTTAATTAAAATAAATGTAGTGTTATTGTAATTTTTTCCATGATTTTTTGTTTGTTCATTCGGTGCATAATAAATACAAAATTGTGTTGTCATAATAATATTCTTCCTCTAGTTAAGTATATCTACAGAATATTAAATGTAACTGTAATTCATTGAAAGAAATCAAATGTTTATTAACTGTAAATGTAACATAGAAGGCTGTTGATATTTTATCAACAATGCAATGCAATGCAGCCCACTAAGCATGACTTGACTTGACAAAATACAATGGATTTTGACATTTAAGTCCACTTGCAGCAAATTTGTTAAATCTCGATTCAACTCAAAAACTACATTTTATCATTAAGTGGGCTATAAGATAGTTTGCCATCCTTTTAACATAAAAAAATGGCCGCTTACCATCAAAATAGACTGGTCCCCATAGAAAAATGTCAAAACATCTATGTCAATTTGACATCATTGTAGAAGATCCGAACCTAAATTGACCTTCACCGAGCTGATAATAGAATGAAACATATTTTATCATGAATTTAGTATATTAGAAAATATATTAAAATTGGGTTGCCTAAAAAAACCTGGGCAGACTATTTTTAATTAATTTAAAAGAAAATCATTTTGAATACTTGCAACATCAAGTTAATAAGAAAATGTTGTCCTGACTTACTGTATAAAATATGCAGCCGGATCGGATCTTAGACTATCATTGTATGCCCTTATTCCTTAACGCCCCGCGGGTTTTACTACCGGAGACAAATGGGAATGAATTTCCTCCACTTCAGTTTCTTTTATTCCTATTTGCCTCCTGTGGAAATCCTCGCGAAGGCGACAATGATAAATCTAGTTTTAGCTACATGAGAGATTTAGCTAAATTCCCAGCAAGTGGACCTTAAATGTCAATAAAATGCCGTTTCAGTGTTTAAGCCAAGGGGTAGCATTGTGGAATGATGAGACTGGTCAAAATGTTAAAATATTAATATTTATTTAACATAAAAAATAATATTATGCTGTTTAAATAGTATCTTTGCACATACTGTATTCAATAAATATACTCGTACATACTTGCGGATGTGCATTATAAATGCGGAAGCAACATTTTCGGTCTGTTACTTTTTCACGTCTGATCCGCTGAATCGATTTCGATGGATTTTAGTGTAGAATGAGGAGTACAGAGACTTGGAGGACAAACAAAACAGGTAACCCCCCTTTATTGTCGCGAAAATATTTTATTTCTACCTTTAAGTGACGTATTTTCATTAGATTAAAAAAATAAAAATCATCTCACAATAAAAAAATGTCCTGAAAATCCGAGTCTCAGCAAAGGTAAACAGACTACATCTTTCTTCGACTGTACATTTTTTTATTTTTATTTATGTACTGTACGTATATCAAGATGCTTACCAATGATGGTGTAATAAAATTTAAAACACAGTTAAACACTTCCATTGTTTTATTTTATCCTTTTCTTTAAAATACAAGATCATTATTTAGTTTTCTTTCAAGTATCAGGTATATACATATTTTCCACAAATTTTAGCAAAAACTTTAGTAACATTATTAACTTATAAATGATAGGTTTGAAAAAAAGAAGTTATAGAACTGTAAGTTTTTAACAAATATTTTTAGCATTTCATGAATTACTCAACACAAATTACAAATTATTGCCTATTTAATAAAGAAAAACAACAAAACAAAGTTGCTAATGAATTATTATATCTTAACTTAAATTATAAATCTTTCATACCTATTCAATACACAAGGCACATTCCAAATGAGACCTTATTTTTTACACATTAAGCCACAATATCGGCAGGCATTTCTGGCACTTTATTCTCAATAGTCACAGACTTCGTACAATCTTCGGTCTTGTATATGCCCACTAGACGGTTCGATACCTCAAACATGTTGTACCTGAGGGAGATAATGATGAATTGGGCGTTTTTCGTGCGTTCCTGTAACGAAAAATGATTTTTAATTTATTTTATATTTGCCGTCTTCCGAATGTAAAATTAAAATTTTTGGGAACATAACAAATTTTTAACTTACTAAAAATTAGTTATGTTCCTAAAAATTCTAATTAACTTAAGTATTCAAACTTATTTTTCAGGCGGTAGTCCAATGTTCATTTGATTTTATTTAAGTATTATCATAAAAATCATTATTTTGGTTATATATAAACTTATTGGTTTTGGTATAAACTCGATCCGTACAAATGCACAAGTTTACGGAAACTTGTGATGGCATCTCACTAGTATGTGACGTCACACGACTATCATTAAAATTCCAAACGATACAATATAATTGTAATATATATTTTTAAGCATAGAACTGCTTGATGTTTAAATCTAAAGAAGATATAACTAGAAAAAAATCCACGCGGACCAGGCAGCAGACGGGACTCGAACCCGCGCCCTTCGCTATCCGGGCGAATGCACTGACCTTCATGCTACCGCGGCCCTGACGGCCGTGTCGAATTCTTTCCAGCTTTTCTTAAGCTGCAGGGGAACGCCATCTCTTCGATTTAAATATCGACACAAAATAATATCCTTTTTTTTATACAGCGAGGTAAGCAAATGACTTTACCCCACCTGATGTTAAGTGGTGATAAAGTCCAAACGCGAAGATAGCTGGTACAGCAGTTATAAACTGCCACACCAACCATCCTCACCTTGCCGGCCTGCAAACATGCTTCTTCACGCCTCTCTCAAAGGACCCCAGATTGTAGGAAGGAGGGAACACGTCCGCGGGCAAAGAATTCCACTTACGAATAGTACAACAAAGAAATGAGTCACCAAATTTCTTTGCTCGTGTAGGAATAGTGGCCACAGTACGTCGGTGGCAACGTATATCTATACATATAATAAAATACGTGTATAATAACATATAATAAAAAGGAAACTCAAAACTGTAAATTGTTTTTTTTTTTAAAAGAATACTGGACACCGAAGCCAATAATATAGTTTTTAGAATTTTTGTCTGTATGTATGTCCGGGATGAACTTAAAAAGTACTACATGGATTTACTTCAAATTTGACATGAATATTTTTAAGAAGTCGGGCCAACATATAGGCTACATATTATCACGCTATCACCTACGGGGAACGAGCAGTGACCGAGCTAGTCCTTAATTTGTCAACTTACCTTGATATAATTGGCGACAATAGAAACGTTCTTGAAGTCCAACGCGGCATCTATTTCGTCCATCACGTAGAGTGGCGTAGGTTTGTAGTAATGTAACGCGAACACTAGCGCAAGAGAAGAGAGAGTCTTCTCCCCTCCGGAAAGATTGGAAATGTTCTTCCACGATTTATTTGGGGGGCGGACGCTGCAAGTAGTAATTTTAAAAAAAGGTTTATTTGGCACAAATTATTAAAAAATAATAATAAAATAACTAAAACTTATATTATACTAGCTGTCCCTGCGAACTTCGTACCGCCATAAATAAAATAAGGGTTGGCGGTTGAAAGGTGAAAATTTAGGGTTGTATGCAGTGCCGTCTTTGACCTATTGGAGGCCCTGGGCATATTAGGATAATGGGGCCTCTACGAACTAGGGACTTTGTATTTGATCTGAGGGAGGCCCCTATTGATCGCGGGGCCCTGGGCACTTGCCCAAAGTGCCCACTGGGAAAGACGGGTGTGGTTGTATGTATTTTTGTATGATGTATAATAAAAAAATAAAAACAAAACTTATTGTCCAAAAAAAATTTAAGGGTGGTTCTCAGACCTACTGAATATGCATATAAAATTTCAGGAAAATCGTTCGAACCGTTTCAGTTGTTGTAGTTCAATTACGCACAACGCGACACGAGAATTTTATATATTGGAAGAATACACAGAGATTTTGTACCAACTCAGCATAAGTGTTGACAACGTGAGCTACGACACTGAATTTTAGCATAAGCCTTATGGCGTAATTACCCTTGGTTGTTAGCCCGTATTCGGGTGCACGAAATATATTACTCGAATTCGGGCACCCGAAGCTATATTTACACGGGAATACGGCCTGGAAGACGGTGTCGGATACACAAAAGGAAATTACTAAAATACTGGCGTACTAGACTCCTTTCATTTACACTTAGTTGTTTACCCGAATTCCATTGGCAATCGTATTCGGATTCGGACTAACGACCAAGTGTAATCGCGCTATTAGAAACTGTATTTATGTTTTCCTTGTCGCCTGATTCTGGTTGGTTGCTTTTCTATCATAATTATACGTTTTTATCCCTGACTATAAGGGGCCGTTCAAGTATTACGTAAAAACTATAGGGGAGGCAGGGGGGTCTTTGCTTTGCTTGGGGGGGGGGGGGGGGGGGGGGGTCGAAATAGTGATTACGTCAGCATCATGGATTCGGGTGTCATGGACTGAAGACTGTTAATTGGAATTAATATGTATACCAAAAATTTGAAAGAAGTTTGTTTTGTTCATAGTAGTACATAATATGATTATAAAGTTCGTTTGAATGAATTTTGTGTGCGTTAAAGTCCTCTAACCTAAGGCTATTTATGTACTGCTGCTCATGAAGCTCATGAAAGCTCATGAATCAATAAAAAAAACAATACATTAAAGGAAAAATGCATATAGGTACAAATGTTTACGTTAGCATGGGAGGGGGGGGGGGGGGGTCAGAACTTGCTTACTTTTGCTGACAAGGGGGAGAAGGGGGTAAATAATTGTAATAAATCTGCTTACGTAATACTTGAACGGCCCCTAATAGAAAATAATAATAATAACATTCTTTGTATGTCAATAAAGAATATTTTTTTTTAGAGTTTTACTAGAAAAAAATCCAGGCAACGGACGGGACTCGAACCCGCACCCTGCGCAATCCGGGCGAATGCATTTTTTTCTAGTAAAACTTTTCTTTAGGTATGATAATTACTAAATAAAATACAATTTGTCTCTTACCTAAACGTGATTCCTTCTGTGAAAGGGTCCAACGAATCTACCAACTCTAACTCTGCGTCGCCTCCCAGTGTTATCATTTGGTACATTTCTTTCAGTTTTGTAGTTATTGTGTTAAAACCTAAAAAGATTATTAAATTGAACTTTTAACATATCCACATTTTTTGGTAATTTATCTTAAGGATGTGGCATTATATTTTTGAGAAGCTCGTGGCGCAGGTGCTTAGCGTTGTTCGGCTGCGATCGTTGAAGTTAAGCAACTTTCGCAGTGGTCGGTCATTGGATGGGTGACCAAAAATTTACAATCTCGAGTTCCTCCGTGCTTCGGATGGCACGTTAAGCCGTCGCTCCCGGCTGCATATGCAGTCGTTAGCGCCCACCAATCCGCACTGGGCCCACGTGGTGGGTCATAGCCCAATCTCCCTATTCCATCCATAGAGAAGGTCTGTGCCCCAGCAGTGGAGACATTAATAGGCTGATGATGATAATGACTATATTTTTCATTGTTATTAGAATAACTCAGCCTCTATCAACTACGTATTGGTGGTTTAGTGATAGAAAGCTCCTGCCTGCTACGCCGGCGGCCCGGATTCGATTCCCAGCCGAGAGAGTACTATTTTTTATTACTTAATGATTTTAAAAGTTTTATTTGCATCAGGATTTTACAGAACCGCACCAATTTTAATAATACATACAATAATTGCTTTGTGTTTGTACAGAAAACAAGTGGCTCGTGTCTACTAAAAACTTGGTGTTATAATTATTTAATGTCTACTCTGTAGGGTCTATTCTTCTTAGGGGCTGTTAATTTATTACGTAAGGTGATTTAAGGGGAGGTGGGTTGACCATTTCTCATTTTTTCTTAATAGTTCGTTCGTATTTATTTATTTAAACTTTATTGCCACAATTACAAAATGCACAAAAGGCGGATTCAATGCTGAAAGCATTCTCTGCCCGAAAACACCAAAACAATAAAAATTACTGGCATTACCTTTGTAGGGTACAAATAAATATTGATAAAACTTTGGTACTTTGAAAATAAACATTAGAAGAAATCAAACGTGTAGGTATTCATTTATTCCTAAGATTCTTTTGACGACCTCCGTGGCCGAGTAGTTTGTACGCCGGGTTTCATGGCTGTCGCCGACTCGAGAGGTCTCGGGTTCGAATCCCGGTGGGGGCAGATGTTTGTGTGATGAATACGAGCATTTGTACTCCCATAACACAAGCCTTATAGTGCTTACTTTGGGGCTAGGCTAATTGGTGTGAGTGTCGGAAATATTTATTCTTTCCTAATAAATATGAAACACAGGGGTTGGCTGTTAGACTAGTCTTATTTTTTATTACGTAGGGGGGGGGGGTCCCTTATCTATGGTTAGAACTTACCGCAAAGGAAGTCTGTAGTTCTCTTCTTCCTCAGCTGATCGTAGAGGGCTCTCATTTCGTTTCTCTTGGTGGTGATCTCATCCAATTCGGCGGCGCGTTTCAAATACAAATCCTCTTTCGTTTTATAATCCTGCGTAATTGTAGTCGCAATATTTCAAAAACTTGGCGATATATTTGATAAACAATGTTTATATGTAAAGAACGAAGTATGAAGGAAATTAAAATATACTAGCAAACCCGGCGAACTCCGTTTCGCCACCAGATGGCTTCGTTTTATGTAACATTTCGTTTGGTGATTAAAAGAAGTTTTTTTTTTTAATTTTTTCTGAATTTTCTTTGCTATAAACCTCACGGAGCCCGAGACCTTTCCAAGGAATGCAAAACCGTGGAAATCGGTTCGTGCGTTCTGGAGTTATAGCGTCAGGAAGGAAAACCCGACTTATTTTTATATAGTAGACTAGCAAACCCAGCGAACTCCGTTTCGCCACCAGATAGCTTCGTTTTATGTAACATTTCGTTTTGTGATTAAAAGAAAACGATTTTTTTTTTTAATTTTTCCTGAATTTTCTTTGCTATAAACCTCACGGAGCCCGAGACCTTTCCAACGAATGCAAAACCGTGGAAATCGGTTCGTGCGTTCTGGAGTTATAGCGTCAGGAAGGAAAACCCGACTTATTTTTATATAGTAGATTATGCATTCGATTATCCGATCTCTAATTATAATGCAAAACACTTACCTGTATAGCCTGTATATTGGGTTTAGCATCGCCCAACCTAGCCTTCTGCGCGGCCAATCGGTTCCTCAACTCGTCTACGGATACGTCGTCCAACTCGTCGGGCGTGGGTTTCTCTAACGGCGCCGGTCTTTCTATACCAGGAATACCGTCTAAACCTGGATCTTCTAGTTTTAAAGTTGTAAGCTAAAATTTAAAAAAAAAATCGTTATTTACTTAAGTTCCATCATTTTCTTTTTACTTTGCAATAATTAAAATTTTGTTTTCAAATATGCCGCGGAAACGTTTCTCTAGTAAATATAGCGTGTCTACAGACAGGTGACAAATAGCACAAAATAATGTCATTTCGTCTTGAAAATTACAAGCTAGTGACGTCATTTTAGGCTCCGTCAATCGTAGGCGTTAACGATTAACGTGACAATAGATCAAAAAATACTTTTCTATTTCACTGTTTTTAGTAATACTATCAACAACTGTTTTTTGACATAATAATGAAATCGCTCCCTATACTCCTGTTGAATACGCATGTCAAAATTGGTACTTTATTTTTCATACTGTCAAACAGCCTATTGTTTAAGGTCGCTTGTGTCGGCGCGATCTAGCGTGGCTGAAATTAATCTTATTTCTTTAAGAGGAAGGAAAAAAATATTACTTGGTGGTCAAGACAGCTGGTTTCTAAGGCCTTAAAATATCCGGAATTTTAAAGTGCTAAAACTGAAATCAGTCTTATTTCTTTAAGAGGGAGGTAGAAAAATTTAATGTGGGGTCTAATTCTATCATTAAAGTGTTATGACGAATTATTTTGTATCAATGGGGAAGAAAACGCTCAGCTTATTATAGATGGCGCTTTGGCCGTTTAAACCATAATATGCTTGCTACCTGTCACTTCAAGGCTGCGTTCTAAACCTACGCTCGAGTGCAACTTTTTACTCTGACTTTTCCATTTAACATAAAATGTATGCAACTTATGTCAAATAAGACACCAGTGTCTTATTTCACCAAGATCAAATAACAAATTTCATGGCAACACTTTTCATTCGTAAAACTATGAAAACATTTTTTTTTTCCAAAAACCACGGTTTGTCATGGATGTTATTTACTTTTTCACCATCTGTTATTAAGAAAAGGACAACAATACAGCTCAGCTGTTTGTAGAGAGAAAAGAAAAAGCAGTCGCCAAGCCAAGCGACGCGGACTCGCTGTTTCGCTCGCGCTGCATTCAAGCGTACAGGTTTGTTTCGCTCGCTCGATTGAATGCTTATTTACAGATGTGTGCATGTGTGAGAGTTGCTTATGTAGTTGAGTCGGAACATATTTTATTTGATGCTAGTATGAGCGTACCGTATTCTTCCTTTTTGTTTTAATCTGAGGCTCAAACATACAATCCCACAATAATATATATCTCTTATCTATTAGACAAGTCCGTCTGTCTGTGGTGCTGTTTCAGCGGCCAAACCGTAAGAGATAGATAAAGAGAATATTTAAGTTATAAGTTGAGAATAGTCAGATAAGACTACAAACCGGATTTGAGTAACGTAGCACTTCCGGTTTTCGAGAAATCAGGTTTTGGTGAACATTTGTTCACTGGTTTGCTAGTATATATCTCACCTCCTTCTCCCACATCGGTGTCTTACTCCTACAATCCTGTATAGTTTTGTCCATTTTGCTAACAGCGTTATTGGCTTCCAAACGTTCGCTCTTGACTTTGTTCTCTTTGCTTTGCAGTTTAGCTATCTCCTGTTTCAATTCGGAGAATTCACCCGTGCCTTCACTTATTTGTTCTTCAATCTGCATTATGAAATATAGTTTGTTGACTTAAGTTACTTTTTATGTAATTCTCTAAATAAACTATAAATCTAAAGCATAACATCTAGTGTTTTTGAATATATTCATCAAACAAAGACAAAGAAAGTCCTCTTAACTACTGAACAACTGCTATTATGTAAAATATACACGAAAATTTCAAATACTTGATCCTAACCAACATAGTTTACAGAAGGGAAAGTCGACGACATTAGCTGCTTTTAGACTAATTAGTGAAATAATAAAACATGTGAATAATAAACTGAAAGCTGTTGCTATATTCTTCGACATGTGCAAAGCTTGCCAATTCGTTTCACATGATCTGCTTCTAAAAAAATTTGAAGCTTTCGGTATTAGGGGAACTGCTTTGAAGTGGATTAACAGTTATCTTACTGATCGAACACAATTCGTAAAACTAAAACATGTTAATAGTAATTCTTAGTTCGAGCTGGCGTACCACAGGGTACTATTATGGGCCCTCACGATATATTTTATATTCACAATCTGCAAAATTTTTAAATTGTTTTTGCTCAATAAATCTAAATACAAATTTGAAAACATCTAAATGACATAATTAATTCAACTGTAAGACATTATTAACTGGTTAAATTGTAACAATCTAAGTTTAAAGAGTAAGTGACATTTATTTTTTTAAATTTATATGGAATTTTTTTGTTTATTTGGCATTGTATAATATTAATTATAAAATGATCTTGGCACTTAAAATAATTTTCATTTAATTTATAAACTTGCATGCTGTCAAACAGTAAAATATGTGAGAATTGATAATAATCGAACACCTTTTGTACCATATTTTTATGCAATACATTATTATTATTATCTTTGTAGTGCTCGATAGCAGGAATGGCGAACCAATGACGTGTCCTGAATGGAACACAACTCAATAGTTTAGGCAATACACTGAGAAAAAAATCACTAAGCGCTACGTAACATCTTTTAGGAACCAATTTTTATCCCGTTAAGTATGATTTCTGGAATAAAAACTATCCTAGATATATCCTATTGCTTCCCCGGTACAAAACTAATTTATATTACCAAATTTCATCTAAATCGATTCAGCGGTTTAAGCGTGATGAGGTATATACCTCATATCATAGTACATATAGACAGGCACACTTTTGCATTTATAAATATTATTGCATAAAATTAACTAAAGTGACCTTCTTTCAAGTTGACTATAAAAATCTTTTCATAAATCTCTTTACAATTAGAATGGAAATATTTGATGGCACATCTATGACCACTTTAAACATTTCTTAAGAAATTTAAATTAAATTTAATGAACAACTACTATTTCTATAATTGGATATAGAACTTTCTAAACATTTATATTGGATGAAATGCTGTTCAAACTTGTTCACGATAAATTAATAAAAGACAACTCACTTCCTCCATCTCTTTCTGTAGCTGTGCACTGTCCAAAGTGAGTTGTTTCTTCTGATTGTTCAAGTTTTCTAGATTCTTCTCTGTCTCTTTCAGATCGGCCTCCATTTGGTTGATCTTGTCTTTTGACTTCTTAGCATTCCTGTTGAGCAATTGAATTCATATAATCAACAGTTAAATAAATACACTTTACATATACAGTCAAAACCGAATATAACGACTTCGTTTCTAACGACGTGTCGGTTATTACGACCAATTGGCAAGATCCCGACCGAAACCCTATATAAACCTTTAAGTGAACAAACCGCCTTTAACAACACCAGATATAGCGAAATACCGCTTGAAACGACTTATAGCCAATGAATATTGATAAAGTTCATATCGATATTCATCGGCTATAATGACCAACCGTTTTACTTGTTCCAGCAAAACAAAATATACTATACTACTATATTGCTTATAACAACTATCGGACATAACGTCCGAAGTTATACGGTCCCTTCAATGTCGTTATATCCGGTTTCGATTGTATTATATAAGTATGTATAGTGAAAACAATTCTTAGTAAAATTCTCTTTTATTAGAAGGTAGAGATCATTAGTCAATGTAACGTAAGCAGCACCGTAATCTAAAAACCAGTGTTAATGCTAAATTTACTGTTAATTTGATATAAGATCAAGTTTTTACTTCAGCCATGTAAGCCCCTACAGTTATATATAATCTTAAAATTTGTAATTTAAATCTAATTTTGAAAAATAAATTTTAGTTAAACTGGAGCGTGGCAATTATAGTTATGTTTTTTTTTAAGCATTTAACTGCTAGATGTTTAAATCTAAAGAAAAGTTTTACTAGAAAAAAATCCACGCGGATCCAGGCAGCGGGCGGAACTCGAACCCGCACCCTTCGCAATCCCGGCGAATGCACTGACCAATTATACTACCGGCTACATATAGAATTTACTGGAGAAAATTTTCTTAAAAATATTTTTAAATAGAAATTCACAACAAATAAGTTAATTTACACATAAACTGAAAACATTGACTCGATTAACAAGAAATCAATGGAAACTGTACCTTATGCTAGTGTTAATTGCGACTCTTAGCTTAGTGATTTCCGATGAGACCTTATCGATTTTCTTGGTCAAATCGTCCACATTATTCTGTAGAGACTTCACCTTGCCGCCGGCGACCGCTGATATTTGAGCGTCTACACCATGCACCTCTTCTTCTACCTACAAAATATCGTTCATTGAATCAAAACACTTTTTGAACGTTAAACTGAAATTAGACGGATCATTATTGCTTTCATTTTCGATGCTTCATTGATGAAAAACCTATAATAAAATATATTGTTTTCAACTTTCGTGGTCACTCACATTATTGATATTAACGGGATTGTTACCATGTACCTTGTTTAAATAATCTAGTGTGTGGAATCCAGTGGTTCGTATGTGTAAAAACCGCAAAAATCTAAAAAATTGCCGTTCCGCGATCTGATACTGTGAGTATTGTGTGCCAGGAACAAATGCGAGTGAATAGTGAGAATGTGACCAGTGGTAGGGGTATCGAACGCAGTAAAAGACGACGTCAGAGGGTAGACCGATATGTCTGCCAATAACATCTACCCGCAATTACTTCAGTTACTCCGTGATCATGGCGCTTGCAACAGTGCCGAAATATCGGAGACTCATAAAAAATCAAGGTACATGGTAACAATCCCGTTAATATCTATAACGATAATAAAATGTCTAAGTTGACGTTCATCAGTATGAGCCATCGCGATGAAAGCTTCCGGTCCCCGATTGTTATTATTTTTAACAGACTTCAAAAAAGGACGACGTTCTGTGTTTATTCATATTTTCTTTTTTATGTATGTTCACCGATTTCTCCGTCAAATTTCGCAAAATTCTACGTAATTTTTTATTCGAAAGAGTGCACTTCCGAGGTGGTCCCATTGGAACCAAGTCAGGATCTGATGGTGGAATCCGGGGAAATCGAGGGAAACCTTCAAATTTCCATGGCATGCACGATGTTTTTTAACCGACTTCAAAAAAGGAGGAGGTTCTATGTTCCACTGTATATTTTTTACTAGAACTTTTTTCATATTCTTCAGGCAAGGCAACCTCTGTGAGATCCACTACTGCAAATATAATATATAAACATAATATGTTTGAATGAATGAATGAATTATATATGTTGTACAATAACTCACCTCGCCAGCGTCTAATTTCGCCTTGTCTAGCTTCTGTTCTGCCGCTTTCAAGGCCGCTTCGAGCTTAGCCTTCTGTTTGGCGTCCACTTTACTGGAGGCCGCTTTGTTCTCTTGTTGTTTGATTTGGGTCTGTTAATAACAAAATCTTGTTTCATTCATCAATTTGATAAATTGGTTGGTATTAAGGGAGAAGCTCGTTGGCGCAAATGATTAGCGCGTTAGGCTACGATCATCGAAGTAAAGCAACTTTCGCAGTATGGATGGGTACTGGGTATTGGATGGTTGATCAAAAATTTTACTACCTAGAGCTCCTCCGTGCTTGGGAAGGTACGAAGGATCCAGCTGCATCTGCAGTCGCTAGAACCTACCAATCACTGAGCACGCGTAGTGGGTTATTGGCTCATAGCCCAATCTCTCTATTCCATCCATAGGGCCCTCCCTATGGATCCTCTGTGCCCCAGCAGCGGAGACAGTAATAGGCTGATGATGTTGACATAAATCAAATAAGGAAACGAACTCTAGCCCTCTTGCGCCAAAGTTCTTAAATCAAATCCAAAAGCTAATGTTTAAAAAAATATTCTATCTCTTGAAACTTGACTTTAAATAATTGATAAAGAAGAGATGGATGTTAGATTCAATAAAGATGATGATATCGAAATTAATATTAGTATTGACTTGTACTTTATTGTGACATAATTTATAAAATACTTATAATTATTTTTTATGTATTGAATTTTAATGTTGTGTTGTTAACATTACTATTATGATTTAGACATGTTATGTGTTTTTTTTATATTTTTTTCGCTTGCGTTGTGTTTCGGAATTTCTGTTATCTCACAAGAAAATCATGAATAAATAAATAAAGAAATTGTAGCTAGTAAATTGTACGATTACCGTTGACAATAATTTTATGACAATTAAAGATTTATTTAATCAAAATCACTAACTTAATACGCTTACCGCTCATATATTAAGTTAGTGATTTAAGACGCTGCAGTAGTAAAATCATAATTTTGGACGCTGTTAATAGAATACCTATATCCTATATGCTGTACATGTATTTTTTATATATGTAATTAGTATATATGTGTGTATATACTAATTGCCCGCCCTCTCTTCGCTTCGGTGTAGAGCTGTAGTTTAGACTATAGTTTTTGTTCTCAGGCTTCTATTAAACACAATGACTTTCTTTAAATACCTAATTACTAAAGGCACGCGCCGCCTGAACCGGTATGTTCCTGCATTTTAAATCTGTAATATCTTCGAAAATATTCATTTAAATTACATGCAATTGAGGTTCAGTTCTGTAATATACGCGGACTCCACTCCACTCCTCCTGTCCACCACCATCTTGAGACAGCACGGCCAGCACTATTGTTTCTCACGGAGACACAAATACTTCCGCCCGCTGACACAGGCTACCTTAAATATCCCGGCTACGCGCTTGAAGAATCCTTCAAAGCAAAAGCCGGCGTATGCCTGTATGTTCGGGCGGATGTTTGTTGTCGCCGTTTGAGCTGCCTGGAAGACCCCTCCTTTTCCATGTTGGCGGTACATGTAGACTCTGGTCCTTTGGCCAGAGTCTACGTGTGCCTCTACAGATCTCACACCGGCGACGCTGAGACAACTCGACTGTTTGACCACCTCAGTAGGGTAGCAGATGATGCCCAGGCGCAATTTCCCAACGCAGAACTGGTGTTTTTGGGAGACTTTAACGCCCACCACGGTTTGTGGCTTGGCTCTTCCAAAACTGACCATGCAGGGATCTCTGCCCATGCATTCGCTCTCACGCACGACCTGACACAACTGGTTGATCAGCCCACCAGGATCCCAGATATAGCAAGTCAAGCGCCTTCTTTACTAGACCTTCTGCTTACGACCCATCCGCAGGAGTATCAGATTGTGGTTCGAGCCCCACTGGGTTCATCAGACCATTGCCTGATATCTGTCAAGGTGCCACAGGCCAAAACCCCTCGACCATTGGTGGTCAAACGCAGGGTCTGGCACTATGGGTCGGCAGATTGGGATGGTATGCGCGATTACTTTGCGTCTGTCCCTTGGAAGCAGCGCTGCTTCAATGAAAAGGACCTATCATCCAGTGCCGTTGCCATTACTGAGGAGATCGTAATGGGAATGGAGTATTACATTCCACATTCTGATCTCATCAGTAAGGGCACACGTAACCGCTGGTTCAATCGCGATTGTGCCGATGCTGTTTCTCGTAAGCAGGCGGCATATCGCGCTTGGATCAGAGGCCGCGCTCTTAAGGATCCCGGGGTTAACTCATTGAAAGCTGCCTATAATAGTGCTTCCAAGTCTTGTAAGAAGGCTTACATCAGAGCGGATGCCCAACGTGTAGCACGTACTGGCCACGAATTGTTAACGTACCCTACGGGCTCCCGTAGTTTTTGGCGTTTGGCTAAGGCCGTGCAACACAACTTTTGCCAGCCCTCGCTGCCACCTCTGCGGTGTCCAGATGGGTCACTAGCTCATGAGCCGCAAGAGAAAGCCGATTTGTTGGCAAAGCTCTTTGCGGCTAACTCCCGAATCAGTGATTGCAATGCACTGCCACCTACACTACCTCATTGTGGCACTACGATGCCTGACATTAAAATCAGGCAGCGTGATGTTCGTGCGGAATTGCAATCACTCGACGTCCGGAAAGCTAGTGGACCCGATGGCATCCCAGCAGTTGTTCTAAAACATTGTGCAGCGGAGTTGTCTCCCGTGCTTACGCGACTGTACCAACTCTCTTACTCTTTGGGGCGTGTGCCGGAAGCTTGGAGAGACGCCAATGTGCAACCGGTGCCCAAAAAAGTGGACCGCTCAGACCCGGCCAACTATCGGCCGATAGCTGTCACCTCAGTGTTGTGTAAAGTCTTAGAAAGGGTCCTTAACAACCATCTGACCCGCTACCTAGAAGATTACTCTCTAATTCACGATCGTCAATACGGATTTAGGCCGAATCGATCGACGGGTGACCTTCTAGCGTACGTGACACACATCTGGGGTGAAGCTATAGACAAGCGGGGAGAGTCTCTGGCTATTAGCCTTGACATCGCCAAGGCTTTTGACAGGGTCTGGCACAAGAGCCTTCTCTCCAAGCTTCCTGCATACGGTCTGCCTGCTCAGCTCTGCGCCTGGGTAGCTGACTTCCTGCATGAGCGTAGAATTCGCGTCCTTACGGACGGATGTAGTTCGCAGTTCATGTCAGTGAATGCCGGTGTTCCTCAGGGTTCCGTTCTATCCCCCACACTCTTTCTGCTGCATATCAATGATTTGATTCCACTTGCGAATATTCATTGCTATGCAGACGATAGCACAGTGCATGCGAGATACTTTGGACACGCGGCGGCTGGACAGGTAGAAACCATGGAGAAACGGGAGAATCTTGTTGTTGAGCTCAATCGGGCTTTAGACCACATTTCCGAATGGGGTACTAGGAACTTGGTTGAGTTCAATGCCAAGAAAACTCAGGCTTGCGCTTTCACGGCAAAAACATCGCCATTCCTTCCCCTTCCCTCTCTTCAGGGCACAACACTGGCGCTACAGAGCAATATTACCATGCTCGGTATGGAAGTTCGCTCAGACCTGAATCTAAAGGACTACATCGAAACGTTGATCAAAACAGCTTCACGCAAACTCGGAGTCCTGAACAAGGCGCGGCGTTTTTTCACGCCCGATCAACTGTGCTTGTTGTACAAAACACAAGTGCGGTCCTGCGTGGAATATTGCTCGCACCTCTGGGATGGCTCCGCAAAGTACTTACTCGATGCCTTGGATAGGTTGCAGCGGCGCGCTGCCCGCATCATTGGCGATGAAGAGGCAACTAAGAAACTCGAGTCTCTACAATTACGCCGTGATGTGGCATCATTAAGCGCATTCTACCGAATATACCACGGCGAGTGTTCTGAGGAGCTATTCTTGCTTATCCCTCCATCACCTTTTCTTCAGAGGACCACGCGCGCTGGCCTACGTTGCCATCGACTTACTGTGGCCACTATTCCTACACGAACAAAGAAATTTGGCGACTCATTTCTTTGTCGTACTATTCGTAAGTGGAATTCTTTACCCGCGCACGTGTTCCCTCCTTCCTATAATCTGGGGTCCTTTAAGAGAGGCGTGAAGAAGCATATTTGCGGGCCGGCAAGGTGAGGATGGTTGGTGTAGCAGTTAATAACTGCTGTACCAGCTATCTTCGCGTTTGGACTTTATCACCACTTAACATCAGGTGGGGTAGAGTCATTTGCCTACCTAGTAATATAAAAAAAAAAAAAAAAAAATGCTGTAAAAGGCCATATTGATCAATATTACATGCACAATGTATTTAAGGTACTTAATTGGATAAGGATTAATGCTGTATTGCTTAAAATCGTATATATCGTATCGTACGTATCTTTTTCGTAAATAAGCCATTATTTTCTCGTAATAAGTAATTAAAAAATGGTTATTGTGGGTCATCCCTAAGAGATAGGGATATACCATCGCGGACTTTCTTGTAGACCTTTTTAAGGTGTAAAATACTGTAGTACATTATTTTGATCTATCTCGTAGAGTTCAGCACGTATAATATTTTGTAATGTTACTTGTTTGGGAGTACAGAATAAGTAGTTTTAGTCTTTGTCATAGGTTTTTTACACCCTGTTTAAATACACCTACTATTATTTAAATTTTGTAATTAAAAACGAATATCACAACGAAATACCTGGGTCTGCATTTTCTATTTTACCAAATACGTTTTGAGTTTGTTCCGCTGCTGGATGTGTCTGCTACAATGTCTGTTACTTTAAGCTTCATGTCGTTTTCCACAGCATTGATACAAATTTTGACGTGATTTTTATTATTAATTTATGAATATTAATATATAATTTATGATTAAATTATTATATCTTATAGTTCGTGTGATGACATGTCAAATAAACCGACTTAAGAAATATTTATTTATTTATTTGCATCGTATGTAATGTATTGTATGTATATAATGCGACTACATTTTACTGGTCCGCTTGTTTAAATGTTTTATTATGCTGTAAAAAAAAGTCTCCGTAGTTTAAATAACTCACCTTCAAACTAGGCACTTGTTCGGTCAAACTCTTCAACTCAATGTTCAATTTGTTGAGGGTAGTTTTTCCTTCGCGCGTTGATCTTTGCAAGGATACAACGCTGTCTTCCAAGCTTACTTGTTCACCACGTAATTCTGTTAGTCTGCCGACAAAATTGTAGGTAAATAACTATGTAACCTTACCTTACCTTATATACCTTATATTAAAACAAAAAGGGAAGATACGGTACGCTCACACTGGCATCAATTAAAATATGATCCGACTCAACTACACACATCAAAAGTGTCTAGGGATCAAGCATTTTTATGCGGATTTCTTGAGATTGAGATGTGGCTTTGTAATAAATTTATGATTTTATAAATTTATATGGATCCTTTTTGGTGCATTTCATAATTTGAATCAGGAACTGTGAATCAAATTCGAGTAAAAGATGAAAATCAGCTGTCAATATTTTCCCTATAAAAACATACAACGCATTGAAGACATTATTAGTGCTACTGTTTCCCTACTACTGATTAAAACCAACGTTATTATGGAGCGGCGACGTCATTTAAGCAGGGAAGAAATGCTCAGAGCCGTGGGAATGATAGAAGCTGGTTCCCGGCAACGTACTGTGGCTTTAGCTCTGAATACAAGTCAGAGTGTTATCAGTCGACTTTGGACACGATACCGAAGCACTGGTACCGTGGCTGAGCGCCATGGAGGACGGTATCGCTGCACCACACGGAGACAAGACCGATACATTCAAATCTTAACTCGAAGAGCTCCAACAATAACCGCCATGATGTTAGCCGTGAGGCTTCATCACTCTTCAGGGAACTTAATTAGCGACCAAACAGTCAGAAACCGCTTGCATGAAGTGAACCTTCATTCCCGAAGACCGCTACGGGTACCACCTATAGCAATGCACAATCGTAGGATTCGATATCAATGGGCTCTTGAACACAGAAATTGGGCAGAAGAACAATGGCGTTTCGTGTGCTTTTCTGATGAGTCTCGTTTTGGTATGAGACCGGATACAAGACGTATACGACACTGGAGAACCCCTGGACGCCAACAGCGATTAAAATCCTGCCAGGAAGTCCATCCTTATAGTGGTGGAACCATCATGGTATGGGCGGGTATTTGGATCGGCGGAAGAACTGAGTTGATTTGGATCAGAGGCAACCTCAACGCTCAAATTTATGCTGAGACGATTGTATCAGACGTCATCGTTCCTCTACAAGTGCAAATCGGTCCCTTATTTCAGTTAATGCATGATAATGCACGACCGCACACCGCAAGAGTTGTAAGACAGACTCTCGCCGCAGCTAACATCAATGTCCTGCCCTGGCCTGCTCAGTCGCCAGACTTGAACCCGATTGAGCATGCATGGGATATGCTACAGAGAAGAGCTCTGCCGAATATGGAGGGTATCCAGTCGCAAGAAGACCTTTTTTTGTTGTTGCAACGAACATGGGCGGCCATTCCACAGCGTGATTTGGATGAACTCATTTTGAGTATGCCAAACCGATGTTCTTGTGTTGTTAGTGTTCGCGGTAGAAATACGGATTATTAATTGTTTAAGTTACCCAATAAAATTTTAGAGAAAACTGTTATTTCAGTCTTTTTTTCGAACTTTTGTGTTAGTGGTTCAAATGTCAAAAATCCCTTTATTAGGAAAATGGCAAATTTCTTTATTAATGCAAAGGTGACTTGGTTTATCGTTACTGTGACAAACGAAAACACTTTATTTGATGAATCCTTAAAGAAAATTTTAATTAATATCAATCAGGAGAAAAGTTATTGCAAAAATATATGTTGATCCCTAGACACTTTTGATGTGTGTACATAAGCAACTGTCACACACGCACACGACTGTAAATAAACATTCAATCGAGCGAGCGAGACAGAACTGTACGCTTCAACGCAGCGCGAGCGAAACGACGAATCAACTTCCGAGTGAGAACGGCTGAGCTGTAATGTTGTCCTTTTCTCTTAAACAAGAAAAAACTGATTTTACAGTTTTACGAATCAGGCATTTCATCTCGCCGAGGCATTTGTTTAACTATTTGTGTTCTTTATAAAAGCAGCGAAGGCATTGTTATATCTTTATAACACAGAATATACGCAATTTTGTTATATTGAGTGTACATGCAGCGTGTTTGAATGGCCAATTGTGACTACAGCGAATTGTGGTCATGCACCACAATTTAAGAGGATCACTTTTGAACCGCGAGTGCCGCATCTACCCTTTTTGTTTAAATCTAAGAGTATAACTAAATAATTTCAAATTCTTATGTCGCAATTACATTTGGTTTGTTGCCCGTTTTCGGATGCAATGTCGGATTACTCGAATGCGGGAACCCGAAGCAATGTTTACACTGGAGTACAGGCTGGAAGACCAAACAAATGGAAATCTACCCAAATACGGGCGTACTAGACTCCGTTCATTTACAATTAACTGTTTATTCGACTTCCATTTGCACTCGTATTCGGGCTAACGACCAAGTGTCATCATCATCATCAGCCTATTAATGTTCCCACCGCTGGGGCACAGGCCTTTCCTATGGATGGAATAGGGAGATTGGGTCATGACCCACCACGCGCGCCCAGTGCGGATTGGCGGGTGCTAACGACTGCAGATACAGCCGGGACCAACCACCAATCAGAACTGGGCCCGCGTGGTCCAATCTCCCTATTCCATCCATAGGGAAGGGTATGCCCCAGCAGCGGGGACATTAATAGGCTGATGATGATGAATTAAAACCTTACCTCTGTTCCAAACCAGCCAATTTCCTCTCATTAGCCTGCATTATACGCGGGTCTTGCTCACTGGTGTCCTGTTGTACTGAACTGGACATTCTACCACGCATCGTGGTTTTACCACCGCCAGACATAGTACCTTGACGATGCAACAATTTATAACATCACTAAGTTAAAAGTAGGCATGCGTCCGATATATCAAAACGAATCCAAAATCCGATTTCAAACACAAATCGATACCGAACGATTTCTCAACAAGAAAATCCGATTTCAGAAATCTAACCGAACCAAAACGCTAGCGATCTAATACCATAAGTATCCAAATGTAAATCGGATTCGAAATTCGTGCTTTCGTTTTCGGAAGTCAGATTTCGTGCTCGGAAGTCCGATTTCGATTTGCTGTTTACGGAAATCTATTGCTCTTCTCTGAGGCGGGATTATTTATCACTGAAAAGATATGTCGTCTAAAAACATCAAAAGTCGAGCAACTTACATTTTTGGACGCTAACCTGAAGTAATTAGGTTTGATTTTGTAAATGGTTTGAAAAATAATAAAAACAAACAGAAAAACAAAAAAAAATACTAAAAAAATATGTAAAAAGAAATCATTGTATATAAGTCGATTTTTAAATGCGCCGCAAAAGTTTTACTCTTAACCGTAAACATAACTTTTCTGCTAGTCCTAAGCGAAAATCTACGAGTATTCTTGCTTCCTACAATTAATTGTTTGTGATTGTCGTTAGCTAATAAAACCAAATCATAACACAAACTAGTGAATTGGCTAAGTTTGGCACATCTGAAATCGGATATCTAAAAACGGATTTTAAAATCGATTTTGAAATCTGAAATCCGATAAATATCCGTTTGCGTTCAAAACCAAAAACGCCCATGTCTAGTTAAAAGTGTCTACATAAGCATAACTTGATATTGTCTCAAACGCTCTTGAACCAAAACTGCGAACATACTGTACCCTTAGCACAAACCAATATCGAATTCGAATATTAAAAGTATTAACGGGATTGTTATCATGTGCCTTGTTTTTATGAGTCTCCGATATTTCGGCACTGTTGCAAGCGCCATGATCACGGAGTAACTCTTGGCGCTTGCAACAGTGCCGAAATATCGGAGACTCATACAAAACAAGGTACATGGTAACAATCCCGTCAATAGTTATAATGTTAGTGACCATGAAAGTTTAAAACAATATATCGAATTCGAATAGTTTGCGAATGCGAAATGTCATTGTCAAATTTTGTATGGATACTTGAACAGCAGCGGCACAACGGACGTAAAGAAAACTTCAAACATTTGACAGTGGGATTTCGCACTCGCAAACTATTCGATTTCGATATTGGTTCGTGCTAAGGGTACTGGAAACAGATTTAACCAGAGTACTGCGGATTGAGGCCGAATAGTGCGGCTCATTCCAATATGAGCCTTATGCAATGGGGTGTAAGGGTGAAAGTGCAACGACATCTGCAATTGTTTACAATTCCTGCCCGTTATTATTTATATATTTATTTTATTGTATTCTTTATACACAAATGTACTATGGCGGACTTAATACTGTATACATTCTTTACCAACCAGTCAACCATAGGATGTTGTGGAGATTATTAGTGATAGGGTGCACAATTGAGATGGAAATCACATTGAAAGACTTTCCTATCTATAAGTTGAACTGGACTTTTCTGGAACGCGTCGATTGGCGTATATAAGCGCGTTCAGCGCCGCGCTGTGGACAGGTTTTTAAAGCGATACCTAACAGTTGAATTTTAACAGCTATTTCGGAACGAATACAAAGGCGATCAAAGTGCAAGTGAAGTGTTCAAGTGCGATTGTTTAATGACTTGTTACATTGACTGTGGTATTGTGTGTTTAACAAAGAACTGTGTGAAATGTGTCGTAAATAAAGACAATGTAGCCCAGTTACTTACCAGCAATCTCTATGACGTCCCCGTTAAGTGTCACCACTCTATATCTAGTATGTCCGTAAGCTATCCTGGAAGCCTGCTCCAAGTCTTTAGCTACTAATGTGTCTCTGAGTGCGAAATAAAACGCTGGTAAGACTCTTTCATCCTTAACTTTCACCAGATCGAATAACCTGGGAGCGTTCTCTGGACTGAAACAATGTATGATTTTAAAGCGAATTGCAATAATAAATTCAAGGGGTCGGGTGCATTCGTGTCTCAAATTTTCATACTGCTTTTTTTTATTAGCAAAATCCTAATTTAATATTATAAATGTGAAAGTTTGCATAATAATAATAATAAATTTATTGCTCCACAAAAGTAGGTAGGTACATGAAAGATTGAATACCCTGATATCTATGCTAGGATAATAACCCTGTCATATCATCATTTAATCTGATTTTATAGACACTGGTGTCGATTCTGGCACGATTCTCTAAATCTAAACTTAAATTTGAGAACAGAGTTTCCTTGTCATTCTCTATACAGAATGAAAAAGAGAGACTGATGTTAAATTTAGTTTTAAGTTTAGAGAATCACGCCAGAATCGACACCACTATATATATAAATACTGTTTGTGTTTAAATCTCAACACTTCTCAATTTCCCACTCGACCCGGCTAAAGCCAAAGCATAAAAAATGAAAGTATTATTTTAGAAACTTACTTAAACACGTTTTAGGTTCAACGGATACGGAGAATATTTGACACACAGATAGTTTATTATCTGACTTTGAATTTATCTCATAAATAGTAACTTCATTTCGCATTGTCAATAACAAACTTTAACGAGATAACTTATAGATAGATTAAAGTCGTCTTGTGTGAGGAAATGCCCATAAGTTGACCAAAACTTGGGTATGACTGCGTCGTTGTTATCGGGTGTGTGCTGTTTGGTTCGATTGTTTGCTGTCACATCGTTTAAGAGCCTTTTCACATTTTTTGCAATAAATCGCAATTTTTGAGCGCCTCGTTTGCCCCCTTAGTAGAGATTTTGACTACTTCCAATAGAAGTAAACAGTAGATTTATTCTTCCTATTGAAAATTAATGTAGAATATTTGGAAATACTATTTTAATTTTTTTGTACTGATCGTTCTACCGCAGCTTAATCCTTGTATCCTTTGCTCCACTCAGGATTCCTATCTAGAATCGTTCGTTGCTACAGTAGGGATCCATCTTAGCACTTCAAATTAACTTTATTTTATATTTGCATTTATTGTATAATCAATAATTGTATATTAAAATATCAATTTGGTAAAGCGGGCTATACTGAACATCGCCGCGTCGATGTCTCGCTCGTGCGACTCCGACCATATTTACCTAAACTAGAGCGGCAGAATTTTTTAAAAGAGCTCATAAATGGCTATTATCTATTAGGTGGAAGTGTAGTGGGGGTGAGCCGGCGACATCGGTTCTCTTAAGAACGGTCTACAATCACCCTTCTAGCCTCTTTCTGTGTGCTGTGATGTTAACTTAAGCCTAAATACTCACTATGTATTCCTATTATGTATATGTTGCTGTAAATGATTCTGTTTATCCAAAGCTATGAATGTAGCTCTGCCGACGTCGTTTCTCTTTAAGAATTCAACGCAAGCCTGTGCCGTTTCAACAGTATCCACTACTATGTTGTCTAATGCACCACAACATGTAGATATAGCGACGTCGTATTTGGCGTCTATGCCTCCTAAATCACCCTGAAAAATGTGTGTGATATTATAGCACCTGTACCTAGAGTTACCAACCCTACTTTATAATATAGTATCCTACTATATTAGGGGATCAAATACTTTATTTGTAAAAAAATATAGTATAGAGGGGAAAGTACTATATTTTTCTTAAAGTGTATTTTTGACAATTAAGCTTTTTTAAAAATTATTAGAAATTATTATAATACTAGCAAACCAGTAAACCAAATGTTCACCAAAAAAAAATGTATTTAATTAATTGAGAACTTCGGAGATTTTGTGTGGTTTCGTTTGAAATAGAAATCACGTGATTTCTCGAAAACCGGAAGTGCTACGTTACTCACATCCAGTTTGTAGTCTTATCAGACTATTCTTAACTTATAACTTAAATATTCTTTACGGACTTGTCTAATAGATAAGAGATTATTAGTAAAGGGTATTTCCATTGTAACAAGTGCGTGCGACACTGACATTGCGTTTTTTTCAAGATAATAAAGTGTTTGTACAGATATATCAAATTACGTTTATAAAGAAAAATAGTATGAAAATTAGATATTTAACTCAAACAAGATCTGTATAGAAACTTGTAATGAATAACTTATACAACTTCATGAAGGTGTGACCTTAGAAAATCGCCAAATGCGACCACATCTTGGTCGCTTTTTGTTAAACACCTGTAAAATTTTCCATGAAAGTATACAGTAAGATTCTTTTACGTAAAACTCGTATAGTTATCTCAAATAACTACATTTTTCGAAATATACAAACATGTATAATGTAATTTATATATTTTTTTTAAATGTAACGGGTACGACAAGTCTTTGTAACGGGTGTGACACTGTATGTTTTTCAAGTTTTATCGTAAAATAAAAAATGTTCTAAACAACATTGCTTTATTTATTAAAAATCATTCCAGATAAGGAAACACAGGAATTAAACATGAGATTTGGTCTAAAATTAATAATTTCTTTTGACGATTGTGCAATTTCCCACCTAATTTGAAAAATTCGCTAGTAAATTATATGTAATTATTCTAAATAGGTTGATTAATTAAATAGGTTGACATACAAACTGATTAATTTATATAATTTTGGAATAATGCCAAAATTTATATTTTACAAATTTTTGAGTGTATTATTATTTAGAACTCCAGATATGGTTTTTGTTTTAGTTAATAACACAATTAATTTTTTATCACAGTGGGGTAAAGTTTCATGCCAATACCCTAAGGCTAAGAGCAGCAAAAATATATTTATTTCAAAATGAAAGTAAATATTTTAACCACATACTATATTTTTTTCTATTTTTTGGTATATACAGGGCGTCCCACGGCTACCTCACATGGAGGGAAAGCATATTAAATATTAAAGATAGGATATTTTACTGAAAGAAGACATCATTTCATTTTTGATAATAACTAGAACTGCATTCACAGATTTTTTTAAATCGACTGCTACAACTGGGAATCAAACTCGTGAAATTTCGAAAAATAATACGAGGTATTTTATGATAAACATCGAAAGGGTTTATCATAAAGATTATTTTTACTAATTAACATAGCATTTTAAATGAAAGGAATGTCTTATTACGTGATAAAAAGAATAAAGTGATATACAAACTGTAGTACGTATGCATTTCATTTTGAACTCAGTTACAATGCGATTGGCGGAAATTGGTAAAAATAATAATTCGAAAATAGAACACATACATTTTCAAGCGTCTGTATGGAAACTTATACAGCAGCACAACAAAGTACGTTACGAGAACTAAAAATCAGTACACATTTGACAGTGACATTTCGCACTCGAAAACTATTCGAATTCGATATTGGTTCGTGCTAAGGGTACTGTCCTTTTTTTGTGTTTTTCATTTTAGTTAAAAACCGGGTTCTCTTAATACATTTTTACAAAGTGAATCTAAATACGGAAAGATATCTAGAAATACTTAATATTTTAAGAGTTGAGATCAATAATCTTCCTGATGCAAATCAACGAAATTTCCTTTTCCAGCAAAATGGGACTCATAACAGTAGGAGATCTGCCGAGTTTCTTAATGAACACTTTCCTTCCTGGATCGGTTCTTATGGACAAATAAGATGGCCGAGATCCCCAGATCTAACCCCACTGGACTTTTTGGTGGGGTTATGTAACAGATGTAGTATACAAGAACCGGTAAGACGGTGTGCAGGAGTTACAAAATAACTCAGACGTATTCTTACAAATATTCACCACGCGAAGATAATGAAATCGACAGGCAGAGAAAACATTAATAGAGTGAGAATTTGCATTCAACAAATCGGATCACATTTTGAACATTTGATACATTTCGTTTTGTATTACTTTTTGTTGAATATTTTTAATAAAATGTGTAATTTTATGACTTTTCTTTCATTTAAAATGCTATGTTATTTAGCATAAAATATTTTTTATGATTAACTCTTTCGATGGTTATCATAAAACATGAAGTGTTTTTTTTTTCAAAATTTCATGAGTTTGACTCCCCGTTTTAGCAGGCGATTTTAAAAAAATCTGTGAATGCAGTTCTAGTTATGATTAAAAATAAAATGATGTCTTCTTTCGGTAAAATATCCTATCTTCAATATTTAATATACTTTCCCTCCGTGTGAGGTACCCGTGGGACGCCCTGTATATTCGAAACCCTTATGTTACTGAAACGTTTACAAGAAAATAAACCTATAGTAGTAAGAATCAAATGTGCATTACAATAATAAATAGTATTCTTACCAATCTCCCGTATATCCCTGGAAGTCTGCCAGTCTTCTTTTCCTTCATGAGTGCGTCCAATACTCTGCCACGGGATTTATTTGCGCTCATAGCTTGCCTAGATTCTTCCAGCTGTGCCCTAATTTACGAAACGTAATATAAATCGTCAGTAAATCAATATTTCGTAATTTATAACTAATAATATTAGACTACTTGACCGTCACTGAAAGCTTTATATTGAGATAGCACCTCCGTTTCCCGTCAAATTACCATCAGTTTCCGTACTTTTATTCACCTTGTATCAGATCCATGGGCGACACCTGGCAGAAGCTCAGCCATTTTTGTTTTCCTAAGTTTTGAGAGCGCTATTTTAGCTCATTGACTCAATAAATTCACAAGGCAGAATTTAATGTGAACTGCATAAGAGAACATATACTAAGGAGAACATATATTGAGCTTCACGTAATGGAAATAATTTTAATGACTCTGCACGTTCTTTCCGGTTGACTGGTAGAGAATGCCATGCTGGCATTCAATATGCAATGTAAAGGCATTAAAGATTAAGTAAATAAATAAATAATAAATTATGCATTATATGATCCCACGAGGGCGATTATAAGGTAATGAGGATATTCCCCTATCAAGGATGGTTTGTTTCCAATACTTGTATTTGTAGGCAAGCCATGGAAGGCATGTGAATGTTGAAACTTAGGAAAACAAAACGGCCGCGCTCCTGCCAAGTGTCGCCACTGGACCGGACACAAGGTGAATAAAAGTACGGAAACTGATGGTAAATCGACGGAAAACGGAAGTGCTATCTCAATATAAAGCTTTCATTGAGGTAATTATTTGCATATGCAGGTAAAATGCTGCTAATAAATATATTTAACAATCGCTCTGTATGAAATAAACTATGTATATAGTATAAATATGCTATTTCTTTCCAAATAATTAGTATCATAAAAAAATGGTTGCCTGTAAAGTCGGTTTTACGGGCGAAGACTTTCGTGACAACGTCTTTTTCTCGGTAGAATATTTATTGATATGAATATAATTAAATTGCACAATAGGAACAAGGAATTGAATGAAAATAAGAATTGCACAAATTTTAACTATAGAAATATATTTTGTTTACTAAAACATTGTACATGTAAACTTAAACTTAACACGAGAGACTCATCGTAACGTTACCGAGCGTTACACTTTTTCATAAGTGACTCCCAGCCGCAACCTAATTTAAGACGTTGTCACGTCAAAAATAATACGGTTTGAATGCCGATTTTTTTATAATTATGTAAGAAATCATTACATGCAGTTATTGAACTCTAATCAAATCTCATCTAACCTCAGAGATCTGGCTTCATTAGATACCGTGGACTCTTCTCTCTTCAAACTGTTTAACTGCGTTTGTATCTCTGACAATTTCTTCTCATCAGTGGGTACAGACGATGACAGTTCTTGTTGTAACCTAAATTTCGAATAAACACCTCGATGTATATAAAATAAATCTAATATATAAAATTATTGTGTCACGGAGTGCGTAAATGAACTACTCCGAAACGGCTCGACCGGTTTTCGTGAAATTTTATATGCATATACAGTGGATCTGAGAATCGAATAACATCTATTTTTCATCCCCCTAAATGTTAAGATGGACCATCCTTTAATTTTTTTATCTGGGCAATTTCTTTTATTTTTTTATGATTAATCATACAAAAATACATACAACCCTAAATTTTCACCTTTCTACCCCCAACCCCTATTTTTTTATAGCGGTAAAAAGTTCGCTGGGACAGCTAGTAAATTCTAGGAAATATTTAGAAATTAGGCTTAATTTTATCAAAAAAATAAACCATATCAGTGTGAAAGATTTCATCAATATAATTTAAAGAAAGATGTCATCAATATCATTAAAAAAAACTATGATAACATTACCTCAAAGGAAATGACAAATTAACCGCACTTTAACAATACTTTAATTTTAATGAGTGTCGTGAATAAAAAACGAAGCAATGGTGATTGAAATTAATATGTTAGAATTAATTATTAGATAACTGAAATAATTTTATTATAAATAGATCTTCTTCTTCTTATTCCCTCTCATTTCAAAGCTGGTCTAAGATAACTTACACAAACTGAAATATATCAAAATTCAACGAAAACAAAATAATAAATAAATAAATAATAAATATTTCTAACGCACACCAATTAGCCTAGCTCCAAAGTAAGCACTATAAGGCTTGTGTTATGGGATGCTAGGGTAACGGATAAAATACATATACTATACATAGATAAGTATATTTATATAGAAATACATATTAAACTTCCATGACTAGAGTACAAATGCTCATGATCATCACACTAACATCTGCCCCCACCGGGATTCGAACCCGGGACCTCTCGAGTCGGCGACACCATAAAACCCGGCGTACAAACCACTCGGCCACGGAGGTCGTCAAAATGAAAATTTGTTTAGGTTAATCATAAAACTTTAAAACTCAGTCATCAATTTTCAACCTTAAGTAGTTTAAAATAAAATGCACAATCGATTGCTATGTACTCACGATTTCTTCTCTTCCAAATCCTTAGCAGCCTTTTCGTATGCCTCTCTCATCTTCTCCAGTTTCTCCGTCTCCTTTTGTTCCGTGCTCAAGTATATTTTGAGTTCAGATTCGGCCAATTTATACTCTTTGTTCGCTTCGTCTACGATCTTCTTTAAATCCATAAGCTTCGCTTGCAGTTTGTCTTTGGTCTCTTGTAGACCTTGCGTTTTGGACCTTATAACAATGGAACAGAGTAGGAATTTACAAAGAGAATCCTATAAAAGTACTTATTAAGACAACATAATGGAGAATTGTATCGAGTAATAAATCATACTGCTTTATAATAATAATCTTTACAATAATAATAATAAACAACTTTATTTCTCACCACAAATGACAAAAAGGGTTTACAAAAATCTTAGGCGAATTATATTATCATGTTGTCATTCGTGGGAGACTTTCACCAGGTCTCCATTGTTGGCCCCAGTGTTACAGGTCACCAGGCCCATTGTTGGCCCCAGTGTTACAGGTCACCAGGCCCCATTGTTGGCCTCAGTGTTACAGGTCACCAGGCCCATTGTTGGCCTCAGTGTTACAGGTCACCAGGCCTCCGTTGTTGGCCTCAATGTTACAGGTCACCAGGAGCATTATTGGCCTCAGTGTTACAGGTCACCAGGCCCATTGTTGGCCTCAGTGTTACATGTCACCCGGGCCCATTGTTGGCCTCAGTGTTGCAGGTCACCAGGCCCCATTGTTGGCCTCAGTGTTACAGGTCACCAGGCCCATTGTTGGCCTCAGTGTTACATGTCACCCGGGCCCATTGTTGGCCTCAGTGTTGCAGGTCACCAGGCCCCATTGTTGGCCTCAGTGTTACAGGTCACCAGGCCCATTGTTGGCCTCAGTGTTACATGTCACCGGGCCCATTGTTGGCCTCAGTGTTGCAGGTCACCAGGCCCCATTGTTGACCTCAGTGTTACAGGTCACCAGGCCCCATTGTTGGCCTCGTGTTTAAGGTCACCAGGCCTCCGTTGTTGGCCCCAATGTTACAGGTCACCAGGCCCCATTGTTGGCCTCAGTGTTACATGTCACCAGACCCCATTGTTGGCCCCAGTGTTATAGGCCATTGTTGGCCCCAGTGTTACAGGTCACCAGGCCCCCATTGTTTACATAAAATATTACACCTAGACAATGATACTCTAAGGGTTTGTATGGTAAGCATCCGACTACTTATGGGCTATATTATATAGTATTCTTGACATGTATGTGGATGTGGATGTCAGTTAATGTGTCTTTATAAAACATAGTTCTGCTATACTACTTTAAAATTTCATCATCTAAGTTTGAGCTTCACATAGCTCGATATAAGATTCCCAATTGTATGACTTTCATAAGTTTAAAACAACATAATAATTGGGTATTGCGTAAAATTCTTAACATTGCCAATATCTCAACATCGACTAGAAAAAAAACTATTATCTATATATATATTATCTTGAGAAGCGTCATCCATTATTACAAAATAAGAATAACATGTTAAAAAGGCACCATACCTTACACCTGCCATGACAGTTTGCAACTCTTCCTCTGCCTGCTTCTTATTCTGTTTATGCTTCTCCAACAATTTCTCACAATCTTCTATCTCTCTTTTATTTTTATCAGGCACCTGGTAGAAATGTAATAAATTAGTCAACCTAAAATATTCCATTCCATACGCGTTCAAAACGTGATTTATTAAATTAACTCATCCACATACCAATTCCAAATCCATGAGTTTCCCTCTCTCTTGTTCTAGAAGCTGATCCAAGTTCTTCTTTTTCTTGTTCGATTGCGTGATATCCGCTTGTGCTGTCACAGTCTTCTTCTTGCAACTCTGCAGTTTTTCCGCTATTTCTTCTTTCTGCTTCTGGAGTTTATCGTATTTCCTGTGAAGTGAGAAGCAGTTTTAACAAAAACAAAATAAATAGATTGCCTGTTTTATTTCAATTATAACGATCCGCCCTGGCTTTGTACGGATGATTTATTTTAACGCCATAAAATATAGGCTATGATACTTAGGGGTAATGTATTCTAGTTAGGGATGAAACGATACGAGTAAATACAAGTTGTACGATACAAGCGTACATCTTGCGAAGTCATCACTTTTCATAATTGTGTTAATAATTACAAAATTGCACCAGTTCACGTTTCCTTACCGATCGCGGCGGGCGCGCACTCATCTATCAATCATTTATCTTAGCATAGTATCAATTTTTTATATAGTAATAAATATTCGCCCGGATTGCGAAAGGTGCGGGTTCGAGTCCCGTCCGCTGCCTGGTCCGCGTGGATTTTTTTCTAGTAAACTTTTCTTTAGATTTAAACATCTAGCAGTTAAATGCTTAAAAAAAATAAATAAAAACATAGTAATAAATAGTTTAAATTCTTATATCATCTTTTACTTATCATATCAACTCTAGGTGTACCGTACATCTAAATGGTCCTTCGAATATATGAACAAGTGAGATCATATTTACGCGTAGACTAAAAGTGTGACAATTTACCTAACTTGTGTTCGTGTAAGTGGTTTTGCACTATTGGACAGACGCCTGCGCATGCGTCACAAGAGAGAGAGATAGCTAGCGGTCTCTCATTTTCGTTCTCTTTCTACTAGACGGACACTTTTACAGCCGCCTCCCCCACTCTATTCTTATACCTCTTAGGTCGAGTCCCGTCTGCTGCCTGATCCGCATGGATTTTTTGTACCTAGCAAATTTTTCTTTGGATGAGAATATCTACCATATGTAGCAGATATATTTTGTACCGCTTCCGTGCAATTAATACAGTATCTAGGGTGCATATAATTAAAGTTCAATACTCACTGAGTACCATTCTTGAGCACGGTGGTTTTCTCTTGCAACTCTTCTTTGATCTGTTGCAGTTTCTCGTCGATCTTCGCTAAGTTTTCTTTCAATTCCACCATTTCTTTCTCTTTGCCCTCTATGATTTTGTTAGTTTCGTGTCTGTGAAAATTAACAAAATTAAGAAATATATAAATACTCGAGTCATACATCCTTTGCGGGGTTGACAGGGCAACAATGAAATTTATAATTAGAATTGATTAGATTTAATGCTATCACTTCACATGGCTATTCACTTGCGAGTTTTGGTTACACTGGTTTTATAGGGCAAACCCTTTTTTTTAATAAAGTAGATCCGACAAATGACTCCACCCCACCTGATGTTAAGTGACGGTAAGTCCAGACGTGAAGATAGCTGGTACAGCAGTTTTACCTGCCACACCAGCCATCCTCACCCTGCCGGCCTGCATGTTGCTTCTTCACGCCTCTTTTAAAGGATCCCAGGTTGTAAGAAGTCTTAGCCTTATACTCACATATACATATTACATTTTGTCTTCAAAGCTACAATAGATTAATAATGTTTCTCCTGAAATGGAACAAAAACTTTGTCTCCTCTTAACCATATACTTACATATACTTATGTAGTAACAGATTCCTCGTCCTCAGCGCTACATTAGTGAGATTCATTTGTTCCACAGCTTCCCTCATCGGCTGCTCCAATTTCTGCTTCTCTTGTTCCACCAGCCGTACCCTGTTTAGCTTTTCTTTCCTCATCTCGCTGTACTCTTCTACCTTCACGGATAGTTTCTCTATGGGTTCCTATTGGAAGTTAAGAAAAGAACTTAATAAAAGATGTAGAGTTAAGTAAATTTTTTGCTATTAAATTTGTTAGAGAACCTGTCTAGGCAAATCAATTTACAGTAAATATAGATCAGTTAAATCCAACGAATTGGGAATGATAAGAAAGCATTACTCTCTTATTAAGGCCGCCAATTCAATTCCAAACTTATACAAATAAACTTCAACACCAACGCAACACGCACACAGACAAAACAAATTGACAAATCAAATATCTGCAAATAAATTCGGCCATCCATTCATTGGGTAAGATAATGTTAAATGGAAATCCCAACCAATCGAATGATCGGCATATTGATCGCATTACATATATGCCCTGCCCACTTGACCGCATTTTGCGAGAATTTCTAATTCGTTAGTATGGATAGAAATCTATACTAAAGTTATAACGCTGCAGAGTTTCATCCAGTTGAACGCACTTATCTCAGGAACAACTGTTGTGAGTTGAAAAATTATTTTTGTGCTGGTCCATTTATCCAGGAAGGCTATATCAATATGAGCGGAGCATCAATATAAAAAAATATTTCAAAAACGGGAAAATTCCTTTTGAGAGCTTCTGTTGCGTGCGCTGTGCGTATAATGTTAAAGTACTAAGTTATTATGCTATGTGATGCTTATATAGTAATGGAATATGTTTAAACAGAGAAGCTCAATGGCGCAAATGGTTAGCGCGTTCCGCTGCGATCGTTGAATTTAAGCAACTTTCGCAGTGGTCGGTCATTGGATGGGTGACCGAAAATTTACTATCTCGCGCTCCTTCGTGCTTCGGAAGGCACGTTAAGCCGTTGGTCCCCGGCTGCATCTGCAGTCGTTAGCCCGCACTGGGCCCGCGTGGTGGGTCATGGCCCAATCTCCCTATTCCATCCACAGGGAAGGCCTGTGCCCCAGCAATGGGGACATTAATAGGCTGATGATGATGATGTTTAAAAAGGTTGTATACTTAATTCAAATTAACGCGGGTAAACCGCCGGGCACAGGTAGTAACAAGTCAAAAAAAGGTGAACAAAAGGAGTCAAGTATTTTTAATAAATATGATTAAATTGAATTATAAACAAGAATCTTACCTTATACCTAGATGTACCAATGATATCTTCTAAATACTCCAGCATACCAGACTCGTGTTCAGTCTGAGCTTTTGGTTTCATCATTGCTATCTGTTCTACCTCACCCTACGATAACAATTTAAACGGACATGTAAATCATTATCAATTTTTCTTAAATAATTTAGTAGCATGTATGCATGCGTTTATTCAAATGATGAAGATCAGTTTTTATCTAATTTTTTCATTGTACGTTAAAAGCAATTCCAAATTTCATGGCTCGATTTACGTCCGCAGAAAACTGCGATCTTGTGAGTTTTGACGACCTCCGTGGCCGAGTGGTTTGTACGCCGGGTTTCATGGTGTCGCCGACTCGAGAGGTCCCGGGTTCGAATCCCGGTGGGGGCAATGTTTGTGTGATGAATACGAGCATTTATACTTCAGTCATGGATGTTTTATATGTATTTCTATAAAATTATACTTATCTATGTACAGTATATGTATTCTATCCGTTACCCCAGTATCCCATAACACAAGCCTTATAGTGCTTACTTTGGGGCTAGGCTAATTGGTGTGACTGTTGAAAATATTTATTTATTTATTAAATTAAAACAGTTCTTAGCTATTTCGAAGCCTAAGGTGGAATGAAAAGGGGATATCAACTGAAAGGGTCATCTGACCAGAATTAAAAACTTCACCTGCAAAATCAGGAACCTGTTGTGGTCCAAATCAATGCCGTGAGATCTTAGCATCTTGGCCACCTCCTTGAATTGCACCCGGCGTCCGTTCAACGTGTAGAACGAGGAGTTGTCTTTGGAAGCCGATCGGGACACCACGATCTCGCTATTGGGCACCACTGTGTAGTCTTCGCCGTCCTACGAACAGAACAACGAGACAATATACTCGGTATCTTTATTATTGTCGTTAAGTTTTTTTTTAAAGTTTAGTGTACTTGGCCATTCGTATTTGATTTATTTATTTATTTATTTGATCACCAACATAATAAACATTGACACAACAATCTAGCAGGTAATGATAAAATACTTAAGCTTAATGTAATTCAATTATAGGTGAAGACCACATGCGTTATGGAAAAGAAGCAACAAATGCTGGTAAACTGTTGATGAAAAAGCCTTTAAAAGTTTTGTAAGATTCAAAAAAAAACATATATTCAACAATGTCCCGGTTAAAATCAAATCATTATATCGAATAAATCGTTATATCGAATAAAGTCAACTTATATTAAAAAAAAAATGAATCGAAATTAATTAGTCACAATAAATTACAGATAAAATTAATTTATAGAAATAATAACACAATTAAAATCAAATTACAATAAAATTAATTAAAAGAAGATGTCACATTAGTTTATTTTTAAAGTTGCGAATGTCACCCTTGAATAAGTATAGTGATAGTTGTATATTTTACAGAGTGATACGTGATACGATAAGCCATGAGGAGTTCGATGGCGCAAGTGGTTAGCGCGTTCCGCTGCGATCGTTGAAGTTAAGCAACTTTCGCAGTGGTCGGTCATTGGATGGGTGACCAAAAATTTACTATCTCGAGCTCTTCCGTGCTTCGGAAGGCACGTTAAGCCGTTGGTCCCGGCTGCATCTGCAGTCGTTAGCACCCACCAATCCGCACTGGGCCCGCGTGGTGGGTCATAGCCCAATCTCCCTATTCCATCCATAGGGAAGGCCTGTGCCCCAGCAGTGGGGACATTAATAGGCTGATGATGATGATATTTTACAGAATCCTTGTAACGGACCGGCACTTGCCAAGTATAGAACAAATAAAATAATGTTAGCGGATTTGCGTAATAAATATCAATCTTAATAATAAATGTAAATGGAAAAAAATTTGGCATTACATAATTTTAACTTGCAAATTATGTAACGTCAATTTTTTTTTCCAGCAAAACTGCCAAATAATCAAATTTTTACGCACATTTGATACGTTAAAACCAGTAACGGTAAAGTAGGTTTCGCGACACACCATTGTAGTTCGCAAATTATTTATATACTTATGTTACCGGAATATAACACATTCCGTAAGTCTATCAATTATCAACTTTCCTAAGAATGTCAACTAGTGATAAAATGGATTATTTTACGGGAACTATTTCGTAAATTAATCAATTTACGACGTCTCGCGGTAAATTAATAAACTAACGTAAATTTTCAAGCCGTAAGATTCTAAGTACCGTGACCAATCACAGAACAGAGTTTAATTTTACGTCATTTAAATTTATTTGATTGGTCGCCGATAGCGACTTCGGTGCTTGCCGCCATAGACTTGGTACGATCAGACTAACCAAATACATTCAGTCGGACCACGATAACTTTGCAAAATGAATAATCTGGTCCCTCCGGTACTGAGCACAGTGCCTAAAATGAAGATGCCACTGCTGCAAAAATGCCTAACTCGTTAATAGACTAAGACCTGTGCCAGACGGATGTAATCCGGCGTACCAACCAAGGTGACCTTGCCCGTTGCCATCCATCTAGACGAAGGATGTAATCCAAATTTTGATTTGACCTTCAACGTCCTTGGATTACGGGCGCGTGATTACATCCAATCCAATCAAGGACAGTTGCGCTGTGGCAGTCAGCGGGTGCGCACGTATGCATGTAAAAAATGACGTCCGAAGACCAGTCGCGAACGCGATATTACTAGCAAACTACATAATTGATCTCTATAGAGATCTCCCATGCTTATGGGACATAACGTCGGAATCATATAAAGATGCTCGTCAAAAAAAATGCGTGGGAGATATTAGTCGAAAAGTATAGGGAGTTGGACATAAGTTTGAATGGCTGAGAATCATTCGCTGTTGTAACCAACGCTTCATCCACATACTCTTTTTTGTTGTTTTTCGTCGTTTATTGCACACAAAACTGTTAAGGCAAAGCCCACATTTTGAAATTTAGACAAATTTGGAGGCATTTCTACAACACGGTTACTAATATAGTCCGCGCATGATACAAGAGCATACGTGTTTTCACGCCAGAAGACGGCTTGCGACTGCGTGTTGGCGCGTGGATTACATCCGTGTAGCAGTAAATAATAACGCGGATGGAAACCAACTTCCCACCAAGGTCATCTTGGTTGGAACGCTGGATTACATCCGTCTAGAATAGCTTTAAGAAGCAGATTGCCTACCCATGAATGTTTACGCACATTGTAATGAGGGCTATCTCGTATGAATCCGCCGCTAGAGGCGCTAGTGTAGCGTGAGGTCTCCGAAATGTCAAATGTTATTGCTTGTTGGTTGACTACGCGGGTTTATTTCTAATTAAAATAATGTTGTGAATAATTGGTAACAATTCGGCTTAATTATGGCAAATATGAGTGATGTGGCAATGAATGTCAGTTATTAAAAATTTGAGCTTAGAAAAATGATTATGTTCCCATTTTTTCCGAATAAAACGGAACTGCGCGTCACTGTGGCATGGCCTATTATGTTTAGGATATGGTTCTTTTGTGTTAAAATACGATCCAAATGTAACCTTGGATTTCATGTGCGTATTAATAAACTTTAAAAGTTACAATTTAGGACCTCACTCAACAGTGGCGCCATCTGGTGAGGCAGAAAACGGTAGCCCTCATTGCCTAAAGTAATTTCGTCTACATATCGAAATGCCTAAAATGCACTATGTCTCTTTAATGACTAATGCGCAAGTTTGTTTGGAAACCCATGTTGTCTTGTATCGAATTTATGACAACGTAATTAGAATATAGCACTTGAAAAAAAACTGTATTTTTAAGGAGTGATTATGGGTTTATATAAGGAATAGAAGGTTTTAAAAGTCGTCACACATAGGTAAACACGCCATATTACCCAAAGAAACGTTTCAGCGGCATATTGGAAGGCAGTATTTTTGATTTCGTTTTTTACTGAAATACAGAATAGGTTGAAGACGATAATTAACAGTTTTTTAATGGAGTCCATAGACATTAATAAATATCGTAAAATCGTTTTAAAAAAGTTGTCAAATACCCTATTACTGGCATCACCAAGTTCAGGATTACTTGAATGATCGAAGCGTTTGGCAATGAGAGCAAATTGCACATTAATGTAATCAATTGCATATACCTATATGTATGTAACAAAATTATGCTGATAAGTTTCTTGTGCCTATTCTTCCATCAGCTAAGAAATATAATGAATGGACAGTAGGAAAATAAATTGGGCGATACAAAAGAACTTTTTAATATGTCAGTTTGATTATAATTTATTTGCATTTCAATTAAAAGTCATAAATCATAAGATTAAATTCTGAAATAGGTTCAACCACTAGCGGTAGTTTTATTATTGCACCCGTGCAAAGCCTGGTCGCGAGTTGGTACGTAATATAAATAATAATGGAAGTGATAAAAGCCTTTGGAACCAATTTAATAATATAAGTGGTAAATGGCATAATTCACCACGGTTATGATAACATGTTTATAAAATGAGAATATTGTGGCAAAGATTTGCAGTGGTGCAACAAATAGCCAACATGAAGGTGTCTATACTGTGTTTATGTAAGTAATAAATATGGTGAAAAGCAATATATACAATAATATGTATAAATGAGCTTTAAAAACAATCGTCCAAGTGTGAGTGGACTTGCAAACATACAATGGTTCTGGACGATTGTAAAAAATTAAAACTAGATACAGGAGAACAAGTCAGTAAATCCAGCCATCGATGTTTTTTTTTAATTTTGTGACATGCCGCGCGCATGTTCCTCACCCTGAATGCTTGTAACTACACAGCCGACAGGCTGTGACCCAGGGACCCAACAGAGATAAAAAATAACCATTTCGATGGGTCACCAACTAGGGAGGATGGGCATCAGGGTTGCACTGGATAATTATCGTGATAATTTTATTATCAACAAAATTACGTATTGATAATTATCGTTGATAATAACGAGTAATTGTTCAATACAAAATAAAAGTACATTGTTGTCGTGACGCGGAAAACCAGCAATTGCTGGACGAGTAGAATTTGAAATCCAAGCCGTAGGCGAGTACTTTAATAGTACAAGGCAATTGCTAGTTCCGCCGAGGCTTACATTATGCTTTTCTCTGCTAGGAAAAAATGCTAGGAAAGAAATAAAAATTCTGTAGAAAAATAAATCACAAATCCCCAGTTCTTTTAGTTTTCCCACCAATCGTCGTATTTTTTGTTAGTCTGTTTTTCATAGGGCAAAGGTTAAGGTTATGAGGATGACATCCCATTGAAAACATTAGTAATAGCAGTCAAAAATTACAATAATTAAGTTGTACACATATTAAAATTAATAGGTTTTCTTAGCAAAAGTAGTCTCAGACTCTCAGGTCATGTCTAAAAATAGAAAAAATCTTTCATTTATATATATGTAATTTGATTTGATAGTGTGATAATTATCCGATAATTAGGTATCAGAGAAAATAATTATCTTGATAATTTGCAACCCTTATTGGCATAATGTAAAGGGCCCGGATGCCAGATTTTAAAATAGGGGCCTCTACCTGCCGCTATTCAGTATACTTCTTTCCTATTAATATCATAGGGAGAATGGGCTATTACCATGACCCACCATGCGAGCCCAGTGAGAATTGATCAGTGCTTAGCTAAAGATGCAGCTCGGAGCCAGGGTCAATGGCTTAACAGGCCTTCTGAAGCACAGAAGAGATAATAAATTTTTCGTCACCCATCCTACTAGTGACCATTGCGAAACTAGAGGTCCTCTTTAATAATTTATTTACTGATTATATTTAGTTTATATATAGTTCCTTCTGTTGACCATCATGCTATGCCAATAATTGATTTCTCTACCCACATGCTGAGAAATAGGTGAAATTGGTTTTTTTTATAATAAAATGTGCAATTATATAATTTTATTTACATATTCTGAAAGCAGCAATTTGTGCGTGTCCCGCTATACACATTTAACATTCAACAAATCGTCTGCACAAAACGTTATTTCACTGCACATATCTGTTTGCATCTACAATGTTTTTGTTTTCCGAGTTCAATGGAAGTCACGTGCGCAAAGACCCCGCACAAAGCGCTGGTCTGGTATGGCAGGTCAATATTTCTTCACGCATTTTTTTTGACAACTCGCTACCAGGGTTTGCATACCTAGGCTCCCCAGTACAACTTTTCACTCCGACGTTTCAATTTTGACAAAGAATGAACGAAACTGTGTTTTTTGTGAACGAAAACGTATGTGTTTTTGTTGAATGTTTTCAAAAACTTTTGCTGGAGACCTGTCTTAAATATGCTACAATTAAATTTCCAGTCGCCATCTTGGGTGGAGCTATGGGTTACTACGATCCAAGACTGATATGTGGTTGCCCACCGGGCCAACCTGTATGCGGAAACGACGGAAAGACGTACAGGAGCGCATGCGATTTCCATTGCGGATGGATCAATGAACCCAACCGTTTCATACTACACAAAGGAAAATGTCAAGATATTCCCCCCTACAATCCCCCATATGTGCCACCATCCAACCTTGTTCATTATGACCCATATGTGCCAGAAGTGAAACCTCATAACCTGTATGTGTTATGATCGAAACAATAGTCACAGATGCAATTACAGCAATATGAAAGATTAAAAATAAATCTGTATAAAATTATAGCTTTTTTATTTATCCTATTTACCCTTCCTTGTTTTACAGGAAGGAAATTTAAAAAATCAACTTGGTCTATAGGCTATGTATTATGTATCAAAAAAATTCCAGATGATTAGAATAGCTCCAATTTTGTACATTACTTATATATCCATAAAACAGGATGCAGCAAAATGTAAAATACCTTTACTATAAAAAATATACCAGTCTGTAATATCGACTTGACACACAACTATTACAATATTATTTAATACCCTGTGAACCCCAGATCTATGTTATTTTATAAAAGCTGAAAGTTTGTCAGCGCATCCTCCCAACACAGGTAAGAATGATGGACCATTATGAAGTTTGGGTTACAGTGGCTTTGGCAGGTAAACATCACTAAAGGTGTGTAAAATACCAATCTAAATACATCAAATAATAAAGTGTGATTTTATTGGTATTTCCTTTAGAATATTATTAAAAATCACTTTATTTATTGTCAGACACTTAATATCTCAATCAACATATAAAATAACGTAGGTCTGGGGTTCACGGGCTCTTGCTCTATAATTGCAATACAATATGTCTACTTGCTAAAAGATATATTTAGTAATAGGATTTAAACTTAAAATCTGCAACTGGAAACTTTCAAATAATAATGTGTTAATAGCTAATTTTCTGTGTATTGATTAGTTGTGTGAATTGAAATTTTATGTTATCTATACTCATTTCTTTGATTTCCACCCAAAGTAATAAATAGATGGCAGATGAACCAAAGGAAACATCACTGCTCACAACCACATTCCACTAAAGCCATTGGGATAACATGTTATTTATCTAGAATCAATAGTTAAAATTTGCTCACCCATCACCATCACATACCACTCTATGGATAGGATTTCACTTTCTGCCGAAGAAATAAGCAACTAGCATATATGTATATATCATGTTATTATTTTAATCCCAAGCTTTCCTTATATATTTAAATAAGAAAAAAAACATCATACCCCATCAATAATCTGGCAGAAATGAACTGCAACTGTAGCACTGTTGATGTTTGGATATTTACTAGAAGAGTGAATTAGAACCGAGATCTTCTTTGAGCGAATCTTGGTTGCTCTATAACCAAACACAAACAACATGGAATCGATGACGTTACTTTTGCCACTTCCATTAGGCCCGATAATTGCTGTGAAACTCTGTAATATTAAAAGAGAAGTAATTAATCGGTATGCCATTTTCAAATTTGGTTAGAAAAAAATTTTTTGTTAGTAATAATAAAATTGATGTATGTGCATGTGCATCAATGTCATACATAAATCACAAAATTTCAGGTTGCTTAACTAGGGAATGATGTATTTTAACAGACTTCAATGAAATGGAATACAGTAAATTGGTAATTTGTGATCAAATAAATCCATCTTTTATATTACCTGGGTCAATATTGGCTTCGAATTAAAGAATTTTAGGTAAAAACGAAAAGATCATAACTAGGTATCAGTATACCAAAAACTTATCAGTTGAAAATAAATTTAAAGAAAATATTACTAGAAACCAAAAACACCCTGTCCAAGTTTCAGATAAGAGTCGAAAATACCCAGTCAGTTTCAGATGAGATTCGAAACTGCATATTCCGCGATTCGGGCAGAAAGTAGATTCAGTTGAAAGTAAACAAAAATAACAAGGTTATATTTTTGAGTGAAATTAAACTTTTGTACAAAATACTAAGGAAATAACAATCAAGACTACCTTATGAAAGGGGCCCAGGGTTTGGACACCAGCATAACTCTTGAAGTTCTCGTTTACAATGTGTGTTATAATGAGACGCGGGCCAGTAGCGTCGAAAGTAAGCGCCGGTTTTGGCGCGGGCGGTATGTATATGTCACCAATACGAACACCACCTTCTTCGTCATCTGATATGTGGTCTATTTCACCATTCACATTATCTGGATTTGAATCACCAGCGGTGTTTTGGTTGGGAAGACCGTCGTCTATATCCATGGGCTCTTCTTCACCCCTTTTCTTTTTCGTTTTTTGCATTTTGACACCGAATATACAAAAAAAATGAAATTGGATAAACTAGATTCAATGGCATAAATATTAAATAGTAATAAATATATATAAAATCAATTCAAATACAAAATTTGAAATTTTGAATGACAGCAATTTAAAATTTACTGACAGCCCAACAAACAAAAACCATTTTTTTTAAATTCTCCCTTTTTAGGCAAAGGGAACAATGCCCATACAGCCTAATCTTAGGTTTTATTAAACTTGTTTTTTTTTTACATTAAAATGTCGGTAAGACGCATTCTAATGTTTCTTAAGGTGTTTGGCACGAAATGTATCGAGTTAGATAAGCTGCTGTGAGGTAGTCAACACTACAATAAAGTTCTCACACCCGCTTGACCGGAATAGCGTATATTTTAAAGATTCCACTAATTCTTCATTTGCGCAGACGGTTACTGGTCCGATATGAACGTATTCGTACCAACGAAATCCATGTGACGTCTTCCAGTCGTGAAAACGCTGCTCATTACAATACCATAAGGAAGTGCAGTGTGTGTGGAACCTCCATTAATGCTAAGGAGACAGTTCTTATGTGTTAAATTTATTTTTAGAGTTCTATAGTTTTTGAACACCCTTTAGATAATAAGTTACGTCATTTAATACATTAAATTGATAATTCAGCTTACTGGACTAATAAGACCCTTCCTTTTTTGGTAATTAATTACATTAAAACTTCTTTGCTTGCATCTACTCACTATTCACCTGACTGTATTATATTTATTGTGACGCATCTAAGCATTCATTTACTGGTTAAGTTGGGACTGGTGTTTATCATCATCGGTATAATACACACAAAATCAAAATACCACCAAAAACTCAGTATATACAGGAGAATGCTGTTTTTTGAAGTTATACTTCTTTAGGCGCGTTATGAAAAAATGATGAGAGTGAAATTTTAAGATGCGCGCGCATCACTGTAACACAAAAAAATAACGCTGAAGCGACCAACTTCATGCTGTTACTTTTGTGTTTACCGCACATTAAGAAAATCTACCAACAAAATAGAAATAGAATCTCTATTTAGTGGGTGCTAACGACTGCATTGTGGAGGCCTATCAAAAGTATTTATTAATCTGGAACAACGGAACCAAAGCGCGATTCAGGAGGCTACAGCGCCATCTCTTGACCATTGGTGTAGTAGAACCAAAAACCACATCTTTATTTTTTGTAATAAAGTAACAGTTATAGGTATTCATATTTATAATATTTATCCACATGTTTCTAGTTTGTATATTCGGAATACGTGTTTGAGTTTCATACAAGTGCAAATCACATATGTTCTAATAAATTGTATTCTGTAGCGATTTTAATTGAATATTTTGATTATTCGTTTATTTTTTCAAATTAAAACTGAACTTTATTGACTGTGTCCTTTTCCAGACTTTTTATTAATTTATTGTAATTAATTATTTGCATGCAATTAAAAACTAATTTTGAACGATGCCAAAGAAGGATAACTTCTCACGCGCCTACATTAGTACACGCATCCATTTTTTTTTATAGATAGGTCCGACAAATGACTCCACACTACGACTACCTGATGTTAAGTGAAGGTGAAGTCCAGACGCAAAGATAGCTGATACAGCAGCCATTCTCACCCTGCCGGCCTGCATGTTGCTTCTTCACGCCTCTTTTAAAGGATCCCAGGTTGTAAGAGGGAGGGAACACGTGAGCGGGCAAAGCATTCCATTTACGGATAGTGCGACAAAGAAATGAGTCACCAAATTTCTTTGTACGCGTTGGAATTGTGGCCACAGTAAGACGGTAACAACATAGGCCAGCGCGCGTGGTCCTCTGAAAGAAAGGGGAAGGTGGGATAAGGGAGAATAACTCCTCAGAACACTCGCCGTGGTACAGACGATAGAACGCGCTTAGTGACGCCACCTTACGGCGTAATTGAAGAGGCTCAAGGTGTTTAGTCACCTCCTCATCGCCTATAATGCGGATTGCGCTCCGCTGTAACCTATCTGATTCCTCTCCCTACTCCCATTCCTTCACTATTGTACACAAGAGATCATAATATTTACAAGTTGCTAAATGATTATTCAGCTAAACATGATATAAAACTTAACTTAAACTATAAAACTTTTCATAATATTGTATTTATCTAATTTTTATTTATTTGTGACTTATCATATATTGTACCTGATCCTATCCCTCTAAAATTCCGTTTTAAATCCTTTTTTAATTTTATGGTTTTACCTTTCACTTCGTCGTGAATGATGCACAAACCGTGCGGGATAATAATAACAAACAGGGCTGTATGGACTCAGAATCCTTTGCAAGTCTCAACAGGGACAAATTAACCAAAATAAAATGTCAAATTGACAGCGTCAGTCAGTTTAGTAAAAATGGCCAATCGTACGGTAAAAGACGCGAAATCTATTCGCGGTACAAATCCTCAATATCTTATTGAGAAAATTATACGTTCACGAATATACGATTCTAAATATTGGAAAGAAGAATGTTTCGCTTTAACAGCGGAACTTCTAGTCGACAAAGCTATGGAATTGCGCTATGTCGGCGGGGTGCATGGTGGCTTCATTTACCCGACTCCCTTTTTGTGTTTGGTTTTGAAAATGTTACAGATACAACCTGAGAAAGATATCGTAGTGGAATTTATAAAGAACGAGGAATTCAAATATGTTCGCGCCTTGGGTGCCTTTTACATGCGGCTCACAGGATCTTCCGTAGACTGTTACAAGTATTTGGAGCCGCTTTATAATGATAACAGAAAACTGAGACGACAAAACCGAGAAGGTCAATATCAAATAGTGCATATGGACGAGTTTATTGATGAACTGCTAAGAGAAGAGCGCTTGTGCGATGTTATTCTGCCCAGGATTCAGAAGAGACATATTCTAGAAGAAAACAATGAATTAGAGCCGAAAATTTCGGCTCTCGATGATGATTTAGATGAAGATATGCCGTCTGAAGACGATAATCCTGAGTCTGATGCCAAAGAAAATAGAAGAGAAAAGGATAGAAGAGAAAAGGATAGAAGAGACAGAGATAGAAGAAGAGACAGGTATGTTTTGAGTAACATTAAAGTCTATAATTAATTCCCTGCTGTCCAAATGTATATGACTAGTGTATTTTTGCTTTCATTTTTATAAAGTATTTCATAAATTATTTGTTTTTAGATCAAGAGATCGCGATAGACGTGATAAAGATAGGAAACGTGAGCGCTCACGTAGCAGAGACAGAGAGCGCAGAAGGGAAAGAGACAGAGAACGTGAGAAAGAAAGAGACAGAGATCGTGACCGAACTAGAGATGTGAGGGAGAGAGAACGGGACAGGGATAAAGATCGAAGAGACAGGGATCGTCATGAAATAGAGAGGCGGAGGGATAGAGGGGGTAGATATTAAGGTTTTAGTGATAGAATAATAAAAGTATTTTCAAATCAGTGTGTTTATTATCTTGGTGGTACCAAATTTGAAGTGTAAAGCAACTTGCAGGTTAGCAAGCTGAAAACGGCTGGTGTAGCAGATAAAATTGCTGTAGCTACTTACGTCACATCTGGACTCCACTACTAGTTAACATCAGGTGGGGTTGTCATTTGTCAAACCATAACATATAAAAAGAAAACCAAACATTCCTGCTACACAACCTATGTAAATTAAGAAATTATAAAAAATATCTTCTCAAATTTATTAAGGAAAGGAAAATCCTATTATTACTATTGACATGAACCAACCAATATTAGTAAAACTACTTTTAGTAGAAGATCCGAACCTACGTTGACCTTCACCAAGCTGATAATAGAATGAAACATCTTTTATCATGAATTTAGTATATTAGGAAATATATTAAAATTTGGTTGCCTAAAAAAATCTTGGATAGACTATTTTTAATTAATTTTTAAAAATATATATTTAATCAAATGTTGCAACATCAAAATAATAAGAAAATGTCCTGACTTACAGTTGAGTGACACTGAAAGATAAGAACAATATATTTTTATGTTATTATGAAGTCAATCTTAGAATCTCCAGGGAAGTTCTGATTGTGTAATCAGTAGAGAGGTTTTGCAACCTATTTTAGTCTAATGGTTGACTGCAACTAATAAGGTTACTACAAACTTTTGGTTCAGTAAGTTAAGTAGTAATAATCAAAGAGAGACTTTGCCTTCCGTGCAATAAAAAAAGTAATAGTATTCGCTTAGCAGAGTCATATTTTGATTAATCAAGAACAAAATTATAGTTGTTCATATAACACCTCCACCTCCAATATCACAATTGGTTTAAAAGCAAGTTCAAGTTCAGATCTCTTTCAAACAGGTGTTTAATTATGTTATATTATACCTATTAGTTAAAACAACAATTTTAAAATAAATACTATAAGGACAATAATAGTGTTCATTAAAACATGTTCAGTAGGTATAAAAATTAATTGAAATAAGGTTTTTTAAACATTAAATTTATTAAATTGTTTTATTTACATACTGCAACGATAACAAAAACCATATTGTTATGCCTTCCAAGAGTTCCACGGACATGAGTAGAACACGACAAGGAATTGCAATATACCTGATTAATACTTAATTGCAATTGACTAATTTTTAATGGCAATAGGTATTTTTAAACATTTTATTATAAATGTGAACCCCATTAAGATTTCTATTAAATTCTAAAGTGATATTTATTTCTGTTGTTTCACTGGCCTCTGCCGCAGCTAGGGTTACCATATTTCAGGATTTGCCCTGAGATTTCAGTATTTTTGGACTCTTCGCAGGATTGCGGCTGGATTTTGCAAATCTCAGGATATTTGAATTTTTAATAAAATACAGCTTATGTAGTATATACATACATAATCAGTTTTATCTTACTTAATATGTGAAGATAAATTTTTAAGTAAGGTTTTTCCTCAATTATGGATTTCTAAAATGGCCCACATGTTGCTCTTCAAATTATATTGAATTAAAGGTATAAGCAGTGTATATAAACGATAATATTATGACTTCTAAAAATTGTTAAGTATGTTTCAGAGAAAATTCTCAAACTATAAAAAATCTCAGGATTTTTCAATGGAAATCAACCTTTTCTCCGGACTTTTGATTTTTTTATCTGGTTACCCTAGCCGCAGCATAAATCATTGTCAAAAACTACACCCGGGATAAAAAAAAACAGTATTATTACTTTGTCCTCAGTACATGACCATACCATATCTCCAAACATATATAGTGATCTGTGATCTCCAATGTTGTCGTCCAAGCAGGCAAGGGCGGCAGTTGCAGGCGGCGGGCGGCGAGGGGTGGCAGAAGCAATAGAAAGGCATTCGTTATAGAACTACTAGCGGCCGAAGAAGACTTCGTCCGCGTCAACTAAATTTTTTAAGAATCCCAAAGGAGCCTAATATTTTACTGGAATAAATGTATCCTAATATTTGTAGGTTAAGTTAGGTTAACAGCTACCTTTCATTAAAATTCGTTCAATGATTTTCGCTTGATTGAAGTAACAAACATACAAACTTTCTCATTATATTTTTAGTTGGTTTGATTTTAATTCCAGGGTAGGGAAGCGAAAATCCTAAATGAAAAATTATGCATAGAGTTTTCGTTAGGAATTATTTACAGAAACGAACTAAAACCATCGAAAACAAAGCTGGGGGCCAATCGCCTAACGGAAATGCTTTGGAAAACGCTAACGCTTACGATTTTATTTTCTTATTTCTAGCCGCCTGAGGTATTCAAATGCCTCGCGCTCTTTCTTTTTCTTTTGCATTGGTAATAACAATATTAAAAAAAATGAGCGTGAGGTATTCGAAAACCTCAGGCGGCTAGAGTAGAAATAACAATATAACAATATAAAATCGTAAGCGTTAGCGTTTCCCAAAGCATTTCCCGTTAGGCGATTGGCCCCCTGGTGTGTGGTATTGTTTTTGTGACTCGCAACTAATTCTCGTGTGGCACAGTTTTCCGTACTTGTCTTTTAAAGCGAAACTTTTAATACATCGATCATCATCATCTCACGATCGATTGCCACAAAATCTCTCGACTGTCTGTAGCATGTCGTCATTAAATTTTTAATTGTTTAAATAAAAGTCCTTACCAATAAGCATCGGTGGCGCAGTGGTAGCAAGCCCGCCTACCACGTGCGCGGACCGGATTCGATTTCCAGCTGAGGAAAGACTTTATTTATTTATTTTCTACTTTTTAAATGCAGAGTAACATGAAAAACGTATAAAAAATTGAGGCGATGTTAAACACATTAAAAGTTTCACTTGCATCTGGTTTCATAAAACAATAACGTTTTTTAAGCGATTGTGTACTTAGATGAAAATATTTGTTTAAATCTAAGACTGAATTAAAAAAATGGTTAATTTAAAAAATCAAAAAACCCGTCTGCGTGAATATTACTTCAAATAAAAACTGAAAAGAAAAAATCAAGTCCAGTAGTCTATAATTCTGTTAAGTTAGGGACAAAGCTACTTTAACAGTCGGGACCCATTAGGTATTCAGGGATGGATCAATTTTTTTCAATAATGGGTCCCGACTGTTAAAGTAGCTGTTCCTTACTTAACAGAATTATAGACTACTGGACTTGTTTTTTGATTTTTTAAATTTACCTTTTTTTATTTACACTTTCACTTCAATAAGGGTTAATACCGCGGGGATTATTAAGTACCTTGTCTAAACGATACCTTATCATCAGGGTCAAGGCCTTATGGGCCTCAATTTTCGCAAAAATGTGTGAAGTTAAATCAATTCCTTACCTGTATATCTAATCCCACCAAAATCATTCTGTAAAAAACTAGCCAAGTCTCGATGGAGCTGCTTGTTTATCTCTAAAAAGTAATGAAATCTAGACAAAGTCGTGCCAAGTCTAAGGGTGCGGCCAGAGTGCACTCAGATTCAGATTCCGAAAACAAGCGCGAGAAATAAACAGTGTAGTCGAAGGGTACGGCCAGAGTGTCCGAATAATAAATAATTTGTATTTGAAATATTATCCTTAGATTAAATCAATCTAAATTATAATCTTTTTATAAATCTAATAACTTTATCTTTTATTAACTAAGCGCTAAAATTATTTGTTTCGTACTTACCGAATGGTGACAACAAGTCTTTGTTCTGGAAGGATTGGTTGTTTATGCCAATTGCCCCAATTTTTCATCAAACGGTTTTTCACTAAATCCAAAATGTAATAAAATGTTTCTTGAATCATTCTTGTATATGTATAAAATCTTTGTTCATCAAATTTAATTTTTTTTACAAATAAATGATGGTATTCTCCGAAACGTTTCCTTTCTCTATTTATAGGATGTATAGCTGTTTTTCGCATTTTTAAATAAACATTTTCTAACAATACCATATCATCGTCCGATGAGTCCGACATTTTGCTTGATCTGCTTTAATCGGCTTCCTTTATGTAGGAAGGATCGGCGCCGATAAGCGCCGATCGGCTTTCGGCTTTCTTTCTGTATACGGCCTTAGGGTGCGGCCAGAGTGCACTCAGATTCAGATTCAGATTCCGAAAACAAGCCCGAGAAATAAACAGTGTAGTCGAAGGGTACGGCCAGAGTGCACTCCTGATTCAGATTCAGATTCAGACTCAGAAAACAAAGCGCGAGAAAAAGCAGGCAACCTGCTTAAACTACACTGTTTATTTCTCGCGCTTGTTTTCAGAATCTGAATCTGAATCTGAGTGCACTCTGGCCGCACCCTAAGGCCGTATACAGAAAGAAAACCGAAAGCCGATCGGCGCTTATCGGCGCCGATCCTTCCTACATAAAGGAAGCCGATTAAAGCAGATCAAGCAAAATGTCGGACTCATCGGACGATGATATGGTTTTGTTAGAAAATGTTTATTTAAAAATGCGAAAAACAGCTATACATCCTATAAATAGAGAAAGGAAACGTTTCGGAGAATACCATCATTTATTTGTAAAAAAAATTAAATTTGATGAACAAAGATTTTATACATATACAAGAATGATTCAAGAAACATTTTATTACATTTTGGATTTAGTGAAAAACCGTTTGATGAAAAATTGGGGCAATTGGCATAAACAACCAATCCTTCCAGAACAAAGACTTGTTGTCACCATTCGGTAAGTACGAAACAAATAATTTTAGCGCTTAGTTAATAAAAGATAAAGTTATTAGATTTATAAAAAGATTATAATTTAGATTGATTTAATCTAAGGATAATATTTCAAATACAAATTATTTATTATTCGGACCAGCGCGTGTCGGCGCTTATCGGCGCCGGTCCATAGAAAAAGGATCAGCGCCAATAGGCGCCGATAAGCGCCGATCGGCGCTGATCGGCGCCGATCGGCTTTCTTTCTGTATACGGCCTAAGGTTCCGTACTGCGATTTCTTTATTATTATAGTTAATGTTGTGAGTCTTGGCCGTTTGAGGGTACAAAACCAGGTGCTACATGACACCATTGCACCAATCTATCGCCTGAACCGCTACCCATTGACGATGGAAAATTGGCACTTTGAAAACGTTGACTGAATAACCAGTCAATTGTAGGCTTGATAAAGCTGCGTTTACACGTAATGATGCACGTATGAATGCATCGGTAGATAATATTATCTTGACTATACCCTGTCTGCGCGTCGCGCTTCGCGCTCTTGCATTGCGCAGTCGGGTAAAAAAGAGCACCACCACCCTAATTTCCGTGAACAGTGATCACTGACTATAAGAGTAGGTAACCAATCACACTAATATTATAAAATCGAAAGTTTGTGAGTGTGTGAGTGAGTATGTTTGTTACTTCTTCACGTCTAAACGGCTGGAGCGATTTTAATAACATTTGGTATGGAGTTAGCTGACGTCCTGGATTAACATATAGGCTACGTTTTACTGCGGGAAAATATCCCTAATAAACCGCGGGTAACACCGCGGGGCACGGCTAGTAATATATATATCTTTATATATATAATTCTTCTGTGAGTGTGTATGTCACTGAACTTCTCTTAAACGACTGGACCGATTTTGATGAAATTTTTTGTGTGTGTTCAAGGGGATCTGAGAATGGTTTAGATTCACAATTTTGTCCGTTGGACAACCCCTATTTTTTTAGGGCGGTACGAAGTTCGCTGGGTCAGCTAGTATATATATATTGACAAAATGAGAGCCTTCTGCTTGTTCTTCTTACATTTATTCAATAAACATAAATTTACTCCAAATTCTAAGGTTTCATAACACTGTACATCCAATCGACGTATTTATAAACGTTAGTGTACACCGAGGGAATATCATCGTTGTAACACGTCGATCCGAAACTCATGATTCCTACGGCGACGTAGCTATTCAGCCCTCTATACATAAGAGTTCCGCCTGTATCACCTAAACAGGTATTCTTGTCCTTTTCACCGCCTGCGCAGATTTGTTCGTCGGTTAGTGTTATTTTCGCCTTGCTGTAGACTTTTTGGCAGTCCTGGATGACAAAAAAGGCTTGATCATTATGATTATGGGAAATCTATATATATACAACTCAAAGGTGACTGACTGACATAGTGATCTATCAACGCACAGCCCAAACCACTGGACGGATCGGGCTGAAATTTGGCATGCAGGTACTAGATGTTATGACGTAGGCATCCGCTAAGAAAGGATTTTGACCAATTCTATCCTCAAGGGGATAAAATAGGGAATGAAAGTTTGTATGAAACTTTGTCAATTTTAAACCGATCGGGCTGAGACTTTGCATGCAGGTATAAGAAGAATCATAGATGAATGTCATTGTGTATAATACAAGCCTGAGCACAAAAACTGTAGTCTACACTTCAGCTCTACACCGAAGCGAAGCGAGGGCGGGCCGCTAGTGGGAATATAATATGGGGAAAAACAATGTTTGGACGATTCAAAAGAGTTTTACTATTTTATATATCCAATTTGAATTAAGATATATTGATTTCTGATTAATTCGTACTAATATTATGATTGCGAAAATGTTTGTCTGTCTGTTACCTCTTCAACTTAAACCGCTGAACCGTTTTAGATGCATTTTGGTATATAGATAGTTGGAGTTCTGCGAAAGGACATAATATAGTTTTTATCCCAAAAATCAATCTTCAAAGGAGTGAAAAGGGGATAGAAATATGTATGGGAAACCATTTTTTCCACGCAGATGAAGTCGCGTATACCTACTTTTTAATATATGAAGTTAAAGGTGAACCGCCCTTGCATTACATTCATCATAATCATCATCAGCCTATTAATGCCCCCCAACTGCTGGGGCACAGGCCTTCTCCCTATGGATGGAATAGGGAGATTGGATCATGACCCAACACGCGGGCCCAATGCAGATTAGTGAGTGCTAACGACTGCCGATGCAGACGGGACCAACGGCTGTTTAGCCGTATCTTCCGAAGCAAGAGTAAATTTTTGGTCACCCATCCAATGACCGACCGCTGTGAAAGTTGCTTAACTTGATGATCGCAGCCGAACGCGCTAACCACTTGCACCATCGAGCGCCTCACATTATACAATACCAAATCAAAATAATAAATAAAAATTAATTGTATTTTATTGTTTGCTTATACATACTATGTATTTACTTAGTGCGAATGGTACATTGCCATTTTCATTTACCTACCTTGAGATTGACGAACGGAAGTAACAGATCTCTTTTGAACATGCTCTGATGTGTTGAGGATCCGATACCCCATCCGCCGACGAATAAATTGAACACCGGTGGTGGTACAACGGAATAGTCTTTACTTGGCAAACAAATCGGACGGATGAACTCTGAAAAGTAATTCGACACTGGTGTCAATTCTGGCAGGATTCTCTAAACTTAAAACTAAATTTTACATTAGTCTGTCCTTTTCATTCTGTATAGAGAATGACAAAGGTACACTGGTGTCAATTCTGACATGATTCTCTAAACCTAAAATTAAATTTGACAACAGTGTATCCTTGTCATTCTCTATACAGAATGAAAAGGAGAGATTGGTGTTAAATTTAGTTTTAAGTTTAGAGAACCACGCCAGAATTGATACCACTGTTGTCAAATTTAAGTTTAGCTTTAGAGAATTATACCAGTATCGATGCCACTGGCGATCATACAAATATCGTCTGAAAATTAGGGGTGTATTCCGTAATATATGCGACTATACTGGCCAGTGCTCATGACGTCGTGAATCGACGCTATACTGGTGAACTGTTCCGAAATATAAAGGCCAGTGCACTAACGTCATAAATCAACGAAATATTAAAAATAGTGCGAATAAAGAAGATTTATGATTTGATAAAAGGAATTCTCTTTGTTCAGATGCCATTATTGTTCTTTAAATAAAAAAGAAATAAAATTCGAATGCATCTCACGTACGCTCGGTCATACGTCATATTCGATTTCCCGGTAAAAATATGGTAGCATACCAGTACAATATGGCTTTGGATTCGTGACGTCATTACCACTGGCCAGTATACTGATGTATATTTCGGAACACACACTATATAAAGCATGATTCTGGTCTGGAGTATGTTTGTGTGCAGTGGACATGGGCGTTTTTGGTTTTGCACGCAAACGGATATTTATCGGATTTCAGATTTCAAAATCGATTTTAAAATCCGTTTTTAGATATCCGATTTCAGATGTGCCGAACTTAGCCTGTGTTATGATTTGGTTTTATTAGCTAACGACAATCACAAACAATTAATTGTAGGAAACAAGGATACTCGTAGATTTGCGCGATTTTCCTTCATGCTTTAAATCTAGGCTTAGGAGTAGCAGAAAAGTTATGTTTACGGTTAAAAATCGGCTTATATACAATGATTTCTTTATACATATTTTTTTAGTATTTTTTTTTTATTTTTCTGTTTGTTTTTATTATTTTTCAAACCATTTACAAAATCAAACCTAATTAGGTCTTCAGGTTAGCGTTCAAAAATGTAAGTTAATCGACTTTTGATGTTTTTAGATGACATCTCTTTTCAGTGATAAATAATCCCGCCTTAGAGAACAGCAATAGATTTCCGTAAACAGCAAACCGAAATCGGACTTCCGAAAACGAAAGCACGAATTTCGAATCCGATTTACATATGGATACTTGTGGTGGTATTAGATCGCTAGCGTTTTGGTTCGGTTAGATTTCTGAAATCGGATTTTCTTGTTGATAAATCGTTCGGTATCGATTTGTGTTTGAAATCGGATTTTGGATTCGTTTTGATATATCAGACGCATGCCTACAGTATACTGATGTATATTTCGGAACACACACTATATAAAGCATGATTCTGGTCTGGAGTATGTTTGTGTGCAGTGGACATGGGCGTTTTTGGTTTTGCACGCAAACGGATATTTATCGGATTTCAGATTTCAAAATCGATTTTAAAATCCGTTTTTAGATATCCGATTTCAGATGTGCCGAACTTAGCCTGTGTTATGATTTGGTTTTATTAGCTAACGACAATCACAAACAATTAATTGTAGGAAACAAGGATACTCGTAGATTTGCGCGATTTTCCTTCATGCTTTAAATCTAGGCTTAGGAGTAGCAGAAAAGTTATGTTTACGGTTAAAAATCGGCTTATATACAATGATTTCTTTATACATATTTTTTTAGTATTTTTTTTTTATTTTTCTGTTTGTTTTTATTATTTTTCAAACCATTTACAAAATCAAACCTAATTAGGTCTTCAGGTTAGCGTTCAAAAATGTAAGTTAATCGACTTTTGATGTTTTTAGATGACATCTCTTTTCAGTGATAAATAATCCCGCCTTAGAGAACAGCAATAGATTTCCGTAAACAGCAAACCGAAATCGGACTTCCGAAAACGAAAGCACGAATTTCGAATCCGATTTACATATGGATACTTGTGGTGGTATTAGATCGCTAGCGTTTTGGTTCGGTTAGATTTCTGAAATCGGATTTTCTTGTTGATAAATCGTTCGGTATCGATTTGTGTTTGAAATCGGATTTTGGATTCGTTTTGATATATCAGACGCATGCCTAGTGTGCAGGGAGTGAGTAATGTTGCTAGAGCTCCGTGGAGTAGAGGAATAAGATTCAGTCACAAATAATGTTGACATTGGTTGAAACATCTATTATTAATGTGTTTCATTTTATGTATTCTTCAATATATTGCCAATTTTTGGGCCGATACAGCAACTGGTGATACAATCATGTATTTATTTTTTATTTTTTTATTAAAATTATCTCTTTTCGTTATCTTTTCATTATTTATTGCGTAATGCGGAGATTTAATAACCTCCTCGAGTGGTTTGTACACCGGGTTTCATGGTGTCGCCGACTCGAGAGGGTTAGAATCCCGGTAGGAGCAGATATTTGTGTGATGAATACGAGCACTTGTACTCCATTCATGGATGTGGAAATATATATGTATTCTATCCTATGGGATACTAGGGCAATCCTAGTATCCCATAGCACAAGCCTTATAGTACTTACTTTGGGACTTGGCTAATTGGTGTGTTAAAAAAAAATAATTACCACATATTAACATTATTATGTTATCGTAGACTAATATACCTGTATACGGTGCAAAATTCTTAAGCCTTATGAGTCCTATATCGTGCTTCGTGGTGACTTGGTCATAAGATGGGTGGGCGATGGTGCTCTCCACTGGTATGATGACCGTGGCATTTGGAGGAGCACAGTACGTCTCATGGGGACTGTATGGAGATTGCGAACAGTCTAACTCTTTGGTAGTGTCATATTCTCCAAGGCGTACTGTTGAGCTGTGGAATTACAATTGTTTGATTATTTATCATATACCATTTTTTAAGTTTGAGTTCATTAACTCATGTTTAATTATGGTAGAGTTTGTGCGGAAAGAGCATAGGCGTGGATAAAACCGGAACTAACATTAAGATTTTTATATGCCATCTGTCAAACGTCGTTGTTGTTGTGATTTCTTGCGGTTTTTTTGTATTTAATAATGTCTAAAAGGAGTAAAACTTTACAAATACGGAGAAAAGCATTACTGCACCCTCAAATCTAATTCCCATTCTCTTTCCGCACAGACTCTATCTATGGTTATGATTTTATTTATTTTTAAGCATTTAACTGCTAGATGTTTAAATCTAAAGAAAAGTTTACTAGAAAAAAAATCCACGCGGACCAGGCAGCGGACGGGACTCGAACCCGCATCCTTCGCAATCCGGGCGAATGCACTGACCATTATGCTACCACGGCCCTATTAGCCGCGTCGAAATTTTCCTAGCTTTAAGCTGCAAGGCAGCGCCATCTCTTCGCAATGTAGGTAACCCACAATGTCAAATGAATACTTTTTCAAGTATTAAACATTTGAAAGAAGAAATAGCAATTATAGTTATGATTTTATTTATTTTTAAGCATTTAACTGCTAGATGTTTAAATCTAAAGAAAAGTTTACTAGAAAAAAATCCACGCGGACCAGGATTTTTTTTCTAGTAAACTCCAATCTAAATCCCATTCTCTTTCTGCACAGATTCCACAGCAGTTTTCCTGCCACGCCGCGCCACACCATATAATAATAATATATTCGATTTCTTTGTGTACTATGAAAGTTACTGATACTAAGGGGTTAGGGTAAAAATATAATATGATATACTTTGATATCGCAAACGTCGATATGCTATGATGGTGACCGTTTACCATGAGACCGGGCATTATAAGCTTATAGGTAATAAGCCATCAGCACCATTTTTTCGCATACAAAAAATAAATATTTCTTCGCATACAAAAAATAAATTCCAAAAATCTTACGGGCTTCCATATTCAAGAATCCTGCCGGTAATACAGTGGGCGGCAGTCAGAACGTATTTTCCGCTGATGAGAGAGCCACCACATAATATTTTGGTTTTACTTTCCACCTGGTACTCGATTAATGACATCCATGGGTACTGGTCTACTTTAGTGCCTGACAGTCCACTACCTGAAAAGTAAACGTGTTTTAAATGTTAAAAAAACCGTAAACCGTATTTATTATGCACAAAGTTAATAATGTAAGTAAAAGTTTTTCTTGTACTTCTTCGTAAGCTTGTCAAACAAATACGGTACTTTATTTCAGATACTTTATAACAAGTCACATAACCATAATCAAATTTAATAATTAAAATACAAAATTTGCCATCTGGACTGGGAGCAATGGAAAAATATACAAAGAACAAATCATATCTAACCTGATTAGATAGTAAAGCCTATAAAAAGTAATTGTCTATGAATGCAATATAAGTAAATTTTGTTAAATTAATTACCAGCGTACGAGAACTTAATTTCCGCCACACTATCCACGCCGCAACAATAACTATTCTGGGGGAATGGATAAGCGTTGATGCTTGTTTCACAGTTTATTATGGGTATGTTGAGATTTGGTGCAGGTCCACAACAAACACTGTCAGTACCTGAACAACTGAAAAAGATATTTAATCATATAAGTGGTGATCTCCCTATTCCATCCATAGGGAAGGCCTGTGCCCCAGCAGTGGGGACATTAATAGGCTGATGATGATGATGATGAAGTGATGGTCAAGTCAAGTAATGATGAAATCAGCGATATAGGTATTGGCCTCACCCAGCGCCTTTTGTTCACTGCTCTTATTCCACGAAAAATTTCATTTCCGCTTGGAAGTTTCTCTAATTTGGCTTTTTGGCGTCTAGAGCAAATGCAGAAGTGCTCGTGAGGCCACTTTTAATTGTGCTTTGAAGTGAAAGCACATTATTTGAGGGAAAAGTTTGCGTCTCCGATATTACTTTCCATGGGATTTTCTAAATTTATCTGATTTTACTCCTGTTAATGTTATGATTTGAAGTTGAGCTGAGACTTTATAAAAGTGCAGGACATTGAATCCGTTAAAAAAATATTAAAGAACTTAATAAATGGTGTACAATGTAACAATAAATCGCGGCACGAAACTCTAGCGCTGACCGTTAGGCGCTTTGCAGACGGCGGGGCGGAGCGGGCCGGTCAATTTCGCCGCGAAGTCACAGTCCGCGCCACGTGCTTTTTAGTGATGGACTATTCACTAGAACGAACGTCCTGAAGTGACTGCCTCTGCCCATCGTGTGCTTTGTGTACGCGGCGAGGGCAGCCGCAGATATCGACGGGCAGACGCGGTTTTTATTGCTTCGCGGACAAAATGCCCGCCCCGCCCCGTCGTCTGCAAAGCGCCTTATTGCGCAGAAGTAACAATTAAGATGTGTTGGGGGGAAACGAGGTGCGCGGGTGGGCGCGCGTTGCGCCGATTAGTTCTCCAGTCGTACCCATGCGCAGCTATCCCTGACGCTTATATGGAATCTATACCTTCACACAACGCTCTATAGTGTTGAGTTCGGGTATACCATAAAAATATGTACCGCCTTGTTGAGGATTTTAAAATATACCCGACTGCAACATTCGTTTTGAGCATACTTTAAAAATGTGAACCGTCGTGTTAAGGATTTCAAAATATACCCAACCGCAACATTCGTTTGGGTCGGTATCAGATAAAGGGACGTTTATTTTATAGGTTAGAGATTGAGGTAAATTATACGAGAACAAAAGTGGATAAAAAACGTTTATTAGTTACTTTAAAAATAAAGTAATTATAAAATTAAAAATACTAATTTAGCGCGCATTACGGACATTCATTTTAACATTCTGGCCTAAGTTGTGCTTTCGTTTAGTTCTGCGTTCTGTATTAGACGGCCGCCCAGCTTGAATCCTAGACTTGGTCTTTCCTATTCCTCTATCTTTACGTCTACTCAGCGCTGTGCTTTGAACTTTAATTTTCCTTGGTACACGCCTTGTTATTATCTGATTTAAAATAAAGTTTTGTCCTTGCTCTGATGTATTATTTTTTTTGATTATATTTGTGAATTTTCCCAGTGCTCTTAGATTGTGGACAGTGGGGTTTGTTTCAAATAACTTTGTGAAGCGTTGTACTTCAGTCTTAAACTCTGCGAGTGCATTTTTATATTGGTGAGGGAATTCTACAGCAACCTGTTGCTTGTAAGATGAAGAATTGGCAACATCCTGTATCGGCTCTTGTGTATCGGAGGAAGAGGACTGTGGTACTACCTGTATCTGCTCTTGTGTATTAGAGGAAGAGCACTGCGATCCTATCGAATCCAAATCATTGTTCGGTGTTTGATCCAAATCTATCATATTCATGTAGAAATTTTCATTAATCTCATCCCCCGTCGCAATTCTTGCGAGTGACATTCTATCTTGAATAGACAGCCGAGGAGAATTGGGAAATATAACTCCAAAGTTTTGCTCAATGCTACACAGGTGCTTGCAGAATTTTCCACATTTTCCAGCGTCACAGTCGCAAACGGCTAAATCGGCTCTCACAGTGTAAAAAGTATTTGGGCTTGTCTCTGATTCCACACTGTACTCATTATCGTTGACTTTAGATATATTTTTAATATTTCGAGCAGTCTTCATGAACATTGCATATATGGAATCCTTGGTTTTTCGTGTGTTGGCGTAAGAAACAATGCGACGCATAAAATAATTTTCAAAAATGGACGTTATGAAATCTACTAATGCGCAAGCATTAAATGCTTTACATCGCTGGAGTATGACGTCTTTAAGAATGCGTATAGATGCTTCTGTTATGTTGTTGGTGTTGTTTCCTCGCGTAAGTAAATCCAACCGATCAGAGACACACCATTCAGGCCGGCGTTTCCATAAGTTACTCAGATGATTTAATAGAGCTGGCATCGTCTTAACATCCTCGTCACCTGTCAATTCCTCATACAATTTTACTGCTTCTTCTGGATCAGTTATAAAAAGAATATTTCGAAATCGTGTCATGATGGACTGCCTTTTCATTATGTCAACCTTGTGATCTGCAACGCAAAGCCAACGCCAAAAGGCTTGGCAAGCATGGAATACGCATAATAGTAATCGAGCATTTGGAAAAATAGTTCTCAAAGCATTTCGTTCGGCAGTAGAATCGTCCGTCATAACAATATCCGGCTCTAATTTTTTACCCGACTCGTTCTTTTCTACAGCTTCTTTTATAGCGGCAAAAACCATCGTGTAATTGGACTCATTTTGCTCAGTATGTATAGCACATGCCAATGGAAGCCCACCGATTTTGTGATGTGTAAAAACTAGAGTAATCGCAGAACTTGTCTGGTCACACGATGATGTTGTGTCTACAAAAATCATATTCTCATATGCAGTAGACAGAAAAACTCGTTTCATAATAGGAGTAATTATCACGATAATCCTGGGATTTTGTTTTAACAGTATCGAGTAGCCTTTTTTATTTAAACTCTCAATTTTTGCTTGTATGATTTCGGGGAGATTGCATTCATTACGGTCGCCATACTTTTCACTACGCCATTTATTGTACATGTAGTACACATGATTTTCGGAGGGATTTATTTGAGAGTTTGATAACATCTCTATTCTATTTAGATCAGTATCTTGAAACGAGTCCAGTACGTTCAGTTCGTTGTAATTTATTGCTGCGCAAGCTGTCATTCCGCTATCAAAATATTTCATAAAAGTTTCTTCGGTTTCCTGGCTGCATTTTAGTAAATTCAAAGCTTCGGCAACGTAAACGCGATGAGAGTGTTCAAAAACTATGGTCACTAACACATTATACCCTTGCGACAACAGTTTGTCGTTTCGAATAGTGTCCTTGTTAACTTTTTTGATAACAAAGTCTATTTTAGCCTTACAGTTTTGTCCACGAGACGACTTCTCAGATTTTTTATTGAACGATGAATGTTGACATGTATAGGTTTTTCGAAATAAGAAGCGCTTCAACGAAGGATATGACTTTCGAACTATCCAGTTAGTGTTCGTAAAATTTGATATTTTTTGAACGAACTCGTCGATAAACTTAACATATCGTTCTTGTTGTTCATTTTGTTCAGTCTTCAGTCTAAATCGCATGGAGTACTTTTCCTCCGATTCAAAATCCAGATTCTCGATAAGTCCACATTGTTCGGTTATAAAACCCTCTAAACTGGCTTTATCTATCATTATTCGTAGGTACTTTTTACGCTAAAAGGATCACAAACTATATAGTTATCACTTTATAATAATCTTCGCAACGTACTATGCACTTATGACATTTTTTTTAAATTAAATACAAATGAAAAACAATCTTCAATCACATTTTAAACAGTACTGACTCGCACGTGGTCACAAAATGATGCAACAAACAAAATATTGCGTCAGCCAGCGGGTGCAAAGGATAGAACGATTTAAATAGTAACGTGCCAAAAGAGTACCGAACGATGGCTTCGTTGCGGTCGGGTATGTTTTAAAATACTTACGCGGGCGTATACTAAATCTGAATGTATACCCGATATCAACTCGCGCCAGTGACGTCACAAATGTTAGATAAAGGTACGCTTTATTGAAATGATTTTTGTTTACTGGTTTTGAAATATACCCGACGGCAACGCGGTCTCTGACGTCATGAGAGTTGTGTGAAGGTATAGATTCCATATAAGCATCCCTGACGCGTATTTTTTCAACGCTAGTTACGTATCGCGACCAGTACCTTTTTGCTTCATATTTTTGAGGTAAGTGAGGGCACGTTGTTCTATTGACGCACGTGCCATGTTCTCCATTTACTGTTACACATGAACTGGGACAACATACCTATAAAACAAAAACGATAAATATTAGTTATACTAACATATCTATGGACTCTGTCTGAAAATAAACGATTTTTTTTATTAGTGAATGTATATGATTTTTCAAATAGGCTATAGGTTCAAGAAAGATCATTTCATATAAAACTTCTAGTTAGGTCCAGCCTATAAATCTGAGAGCTTTGACTAATAAAAAAAATTGCTTAAAAATTATAGAAACTCCAACCAATGACTATTCCTTAAGTAGTTACAAGTTACAAGCATCCTATTATCGTAATACATTTAAAGTAATATACAATGTAACAATTTTATTGTAAAAGCCACTTTTGACATAGTTAGGCAAATTGAGTATAAATTACGTTTTTTGCAAGTAGGTAATAGTGAAAACTTCTGAATTGTCACCTACGAGTACATCACGTTTACTTTCTGAAAGTGCTCTCTGTCCGTTGATAGATTTTTACTTATATTTTTATAATTAATTTATCTTTCGTTACCAGTTCCCAAGCAAATAAAAACAACTATTTACTTTTGGTTTATTTTCTTCAAAACCGCAACTGGATTTTTGCAACAGCTCTATATCTTGTATTGTCCTCTGCTTGTTACGAACTAAGTCCATCAAAGAGGGACAACGTATTATTGGTACGCAGTTCCCATCACTGCCATCTGGTGAAACGCAGGGTTCTAGAACAAATCCAATCTTTATATAGGTAACTGAAGAAAAATGTTGCCGATAAATAGGCCTAATAGTTCAGACGACACGTATACGCTACGCGTAAGCCACGCGTGTCAGCATATGCTTCTAACACGCTTCGAAATTGGTTGGATAAAATTTTAGTCTTATGACATTTCATTAAAGCTCTGAATCCGTTTATCAAAGTCCAACCGCACACGCTTCGCACACGTCACTCATACGCTATCTGCGTATGAGTGACGCATATCAAATTGCGTTTATCCGCACGATAAACGCAATTTGAATTTTATTGATGTGTCGTAAGACTCAATTTTATGCAACAAATGCATCTGCCTTGCTGCGCTTACGGAGGTACGCTTAGAAGAAAAGAAAAAAAACATGGCGTGTGCGTGGTCGGCGCGGGTCATCTGACCACGCCCTTAAGATTAATAATGCTTTTGAAAAAGTTTCAATAGATTTTTGTCTTCATACTTAAATTTTAAACGAGACTGACAATGAAAAAGTTAAAAGGTTATTATAGTCAAACCGCACACGTCACGGGCACACGCAGATATATCCGCGCGATAAACGCAATTGGAGAATTATGGATGTGTCTTAGGACTCAATTTTATGCAACAAAAGTATATCCCTTGCACCCGAGCGGGAGGTACGCTTAGAAAAAAAGAAAAAAAAACATGGCTTGTGCGTGGTCGGCGCGGGTCATCTGAACACGCCCTTAATTAATTATATTGCTTTTAAAAAAAATCAATAGATTTTTCTCTTCTCAATTTAAGTATGGAATACTTAAATTACAAACGAGACTGACAATAACAAAGGTAAACTAAAATAAATTAAAACCAAATTATGAAAATTACAATCATACTTAATAATTAATTGGTAGTTGTTAGTTAGTCACGCTCAACTTGATGACACCCTAATGTGAATCAACGTGATTTTCCTATTAATTCCACGTCACTCATTAACTCTCTGTGCAAGTTGGACTGACGAGGTATATTTTCCTAAGATGGACAAAAGGAATCGCAAGAAGAAGAAACACAAGCAACTAGGTCAACTGCTAATAAAATTAATAATAATAATAAGTCACAGTAGTAGTATAATTTCGTCCATTGGGACAGGCGAAGGTACTAAGCCATACTTCCAAGTCTTACGTCCAGTTGTCATAAATAATTATATAGGCAAGGCCAAATCTGTTATTTTGTTATTGTTTAGAGGCAATAAGCCAAATATTCAGTAAATTATAAAATATTTTGTTCTGTCCGGGAGTGGTCATAATCAAAATCAGTCACTTAACACAATTCTTCACAATTTAATAATGGCGGTGCCATCTTGTTTTTTCTAATCCTTCACCAAGGAAACTGGCTCAAACAGCCATTTTTAAATTTTATTAATTATACTACAAATATTTTCCTAGATTAGAACAAACAAACATTTTTCGTCATTAACGAACAACAAAGATTAATCAGTATTTCCTATTTTATCATACACAGCAGTTCTTCAGAATACAAAAGAAGACAACGTTTAATAATGGATAGGGATATCTAAACCTTTTATAAAAATAATATCTAAACAGTTTATTGACCTATCGTCAAAAACAAAACCGATTCTATTCTTAGAACGCTATTTTAATTTAAATGCGCACATTTTATTTTATTCTTTCGCTCCATATATAATAAATGGGAGAAATAAATTCGGATAAAAATTCTAGCTCTATTCGTCATAGGCCTTGAAGGATGAAGAAAAAATATATTTGTTTAATTTTAATAAGCAAATGCGTTCCATATTAATGCTTTTTTACACATTATATGCTAATAAGAAAGTAGGTATGAAGAACCTAGAAGTAAATTATTATCTTGCCTAACAGTGTGTATGAAATTCAATATTAAAAGCGACCTATAATTATTAAAAAAATATAAAGTCGTTGTGGATACCCACCTCCTTTAATTAATACAGCTACAAATGCCACTGTAAACACTATTGTCTTCATCGTCTCCTTGATAACTTATTTTAAGAAGTTTTCTAATAAATAATGTCACAAAATAATTAATATACGTGATTTGTGGTTGATATCACAAGTTAAACTAAATTTATTATATTTAGACTGCATCTACTTGTACACTTAGTTCTAATGATCCTAATCCAGTTTCGTATTCCCTTACCGTTATTTCACTACCAGTTTCCAAACTGGTCCAATCTGTTTTGTTTGCATTTGTGGCGTATCGTATGGGTTTTTAATAAAAGCAAAGGTGAATCATTACCTTAGCATTGAGGAAAACTCTCTATTTGTCCTGTATCGACATTGAAATTCGTAATTATGGACAATATTAATTTTGAATTTCCATTTTTAGAGTTCCGTAGTCAGTCCTGACTATAGTTTCGTCATGTCCGTCTGTCCGTCCCGAGTTTTGCTTGGAGACGATTATTTCTGGAGAGCTGTAATTCTAATAAATTTTAAAAAAGGTTTTTTTTAAGTAACCTTTGGATGATTTTTTTCATCATCTACCCCATCTCTGGGATATCGTTGAATAGGTCCTTTAAAATTCCTAAGGGGTTCCTAACACAGTTTTTTGATTTTGGGATCCTATTGCGAAATATTGAACTTTAAAGTGATAATTTTTGTTCTAGTAGGGCGCCCCTCCCCCCTCTAAAAGCTGAACTATTGACTTGAAAAACCTGGAAAAATTCATGATAATAGTGCTTTTCAAGAACTTTTAAGGAAAACTATAGAGTATCTAATAGTCATTCAACTTTGGTTAAAAAAATGTTATCTATGGAAAATTTCTTTAAAGAAAACTTTAATAGTGACATAGATGAAGTTATTGTAGCGTAAAATCTTGCATTGCAACATAATCTAAATAAAAACTAACTATTTAAAACCACAAAAAAATATCATTAGTTCCACAACGCTACCGCGAGTACCAACGGCAACGGCTTCTGAGTCGCGCTAACGATACGTTTTTATAAATAGTATATATTAAGCACTTGAACAGATCGGCGTAGGTCTGCATCATCCCCCTTTCAGGGGTTGATCGTATCAGATGAAGCCTGTTAGGCCCCTAAGGCCATTGGCATCGCCCACGGGTGTGTTTTAGCCAGTAAGAGTCTGTTAAACCCTACAGCCGGCTAGCTGTGAAATCCTCATGGATACCCTACAGTCGCGGCTGTAGGGTATCCATGAGGATTTCACATCCACTCCCTCGCCTGTGAGGGAACAAAATCGGCTGTTATCATTCGTATTCAAAAATATAATAATATCTAATTCATATTGAGTTTCAGACGCATTTTGACTTTGATTTAGGAATTTTAGTTTAGATATAGAGATTGATATTATTTGGTTTTTCTAATTTCCGATATAGGCCCTCCACTGCGCGTGGCACGACACGCACTTGGCCGGTTTTTTGGATTCGCGTATATTCACATTGACGTCGACGGTCGACCGCAGAATATTATTTTTTCCCTTTGAGTTAGTATTTTAATGTTCCGTAGTTTAATTTTCAAAGTTCCGTACGTTAAAAGGAAAACGGAATCCTTAATGATCACTGTTATTCATCTGTTTCTCTATTAAGAATCTCTCTTAGGAATATGTCGAAGCATGAAGCTGAAATCAGTATCACTCTACATCATATTAAATGTAGCTTATTATACGGCAGAAAAGTGTGTGGTTCCAGTTTTTCATTAAATGGAACTTCATCCGTCGATAGGAGCACAACATGAAACTTAGTTATACTTCATTATGCTCCTTTGCACAGAAGAAAAAAGATACTTAATTAATGAAAAAGGATTACAAATTCTATTGTTATGATTTTATTTATTTTTTAAGCATTTAACTGCTAGATGTTTAAATCTAAAGAAATGTTTACTAGAAAAAAAAATCTATTGTATTTATAGTTTTCGATAAATCCGTTTCTAAATATTTGCATAAAGTTGTCACTACATATGCGTTCTTTGTAGAACCTATATTAACTATAATCACCCCATGTTTAATCAAAACTTCGATCCAAATCGAGAAAGATCCCTTTTGGCTGAAGGAACAGAATTTTCCTTTGCAAAAGTTTACTTGGTCTCTAAATTCTTGAAATCTTGTAATAATCTAATTTGATAACACTGACTTACTCCTCGGAGAAGAGGTACTCCTGCTTTAGTCTACATTTATTAACAGGACGAACAAAGTTTAACTCACGCCTTCAGGAACCTACGTAGACTGACTTAACATTACTTTGAACGACCTCCTTGGCCGCGTGGTTTGTACGCCGCGAGCTTCAAAGTGTCTTACTCGGAAGGTTTGAATTCCGGTGGGGGCAAATGGTTTTGTGATAAATACGATCATTTGTACTCCAGGCATGTTTAATATGTATTTATTTAAACATATACTTGTGTATGTATTCTATTCGTTGCCCAAGTATTAGTATCCCATTACACAAACCTACCTAATGCTTACTTTGGGGCTAGGCTAATTGGTATGTGTTGGAAATATTTTTATATTTTATTAATTACAAACATCATCAATACCTTTTTTAAGTCGCTTAATAAATAACTAAAGGTGTAAATAGTCGTCACGTCATATATTTATTCAAAAACAGAACTTAATAAACTGGACCTGGTTAATATAATCAAGTCCAGTTACAGGAAATAGTTCCTTCACCTGAGACCAACGCTTGTAATACAATGAGGTTTAATAAGACCGAGTCATGAGCGGCCCTCGCAGACCGCGTCGAAATTCTTCTAGCCATTCTTAAGCTGCAAGGCAGCGCCATCTCTTCGCATTATAAGTAACCCACAATGTCAAATGAATACTTTTACAAGCATTAAACATTTGAAAGAAGAAATAGCAATTACCTAGTACCTACTTCCAATATCTTCTCTATCTAGCTTAGAGCATGCTCAAGTATATAAGAGTTAGATTCATTTTTATTTTCACTATGTTGATATTTTGTTCCAGGATGTTATGTTTTTGCATGTAAACATGAGTCCTTTTATACACCTTAAAAAAGGGTATAGTTTATATACTAATGATGATGTATCTACGTATCTACTCCCTCTTTTTAAAGGACATTTCTGCAGTATGTCCTTGGTGGGCGGCATGTATAATATTTATAACTACAGCAATATACCAATAAATAAATGTTTATATATAGAAATAATAGAAATGTAAAATGTTATAAATAAATAAATAAAATCAAACTAAAACATTACATTAGTTTATAACACCCCTCACAGATGGCGTTGATGCATTGTAAATTGCGATATGGTTTTGTTTCAAATAGGATAAAAATAGTTAACAACGCCTGTCATGGATGGCGCTGAGTTTTTATTAATTTGCGGTATGGATTTCGGTCAAGAAGCTTATATACAACACTGGAGATTGCATGTAGAACTTCTGTATGAAGATGAGTTCATTAACCCCATGATATGTTTTTTATCTCGCTCACACACTATCTGAAATTACCATGTTAAATACAAGAAATTCCAATCAGAAAGTGAAAATAAACAGAACTATGCAAGATATCAATCAGTTTTACAATCTCCAGAAGTCCTACTCTTGTATTACTATTACAAGATGAGTGTGACAAATTCTAACCAACTACTTTGAAATCAATATTTAAAACTAAATAATAAATACGCCCTTTCTTTCCCTGTTTGCTGGTTGCTACCATTTTGGTATAATAGCAACACTAATTAAAAAATCAACTGAAGAATATCTCCGATCTGTCAAAAAAAATCTACCGCTTCGCATGTTTAGATTTTTATTAAAAAGTGTTAAATTGTTCAATTTGCTATTTATAATATGTATTGTGTTGTGTGGGATTGCAGAAGTGTTTGGGAACCAAATTCCAGCACTAAATTTCACAGGTAAGTCTATTACATTACGCCAATACCGAAATAAACATATTCCTATATTTTTATGTTGTAATCATAATAAAACGTTAGTATTTATAAATCATAGTGTCCTAAGGCTATAAATTAACGTTATTCTTGTTTTATTCACTACATTTGGTACCACATTCAGCAGTTTATTAAATTAAAATAATATAAATTTTGGTTTTGTAGGGTAACCATTATCACTACACTTGAGATATTTTGAGAAAGTTAAAATACATAAGTATTATTGTAAATATTAATTACAAAGTTCAAAATATGAAAATAAGTTTATAATAAATACTGTAGTAGATCATGTTGATTAGATGTAGAAAACCTATTTAATAACAGCTATCTAGCAACGGTCTTATACCTTTGTTTATGTTTCAGCTTCCCGAAAGATGTCATTAAAAGAAATTCTTGGTTGTCCATTATACTGTCACAAACGCTCTCGAAACGGAACCGCGAATGTGCTAGAGATCGAATTTGCCAGAACACCGCGGGTCGCAATAGAAGTCGAGTAAGGCGGCTCATTCTAAAATGAGCCTTATGCAGTGCGACGTAAAGGAGAAAGTGCAACGATATCTGCACTTGTTTACAAGTTATGCGTGTTACTTGCGTAGGTATAAGTAGGTTTTTCGTACTCACGGGTGCTAGGTAATTCTCAATTTAACAGGTACTTTCTAGAACTTCGACTTTCGACGACTTCCGTGGTCGAGTGGTTTGTACGCCGGGTTTCATGGTGTCGCCGATTCGAGAGATTCCGGGTTCAAATCCCGGTGGGGACAGATGTTTGTGTAATGAATACGAGCATTTGTACTCCAGTCATGGATGTTTAATATGTATTTCTATAAAAAAAAATATACTTATACAGGGTGGAAATTTTGAATGCCACCCCCAGGGGAAGTACTCTAAATGCTGGAGATAGATAATTTTACTCACAGGAAACATTTCTTTATTTTAAAAAAAAAACACAACTGCATTCACAGTTTTTCGAAAATTTGCTTGCCACACCCGGGAATCGAACTAACGAAAATTCGAAAAAATTACACCCTGTATTTTTATGGCATCGAATTATAGGGTCAATCATAGGGATCATATCTTACTAACAAACTTAGTACATTAAATGGAAGGAAAAGCGTGTAATCTTAACTTAACTGAATGGAACAAGACTAAAAGCAGTTTTATCCCACCAGATTACACGAGTTAGTATTTTTATTATCTTTGCACATGTCTAAAATGCAGACTTAAGAGTTCAGTCAGGGGGGGCGCCGTACAACCTCTTTGGTACCAGTAATTTAAATGAGGTATGCAAAGAGGTATGTTACATATTTTTGAAAATGGAATAGCGAATTAGAACGCATTGCCTTAAGTCTTGTTTGCTGCATCAAAATTTACCATAATAAATAATCTATCAATCGATGCCATATATTTGTCATTTTTTCGAATTTTTGCCAGTTCGATTCCCGGGTGTGGCAAGCAAATTTTCGAAAAACTGTGAATGCAGTTGTGTTTCTTTTTAAAAATAAAGGAATAATTCCTTTGAGTAAAATTATCTATCTCCAGTATTTAGAGTACTTCCCCTGGGGGTGGCATTTAAAATTTCCACCCTGTATATGTACAGTTTATGTATTCTATCCGTTACCCTAGCATCCCATAACACAAGCCTTATAGTGCTTACTTTGGGACTAGATTAAATGGTGTGAGTGTTGGAAATATTTATTTATTTATTTACTTTCTAGAATGCATCGATCGGCGTATATAAGGGCGATTGGCGCCGCGCAGAGATAGTTGAGTTTCAACAGCGATTTCGGAGCGAATCCAAAGGCGATCAAAGTGCAACAAAAGTGTTCAAGTGAGATTGGTTAGAGACTTGTATAGTGAAATACAGTGTTTAGTGAGTGTTTTGTAATTAACATTGTGTGTTAATTGTGTGGTGAATAAAGAACTGTCAATCGTGAACTGGCATATAATTTCGAACCCCATCCCGACACGTAACAATACCATTAAAAGGTCAATTTTATTTATTAGCCAAAATATGTAGCTTAGAGTTTCTAGTCCGTTCTTAGTAAAAGGCATTTCTGGCGATTTTAAAAAGGGTTTGCATATTCTTTCTCGTTAATTTTTTTATAAACGTTTTTGACATTGCATAATATAAGACGCATCTAATATGAATAAAATGATTTTTGTACTTGTGAATTTTATTACTATTAAATAATGTGTTCTCAAGTTCCTATCAACTCCAACGCTTTGATTTATAAATTGTTTAAAGACGATACCAGTAAGTATGTATCCTAAACGCATATTCCAACATGGTCACCCTTAGAAAGAGATAACAAACATATGTGACGTCATTCAAGGCCATATTTTTTCACTTCAAGGTATTGTTTGCACTGCAATCTCCAGTGTTGTATATAAGCTTCTTGATTTCGGTGTTTATATAAGATTCAAACCAAACTTTGTCACTGGGCTGTTGTCGCTGGTTGCCTTATAACTTCTAACGTCGTTTCAGTTCGGCAGACTTTCTGCCGAAGTTCGCCCAACTGGAAACAACGTTAAACCTAAACGATGCACGGACCGAGTGAGGGGTTTTAAGAAGGTTATTTCCGTTACGGAATTTCTTGATTCGGTCGCCGCCGCGCTCTACGCCCTCGATAAAAGCTATATAATAGCTTAATAATAAATTATAATTGTAATGTAAATGCTATTTCTTCTTTGAAATGTTTAATACTTGTAAAAATATTCATTTGACAGGATTAACTACAATGCGGAGAGATGGCGATGCCTTGCAGCTTAAGAAAGGCTAGAAAAATTTCGGCATGCCATCAGGGCCGCGGTAGCATAATTGGTTAGTGAAATCGCCCGAATCGCAAAGGGTTCGAGTCCCGTCTGCTGCCTGGTACGCGTGGATTTTTTTCTATAATAGTTATATTTTCTTTAAAAGAAAATTAATATAACTAAAGACTAGGCTGTATGAGTATTGTCTCCTTTGCTTTCCGTAAACGGGAGAATAAAAAAATGCACTGTCACTGCCTGGTATTCATCTGGTAAATGGTTGAATTTTGAATAAAAATATTTTTTCCAAGCCTCTTTTGGTTTGGTTATATTAATTCACAAAATGTATCTCGTTTATTTACTGCTATGAATATTCCCCAAAATGTCTAAAATTGTGAATAGTGAAGGTGTTAAACCTGGTTGTATATACAGGATTGCACTCGAGAACTTCGTGTAAGTTCAAGGACTTTTTTGCGCGCGTTTTTTATTTTGTGATTTAATTGATTTTTATATGTTTTTTTTAATTAGTACCTACAAGCAAGTGGAGCTGTATCCATCCACATCCTTGAATTTAATAATTGGACCAAATGGCACTGGAAAGTCGACTTTTGTTTGTGCAATTATTTTGGGACTCTGTGGCAAAACGAGTGTTATTGGTAGAGCGAAGAAGGTTAGTGTATTTTTCTATTTTCCATAATTATTTTTTCTTGTTTATCATTAAGCCCATTATATATATATTTTGAGGATGACGTTGGGTTTTTAATCCTGATATACTTTGAAAATGAAAATAATACATGGTAATATGAATAATTTAGAAATAGGTACCTTTAGGTAATGCTTCAAAATCTAGAATAATAATGTAAACTTTTTACTTAATAACATTAAATAATATTAACAGTATATAGGACCAAACACTTGATTGTTTACTCTTAAAATTGATTTTGATATTAATACATCTTTATCTTCCAAATTTAGTTGTGAGTTAGAGGAAGGAGGGAGAACTATGCTCTAATCAGGCAATATGTCAGTAAAAAAGTTTATATTAAATATTCAATGGTTTGAAATACTTTTCTGTAGTAATTTATCTAATGTTCAATAAAAAAATATTCTGAACACAATGTTTATATTAATGTTCCGCTTAGTTAATCGTGCTCGGAATATTATGATTATGGCCCATATTTTAAATCTTATTTTTTATTTGGCTGCCCTCCTACCCTTGCAGCCACCCTTCGCAGCACTGTTGACCCTTGGCCATGGCCCTTTGGGTTGTAAGGACTAGAGACTTCGCTGATAACAACTTATTGTATATTTAGAGCCAGGCCAACTTACAATATTTAATTGGAACTGGCTACCCTCCTGCCTTTACAATAGTGTATTTGTCTAAACAACTAAATGAGAACATTTAAGTAGAAGAATACCATTTAAATTTCTGAATATTTTGCGAGTGTGACTTGATGTTATACACCATAAGTATTATATTATTATCTATACATATATATATATATATAAATAAAATTGCGAGTGTCTGTTTGTAATATTGAAAGAACTACTTTTTACTTTGAATATATATATAATACATACAGCAAAAAAATTTTTTTTAATTTTTACTCTGTCAGTTTGTTCCGGCTAATCTCTGAAATGGCTGGATCGATTTTGACGTGACTTTTATTGGCAGGTAGCTGATGTAATAAGGAGTAACTTAGGCTTTATTTTAGAAAAAATCTTTTATTTTAGAAAAATTAGGTAATGTTTAAATGTTCAAGTACTGTTCAGTACCACGTGCAGCACACGCGCGTGCCACCACTGTGCTGTCATGTCACCAATTCTCCAACCAACGAATCAATATCACAAAGGCTGCCTGTCGAGCGGACTCAGAATGCGCAAGCGGGCTATTGCTGACGGTTGTGTCTCAACAATTTCATTTAGAAATTGATTTCCAGTGTTTATATCACACTTTTAATTGATAGTTTGATTTGATTGATAGGTATCTTTTATAATTTAAAGGATGATGGAGGAAAAGGAAGGACTTTATAAAGGATAATAAACAGTGTAACTTCAAATATTCAACGAACAGTTAGATATTCTGAAGAGGCTGGGGGCACCATGCCACTGACATGCTTCCTACATTAACTATCTGTCTTAAATAATTAATATTTATGGTTAAATATTCAGGTAGCTGTAATAAAGGCTTTTTTATTTTATTATTATTTTATGTTATATTATTAAGTCAATATCTACTAATGCCACTTTTTTAGATCCATACAATATAATGACGATTACAAGCCGAAAATATTATAAAACATAAAAATAGCAATGTTGTTTTTATAATATTTCTATTTAATAATATTCTATTTTATAAATCGGCCACCTTTTAAATAAACATAGGTTTCAGAACATAGTACCACCATAGATTTGATTATTCCAGATATCTGATTATGTTCGGAGCGGTTGCCAGTCAGCCACCATAGAGATTGAATTGTACCAACAGCCTGGAGAGAGGAATGTTATCATCACAAGGACTTTTAACCTTAAGGATGCTTCAACGTGGTCCATTGATCATAAGGCAGTTCGGGAAAAGCAAGTCCTAGAGTTAATAGCATCTATGAATATACAAGTTAGTATTTATATGATTTTAATCATCATCATCAGCCTATTAATGTCCCACCGCTTTTCTATGTCCTACGCTTTTCTATGACTACAGATGCAGCCGGGACTGCTGGTTCCGTCCACTTAGCATGCCTTCCGAACCACGGAGGAGCTCGTGATAGTAAATTTTGGTTTCCGGTCCAATGACCAACCACTGTGAAAGTAGCTTAACTACAAGAATAACAGCCGGACGCGCTTTTGAAATGTATTTTAAAGTTAGCAGTGTAATATTCTGTGTAGAAAAATCATAACATCACTGAAAAAATTATTTTATTTAAAATTTTATTAATTTCGAGGTTTTCGGGTTGGACTAACGATTTTAAGATGTCTCTGATAGCTTTGTGGTCACATCGGCCATTCTGTTATATCGTAAGTTTTCCCCAAAGTTGTGGGAATACGATTCAGAGCTAATCCTGTCAATCCGTTAGGTATTTGGGCATATTGCTGATTTTCCGTTGTGCTTGTCGACAACTGTCGCGTTATCTTTGCAATTTGCATAGATAACGCGACATATAATGCGATCGCATCATAATACTTAATGGGAAAAGGCTTGATGGCGCAAAGGGTTACGCGTTCCATTTGCGCTCGTCCATAGGATTGGACATCAATTATTCATCTTGAGCTTTTTCGTGTTCAGTAAGGCACGTTAAACCATTGCACCCGGCTGCGTGTGCAGTCGTTAGCATCTACCAATCCGCATTGGGCCCGCGTCATAGACAATGACTGGTACAATTAATAAAATAAGAGGTTAAAATTTAGACTGTTTTCATACAAAACAACATCTCAAGATCGTAGTCAGGATCGCTTCCAGAGTTGAGAATGTTCTATGAATACGGGCTTAGAGTGAAAACAATAAATATATAATAATATATAGATTGCAGTGGTTCGCACTAGCGTTCAGTTTGCATTCGTGGAAGTTTAGCAACTTTCGCAATGGCCTGTCATAAGATGGGTGACCAAAATGTTGCTATGTCTTACTTCTCCTTGCTTTGAAAGGCACTGGCGGTGTCCGCATGCAGTCGTTAGCATCCACCAATTCGCACTAGTACCGCGCGGTGGATAGCGGCCCAATCTCCCAATTCCATCCATGGGAAAGTCCTGTGCCCCACCAATAGGGGCATCAATAGGCTGATGATGATACATACATACTTTGCAAGTACAATAAAACAATGAATTAGAAATGATATGAAAGCATTAATCTAGCAAAGGCAGCTAAAAATGGTTCCAAACTCAAACTTCAAAACTAACTCGACATGCACATGAATTCGGCTATCCCTTCATTGGGTAAGATAATGTCCAACTGTAATCCCAACCAATCCCATGATCGGCGTGTTGATCACAGTTTGCGTGGAACCACTTTTAGCCCAGTTCATAGTCCATATCATTTCTAATTTGTTGCAATAAATGCTTTTCAAATGTTGTAAAGGTCGACAACCTTTGCCAACTGCTACCTCAAGATCGGGTGCAAGACTTCTCTAAGATGGATCCTCAGCAACTATTGCGTAGCACTTTGTCCGCTGTGGGAGGGCAAGAAAGTGTATCGCAACTCGAACAGTTGATCGAGTGCAGGAACCAACAAAGGGGATTATCAACGAAACTGCAAAACAACGCTCAGACGTTACAAGAGCAGATACGATTGAACGAGAGGTCAGTACAGAATGTAACTTTAATAAACCTTTTTGATGTGTAACATCTTTGAAATGGCTGGTTTCTCGCTTGCCTGCAATTTGTGGGACTGATAAATGGGATGGAAGTGTGTAACAGGAAGTCACGAAAGCGCGCGCTTTTTGATTTTTTTTTGGAACATAATGTTTTAATGACTTATTCCTTTTGTAGTAGGTTTTATTTCTTTTCTTACTAATATAAGGTGAGGTCTCAAATGTTACACATCATACGCGACTACTGTAAGGCTCGCTCGTTTTTTTTTATTTAGTACAGAGCGTTCAAAACAATGGGAGAACAGGGGTGATGACGGAGTAAAGAAAACGAAATTCTATTTAGTCCGTCAGTTAAATTGAAAATTATGGACACGTATTTTTTCTTTTGTCAATCAACCAAAACATTACAAAGATAAAGCGTATCAAAGTTAGGAAGTGGGGGCTCGCTACATTTCAAATCAATATATCTCTGTAATTTTTTGAATAAGTATGTGAAAGAATTAAAGATACGAGTCCAATACTTTTCGATAATCTATCTGATGGACGAAGAACAAAAAGGTAGTTATCATCCCTGTTGGTTAAGTAGGATTTCTATAAAACTGAAATACAGAATTTTGTCAAAACTACTTGATCGCAGTTTGGTTGGAATATAGATGTAAAACAACTGATTTAAAACGTTTTAAACAAAATGTTGCCATTTTAAACCCCAAATAAATCGTTTTAAACAGTTGAAAACTGGCATACAAAAATAAAAGAACTATGGTTTTTACACTTTAACAATGAATTTTTTTTACGAACACAGAGTTTTTAACTGATAAGAGTTTTTATAACTTAGGTAGGTAATACCTACGCTTGGTCGCGGATGGACCAACTAGAACTAAACTCGCTAAGTATATTACACATTTAAAAAAACTTTATACAGTTTATAGGTACTCCGTTATATTCCTACCTCGTTAAAATCAAGACAATGTAGTTAAAATTAAGAAAAACATAGACATCAACACCAACCGTTTTAAATAAAAAAAAATGGTTTATTTTGGTTTTAAACATTTTTTTTGCGTTTTAAACGGATTGGTTTAATTGGTTTTAAACCGGTCTTACATCTATAGGTTGGAACCACTCATTAGCCCAGGCCGATTCCATTTCATTCCTAATTCCTTGACTTAAACATTTAAATTTATTCAAATCATAATCCAGTGCTTATTTTCAGGCTAAAAGTATTGATAGACGCAATGCAGCAAAGGAAACAGATTGAGCAACAGATCGAGATCTGTGAAAAGAAGAAGCTCTGGCTAGAGTACCAAGATCTGAAGGACAAAGTTACGGAGTATATTAATGACAAGAAGGACGCAGTAAGAATCGTCAATACTCACAAAAGTAAAGTGGAACCTCTAGAGAAAGTTATCGATGGTGCCAAGAAGGGAATAGGGAAATTGGAGCAGCAGAAATTGAGCTCTGTGAGTGAATACACTTTTAAACTTTTGCGTGACAATGGTGTCAATTCTGGCAAGAGTCTCCAAACTTAAAACGAAATTTAACATCAGTCTCTCATTTTCATTCTGTAGAAAAAATTACAAGGATACACTGTTGTTAAATTTAATTTTAGGTTTAGGGAATCGTGCCAGAATTGACACCATTATAAATCTAATATTTTACTGTATACATACTTATATTTCTCTATATCTGTGAGTGACGACTTTCTAGCCAGTGCATTTTCTGCGTAATTTGTCGAAACAAAGCGCTTTTACATGTAGGGGGTATTGTCTTCATTTATTTTTTATGTAAAAAGAGTGTATAAAATAAAACAAGGCCAAAGGCGAAGAAAGCTGCCTTTGCTGAGTTTCTTGCCTGTTCTTCTTAGTACAAGGTTTCCAGTCGTAGATTTGGGAGCAGATGAAGTAGGTTTGCCTAAACAGTAAAATTAATTTGAGTTGATTTGAGCATTTGGCCTACCTTGTGCTGCCGTCATAGCCTATAGACGTTTGACATACCAGAGTATATAATCTCATATACCAGATCATATAATCGTGCAATGCCTACCCCAACCTATCCTGTGGAGTCCAGAAACCTTACCCGTAGACATAGCAATTATGAAGGTCCAGTGGGTACCATGTTTTTGATAGGAACTCGAATAGGCTTTATTGTGTATGTAAGGTCCAATTATGAAGGTCCAGTGGGTACAAGACCGGAGATTTTGCTCGCGATGTCGTCCACATTCGCGATGTAGTCCACAATTAAGGATTACAAAAAGCCCTAGAGACCCCTAAATAGGGTTAGAAATTATAGAAAATGTACCTGTGAATTAATAAATTATTCTCGTTGGTGTTATATTGTTAACTGATAATACAATTTAAACTTTTAGACTAGAGAAATTCACACACTTAAAGATCGTGCTAAGGAAATCACGAGATCTGTGACCGAACACGAATACAAAATAAAGGAGATAGAATCTTCGTATCAAGAGAAATTGGATAGATATAGGAACAGGGAACGAGAGCTGACTGAAGCTAAAGCCAAGTTAGAGAAATTGATCACGGATCGGACTAAACTCGTGGAGAAAGTTGGTGATGGTGAGACTTTTTGTATATTATTTAGCTATATTTTTAATCTTAATTAGGGATAAACCCTGTTCAACGTTGTTATCATTCCATCTTTGTTAGTTGCTTAAAGTGAAATAGAGATAGAATGCGGCTTAAACATGGTTTTATCTAATAGCAATAATGCATTCAATTTTAATGCTTTTACTCTAAGATCTTACTTTGCACAATTGAATTGTACTAGTAGCTATATAACATTATTATAGGTGTCCCTCAGGGATGTAAGCTAGGTCATTCATTTTTTATCCCATTTATTGATTTCCTAATAATTTAAATATTATTCGCAGAGAACCAAGTGAAGATGGAATTAGCCGAACTACATAAACCCATAATGAGAACTAACGCCGCTTTAGATAATCTCAAGAAACAAAAACTCGAAGTGCAATATGACCTCGAAAACAATATCACGCCGCAAATAAGACTATACGAAAATAAGTAAGAACATTTATAGTTTCAATATATACATTTACTGTAAAAAAAGCTTATTCCAGTAGCGTTTCATAGTAACAGTTTTTAAGTTGTTATGTTTAACAAATTAACAAAAATATCTAGGCATAGAAACTCTAAAAGGCATATCACGAGATTAATGTATTTTCATTTATGTTTGTAAAAGTTATTGATAAATTACTAATTTGTCTTACGTGTCATATTGTTATTACTACTAAAATATTTTCATTAAATAAAATTCAATTTATATATATATTTCAAACATTTGTAAAAAAACAATAGCAAATATTGATAATGAATATTGGTTGATATTTTTTTTTATTTATTGACCTTTGGCTATGAATGGTTGATAACCTAAATCGTCAATCAAATGTCACTTTAAGTTGCGTTCAGAAACTCTATTTACTTTATTTATTCATAGCTACTCCGGCGGTAATGCAGAGATGAGCAGAATTGAAGAGCTAGATTCTGATTAATGTTTTTTCTCACACAGTCTTAATAAATAAATATTATGAAAATAAGGTTGTCAATAAATTTTATAATAATTATTAATAATAATTAATAAACTCTTCCCTCTCAGAATCCGTCAGCTCCAAGATATAGACGTGAAAAGGTTAGAAGTTCTCCGTTCATACAGCGAAGATACATATAAAGCGGTGATGTGGCTCAGAGAAAACCGGGAAATGTTCGAGGAACCCGTTTACGAACCGATGATGCTTGAGGTAAGGAAATATTGGCTAATTATGAATTTTAATAGAAAACCACTTTAAAGAAAAGTGAAAATAAATAAATATTATTCATATCTTTAGGAAAATTGATTTGAAGAAAAAAAAAACAGAACAGAACTATGGTCAGTGATAGTTAGTTAGAATATTATAAAGAGCGAAAGAATCCATATTAATATTATAAATGCGAAAGAGTGTCTTTCTGTCTGTATGTTACCTATTCACGCTTACCCCGCTGAACCGATTTAGATGAAATATGGTATAGAGACAGTTTGAGTCTCTGGAAGGACGTATGCTAGTTTTTATCTCTAAATTTATTTTTTTTAGGAGTGTAAAGGTAGGTGGGTGTTTGTATGAGAAACTAGTTTTTTTTTAATATTTCAACACACACCAATTAGCCTAGCTCCAAGGTAAGCACTGTAAGCTTGTGTTATGGGATACTAGGGTAACGGATCGAATACATATACTGATACATATATAAGTATATTTATATAGAAATACATAATAAACATCCATGACTGGAGTACAAATGCTCGTATTCATCACACAAACACCACCACCAATCTGTAATTCTTGTGGCCGAAAGGTCAACATTTGGTAAATTTTAGTGATAGCAACATCTCTCTTTCCTATTCTATATCTCTTTGCATACAACTCGTGTGCAGTCAGTCTCTTGCAAAAGTAAAAATTAATAAAATACTAGAAGAAATTCGACACGGCCATTAAGATCTCGGTAGCATAGTTGGTTAGCGCGTCCGCTCGGATAGCGGAAGGTGCAAGTTCGAATCCTATCTGTTACATTGGCCGAGTGGATTTTTTTCTAGTAAATATAAATAGCTACATCGCGTTTATGGTGCTTGCGAACAAAACGGTATAATAGGGGTGATGACGGGGTACAGTAAACGAAATTCTATTTAGTCCGACAGTTAGATGATCAAAAAATAATGGACACGTATTTTTCTTTGGGCAATCAACCAAAAAATGACAAAGTTATAGCGCGTCATAGTTTGGGAGTAGGGGCTCATGACGTCACTTTAGTGAATTTTCACTTAAAAAGTGTACTCAAACGTGACGTCATGCGACTTTTCAAATCAATATATCTCTGCAATGTTTATATTATGTGAAAAAAAAAATTCGTGTCCAATACTTTATGATACTACCTGATAAATGAAGAAAAAAAAAATTAGTCATCATCCCTATTACATAAAAATAAATTTAACATGAGCAGTAAAAACCTGAATGACATACCTAGAGTGAACTTTTGGCGTGGTTTTTAATTTATTAATTTAGAAATTTTAACACTATTTAAAACCCGCCCGAAACCTTCGTACTGTGAAAAAAAAAGTATTTTGACCATATGCGTAATTGTACCGTTTTGTTCGCCAGCTAGATATTTTATTAATACAATACCGCCCGAATAGCGGCAGGTGCAGGTTAAAATCCTGAATGATGTTTTGCCCTACTAGAAATTCTTTCTAGTTATTTTTGTTAGATTTATAAATATAAGTAAGTTTTTTTTAACAACCCTCCATTATTCGTAGATAAACTTCACGGACCCAAAATTCGCTCGGTACTTAGAGTCCACAATACCCAATCGCGATCTGATCGCGTTCACTTTCGAATCGAGTCGCGACATGAACATGTTCATGCAAAAAGTCCGAGTTGAAGGCGGGTTGAAGCGGGTCAACGCCATCTGTAGTCAGGGCGGAAGACTTAATGTGCAGAGAAACGATATACAGCAGCTAAGGTGAGTGGGGAGAGGCCTTAGAATCATAATTTATTTAGAATTAACGCCATATTTAGCCATCTGTAGTCGGAGAGGGGGGGGGGGGGGGGCACGAATAAACAGCAGCTTAGGTAAGTGGAGTCACACATTAGAATAAGATATTTACTTACAGCCAGTTTCATAGTAATTCATTCATCTTATCCATTCATTCAACCATTCAGAGAATCCATGTACAGCAGCTTAGCTGAGTGGAGAAAGAGTTTGTAGGTGACTTACACTTAATTATTTAATTTATACATAATGTCAATAAAATCACAATTTATTTAGAATCAAGACTTTCAACGCCATATTTTAGCCAAATGTATGTAAGTAATGTATGTACCAAATGTAGGCAATAATAAATGAATGGACAGACTATAATACAGGATTTGATCCCGGTCGATATTTCTAATCTCGGGATTTGGGGATTATCTACAGTTAATCCCGGGAATCTGGGATAGACCCGGGATTGTATTAATAATAGAAAGTGGTAAAAAAAGACAGTAAAACATATGAAAAATCAAAAATTATACTTTCTTCTGATAAAATAAACAAACGGCATTTCTATGAACTAGGAAATAGTTTCATAAATTAATTACAGAATTACCTGGTTAGTTTATTTTATTTTACAACAAACTTAAAAAAATCATCTTCTTAAGAATTGTTTAGATATACTTTAAAAATACTATAGGTGCTATGCCTTAGCAGAATCTACTTTCACGGAATATTTTGAAGATAGATGAGTATGCAGGCCTTTGGTTGATCCTCCTAAGGTCTTTAAAATAGCTAAGTAACGCTAACACTGTGCTGAGCTACCCGCTTAATTGACTATAAAATGACTTCATACTAACGAAACAACTTCATCTTATTTATCCTTGACATCAAAACTTTGTTTACTTCTTAAAGCAAACAAAAATGAAAAGGACATTTAAGTCACAACATAAACATAACCTCTTAGAGCTACAGAAAATAATACTCGTTGTTTATCATCTATATTTATTCAGTATGCATTTATGCATTTTTTGTTTTTTAATAAATTCATTGATTAACTATAACCAAAAAAAAACTACTTACACGACATAAAGCGGAATTATTACACACTTTTACGTATAATACGGTACCGGTCGTTAGCAAAAATAAATGAAGTCAGCTGTGTGGCCGTCAAAACGTCAAACGAAAGTAAGCGCGTTTCGTTTCACGCACATTTTTATAGACTTATAAAAAAAAATGTAAATCCCGAAAATCCCGGGATTCATTACATTTGATCCCGAAAATTTCGGGACTAAAATATGACCGGGAACCCGGTATCCCGCGCTTCGGGATCCCAGGATCCATTTTTCTAACTATAATGTACAGATAAACGATGTACAACAGCTTAGGCGAGTGGAGAAACAGATTAGAATAAGATATTTACTAACAGACATATAATATGTAATATTAGGTTGTATGTTGTTGTCTTCTAGTATTTCTTAGGCTGCAGATAGCGCTGCTTGCAGTCTAATGGTGCGATTACACTCAGCCGTTAGCCCGAATACAAGTGCCAATGGAATTCGGGTAAACGACTAAGTGTAAATGAACGGGAGCCGAACGCGCTAACCACTTGCGCCATCGAGCTTATTATTTTTATTAACAAGTTATAAAAGAAAAATTGGGAGAGGAGCTCGATGGCGCGGGTGGTTAGCGCGTTCGGCAGCGATCGTTGAAGTTAAGCAACTTTCGCAGTGGTCGGTCATTGGATGGATGAACAAAAATTTATTATCTCAAACGCCTCCGTGGTTCGGAAGGCACGTTAAGCCGTTGGTCCCGGCTGCATCTGCAGTCGTTAGCACCCACCAATCAGCACTGGGTCCGCGTGGTGGGTCATGATCCAATCTCCCTATTCCATCCATAGGGAAGGTCTGTGCCCCAGCAGTGGGGACATTAATAGGGTGATGATTATTATGATGATAATGAAAAGAAAAATAAAATATTTGTAATTTTCCATTCAGCTACCTCGGTTTTTACGCGTATCTAATCGACACTATATCGGCGCCGGACGCCATACTGCGCTACATGTGCAAGCAGTACAACGTGCACCGCATCCCTATAGGCAACGACCACACCTACAACAACAGTGGGAAAGTGCCCGCCAATATCACCTACTTCTTCACCGGTACGTGGGTTATATTATATATCTACTAGCGGCAGCCCGCGACTTCGTACGCGTGGAGTAAGTTATTTGCACATACTTCTTGACCCCAAAAGGGGGTTTATTTCTTAAGATACATTATCAGTACACCTGTACACCATCTATAGAGCATACATGTAAAATTTCAAGTCTCTTACTTTAAAAACATAGGATTTTCATACAAACTTTTGAAGAAATAAAGGTTCATTGCTCGTTCACCGTAGGTGATAGCGTGATAATATGTAGCCTATATGTTGACCCGACTTCTTAATAATATTTGTGCCAATTTGAAGTAAATTCTTAATAGTACTGGATTATTATATTTGTACCTTGCTCTATGTTGAATACTGTGTCAATAAAGTTTGTTTAAATGAATATTATGTACGTTACAGTCCTACTAAGCCGATTTGAGTACGGTTGCTCATGAAGCCCATGAAAGCTCATGAATGAATAAAAAAAAACAGAGGGGGGGGGGGGGGGGTTAAGAGCTTTGCTTACTTTTGCTGACAAGGGGTGGAGTGGGTAAATAATTGTAATAAATCTGCTTACGTAATACTTGAACAGCCCCTTCACTACAATATATTTAGTATAAAGCAAAGTCGCTTCCCGTTGTCTGTCACTATGTCCCTATGAGTGATTCAAGAGGAAAGTTTATATGTATAATACATGCATAGTATAGTAGAGAAACACTGATAATTTTAGAGGTTTTTAATGTAAGGTCGTAAATAAATACATTTCTTGCGCTTACATTGTAAATGCTGGCTGAACCCTACATGAAAATAATGTATCACAGGATTGTACACCTTAAAAAGGTCTATAAAAAAGTCCGCGATGGTATATGTCTATCTCTTAGGGATAACCCACAATAACAATTTTGTATCCTATATCTTTTACGAGAAATAATAGATTATTTACGAAGTGATTTTAAGCAATATAACATTTATCGATTTATCCTTATCCAATTAAGTACCTTAAATATATTTGTCAGGATCTTCAGGTGCGTCGTGGGCAGCAAGATAAAACCAATTTTATGGAATATAAATTAAATTTATTCGTGGAGACACGTTAAAAAAAAGCTAACACAAACCGCCATTACACGTAAGAGAGAGAGGATACAGTAACAAGGACAAAAAATTAATTATAGTAATATAAGTTATTTACGGGATTGTTACCATGTACCTTGTTTTTAGCGAGTTTCCGATATTTCGGCACTGTTGCAAGCGCCATGATCACGGAGTTACTCCGTAACGGACCGTACGGAAACTCGCTAAAAACAAGGTACATGGTAACAATCCCGTAAATAACTTATATTACTATAATGTTAGTGACCATGAAAGTTTAAAACAAAAAAAAAAGTTAATTGTTGTGTTAGACCAATTTGGCCCTTTAACGCATGTAATTTAAATGAATATTTTCGAAGATATTACAGATTTAAAATGCAGGGACATAGCGGTTCCGACGCTTCCGGGCGAGGGCCTGGCGACGCGTGCCTATTGTAATTAGGTATAAGAAGAATGTCATTGTGTATAATACAAGCCTGAGAACAAAAACTATAGTCTACACTTCAGCTCTACACCGAAGCGAAGCGAGGGCGGGCCACTAGTATTTTTATATACCGTATCTATTGTTATATGTATAACAGAGAACCATCGTTTTACGGTCCGCGTGTCCGCGTTAATTCTTTTTCTAACTGAACGACATCCCTTTCTATGTATAGCACATCCCTTTCTAACTGTACTCAAGTAAAGATCAAACATTTAGTTGTCATTCTGTAATACGAGCCTTAGTAGTTTACCCGAATTCCATCGGTACTGGTATTCGGGCTAGTGACCAAGCGTAATCGCGCCATTATATTTATATACCGTATCTATTGTTATATAACAGAGAACCATCGTTTCACGGTCCGCGTGTCCGCGTACAGCGGCGCTAAGTCTAGCTCCATCATAGAGATCCGGCCGGCGCGAATCATGGCTAACACTGTGGATATAGATCAACTGGAAAACTATAATCAGCAGTGAGTGTTTGTTTATTCTATACTCTCAACGATATTAAATACCCTAGATACACCAACACGAACAAAATCCTACCCGAAACCAGACCAAAGGTACATTGAACGATCCACGAAGCTCCGTAAGATGATTGCGTAGTCAAAATCAATATAAGGCATTATTAAAATATTGAAAGTAACCTTTATACATACTGTATAAGGTCTTAAATAAAAGGCATGTGTCAAGGACTTCTGACAGTTCGAAATGCAAGCTCGTAAAATTTTATGACTTATTGCTATATGTGGAAGAATTTAGACCTTAGTTCTTTGACTCTACGCGCAATTCTGAACGCGCTGTTAGCAATATAGCAGGCACGGACCGCGAGGAAAAGAGACGGCTATATGGCGACGTATAACCGACCATGCATTTGAATATCACAAAATATTTTATATTAAATCAGTTTATAGTAAGTATTAGATCAAAATTTACTTCAAATGCATTAATTTAACAAACATTGACTAGATACCTTTCGAAAAAACAACACTTTTCGTACTCATCTGGCATCTTGACTTTGTAACGGTCCGCCCCTGACTGTGAACCAAGAAGTGCTTGAGTGGAGTTCAAGCACTTCTTGATTGGGACACATTTTGAGCACTCTTGGTGTATCTAGGGTATTTAATATCGTTGTATACTCTATTCAACTTCCTCTGAGACGAAAGGTAAACACATTTCTAAAACTTTTTTAATGAAAGAAAGAAAATGTTTTATTCAGTGACACAAATTAATATATGAATCAATATACCTTATTTATATATTCTTTATTACCATAAAAACAGTAAATGGCGGACTTAATGCCATAGGCATCCTCTACCTTATACATAAATACAGTAATTTAGGTCTAAACATTTGCGTTTGCAATGACAGTAAAGATGGTCGGTGTTATCAAACTGATTAGGGGGCATCCATAAATTACATTACATGTTAAGGGGGAGGGAGGGGGTCGACGAAGTGTGACTTCATGTCTCAAGGGGGTGGGAGGGGTCCTAAATTTCGTGACGTCACATTTCAAAATCTATTATAATCTAAGTGTTGAAACACGAACTTTAAACTATTACTTTACGAAAACATTAACAACCCAAACGAGAGCAAAGTGGCTGCTATGCCAGTTATAAATAATTTAAAGGAGTGAGATGGACTCAAGATTATTAAGTTTGTATCTTTAATTTAATTATAATGCTATTATTATTATTATTTGATTTGTTAATTTTCTTTATTAATAAAGTCAATCCTTTTTTGTTTTGTTCATTTCTTTAATTAACATATATATCGTTTTTTGTTTTGTTAATTGTTTGATTTGATGTATATGTTACAGTTGAACCCCGTTTTTAGATAGAACGCGTTTTCTCTAATTAAAATTAGTTATTACTAAATGCCTTTGTCAAAACTAGAATTAACCACCGATATATTTGATTTTCAGATAAAACTAGTTGTCACTACAATGACATATATGTACCTAACTATGTAACTTATAACGTATAAAATCATAAAGCCTGCTCCCAAATTGTTTCTTTTTTTAGTATTCATATTTCATATTGATTTTGTTAGAAATTGGCATTATATAATAATTCTTTATTGCTGTGCCCGAAAGGGTTCATAATCTGATCTGTAAATATTCTGAGCACCTGTTGTAGGCTATTCAGGTGGAGTGGTTATTAAGAACTAGTTTTAACTGATATTCCATTTTGAGCATTAATCTATTTTAATTTTAACAAAGGCTTTTAGTAAAAACTAGTGAAAACGCGTTCTATCTAAAAACTGGTTTTATAGATATATATTATTAAAAACAATTTAAACGAAAATAAACTAATTTCAGAACCGCTGTTTTCATTCAATAATTTCTATATGTAAATTTGCAAAATATGTGTTGAACTAGTGAAGGGGGGATTCTCATAAATGTGACCAGCTGTGACAAGGACGGGGTGAGGGGCAAAAAATCATGAAATTCGTGTGACGTCATTTATGGATGACCCCTTATGACCCGCCAATCCGCACTGGACCCGCGTTGTGGCTCATTGCCCAATCTCCATATTCCGTCCATAGGGAAGGCCTGTGCCCCAGCACTGGAGACATTAATAGGCTGATGATGACAATGAATGTCTGCGTGTGTATGTGTGTAGCGACGAGCATTTATCTACCAAATGTTATAAAGTAGATTTATTTTGGGCCTCTTCCGTGTTGTTAATACGGTGTTTAGGCGTGTATACACGGTTTATTTTTAAACACCATCAACCTCTTTGGGGCTGATTCTACCCATCAACAGGAACAACTTTTAATATGGGACCAACACTGAAATCGCGAAATAAAAAAGCAGCTGTTTCATACATTTCGGTCGAATAGCTGATGCACTTTTGTATGAAACAGTAGATTTTTTTTGTGATTTCAGCATTGGTCCCATAATAAAAGTTGTTCCTGTTTATGGTAAGAATCACCCCCTAAGAGGTTGTTGGTGTTTTAAAATAGGGTATTTGACAGTATTAAAAATAAAGTGCCAATTATTAGCACCTGTGTTTAGATTGAATTGGAAGGGGTTTTTACTATTTTTTTACAAAAAAATAATGTTCATAATTTTACTAAAAACCCACGAAAAAGATAATAGTGAACTTATCTATTGTCACGTGACCTAAAACGCTTGGGATTGGCGGAGCCTAAAATGACGTCCAACGCAAGTAAACTTGCGGTTAAAGTGACATTACATTGTATCGTTTGACGTTTTAATAACAGTCGTGTGGCGTCACACACTAGTAAGACGCCAAATTGTCCAGAGAAACGTTTTCGCGGCAACTTGAAAATGGAGTTTTTGATTTGGTTATTTTTACTGAAATATACAACAGAGTGATGAATATCCACTTTTTGCGGACTCCATAACCATTGGTCAATAACGTGAGATCGTTTTCTAAAACTTGTCAAATACCCTATTAACCCTGTAGAATCAAAGCACCAAATATTTATTTGTTTATAAGGTTAGCGAAGTTCGAGCAAACTGCGCAATCGCATCGCGCCAAAATACAAGATTTCGACACTAAGTTGGCCACTCTGGAGGTCAACCTGAACGAATTCAATATGAGGAGGAAGAAAATCAACGATGGCGTAGAAAGGGTATTGTAAAAATAAATATTTGCAACACTCACACCAATTAGACTAGCCCCAAAGTAGGCACTGCAGGCCGACCCCTCTTTCCCAGTGGGCACTTTGGGCAAGTGTCCCGGGCCCCTCAGATCAAATATAAAGTTCCTGTTAAATTACCAAACGGGGGTATAGGGGCCCCATTATCCTAATATGCCCAGGACCTCCAACAGTTCAAGGACGGCACTGACTGCAGGCTTGTGTTATGGGATACTAGGAGATTTATATAGAAATACATATTAAACATCCATGACTGGAGAACAAATGCTCGTATTCATCACACAAACATCTGCCCCCCACCGGGATTCGAATCCGGGACTCGAGTAGGCGACACCTTGGAACCCGGCGTATAAAGCGCAAAAATGTGAACCAATTAAACTCTGAATTTAGTTTGCTGAAACCAAAAATTATGAGTCGTAAACTAAGAAACGCAGTTCGTAAACAGTTTGTAGAATAATTGTCAGTGCAAGCGCTCGGATAGCAGAGAATGCGGGTTCGAGTCCCGTCTGCTGCCTGACCGCGCGGATATTTTTATAGTAAAACTAGCTGTCCCAGCGAACTTCGTACCGCGATAAATAAATAGGGGTTGGTGGTAGAAGGGTGACAATTTAGGGTTTATGTAATTTTGTATGATGTATCATAAAAAAATTAAAACAAAAAAAAATGTCCAAAAAAATTATAATTTAAGGTTGGACCCTTAACATTTAGGGTAATGAAAAATAGTTGTTGATCGATTCTCAGATCTACTGAATCTGCATTTAAATTTCACGAAAATCGGTCAAGCCGTTTCGGAGTAGTTCAATTACGCACACCGTGACACTATAATTTTATATATAAGATTTTCTCTAGATTTAATAAATAAATATAAACTAGCTGTGCCCCGCGGTGTTACCCGCGGCTTATTAGGGAAAATAAATTGTGTATTAACAGTAAAAACAATGACTATTCACATTTTTAGAAGCAAAATAATTTAAACTTAAACATCGGAAAGATCAATTTACAAAATTTGATAACTGACAGAACAGGAGAGATGATTATGCTGTCTTATGTAATTGTTTTTTGTCTCGGGTCGTAGAGCGAGACCTAGAAATCACTTTACTGCAGCACATCCCGGTAAACCACAATGCGGGACTTATTGTTTTCTGCGTAAATAAAATGTTTTTCTTGCTCTCGACACACGGGAGCAACCCACGTTCAGTTGTCCGTGGGAAAAGCAGGGGGTGCCCAGGTGAATGCCTGCTACTTTTAGAGTTTGTCCTTGACTTTTATTTACTGTAATAGAGAAAGCCACGTTTATAGGAAATTGTAGGCGCTTGAACTGGAAGGGTAAGTTTGTGGGTATTATAGGGATTCTAGGTATCAATACCGTCTCTCCTTTGGCCCCTCCAGTAAGAATGGTGGCCTGGACGATGTGCCGTCTCAGCTCCGTGATGCGTAACCTAGTGCCGTTACACAGTCTGGGCGCGTCCAGGTTACGCATCAGTATGACAGGCAGACAGACAGCCCTGACAGGTCGAGGGAATTTAAGAATTCTACATGGTATAGGTATTATCCCACAACGGCGAAGCCTTGAGGCATGCGTTTATCTCATCTGCCGAGGTACCTCGCTCGATAACCAGTAACGTCTGCCGAAAATCACCTGCCAGCAAGACGACCACTCCACCAATAAAGATTCGATTCGGTCCCAAACGATCAATTTGCACCATTGCAATAGAGCACCACGACTACTACTTTTACTGATGTTGCAAATGGGCGTTTCTTCACTTTCAAGTTTCAGCGGGAGCTTGAATACTGAGTGTCCGGTTCTGCCACCACTCAGCCAGGTTGCGGCTATTCTGGAGGATACAACAGCCAGCGCAACCACTTTGTCTTTGCACAACTGTGCCAGCAGCAAGTTCATTAAAAAAGTCTTGCCTGGTGCGTCCAAGAAAAAAGACTTTCAGCGCTTCTTTAAAAATTATGTCTAGTGTTATCCCTTGTCGAGGAGCTCGATGGCGCAAGTGGTTAGCGCGTTCAGCTGCGATCGTTGAAGTTAAGCAACTATCGCAGTGGTCGGTCATTGGATGGGTGACCAAAAATTTACTATCTCGAGCTCCTCCGTGCTTCGGAAGGCACGTTAAGCCGTTGGTCCCGGCTGCATCTGCAGTCGTTAGCACCCACCAACCCGCACTGGGCTCGCGTGGTGGGTCATGGCCCTATCTCCCTATTCCATCCATAGGGAAGGCCTGTGCCCCAGCAGTGGGGACATTAATCGGCTGATGATGATGATGATCCCTTGGTATCGGCGAGCAATGTCTTCTGACAAAGCGCTTTTTATACTTGTACCACAATTGCCGGGGGTTGGAGAGTCCGCAGGTGCTTATCATAATCGCAAAGAGCTCTCTCAACGTGGTCGCTGACCGGCACAACATTGCGCACTCCATCGTTGCGTCCCAGTGGCCGTCGTCTTCAAGCAGCTTCATCACCTCACATGCTTCTTGAAAAGTGGCCTTTTCCTGCCCATCGACGATTTTGAGCGCTTGAAAACTGGTAGGACCCCGGATTCTAGTAATAGCAACAGCAACCGTACACAACAGCACTCAAAGTGTGTTATATGTACGGTATAAATTCTACCGTGGCTTTCACACCAGGCCAACCGTCGACGGGTGCGCCCTGCACGCAACGTTCCATTGTTTTCGTGACGCATTCCACGTGCGAGCAAACTCGTCTTCCTGGCACAGTTGCTCGCTCCATACCTGGAATGATTTGACACCGTTTGTCAGTTTCCGCGTCGTCGTCTCCCATAAAATACACCTGTAAAATTGTGGCTGTTCATTAGGTGATCATCACCCATTTTGTGATGTAGTTGGCCATGCACTGTGAACGTTGGGGAAAATCCAGGCATTGCAAAAAGGACCATGGAGAAATATTTGTTGAAGTAAATCTATAGCGTCTATAGATGTCATTATCAGAAATGTTAATAAAATAATCTCAAAATATTTATTAAACAATTGAGGAGGGTTGTCTCAGTCTGGAATTAAAAACTCAAAAAAAGGGAAACACAATTGACTGTTTATTTTTTATTTTTATTGTGGCTTGGCCATGATGGCTTTTGAGCCATTCATTTTAATTGATTTTAGTGATGAAATCAACTTTAAACATGTTTTTGTATGTTTTGCATCGCTTTACGCTTGAACTGTATTTAATTATCTATCAAAAATATCGGCAAACATTACTTTTCACTATTATATTGAAAGCATATTAAATAATCTCCACAATACAAAAAGAGTATGGCGACAATTCTAACGAAAAAAAACTATAACTGTCACTGTCATGCTTGACATCGAATTGTTGTTGTTATTGTTATCATTATTTAACATTGTTTGTGCTTAGGTGCATGCATATTGCAAAGATTTCAATCGGCGTATTGTGTTTTTCTGAGATTTGTTTTTTTAAGTGACTTGGACTGTATTTGGACTTTCGAAATCTTTCTCTACGGCTGTTGAGTAGTGCTTGCCTGAGACTTCCGAATCTGATATTTTGCTGTGGATTTTGGACACGATTCTGTCCCATACTGTGGATTTTATTTCATTGTATCTACTATCTACGATATTGTGATCAACTATGTGGTATAAAAAATATATAAAAAGTGTTGCATATTTAATTAATATCCCATTAGTACATTATTAGAAATCCTTTTTTATACTTTATTATTACATTGGGCATTTTCAAATTGTTAAGTACTTCTTACAGCACATACATTGTATTTGAACTCAATAAATCTTGTCTGATAATAAGTATTTTGACGCGGTTGGTCAGTACCTACGCCAAAGAAAGAAAGAAAGAAAGCCAACTGATCATATATTGTAAAAAACATTTTTTTTCGTCACTTATCTTCAGGACCGGTGTACTTCTATAGTTCCGTTCCACGTATTTTTTATTTTGATATAAAAATACTCTTGAAACAAACTTTTATAATTCGTTTTTGCATTACTTGGTAGGACATAACCTCCAAAACTTCAAAGTAGAATATCTATAAATCCGGACTACCTATAATATAAGAAATACGATGAATCAAATCAAGAATGTAAACTCTATAATTTAACATGCAATTCATTTATAGACGCAAGAAAAAATTTCAACAAAAATTGTATGGGAGTTCGCCATTGTCCTTTGTCCGCCCCGAACGACGACATGTAAAAGCATGGGTTGTACGCAGTTTTAGAACCGTCAAGATTCATCAATTTCACCTGTAAATAATGTATTTAAGGGTTCCACAGGCTCTTCTAAAACAGGAATGGCTACTTTGCCCCCAGAGCTACACATCCGCTCCCGCTCTTTCCTCATTCCATTTTAATGCCCCACAATGGTGACACACATTTTCCACACGCCAAATTTTAATGAGCCTGTGGTTATTGTAATCCAATGTCAAGTCATATTCAAAACCACATTTTTCAAATAACCCCCAAGCATTTCTGGTAAATGTTTGCCGGCACTCTGCTTGATGCTGAGCGACTGCGAGTCGTCTAGAATTTGTCTCATCTACTGTCTCGGAAGCACGCGGATTAGACGTCAGCTGGGATTGATTTAGCCGTCGAGAAGTTTCTTCATCATGTGTTTCAATTGCACGCTGAGTGGACATACGCTATGCGTTTTCTTGATGCCAAGTAGCTGCTACTTCAGGTGTCTCTAATGCACGCTGATTAGCCATAAGCTGGGCATGCTCTCGCCGTCGAGAAGTTCCTTCATCAGGTGTTTCAATGGCACGCTGAATGGACAACGTTGTGCGTTTTCTTGACGCTGAGTAGCTGCTTCTTCATGTGTCTCTAAAGCACGCTGATTAGCCATAAACTGGGCATGCTCTCGCCGTCGAGAAGTGTTTGATTGGATCACTGTGTGGCCATAGGCTGTGCGTTTTCTTGACGCGGAAAAGCTGCCTCATCAGTTGTCTCTGATGCACTCTGAGAAGCTATCCGGATAGGATTTTCCAGACGCCGAGCATCAGCTTGCGAAGAAGTTTCTCCAGTTCTGACTTCTGCCTGACGTGTTGCTTGGTCACGTCTGCGCTGTTCAGTATCATAAGTAGATTCTTGCTGTCTTGCAATTTTCATAGATGAAGCTCTTTGTGAGCTCTGTGAACGATTTGGTTTACAATTGTGAGTCATAATTAGATACACAACAAAATTATAACAATATCGTTGTCCTAGAAATATGTATGAAATATTAATCTATCAAAATAGCTTTGACATGAATGTCAAAAAATATGTACCTACTTGAACAAAATTCATTTGCATCGATTTTCCCATCGAAATAAGATATTTTCCCGCAGTAAAATGTAGCCTATGTGTTAATCCAGGGTACCAGCTAACACCACACCAAATTTTATTAAAATCGTTCCAGCCGTTTAGACGTGAAGAAGTAACAAACATACACACTCACAAACTTTCGCCTTTATAATATTAGTGTGATAAATATTTCCAACAGAAATTTCTAGATTTAATAAATAAATTTAAACATCTAACAGTTAAGAGTGGGCGCGAGCTGAGAGACATTTGAGAAATAGGTATATGAAAAAACTATTGCTGTCACCCATTGTCAAATACCGTGTGATAGGGACAACAGTAGTGAAAGCTGAAAATTTCGTATAAAATTGTAAAATTCGAGGTTTGTCTCTCGACGATTTCCTCCTCGAAAATTAGATATATGTAAAATAAATTTTACACAAAGAATAATAAGTAGTTATACTATGCCCCTACGTTTTGGTTTTTTAGTCAATGTTTAATAAATCTCCACACTAGACGTTTTTAGTAGTGATAAAAAAATGATTTTTTTGACCTCTTTCTACAGCTTATTGTTTCTTGGAAACACAAGTTATCGAAAAAAGGAAAACATAGGAGCATAGAATGAGTTGCATTTTATGTATGAAAATCAATTCTTTTTTTATAAAAATCAAGAACGTTTGTATGGAAAAACATTGCGCGCCTCCCTCGCCCCCTCTTAAGCCTAAAATAAATATATTAACAACATAACTCATAAACATTTACGAACAGGTTCGCACAATATGTGCCCAGATACGAGTGCAAACTAAGAAAGTTCAAGACATTGAGAACGAGCCCAGCTTCAATATAGAACAAGAAAAGAACAGAAGCAGAAGGAAACAGAAGGATTGCGTGATGAAGCAATGCAAGCTGCACCAAGAGCTTAATGAAGTTGTCAGAAGTATACAAGGCAAGATATTGAATGGGGATATGTTTAAGGTGAGTTTGTGATATATTTATTAGAAACTAGCTGACCCAGCGAACTTCTTACCTAAAAATTTAGGGCTGTATGATTTTTTTTAAAGATAAAGCATAAAAAAAATATATATAAAAATTTAAAAAAAAATGTTAGGGGTGGACAGGCAACCTTATCACTTATTATTCCTTGTTTATAAATAAGGGGGTAACCGCCTTATTCCGTAACGCGGGCTAAAATTAGTCTTAGTTTAAACCTAATCTTGCCTGTGTCTTCTTTTTAGCAAACAAAAGTGACAGCAAAAGTTTTAAGTCCAGGCTTAACTTTAGTTAGTGTTTTGACGCGTCATGTGTGCTAAATTTTATCCATGGATGTATTCCGTAATATATACCAGTATACCGGCCAGTGCACTGACGTCATAAATCGATGAAATATTAAAAATAGTGCTAATAAAGAAGATTTTTTATTCACCTCATCAATTAAACGTTATTGTTCTTTAAATAAAAAAGAAATAAAATTTGAATGCTTCTCACGCGCGATCGGTCATACGTCATATTCGTTTTCCCGGTAAAATATGGTGGCATACCAGTACAATATGGCGTCGGATTCGTGACGTCATTACCACTGGCCAGTATACTGATGTATATTTCGGAATACACCCCATATCTGCTCTGTCGGTTTTGCATGTTTGAGTGACAAATATACAATTTCACATTCATAATATAGTAGGGTAGGATTTATTTGAAGTGATCTTATGTCTTTAAGCATTTATACCTTAGAGTTACTTCCCTCCGTGAAGAAATATTATTAAGACCACCAGTAATGCAAATATTCAACCATTTTACCACAAAAAGTATTGATTTTAAGAAACTATAACAATTCTTCCAAAGGTAAAACTGGAGTTCAGTCGTAAAGCGATAGTGCAGCAAGAATCTGAACTTCGCGAGCTTAAAAGCGAACTTCACAGCGCACAATCCACATTAGAAAATATAGAAAACCATTTAACAAGGGCTAAATCTACTGCAAAACAGAAGCTTCTTGAAGCAAAGCGGTCTTGTGACGATAAGTTGCCGCAAGATCCGGGATTTCCTTATAGAGAAGATTTTCAGGTGTTGCCGTCTGATATAAATGCTTTGCAAGAGCATTGCTATGAACTACAGACGAGAATCGATTGTATGGACAAAGGAGATGAACAGGTAACAGTTTATCTAGTAATTAAAGTAAAAATAACAATAACAACTATAATTGCTATTTCTTCTTTCAAATGTTTAAACTTGTAAAGGTATTCATTTGACATTGTGGGCTACCTACAATGCGAACAGATGGCGCTGCTTTGCAGCTTAAGAAAGGCTAAAGAAAATTCGAAACGGCCGTCAGGGACGCGGTAGCATAATGGTCAGTTCATTCGCCCAGATTGCGAAGGGTGTGGGTTCGAGTCCCGTCTGCTGCCTGGTCCGCGTGGATTTTTTTCTTTAGATTTATACATCTAGCAGTTACATGCTTTAAAATAACAAATATAAAGATAACATTTAGATTAAGCAAACTTCAGTATTCTTTAATAATAATTTTGTTCGATATTCCTTTTCCATAATTTGACGTCAATTTTAGAGTGTTTATATACAAAAACAGATAATGTTTGTTGCACAATGGTACCAATATGGTTTACTATCTTTTCTTATATTTTTATATTATTAATTAGAAAAAACATTAAAGAGTATATATACCTCATTATTTTGACTATACACTTAATAAACTAAACTACGCTTGATTTTAACAATCAACAAATAAACACTTGGTTTATGTTGATTGATATGTAAACACTGTTGTGTAAAGGAGACCTTCGATTTTTGCTTAATTTTAAAATTATACTTAAAAAGACTCACGCATTAAAATCTGTGTAAATTCAGTAAAAATTGCTGAAAATCTGAATTAACTTAGGAAATCTGCGTAAAAAGAAACGTTATTACTTAGAAGCAATTTGTCATTGACTGACAGATAATTCTTGAAGTACAAAATTGGGCAGAGTTGTGTGGAGAAAAGAATTGATCCATTTACGATTCATATAATTTTATATTATTCTGTGTAAGTGATTAGCTTAAAAAAGGATTACTTGATAAGACAATAAGCCGTTTTGTTGAAATATATTATTATACGATTTTAATCAGCATAGCACTTAAAGTCGATAATGTTGTAGATAAGGATTATTTTTTACTAAAACCTGGTAATATAATATATCTTTCCTTTTTTACAAAAATACTTACATGTATGCTTTGCTCATCCTTTCAGTTATAACTGTTTAACTTGTTAACCAATGCTGCGAAGGGCAATAAAATTATTTTCTTTCATTATTTTTTATTTATACACGTAATTACCAATTTATAAAGGTACCACTTAAAATAATTAAATTGTAATTAATTCCCTAAGGTCATCAAAGAATACGAAGAAAGGGAGAAGACGATAGCTCAACTTAAGAAAGAGGTCTCCAGTTCCAGTGATTCGAATAAGCAATTGGATAACAAAATGAAAGCACTGAGGTATGTTGCTTTTATCCAGGATGTCAGCTAACTTCATACCAAATTTTATTAAAATCGCTCCAGCCGTTTAGACGTGTTGAAGTAAGAAACATACACACTCGCAAACTTTCGCCTTTATAATATTAGTGTGATAACTACACTCGGCGTCAAGAAATTCGCACCTCCGCGAAAATAACTTTCAAGCGTTATTATAATCTATAACACACGCATTTACCCGCACCAATGTTGGTGTCATTTTAAAGCCATTTAAATAAACTAAAAAAACAATTCATTTATTTTTTCTTTTTTATTGGAACAGTGCAAAAAACAATAAAGTTTACAAAACAATAAAAATCCATAATTAAGCTTTAACTAAAAACAGATTAAGTACACAAAAAAGTACAAAACTGTCCCTTAAATTAACCTAAAACCTAGTGTTGCCCCCTTGCCCGGATGACGGCTTCCATACGCTCCCTCATGGGTCTTTCCAATTTTAGGAGCTATTATTGAGGGATACTGGCCCATTCCTCAATAACGGCCTCTTTGAGTTCCTGGAGAGTCGTAGGAGTGGGATCACGAGACCGAACCTTGCGTTTCAAATGGTCCCAGAGGTGCTCTATCGGGTTCGGGTCTGGACTTCTCGTTGGCCACTGCATGACAGAGATCCCAACCTCTAAAAGGTAGTCGCGCACAATTAATGCAGTGTGAGCTCAAGCGTTATCGTGGATTAATGTGAACCCTTCGTCAACAAAACCGGCAAAGGGGAGCACATACTCTTCCAGGATCTCTGTGACGCAGTCCGGGAGACGCTTACAAGGTCGGTTTTGCCGTCAGCCGACATGCCTCCCCAAAACATACAGGAACCGCCCCCGTATTCTACCGCCTCCTGGATGCAGGCTTGGGTGAAACGTTCCCCCCGTCTTCTGTACACTCTTCTGCGTCTATCGTTGCAAAAAAGGTACACTCTCGTCTCGTCTGAGAAAAGATACACTCTTCTGCGTCTATCGTTGCAAAAAAGGTACACTCGTCTCGTCTGAGAAAAGATACACTCTTCTGCGTCTATCGTTGCAAAAAAGGTACACTCTCGTCTCGTCTGAGAAAAGATACACTCTTCTGCGTCTATCGTTGCAAAAAAGGCACACTCTCGTCTCGTCTGAGAAAAGATCAGCTCTCCATTGGTCAAGGGTGCAATTGACGTGGTCGCGAGCACACTGCAAGTAGGTTCGCCGATGCTCTGCGGTCAATTTTGGAACCGTAGCAGCTCTATGAGCCGCTATCTTCTTCTCCCTCAGTCTTCTACCGTAGAAACGCTCACGGTTGTTCTGCAAGCTGCCTGCAGTTGTTGTTGCAGCTCAACAGCATTAGAGAACCGATTTCTTAGCAATGTCGATCCGATGAATCGGTCTTCTCTCTCCGAGGTGCAGCGGTGTCTACCAGACCCCATGCCTCCGGACATGGCCACCGGTCTCCAAGAACCGTTGGTATACTCTTCGAACCGTAAAACGGCTCGTGTTCAGTTGCCGAGCGAAATCTCTGATTGCAGTAGTGCAATCACTTGAGCGACTTCATCAGCATTTTCAAGGTGGTTTTATTTTGTGAAAGATCTTCTCGAGTTTCCTTTTCAACGATTGGATAGCGAATAACCCACCTACTAAAGGTAGCGCAACTAGTGGTCCTTTTCCTCAAAATGCCAAAAAACTATACGCCAATATTGCTCCTCAGCAATATCTCTCTTTGCTTTATTTTTCTTTTACAATGTGTACGATAACTGAGGAGCTCGATGGCGCGGGTGGTTAGCGTGTTCGGCTGCGATCGTTGAAGTTAAGCAACTTTCGCAGAGTTCGGTCATTGGATGGGTGACCAATAACTTATTATCTCAAATTCCTTCGGGGTTCGGAAGGCACGTTAAACCGTTGGTCCCGGCTGCATGTGCAGTCCTTAGCACCCGCCAATCCGCCCTGGGCCCGCGTGGTGGGTCATGGCTCAATCTCCCTATTCCATCCATAGGGAAGGCCTGTGCCCCAGCAGTGGGGACATTATTAGGCTGATGACTTCATAGTCATCATATCATTATGATAGCTAGAGAATTAATGGAAATTGCATTAAAATCGTTTTATTTCAGTTCGAAATGGCTGCCGCCATTAGAGAGGTTACTGAGAGACATCGACAAGAGTTTCGGCGATATGTTCGCCAAGCTAGGATGTGCCGGAGAAATTAAATTGGATAGGGGTGGAAGCGACGTAAGTTATATATTAAAATAATTGCTATTTTCAAACGGTTTTATTCAGCTTGCTTTTTTTTACAAATAAACAAATTGTGTGTGTTAAATTTGTTAGTAGACATTTTACCCCTTAACAGATTGGTCTGATGTTGACTTTTATTTGGACCTTTATTTTAGTAACACAAAGTATGTAAATAATACTAAAAATAAGTAAGTCTTATAATACTAAAAATAAGCAAGTCCTTTAGGGATTAGTATTAATTTGAATTTTTGTGGTAATGGTAATGGTTTTATTTTTGGGTTTTTCCAAAAAAAATTGAAAGCGTCATCTTATTTTTATCATAACTTGCTCAATTTTGATACTTTTAACTTTTTACAGTGCTTATTAGTAAGTAATTTCCAAGGACTTTAAAAAGTATTCAGGATATATGTCATAAAATGCATTGGTTTCGCGTTATTAAGATTTGAATACTTAGATTTAAGTAGGTACTCGCCGAAAAAAATATACATACAATTTCCTATAGCTCACTTTGAATTAATATTAGAAGGTTTTTCGAAGTAGGGGTTTGCTTGTTTTTTTATTAGCTTTAATTTTGGTAATAATACATTTTTTGTAAAAACTCATAGTTTTTGAGTTATTTATAAAAACCGCTTTAAAACATGTATTTTTATCACGAAAAATCACAATATTTGATCTTTAATAACTCAGAAAGTATTGATTTATTCCCAAATCTTTGTATAGCAAATTTTGCTTAGAATTTATTTTTCTATGGATTTCTCGAGTTATTTTATTAAATTAATTTTCACCCCCCGGGCTCTTCCCGGGCATCTAGCCCCAGGGCAAAAGCGCAAGTTGGCACTATGTCACTTTTGTTTCTTAACGTATTCTCACCTACTCACTAATTTTCATGAAAATCGTCGGAGGTTGTAGCTGATTTTTGCCTTCATTGATTGGACTAGTTGTCAATAAAATGTTTCTCTATCTTTTTCTCTATTATGTTGGCAATAGTTAGTCTTCCGTGGTGAAGAGGGTTATAGGTACAGTTAAATACTATGAGACGGTTTTATCAAATAATTGAGGAGGGTTGTCTAAGACTGGAATTAAAAACTTTAAATTAGGGAAATATAATTGACTAATTATTAAGAAATAACATTTTTTTATTGCCGCTTAACGTCATGTGTTCTGATCCTATTACTTTAAGTGATTTCATTGATTAAATCAACTTCAAGTATGTTGGTCGTATGTTTTACATCGCTTTACGCTTAAATTATATAAAAATTTACTTTTACGAAAGATTGAGAAACATCTTTTTATGCAATATTATAGTGAAAGCATTATAAATAATCTTAATAATATAAATAAATAATCAATCCGATATTAAACGGATGGATCCAGTGTTTCTTTTGGAACATTTTCTCTTTTTCTTAAACTTCATATTAATTACAATAATCTCAGAATATTGCTTCCATAGCGTGTGATTGCCCTCCACGGATATTTTTTTAATGCTACGGGGTCAAAAGTCCTCGGCGAACAAAAGTCTGTCGCCTGCGCAGGCTATTATTGAGATAAATAAATATATGATATGTACGTACTTACTTAAGGTACTGTTTAGAAATAAAAAAAGCGTGTGTGTCTCGGGACACACATGACCGAAGTAATAACTTAAACTTATATAAACGGCGCTGCGAGTTGGAGTAGGAGAGGAGGAGTTTGCCAACCGCTGTCGTATGCGTGAGAGGAAGGGAGGCCAGACAGACTGGCGCCGTAACGCGTTACGTAACGAAGTGGTTTACCCTTCCATAGCAAGTTATCACTGCGTAACACGCGTAAATTGTTAGTTTTATTTCGTTTGTTTCGAGTCTATTATAATCGGCATGTTTTTCCTCAAATTGACGCGGGTGAAACCGAGGGGCCTCTAGTTTATTATACGGAGCTTTTTTTAATAAAACACTTTCAATAACTTGAGTAAAGCACGGCTTATTAACTTACGAATATTCGCCGACTACAAACGATGCCGAATAGTCGTCTTTCCCGACTACTCGGCCAATCTCCACTCTCTATTTTTAACCGACTTCAAAAAAGGAGGAAGTTCTATGTTCGACTGTATTTCTTTTTTATGTATGTTCACCGATTTCTCTGTCAATTGTGGACCGATTTCCATTTTTTATTTATTTAAAAGAGTGCACTTCCGAGGTGATCCCATTGGAACCAAGTCAAAAAAGTGGAATTCGGGGTAATCGAGGGAAACCTTCAAATTTCAAAGGCACGCACGATGTTTTTTTATGCATGTCCACTGATTTCTCCGTCATTGAATCTTGACCCGGAAGATTCCAGATTGAATTGAAAGTCGGGCACTTCCAAATCATGAACCAGATATTATTTATTTGTTTCTTAAGTTTTCACGCACATCACCCATTAAATAAAACTAGTTTTAACGGGTTCATGCACGAAACTTTATTTATTTATTGACGTTTCGCAGCCTTTTCATGTCTGCTTCGTCAGAATGATTTTTTACTTTTTGTTCCATTTTCGATTTTGAAGTCGGTTTTATTTTTTGTTTTAGTCTTGTTTTTGTTCTCCCCTCAGGAAGACTACGATAAATACGGTGTATCGATATTGGTCCGTTTCCGCGCGTCGGAGCAGCTGCAGCAGTTGACTCGGCACGCACAATCGGGCGGCGAGAGAGCTTTGTCCACAGCGCTCTACTTGATGGCCTTACAGAGACTCACCACTGTGCCTTTCCGGTGAGATAAATAAATAAATAAATGTTTCCAACACTCACGCCAATAGGGTTATTGACAGTATTAAAAATAAAGTGCCAATTGTAGCATCTGTGTTGAGAATGATTGGCAGGGGTTTTTACTATTTTTACAAAAAAAATATTCATAATTTTACTAAAAACCCAAGAAAAAGATAATAGTTTTCTTATATATTGTCACGTGACCCAAAACGCTAAGGATCACTTTTAATGCATACTGTAAAAGGTCATAATTAAAACGCACGCATCAAAGAGATACGACAGTTTGAAATGCAAGCTCGTAAAATTTTACGACTTATTGCTATATACGGAAGAATATAGACCTTATATCATTGATGCGCAAATCTGAATGCGCTGTTAATAAAATAGTGCTAACGACTGCAGATGCAGCCGGGACGAACGGCTTAACGTGCCTTTCGAAGCACGGAGGAGCTCGAGTATAGTAAATTTTTTGTCACCCATCCAATGACCGTCCACTGCGAAAGTTGCTTAATTTTAACAAATGCAGCCGAACGCGCTATCCACCTGCGCCGGTCGAGCTCCTCCTAGTTTACTGTATTGTTACTTTAAGTATTCAACTACTAGCGGCCGCCCGCGACTTCGTAGGTACGCGTGGAGTTAGTTAGAAATAAAGGTCCACTGCTCGTTCCCCGTAGGTGATAGCGTGATAATATGTAGCCTACATGTTGACCCGACTTCTTAATAATGTTCGTGTCAAATTTTAAGTAAATCCATGCAGTACTTTTTGAGTTTATCCCGGACATACATACAGACAAAAATTCTAAAAACTATTTTTTTGGCTTCGGTATCTATAGTAGACCACATCTCAAGTATTCTTTAAAAAAAATATTCTACGTAAATTTTTGACTTTCCTCCCGTTTTATTATATGTATACTAGCTGACCCAGCGAACTTCGTACCGCCCTAAAAAAATAGGGGTTGTCCAGCGGACAAAATTGTGAATCTAAACCATTCTCAGATCCCCTTGAACACACAAAAAATTTCATCAAAATCGGTCCAAGTCGTTTAAGAGAAGTTCAGTGACATACACACTCACAGAAGAATTATATATATAAAGATGTTGAATAACAAGTACTTACTATAGTGCGACAAGGATCTCTATGAGTGCTAGTGATAGTTCAGGGAGGGCGCACCTGTCTACGGGTGTATTCCGAATCAAACACCAGTACGCTGGCCAGTGGTAATGACGTCATCATATTGTCAACACTAAGCTACACCAGTGCAATATGGCATCGAAATCATGACGACATTACCGCTGGCCAGCGTACTGGTTTATATTTCGGAATACACCCTACGTAATTGACATAAAAATTATGACGTTTCCAAAGACGGTGGGTTTGGTTCCGATTTTCGTTCATTCATAAAGATCCTTGGAATAAAAGGCTAATTTAATAACCAATGTAAAGTAAACACTGTTTCAGAGATCTCTAGATTAGATTCTAATTTTAGGGCCGCGGTAGCATAATTGGTCAGTGCATTCGCCCGGATAGCGAATGGTGCGGGTTCGAGTCCCATCTGCTGACTGGTCCGCTTGGATTTTTTCTAGTAAATTTTTCTTTAGATCCAAGAAGGTTGTCAAAATGATGCTTACATTCCCTAGCATGTTTGAGCAATAATAATAATAAATAAATAAATTTTTCCAACACTCACACCAATTAGCCTAGCCCCAAAGTAAGCACTGTAAGGCTTGTGTTATGGGATACTAGGGTAACCGATTGAATACATATACTGTACATATATAAATATATTTATATAGAAATACATATTCGACATCTATGACTGGAGTGCAAATGCTCGTATTCATCACACAAACATCTGCCCCCACTGGGATTCGAACCCAGGAGCTCTCGAGTCGGCGACACCATGAAACCCGGCGTACAAACCACTCGGCCACGGAGGTCGTCAATTTTTATTTTATTTTTAAACAGATGCGTGGACGAGATCAACCAAGGCATGGATCCCGTAAACGAGAGGAAGATGTTCCAGCTTCTGGTTAGAGTTACAACTGAATGTGACAACGCGCAATATTTCTTGCTCACTCCTAAGGTATGTGTGGTTACAATATTTTTGAATTGAATACTTCTTTAGCGGCGTTGTACACTTTTTTTGTATGGATAAAAAATGTTAAACTCGCGTCAGGTTAAACACGTGGGCTGAACGCATCATGACACACAATAAAATTGGAAAGGTTGTTGACTTTCAATATACTGGACGAAACTAAGTAATATTTTATTTTATCGTATTATAATAATGTCTCTATCTAGGACGTCCACGTGGCAGCTTTATTGCGAAGAAAATGCATTTTTTTTACAATAGATGTCGCTTAAATGTGATTCATGTAAGTTGATTTTTTTGAGAGATAAACTTTTTTAATGAAATATAAATTGTCATGTTTCTGTATCTGTATGATGGCGCAATAAATAAATATTGTATTCTACCACATACATGATAGTACTTTTATATTGATAATTAAAGCAATTTCCATTCCAAAATATCAAAAATGTACAACGTTAATATTCAAGTTTTCACTTCTGCCGGCACTCCCGGAGTGCAACCTGTCGTTTTTTTTTAATATTTTCGTCTAGTTTGTACGTATTAGTGCTTTTGTGGGTTGTCGCAAAATGTGGGTATAGTACGATTCCTATAAGAATAGGAAAGCCAATGACGTTCATCTGTCAAATGTCGCTTGAAAAGTACGGGTTGCAAAAAAATCTTGGAACCCTATTTTAGCACTCATTCTAGAATAAAAACCAAACATTCTTAAACAAACAATAACAAATATTGATAATTAATATTGTTTTTTTTTTGATGTGTAACATCTTTCCTCTCGCTTTCCTGCAATTTGTGGGAGTGATTTCGTGAAATGGGACGGAAGTGTGTAACAGGAAGTCGCGAAAGCGCGCGCTATTTGATTTGATTTTAGAACATAGTGTTCAAATGGCTTACTCCTTTTGTAGTAGGTTTAATTTTTTTTTTACTAATATAAGGTGATGTTTCAAATGTTACACATCATACGCGACTACTGTAAGGCTCGCTCGTTTTTTTTCATTTTTTTTCTAGTTTGGACGTATTAGTGCTTTTGTGCCAACGATATTAAATACCCTTGATACACCACGTGCGCTCAAAATGTGTCCCAATCAAGAAGTGCTTGAACTCAACTCAAGCACTTCTTGGTTAACAGGCATGCGCGGGCCGTTTAAAAGTCAAGTTCTGCGGTAACTTGACTTTTCAACTTCGATATTAAGTTAGATACAACATCACGAACAAAATCGTGGCCAAAACCTGTCCAAAAGGTACATTGGACGATACACGAAGCTCCGTAAGATGATCACGTTGTCAAAAAACAATATAAGTTATTATTCAAACATTCAAAGTCATCTTTAATGCAAACTGTATAAGGTCTTAATTAAAACGCATGCGTCAAAGAGTTATGACAGTTCAAAATGCAAAAGCTAGTAAAATTTTACGACTTTTTGCTATACGCGTAAGAATATAGACCTTATTTCTTAGACTCTACGCGCAATGCTTAATGCGCTGTTAGCAATATAGCAATTACGGACCGCGAGGTAAAGAGACGGCTATATAACCGACCATGCATTTGAATATCACAAATATTTTCTATTAAATCAGTTTACAGTAAGTATTAGAACATAATTTGCTACAAATGCGTTAAAGTAACAAACATTTATTATATAGATACCTGTCGAAAAAAGGACACTTTACGTACTATAAGTATTTATTGAGCATTTTTAGGTCGGAGCTCTGCGGCATCTTGACTTTTCTACGGTCCGCGCGTGACTGTGATCTAAGAAGCGCTTGAGTTGCGTTCAAGCACTTCTTGATAGGGACACATTTTGAACGCACGTGGTGTATCTAGGGTATTTAATATCGTTGTATTATTCTTATAAATAAACAATATGTTATTCATGTTTTTTATTTTTGAAGCATTTAACTGCTAGTTTAAATGTAAAGAAAAGTTTACTAGAAAAAATATCCACACGGATAGCGAAGGGTGCGAGTTCGAGTCCCGTCTGCTGCCTGTTCTGCGTGGAATTTTTTCTAGTTTTTTTTTTATATGTTATTTATTAAAGTTTAAATAAAATTTTCAGCTACTAACCAACTTGGAGTACAACGACAAAATCATGGTACACACCATAATGAACGGTAGAAACATCATGAACTACAGGAAATGGAAACACCATAAATTCGTTGAGAGAGCTCATGCGTATAGAACTAGCTAGTGCTAGTACTGAATAAATAAATGGACAAAGTTTTCCATTGAATTTTGATTTATTTTTAACATACACTTAACGTCAAGCACGTACCAATATCGAACTCCAATAGTTGAATTCGATGATACGCGTCAAATGTCAAGAAGCTTTATATATTGAAATTTGAACAGCGCCACAACGGACGGAACAAGAATTAAAAAGGCTTCCATACACAACACCTTGACATTAGACGCGCATCGATATTGAATTTAACTATTCGAATTCGATATTGGCTCGTGTTTAGGATACAGTTTCAATAATGAAATTCCAGTAAGAGGTAGACCTACAGGAGCTTCGTTGCCTAGATATTTTTATTACTAGCAGGGCCGGATTTAGGATTGTGGAGGCCCCGGGCCACTTAGGATTTGCATGCTTGTTGACCCATCGAAATTTTGTTATTTCTTAAGCTGTTGTGGAGGCCCCTGGGCCACAGCCCCATCTGCCCTGCCTTTAATTCGGCCCTGAGATTAATATAATCAAATAATCATGTATGTTAGATGTACAAAGTACTGTAGGCTGTAGGTAAAGGTAAAAGAGCAAAAAAAATATCAAAGGAAAAGATGTTTACTAGTGTTTACTAGTTGGAATTTGAAAGATTTTTTTCCGAAGTCTATTGTGGGGCCCCCCGTTTGTGGAGGCCCCGGGGCTTTCGCCCCGGTTGCCCTCCCCTAAATCCGGCAGTGATTACTAGCATCCGCCCGCGCCTTCGTCCGCGTTAATTTTTGTTTAATGAGAATCCCTCAGGAACCTATCATTGTTCCAGGATGTCTCAATCCAGGTTATTAACTAAAACCTGTATTATAGAACGCGGCTCACCCAGCATTTAAACTTGAATCACGCAAAGCTGGTTTTTAACTGTAAATCACTACTAAATTGCTCAGCATATTACAGGTCGCGTTTTAAGAGCAAATCAGCTGAAACTAGAATCAAAAATCATTTTCAACCCCGATCCAATTTTGGGAGGTGATAGATGGTTTTTTTCAATATAAAGTCGGGTCTGCTGCGCGAATTTTTAACAAAAATCTAAACAAATTATCGAAACAGCTAGTCCACAGCGCCTGTTTTTTTGATAACTGTTAGGTCACGCCCAATGGCCACTGTTTTTCAAGTGAGTTTGTTTCAAAAATGAGCTCCGATCCAAAAACACTTCCATTTAAGTATTTACTTTTCGGTATGGTAACTAAAAATTATTGAATGCTGAAAAAATTGTTACATAAAAAATTGCACTCAGAGCGTAGGTTTTTAACGCAGTCCAGTGGCACAAAATTTTCTGTGCCCGTTTCTGTTCTGCCAATAGCAGATTTAGAGTTATTGCTATTGAATTGGTACATTAATAACCTTATGTTTATTTTTATGATCTACCTATGTTACATGCCAGAACACCGGACTCTCTAATTAGTACTATAAAAACAAAATGTTATATATATTCCACTCCATTACAAAATAAACCAAAGATAATAATATTATTTTCAAATAATACGTGGTTTTCTAATGAGCACTAACAAAAAATACATAACTTCCCATTCCCACCGGCGAACGCGGGGAATGTAATTGTATTATTCTAAATAATGTAATGGAAGGTGACTTCAAAATTATCTCTGAAGTCATTTTTCAACTTGACGACTCTATATAATAAATAATACAGGGAGAATAAAACAGCCCTTGCTGACTTTCTCACCGGCTCTTCTCAGTACAAGGTCTCCCGCCGTAGTTTTGCGAACGAAATGGCGTAGCTTCTCGACTTTCACAGGTGCTCTTAACAGCCTAAAAGGAATAAATGATTTTTGATTTTGATAGGTTGTATTTTTGCTTACAAAACTGTTAGGCCACGCCCCTAATCGGTTAGCAAGCATGAAAACACGGCGCAGGAGACCCGGCTTTTGATGTACATTAAGCTATGTGTACTTATTGTAGACGACTAGTTTTTAACTTTTTACGTTAATGTGTATGGTATATGAATAACGCCATAATTATATAAGTCGCGGCACGAAATAGGGATGATGACTAATTTTTTTTCTTCGTTTATCAGGTAGATTATCAAAAAGTATTAGACACGTATTTTTTCTTTTTTCACATAATATAAACATTACAGAGATATATTGATTTGAAAAGTCGCATGACGTCACGTTTGAGTACACTTATAAGTGAAAATTCACTCAAAAGTGACGTCACGAGCCCCTACTCCCAAACTTTGACGCGCTATAACTTTGTCATTTTTTGGTTGATTGCCAGAAGAAAAAAATACGTGTCCATTATTTTTTGATCATCTAACTGACGGACTAAATAGAATTTCGTTTACTGTACCCCGTCATCACCCCTATTCTAGCGCTGACCGTTATTGCGCAGAAGTAAAAATTAAGAGCCCTTTTACAAAATTGCGCCGCTGCCGTACTGATCGGCGCGTAGGTAGATTTGCACTAGTATATATTGCATTTTTTGGGTGATGTTTCAAGTCGTATAAAATAATTATTAATGAACTAATTATAAAAATATATACATATTTCAGTAGTTCAATGATGGTAGATAAGTTTTATGAAAGTTTTTGATAGTAATTCTATTTAATTCAAAATACGAGGTAAACCTGCATTATTTTTTGGGAAAACTCACGAAGGTTAGATGTTTTTTTTGATAATTAATGAGATAGAAAATCAAAATTCTAATACATTATGTTACAACAAAAACATATTTCTGATGTCGTAGTAATTAATTTGATCTAATTTATTGAACATTATAGAGAGATTGACACGTTGAAATTGTGCATATTATCGTTTTTTCCTTCTATTGGGAATAGTCAAAACCTTTTCTAAGGGGGCAAACGAGGCGCTCAAAAATTACAATTTTTTGCAAAAAATGTGAAAGGGCTCTTAAGTGCGCTGCGCCGATTGTCTCTCCAGTCGTACTTTTGCGCAGCTATCCCCTCCGCGTTTTGTTCAGCGCTAGAGCTACGTGCCGCGAACTGTAGTAGAAGACCCAGTATTGTATTATTTTTATATACTGTAATGTAAGTTTATGCCAGTTTTGCTTTTACGAACTAGCTATTTTAATTGAATACACATTCCTATTGTTTAAATATTGTTTTTAAATTATTCTGAAAAGAAAACGATTTTCTTTTTGTCGTCATCAGTTACCATGTGTTGTAATGTAAGCTCTCTTTTGTCTGGTAATATTGTTTGTTTATTTAGTATTTATTTACTCTTTGTTTTACAACGAATGGCGGACTTAACGCCACACGGCATTTCTCTACCAGTCCACCATCGGGCTAGTTTGTTTGTTGGCATTTTTGTTACAACGCAACATGCATTAATGAGATTTCTAATTTTATGATTGTTACAAGTTTTTAAACTAGGCTTCAAAAAACAATGTTTACTTTGAAAGGACATTGCTCGTTCCCCATACATTGAATGCCCCAGAATGCACAGCAATGAGAAAATGCTAGTTGTGTTCGGAATCATTCATAAACTCTCATTAGGCATTTGTACTACAAAATGTATTTAGATGTCAAATAACTGTTTTTTTGTTTTATTAGATTTTGTGGTTATAATTATTATACTTAATCGTTAATGATGTACACTTTATATTTTCTGCACATGTAAGCACTTAAATAAAATTAATTAAATAAACATAAAATGCTATTCATATAAGAGTGTTGGCAGTTGGCACCTATGATACCTATACCTACCTGTTTAATAATACATTTATTCCCAAATTAAATGTTCAAAGGCTTTCCGTTTACCTGTTTCTATATTTTATTATTGGTAATAAGGTATGTACCTGGTTTATGATTTTCATAAAAATAAACAGATAACACATGAGATGGGAGTATAAACGTATCTTTACATAATTTCAGAAATTATCTATCTATAAATATAATATAAATACTAGTGTGTAGTGTAGTAAGTATTATTAACTAAGGAGGGTAGTTACGTAGTTCTATTCTTATGTTGATAAAGACCTATGGTCATATATATATATATATCTATATTGCATTTATTAGGGCTATCTTTTTAAATTAGAATACAATTAAATTAAAAAACACTTATTTGACATGATTTTTTGGACGTTATTGGCGGATGCTTTTGAATTTACATGAGACAGTCTCTTAAGGTTCTAAAGATGACATGACGGCAAATTGTGTAGTACCTAGTTACATGACTTTAATTTTTTACAACAGAATGTTCGTTTACTATGGAATAATAATTGCTAATAAAGTAAAAAAATAATAGTGAAGGACATTCGTTTGTGCATGCTGGGGCCGATTTCGTCAATGTCCTTTGACTTGTAAGGTTCAAATTTGATTGTACGATTCAATTGGCTGTCTTCTTTGTATCACCAAGGAAAGAATGAGATAGTCTGCTCTAAAACTTACAAATGAACAAGTAGAGCTTACAACTGTAACTTTTGAGATTAGATTCATCACAAATTTTAAGTTTTTGTAGGAATAGTTGGTATGTTCGAGATTATTTGTTTTTAAAATGTTGTGTGTCGTATTATTTTGTATATTTTCCGGCCACACTCGGAGACTCCTTAAATTAAATGCGCCATTAGGTGACGTGTTGCGTCATTATATTGTTAGAACGGAGAAAGTAACAGCAACAATTTTAAGTTGATTGAGGACTTAAGTGTGGTCGTGTAATTTTAAGCGGATCATGTTCTTCAAAGGAGAATTCGGGTTTTTATAGGGACATTATTATGGGAATATAACTATGTAAACCGCAACACATTTTGGGAGCGAAGCAAAACTATGCTTGAAATAAAACAAAGAAACGATGTGGGCAGTGGCGGGGCTAGACCACATGTGTACGTCGGCGACATCAAGTTCGCGAGGCCTATTTTACTTCGCAGTAAAAAACCGTTAAATTAAGTGAGCCAAATTATACAATAACGTATGAGTAAACGAGTTTTATTGTTGATAATCAAATGATGACAAATAATAATTACAAACATAGAAATTTAAATACAAAAATAGTGTTGCCAGACAGACGATTCTGAATACCCGTAAAGTACTACTCGCTTCCATCACGCACGTGTTCGAAAATAATAAAAGTCATTATCATCTGCTTAGCTTTTTCCCCGAATTGTTCGGGGTCGGCTACCTAAGCCAGGTAACTAGTAAAAATTTTTTGCGAGGCTTATGCGCGAGGCCGTCGGCGGTGGCCGATGTCGCCGACGCCTAGCGCCGCCACTGGATGTAGGTAATAGTTGAGTTATTTTTATTAATATGTTTAAGAACTTTGGTGCCATTGGGCCTATAAATGTACCTTACCATTGATATCATGTACAAATAATTAAGTGTTCCCACCTTTCAATTGTGATACGCTAATCGTTTTAAGTGTTGTTTCTTATGGGTTTTTAAGCAAATCAATTTTGCTTAAAAACCTAACCCCAACGACTACAAAATAAAGATCATTTTATCTTTCAAAAAATATTACGGATGATAAACATGTTTTGTTAATCCATAAAAAGTTTGTTTCGAACAGTGTTATTCTATACAAACGATATTGTTAGTCAATATATCGAGTTACATATTATGTTCGACCATTGCATAAGCAAATACTACCATTTGTGTTTTTATAATATAGGAGCAGGCGAACAAAACGGTATAATTACGCATCTGGTCAAACTACGTTTTTTTTACAGTCCGGAGGTTTCGGGCCCGTAAAATTTGAATCTCAAATATTTTTCAATCAAAACCACCTAAAGAGTATTAAAATTACTAAATTTATAAATTAGATATCATGCCAAAAACTCACTGGAGGTATGTCATTCAGTTTTATACAGCTCCTGTTAAATTTAATTTTAAATTATGCCGTTTTGTTCGCCAGCTCCTCAATGGTGTTTGTCGTTAATATGTAATTAATGATGATAATATTTCATTTCAAATGTGTGATTTTATTAACCCAAATCATTGTTTTATTTTTACGTGATTGTGGTTTGTGTTTAAGCGATTTTCGATTTGGAAACAAAACCACAGTTTTATAAATAAATAATTGTTAATTTGCTTATTTTTAATCATTTATTCATTAATACTGTGTTTGACACATCATTCAGTATTTAATTTAGAAATTTCAGTGTTTTAGTAATTAGGTTTTAAAATTAATATTTTTGATAATTTATTATTGTATTGGTATTTTGATTAATGAAACACAAATTCGATGTTGAAAAATTGTTGTATTGAATATCAATAAATATTTTTTTGTAAATAAGTCTTTTCCAGTGATTACATTATAGGCGTATTTTAACATTAGTTTAAGCGAAATAATACTAAGATAATTGCGAAGCAATAATAGTTTTTTCAAGACTTCTGTCCCTCTCACTCATCCGGCTAGAGATAATATGAGAGAGAAAGAGACAATCAAATCACTTCAACCCCACTGAGCAAATCTAGATCGAATTTTACTATTTGAATTCGATATTGGTTCGTGCTAACGGTAAGGATGTTCAGTGTTTGGTAAGTTAGACTTATCCGGTCGCGAAGATGGTTCATGTCATACAAGGTGTTACAAAAATACAAAAAAAGCTTGAAGGGCGTTGAAGTACATCATATAAGGAGTCTTCTCTAATTTTCTTAAAATATTTGCATGAAGTTTTAACTTTTTATAAAATCAGTTATTTTTAATGATTAATAAAAATATCGATAATTTTAAGACCCGTCACTAGTTCGAATATCATTAAAAATAACTGTTTTTATAAAAAGTTAAAACTTCATGCAAATATTTTAAGAAAATTAGAGAAGACTCCTTTTATGATGTACTTCAACGCCCTTCAAGCTTTATTTGTATTTTTGTAACACCCTGTATAACAACTTCCACTTGTATGAGCTCATTAACATTTCCTTCTTTCCAGGATACATTTGGAACTCTTAAAAGTAAAAATAAAGTTCATTTACACATTCCCCTACGCCGTAAAGCTTAGTAAGTTTTCTTACTGCAGAAAAAACACTTGTGGCATAATAAGGACAGCAGTTTTCCGTAAGTTGGAGATTCATGCCCCTGACCTATTGTGCTTAACTCCTGTTAAATGCAAAGAAGGTAAAATTATTAGTAAAGTATTTTTATTAAGAAATGTTAAACGATATAGTTAGTTGTCCATTTGCACTCCTTTCCCGGTCCATTGCTCGTCCAACTTCACGTCGCACTCCAAGTCTCTCAGCGCTGACTTCACGTCGAAGCCGAATTCCTTTTGGAATCTGTCATATGCGGCGTTAAGTATCGATTCTACGCCTAATTCGTGGAATTTTGAGTTCTGATCCCGACATCTGGCTACCATGTTCCTTATCGCCCAGCAGCCGTTTTTCTGTGGAAGAATTTGTTTATAAAGACTTTGCAACAGTTGTGAGATCAAATCATTCAAACAATGTAAATACACAGAAGTTTATAGTTAAATGTATAAATAATTAAAGGTAAGTGTATAATTTATTTAGTTGCGTCTTCCGTTATATATGCGGATGCATTAGCCGTTGAGGAGCTCGATGGCGTTCGGCTGCGATTGTTGAAGTTAAGCAACTTTCGCAGTTGTCGGTATTTGGATGGGAGACCAAAAATTTACTATCTCGAGTTCCTCCGAGCTTCGGAAGGCACGTTAAGCCGTTGGTCCCGGCTGCATCTGCAGTCGTTAGCACCCACTAATCCGCACTGGGCCCACGCGGTGGATCATGGCCCAATTTCCCGATTATATCCATAGGGAGGGTCTGTGCCCCAGCATTGGGGACATTAAAATTAAAAAAAAAAAAACAAAATTCTATATCGTTTATTCAGTCTTGCAATTCACAAGCACTTGTGAATGTCGAAAAGCTACGCCATCAGTTCGCAAAACTACGGCGGGAGACCTTGTACTGAGAAGAACCGGCAAGAAACTCAGCAAGGGCTGCTTTTTTCTCCCTGTTTTATTTCATACAGTGTCGTCCAATTGAAAGTTGACATCAAACTTGCAAACATGTGTTGAGGTCAACTTCCATCACATAATGTCAAATATGTAACAATCAATGAATTTACTAACAATAAGTGCAAAGTCCCAAAATAGCAAGAAACAATTTTCAAAACAAAATGAACAAGTATATGAAAGGGAGTAAGTGCAAGGTTCTCTCATTAATAGGCTAATGATGATGATAATGATTAACCGTTATGTTATCTACGCCTTATTTGCCATGTCGATATTTTTGACGTGACAACGTCTTAAATTAGGTTGCGGCTGGGAGTCACTTATGAAAAAGTGTAACGCTCGGTAACGTTACGATGAGTTTAAGTTTACATGTACAATGTTTTAGTAAACAAAATATATTTCTATAGTTAAAATTTGTGCAATTCTTATTTTCATTCAATTCCTTGTTCCTATTGTGCAATTTAATTATATTCATATCAATAAATATTCTACCGAGAAAAAGACGTTGTCACGTAAAATCTTCGCCCGTAAAACCGACTTTACAGGCAACCATTTTTTTCTAGTATTTCTTAGGCTCTATTTATACCGGCACGGAATGGAATGGAAAATATTTTTTGCAACGAAATTGTACATACAAACTAAATACGAGCCAATAGTTACGGGTATTGTGGAGAATGCGCGAGGATTCCTTGGAAGACGCGCTTATGTTATATGTATAATTGACATTGTTGCAAAAATTCGCTACCACTAAATCCGGAGGCGGTATACATTGAGCCGTAGACTGAAAGGCTATTAATCTATATCTAATAAGACTATTTATCATTCGGAACGAGAAAAATATTTTGTAGTATATTTTTTCTTTAAATATAAATATGTATGTTATCAAAATGTCCCTCCAGAATATCAGCGTTGCAAGCGGCAATCCATTTTTGCCGCTGCAACATTATCCTGGGGTGGGGTCTAGTTAGGGATGAAACGATACCATCTCTGCCGTCCTCAAACTAAAGACATGTGGTCGATTCTTCAGTCTTAAATTGCATCTTATACAGTTTTTAATTCCCTATCGATCTGTCTTTAACATGTATTCGTATCTTTTATAGTTTAAGTCTTAAAAATCCGTCACGTGATGAATGGTTATAAAATAGCAATAATTTAAAGTGAACACGCCGTTATTTTGGCCATATCTCTTGATTTTGTCATTTAGCCATATAAGTACTTACTTCACGATACTACTTGTTACTCAGTTCTAAAGTATCGATGCCAAAAGTACTTGGTATCGAACGAAAAGTATCGAGTAGTTACTTGTATTTACTCGTATCGTTTCATCCCTAGGTCTAGTTGACGATGTAGCTTTTGTTTTAAGTTTAATGTGTATTTATTGTATTTGTTAATGTATGTCGTAATAAATATTTTTCTTTCTTTCTTATACCTGTACTGCAGCATTATCTGGGTGTATTTTGAGACAGTTCACTATGGCTTCGGGCGCGTCGCTGTCGAAAAACTGAGCGCTATGAGAAGGCTCGCGGAGAGTCAAAGCGGATATACACTTGAGCAGCATTGCACCGGCTACTGGGTTACTCTGCGTTAAACAGATAAAAAGTAAAGTCAATATTTATTCCGCGTTTCAGCATGCAAAATCCTTACTAAGGGGCCATCCATAAATTACGTCGCACGTTAAGGGGGAGGGAGGGGGTCGACGAAGTGTGACATCGTGTGACAAGGGGGTGGGAGGGGTCTTAAATTTCGTGACGTCACATTTCATAATCTATTAAAATCTTAATGTTGAATCTATTACTTCACTAAAACATTAATAACCCATACGAGAACAATGTGTTGCTATGCCAGTTATAAAAAAAATATGAATATATTGCTGTTTTCATTCAATAATTTCTAAATGTGTAGAACTGCGGTACTAGCCAACTATAGTTCACCAACACTTATAATCAGGTGGGATGAAGTCATTTGTCGGACCTATCTATAAAAAAAGCAAAATCTGTGACGTCACGCTAGGCAGCGGGGTGGGGAGTCTCACAAATGTGACCAGCTGTCATCATGCAAATTTTCATCATGAAATTTGTGTGACGTAATTTATGGATGACCCCTAATATAAAAAAATGCGTTAATTTGTTTGTAAAGTCGGGTCTGCAGCAAGTTTTTTGAAAACATTCAACAAAAACATACACAAAACTTTTTCTGAAACATGTTTCTCTACACACACTGTCTACTGCTCACGTGGCTGTCGTTCACAAAAAACACAGAGCTACTTTCAAAAACTACGATCCAGGTGCAACAAATGTTAAATCTGACAAAAGTTTCGTACATTTTATGTCAAAATTGAAACGCCTGAGTGAAATTTTTTTCTCGAAGCGTGGGTTTGGAACGGAGCCCCCGCTAGCGAGTTGTTAAAAAATGGCAGATGAAACAATACCCTGCACCTGCAGACTCGACCCGCGCGAGTGGATTTGCGTATGGAAAGCAAAAACTTTGTTGTTTCAAACAAATATGTGTAGTGAAACAAAGTTTTGTGCCGACAATTTTGTTGAATGTTGATATGTTCTTGTCGATTAGATTTTTCGCTTGAAATGGCTCGAAGTGATAACCTCCACTTTAAAGAAGACCGCATTGGAATAACACTCCCTTTTGGTGGTATTATGTTTCTAACGGTGAGTAAGTTAGGTATATTTGGTTAGGCTTGGTATCGCAAGCATCTATAGGCTATGGCTTACGGGCATATGCTTGTCAGCTACTGGTTAAACTAACTAACTGAAAGTGATACATAAATTACGATTTTGTAATAAGACCTTTGATTATTATATACTGCCTAGATAGAACAACTCAAATAAACCACGTAAAGAAAACGGCTCATATTACGCGCAATATTATTGACGACCTCCGTGGCCGACTCGAGAGGTCCCCCCGGGTTCGAATCGCGGTGGGGGCAAATGTTTGTGTGATGAATATGAGCATTTGTACTCCAGTCATGGATATTTATTATATTTCTATATAAATATACTTATATATGTACAATATATGTATTCTATCTGTTACCCTAGCATCACATAACGCAAGCCTTACAGTGCTTACTTTGGGGCTAGGCTAATTGGTGTGAGTGTTGGAAAAATTTATTTATTTAATATGCGCGTTCGTGACTCTAATTAGTCTGATTGTTTTAAAGCAGTCTATATATGTGTGTGTAGCGACGAGTGTATCTACCATATGTAGTAGATATTTTTTCGACTTCCATGCAGTTATTACGGTACCTAGGCGTGTATATAATAAAAAAAAACCCTAATTAGGCTTATAGATTCTATGACTTACCCCATGCCTATTTAATAAAGCGACTATTACAGGAGCGATGCCAGCTTTCATAAGATTTCTTTTCACGTCGTCGTTGCCAGCCAACGCTGTTACTCTGTTAGAAGATAATTCACATCTTTTAAATTACAATAAAGATAAACTACACCTGCATTGAGGATCGCTTGAAGGCGCAGTTATTAGCGCCTCCGATCTGCAATCGCGGAAATTAGGAGCGGGTATTGGACAAAACTATTGCTATCACGCATTAGCGATAGGGACAACAGTAGCCAACGCTGAAAATTGCGTATAAAAATAGCAAAATTTGAGGTTTGGCTCTCGACGATTTCCTCCTCGAAAATTAGATATATGTGAAAGAAATTCTACCCACAGAATAATAAGTAGTTATTCTAGGCCTCTATGTTTTGCTTTTTTTTGTAAATGTGTATTGAATGAGGAGCATAGAATGAGTAAAATAATATTTTATGTATGAAAATAAATTCTTTAGTGTTAAAAAATCAATCGAGTAAGTTTGTGTGGAAAAAATCATTTCCCGCCTCCGCTCTTAAGCTACTTTCACATTGGCTCGTCATGAGGATTGGTAACCAGAAATGTTTGGAAAATTCAGCTCCTCCGTGTTTCGGCTGGTACCTTAAGCCATTGGTATGGGCTGCATCTGCAGTCGTTAGCACCCACCAATCCGCACTGGGCCCGCGTGGTAGGTCATGCCCCTTTTCTCCCTATTCCATTCATAAGGAAGACCTGTGCCTCAGCAATGGGTAAATATGGTAATATTACTTAACTCAAACAATATTTAATCGTGAGTTCAGAAACTGAATCGAAAGTTTTATTCTGCTAGAAATAACTGATGGTAATTCGACGGGAAACGGAAGTGCTATCTCAATATAAAGCTTTCAGTGACGGTCAAGTAGTTTAACGTGTAAGTATATTATAACTACATCAATTACGCAATAAAAATCCGCACTAAAAGAATTAATCTTAGATTTATGCTTTTTAAGTCATCTGCTCTATTGATCTTCCTCTATTGTTTTAGAAAAAAATAGTCTTAATTTTTGGCTACTTCGTAGGTATATTGTAACTACATCAATTACGCAATAAAAATCCGCACTAAAAGAATTAATCTTAGATTTGTGCTTTTTAAGTCATCTGCTCTATTGATCTTTCTCTATTGTTTTAGAAAAAAATAGTTTTAATTTTTGGCTACTTCGTAGGTAACTATTCGCTATTATAGTGGTGACGATGAAACGGTAAATAAAAGGTGGTATAGTTAACTCACTGATTGTTTATTCACTTCACAAGTATAGTTCAAAATTAATCTGACTTCGAAAATAATTGTCTATTTCCTAATATGTCATGCGTAAATTATAAAACTATGGAATGAACCTGACGGGGCCGATGTTTATTTGCGACTGCGTCACCGCGGATGCAGGTCGACGCTTATATCGAGTCAGCATTCTTAGAATCCAAGTCGCCTCATAACTATGACTAAACTTAAAGAGTTATTTTTACGTTACCACTGAGTGGGGCCAAAAGAGTGTCTTAAGATATTATTCTGTGGTTGCTTAGTATCAGTTTCTATAGTAACCAAGGTGTATTTTGTCGATATCTCCTTAGTTACCCCCTAAACAACGCGACATTAAGTTCATTCGTGAAAATGACGACTGCAGAGAATGGCGACTACCTATCTTTCGGTGACAAAAACTACGGGTTGGGCTCAGTTTTGAACTGGCACGAACACAACCAGAGAGTTCTCAAAGGAGACATAATCGGCATAACCGATAACAACACTTCCATAACCAAAAACTGCATCGTCAAAGTAAACCAGACGTCGTGCAATGATTTCAGCCACTCCACAGACCAGTTGAAACATCGAGCACAACACATAAACTATTGGAAAGCCGAATTGGAAAGAGCTATTAGAGATATCGATGCGGAGATAAACATTCTAGAAGCGCAACGGCAGCAAGTTAAAAACGCAATGGACACGCTTAATATACCGCAGTACATCACTGAAGAATGCTTGGACTTGAGACGTAACAGGATGCAATCGGATCTCATTTACGACGAACCGCAAGAGGAGCTGTTTACCGAATCAGCTTTGATTGAGAATGTTGGGAAGTTACATCGCGAAATGGTCAGAGACATCGAAAACCAGATGAAAATGAATGTGGCTGCGAAGGATGCGCTCGAAAGCGATTGGAGCAACAAGCACTTGGCTTTCAAGTACGAAAGTGGGAACGCAGAATTGGAAACTAAAGCGGAGGCGGTAAAAGACTCAGCCGGAGCGACTAGGCTGTCCGAGGGGCAATCTAACGTCCAATCTTGGGAACAATATACTGTCAACTCGTTATCGCAATTCAAACACGCTATAGATAGATCGAAGGAGCTAAGAGCAAAAGTCGAAGCTGTCCTAATAAACACCGCTAGAGATTTACGTTCGCAAGATATCAAGGTGAACAAAGCTCTCAGCGAGAGGATAGCACGAACGGAACAAGTGAAGATCGATCTAGAGAATCAGTTGCGTCTGACTCTTGAGAAGATCGTTGAGACGGAGAACATCCTGGAGATGTTGCACGAAGAAATGTTGAAGGTCTCCCAACGTCTCCAGGTGGCGCAAACGAGATTGAACACTAAGAACTGCAGGCCGAACGTCGAAAATTGTAGGGAAGGCTCTCTGATCGGCTTAATCGAAGAAGTGAGAGACCTAAACGACAGCATGAGTTTGCTGCAGAAAAGGTCATTGGAGACTGAGAAACTGAGAGCGGAACTGATACATGAAAGGTCCATTCTGGAGAATGAGATCGCAGTGAAGAAGAAGACTTTGTTCATAGACAACGAACGCTGTATGTTTTTGAGATCACACTATCAGTCCGCTGAAAAAATGTGCGGTTACTGAATGGACAGCGATATAATCACTCTGTTACACAAAATCAACGAGTAAAGACATACACATAGTCACATAAGAAGCACAGTAAATCATGTTTAAAAGCTCTTTTCATAGTGATGTATAAACTACTGTCACAAAAATTTGTCTCAGCCTAAAAGAAAAAAAGCTTCTACAAGCGAAACGAAAAAAGTCACCCATATTTGTTTCTTATGTTTTCACGCACACCACTCATTAAATAAAACAAGTTTCAACGGTATAGATGCACTGATTTATTTATTTATGACGTTTCGCATCCTTTTCAGGCTGCGTCGTCAAAATTATGATTTTATTTACTTTAAAGTACTTAAAGCTGTAACACACACTCGAATTTGGTTCGCATCCGAACCAAATCTGACCCTCTGTAGAGTAGTCCTGCGATCATAATCTCTTATCTATTAGACAAGTCCGTCCGTCCGTCTGTGGTGCTGTTTCAGCGGCCAAACCGTAAGAGATAGATAAAGAGAATGTTTAAGTTATAAGTTAAGAACAGTCTGATAAGACTACAAACCGGATTTGAGTAACGTAGCACTTCCGGTTTTCGAGAAATCACGAATTTCAAACGAAACCACACAAAATCTCCGAAGTTCTCAATTAATTAAATACATTTTTTTTTAAATCAGGTTTTGGTGAACATTTGGTTCACTGGTGTGCTAGTTATTATTAATTGAGTCCGCCTCGGTCGGCAAACTATTGCACATGGGATATGGTTTGCTCCGTACTGAATCTGGACGTGTGGACGGTTGAGCCGAACAAACTATGACTAGTCGTGTTCGGAACGCCAAAAAGGACGGCCGCGCGTGCGCTCATTTTACATTATGGGGGAAATTTAATAAATTTTCAAAGGTTTCGCGGTTCATTTGTGGATATATTTTAAAATCATCTTCATCTAAAATTCTTATCAATTTTATGTGAATTCGTCACGTTCTCTTAAAGACTGTTTCCCCCTTTCTCTTCTTTTTTCCGCTTTTTACGTGGTGGCTGAAACGTTGCTGCCAACGTTGCCGCTACCACCATAATTTTCGTGTCCAACGACATGATGACAACCGTGTGCACTTGAAGGCATACGTGAAGCAACTATCCGATTCGGTCGTCTGTAGCGAGAACGGATTTAGTAGGCGGATTTTGTCTGCCGGACCACATTCGAGCGTGTGTTAATGACATTAAAGGACGCCCTGTATATGCACAAAACAATCTCCCTAGCGCGATTCAGCGAATATACCGAAGATTTAACAAAACTCGTACTTGCAATCTTTACCCGAACTTTTTGGCTAACAGCTACATTACTTTTCAGTTATTCTTAGCGGTTTTTGTGCTTGCTAATAAATAACACAAAACAGAGTTAGGCCACCTCTATGTAAATAATGACCTCAAGTGTGTTTGATTATAACAACACATTGTTGTGTTAAAGATTACCGAAATAGAATTTGACAGCTTATAACAGTAAATACTACTAAACCATTTTGTCCATCAACTGAAATGATAATGTAAAATCAACAAAACAGTTGGTCTATGAGTAAGTGAAATTTATTTATAATTAAACAAAGTTTGGCTAATTTATCGGTTAACTCAACTAGTTTTGTAAATGCCTTTTCTCAGTGTTAAAGTCTAAGAAATACAAGAGAAAAACTGACATGGCTATCAGGGCGGGCCGCAGTACCATAATTGGTCGGTGCATCTCACCGCGTGGTTTATTTTTCTAGATTTTTTCTTTCGATTTAAACATCTAGCAGTTAAATGCTTAAAAACAAAAATATAATAAAGTCTGTTTGAATAAGTATATTTTCAGTCATTCATTCACCTCTGGGATAATGGCTCCGCCAAGTATTTGCTCGATGCTTTGTATAGGTTACAGCGACACGCGATCCGCATCATAAGCGATGAGGAGGTGACTAAACCATAGAGGTATAAAGGGTGTATTTCGTAATATATACCAGTATACTAGCCAGTGCTAATATCGTCATGAATCGACGCTATACTGATGAATTGTTCCGAAATATAAAAATAGCGCGAATAAAAGAGATTTATTATTCACTTCATCAATTAAAAGGAATTCTTTTTCTTCGGATGCCATTATTATTCTTTAAATAAAAAAGAAATAAAAATTCGCATGCATCTCACGCACGCTCGGTCATACGTCATATTCGTTTTCCCGGTAAAAATATGGTAGCCTACCAGTACAATATGGCGTCACATTCGTGACGTCATTACCACTGGCTAGTATACTGATGTATATTTCGGAATACAAACAAAGTGTCCGATTAGTAGAAAGAGAAAGAAGATGAGAGACCGTTAGCTATCTCCCTCTTGTGACGCATGGCATCCAATGGCATCACATCGAAATAGTAAGATGCTTATGGTGGCCCATGCGCGTGCGCGATTAGAGAGAAAAGCTAGCGGTCTCTCATCTTCTTTCTCTTTCTATTAGAGGGACACTTCCACTTGTAGTAGAGTCTATATCTCCCCTACTCTATTCTTATATGTCTATGGACTAAACACCTCGAGCCTCTCCAATTACGTCGTGACGTGGCGTCACTAAGCGCGTTCTATCGTCTGTACCACGGCGAGTGTTATGAGGAGTTATTCTCTCTTATTCCACCTTCCCCTTTCCTTCAGGACCACGCGCGCTGGCCTACGTTGTCACCGTCTAACTGTGGCCACAATTCCAACGCGTCCAAAGAAATTTGGCGACTGACTTCTTTGTCGCACTATTCGTAAATGGAATGCTCTGCCCGCTCACGTGTTCCCTCCCTCTTACAACCTGTGATCCTTTAAAGAGGCGTGAAGAAGCAACATGCAGGCTGGCAAGGTGAGGATGGCTGGTGTGGCAGGTAGAACTGCTGTATCAGCTATCTTCACGTCTGGACTTCACCGTCACTTAACATCAGGTGGTGTGGAGTCATTTGTCGGACCTATCTGTAAAAACAAAATTTATATACTTACAACTTGCTGGCTTGCGTGGCTAGCGCGACGTTATCGTAATTGTCGGCTAGAACAGCAAGTAGGGCGTCAGAAGCGCCCGCTTTGGCTGCAACATCGCATAATTCGTGTCGCACTAACAGTGCTGCCAGCGTAGACATTGTATCACATACTATGGATGAGTTGGTGTTATCTATAGGATAAACACAATGCACATTCATCATTCTTATCTATACATATGTTACGCTCAAAGATCGAAAACGCTAAGTGAGCGGAAAAATAGCTCACAACGCGTTGTGGTCACAGTAAAACATCCACATGGCGAAATTCGTGTTATGGCTGTAATGAAAACGCGCACGCGTTGTGGCAATCACAGAGAGACCAAATAGCGAAATTCGTGTCGTGGCTGACATGCTATTCGATCTCAACGCGTTGTGGCAATGAAGAAAATCCATGACGCGTACTGAGCATTCATTGTTTTAACCATATCACGACGGACAGCTTGTAACTGGTCGGTGTCGGCTCGGCGGGTGCAAAGACGCATTGAAACATCAGTTTTATTCATTTCTTTTATGTTTATGAGAGTAAATTTTAATGTCAGCGCTAAATATGACAAATAAAAAAGAATTGTTTTACGATAAATTACGTGAGTTTGTGGAAACAAGCACTGATCGCTATGCTAAATCAGGTCTACAGGAACAGGCAAACAAAATGGTTTCACTGTCTAATTCAAAATTTTCCTGTGTTGAAATTGGTTCTTACGTTTCTGTTAGAGTTCCTGAAGTTAATAGAGAGCGTGCAGCACCCAGGAATGTTATGTGTGTTGTTATGAGCATTAATCCATCAGCTCTCTACCAGTTAGGAAACAAGGAAGGTACATTCGATAGACTTTATGCATAAATGACAAATATCGTTTTATTTTAATTTATATAATTATATAACATATTTAATAATGACAAACACGTTAAGCAGTGATTTTATAAAATAAAACATATTTCCTAAAGACATCTACCAAAACGTTTCCAGCCAGGTAGGATCCATATCGGAAAGTAGTGTGCGTCGTAATCAAATAATATTCCATACGCGTCATGGATTTTCTTCATTGCCTTAACGCGTTGACATCGAATAGCATGTCAGCCACGACACGAATTTCGCTATTTGGTCTCTCTGTGATTGCCACAACACGTCGTGCGCGTTTTCATTAGAGCCATAACACGACTTTCGCCATGTGGATGTTTTACTGTGACCACAACGCGTTGTGTGCTATTTTTCCGCTCACTGAGCGTTTTCGATCTTTGAGTGTAACACATATCGTCGGTGATACTGCAAAACGTTCCATGTCAAGAAAAAAATATTTTGTTTTTTTTAATGAAAATGATCAAGTGCGTGTATCCGAACGCACTTACAAATCGTTCTAAGTCGTCCGCCAATTAGAACACAGTTTTCAAATGTGTTGCAATACGTCACTTTCAAGTCTTGTCACTTGTCGGGGTACTGCAATATGTTCCATGTCGACGCAACGGTTTTTCGCAAGCTGATTAGTTATAAAAATATAGGTTTTGAATAAATATTTAAGAGTAGGTAGACATTACCCTATAATTTAATGTTATTTCATCGTACTATAACTGAAAAAAACGTAGAAAGCGAGTAGAAATCTTAAATTCTGTACAAAACTCAGTTCTGTATAACAAACAAAATGTTTTAGCTAATTTTTGAATTTTATTGCTAACATTGCTTAAAAACATGTGTCCAGACCAGACAAAAAAAATGTTACCATGAAATATCACTTGATTTCACAGACAGGTGAAAGCTGCGCTAAGTTTTATGTCTGCTAAGAAATGTTCTTATCAATCTTAGGGATTGGGAAAAGACAGTTACGAGACTGGTTGCTAACAAACACTGACAATACAACTATACCCAATAATGATCTTGCAGGTGATAAAGAAATATCTGTAATTGCGTTTTTGGACAAACTTGCTAAATTAGAATCTCATTACTGCAGGGCGTCTTCTAGGAAATTATATTTGGAGCCGGTTTGGGATAGTTATAATCATATTTTCGAAGTATATAAAAAGAGCTGTGTAGAGAAAAATAAAACCTTTTGCTCAAGACGCTATTTCTTAAAGATTTTTCGAAAACTTAATTATGATATTTTTAGTCCCAGGAAGGACCAATGCAATAAGTGCATTAGTTATAAACAGGGTCACTTATCTCAAACTGATTATGACACTCATCAAATAAAGAAACAGAGATCGAGAAATGAAAAAGAAAATGATAAATGTGATACTGAATCTGATATATTAGTTTATTCAATGGATGTACAAGCTGTTCTTCTGTGTCCAAATCTTCAAGCCTCGGCAACTTACTATAAGACAAAGTTAAAGGTCCACAACTAATGGATGGTGATCCATAACATGAAAAACAAAGAAGCTGCATGTTACATTTGGCATGAAGGGAACGGTGGCTTAGAAAGTGATGTATTTGCTACTATTTTGTCTAAACACCTTAAGCATGATATTGATAAGTTTAAACCAACTAAAATTATACTATGGAGCAATGGGTGTGGTTATCAAAACCGATGTTTGACTTTGGCTAATGCTTTGCTTGACTTGGCAATTGAACTTAATATTATAATTGAACAAAAATATCTCGAAGTCGGCCATACGCAAATGGAAGTCGAATCAATTCATAGTGTGATAAATTGCGTGGTCGAAAACGAGCTATTTTTGTTCCTGCCGATTATGTGAGCACAATTAGGTCAGCAAGACAAAATCCCGAGCCTTATAAAGTATTTTACTTAACTTACAAGGACTTTCATAGCTTTTCTCAGGGTAAATGTAAAAGTTTGAGATCGGGCAATAAAAAAGGTGATCCTTATGTTACCGACATTGTAGCATTACAACACGATCCCAGAGGTATAATAAACTACAAAACCCGACTTCGATCAGTCTTGGGAATGTTTACCAAGGAGACCACTGGTAACTGCTCCACTTCGCTTGAGTGGACGCCCTTCCCTTTACCAGAAGCCACTGGCTATAGAAGCAACCAAATTTGCACATCTTCAGGAAATGAAGAATCTTATTCCTTCGGATCATCATATATTTTATGATTCTCTAGAACATGGCTGTTCAGACATTGAAACATGTCCACATGTTCGTAAATTAGTATAGGTTATCAACATCATGTGCCACATCGTTCTACATCTTGACAGCCATGTTCTAGCTAGTAAATTAATTTAGGTACTTACTACTTATAGCTAGTAAGTTAAAAATAAAGGCAGCAAACATCTTCGAATGCATGTTTTTTGTCCTATTTTATACACAGTTTTATACGTTAATTGCGGTTATAGTTATTTTATTATTCCGTTAATAAACTACGATTATTTTAAAATTATCAGCTTTTTTAAACAGCAATATGTTTTATGTCAAAACAATAGGTTCAATTAATTCATTGCAAAATGTGCTAAGTCCAATTATTTCCATAATTAAGCTACATTGGAAATTCATACACATATTATTTTATAGCTCTTATTACCGTTGTAACACTACGTACATATCAAATACTTAGCGACAGAAACTAAAAAAAAAAAACAGTTTTTTGTCTCTACTGTAAAATCACTTTTAGCTGACATAGCTCCATTTGCAGTATCACCGACGATATAATAAAATGGTAGGAAAGTCAAAACCTGAAACCTTTATTTCTAACTAACTCCACGCGTACCTACGAAGTCGCGGGCGGCCGCTAGTAGTTGAATACTTAAAGTAGCAATACAGTAAACTAGGAGGAGCTTGATCGGCGCAGGTGGATAACGCGTTCGGCTGCGATCGTTGAAGTTAAGCAACTTTCCCAGTGGTCGGTCATTGGATGGGTGACCAAAAATTTTCTATACTCGAGCTCCTCCGTGCTTCGAAAGGCACGTTAAGCCGTTGGTCCCGGCTGCATCTGCAGTCGTTAGCACTATTATATTAACAGCGCATTCAGAATTGCGCGTAGAGTCAATGATATAAGGTCTATATTCTTCCGCATATAGCAATAAGTCGTAAAATTTTACGAGCTTACATTTCAAACTGTCATATCTCTTTGATGCGTGCGTTTTAATTAAGACCTTATACAGTATGCATTAAAGGTGACTTTCAATGTTTAAATAAAGGCTTATATTGTTTTTTACTACGCGATCATCTTACGGAGGTCCGTGGATCGTTCAATGTACCTTTAGGACAAGTTTCGGCCACGATATTGTTCGTGTTAGTGTATCTAGGGCATTTAATATCGTTGTTTATATCAATATTAGCTGTCCCAGCGAACTTCGTACCACCATAAAAAATAGGGGTTGGTGGTAGACGGGTGAAAATTTAGGGTTGTATGTTACCACGGGTTTCTTACACGGAGGGAAAGTATATTAAATATTGTAGATAGGATATTTTACTGAAAGAAGACATCATTTTATTTCTTATAATTACGAGAACTGCATTTACAGTTTTTTTTAAAAATCGCCTGCTACAACTGGGAATAACACTCGTGAAATTTGAAAAAAAGACATGACATATTTTAATTTAACCATCGAAAGGGTTATAATTTTTATTATTTTTAAAGCATGTAACTGCTTGATGTTTAAATCTAAAGAAAATATAACTAGAAAAAAATCCACGCGGACCAGGCAGCAGACGGGACTCGAACCCGCACCCTTCGCAATCCGGGCGAATGCACTGACCAATTATGCTACCGCGGCCCTCACGGACCGCGTCGAAATTCTTTCTAGCTATTCTTAAGCTGCAAGGCAGCGCCATCTCTTCGCATTATAGGTAAACCCACAATGTCAAATGAATACTTTTACAAGTATTAAACATTTGAAAGAAGAAATAGCAATTATAGTTATAATTTTTATTATTTTTAAAGCATGTAACTGCTTGATGTTTAAATCTAAAGAAAATATAACTAGAAAAAAATCCACGCGGACCAGGCAGCAGACGGGACTCGAACCCGCACCCTTCGCAATCCGGGCGAATGCACTGACCAATTATGCTACCGCGGCCCTCACGGACCTTACTCTTTAGATTTAAACATCAAGCAGTTACATGCTTTAAAAATAATAAAAATTATAACTATAATTGCTATTTCTTCTTTCAAATGTTTAATACTTGTAAAAGTATTCATTTGACATTGTGGGTTTACCTATAATGCGAAGAGATGGCGCTGCCTTGCAGCTTAAGAATAGCTAGAAAGAATTTCGACGCGGTCCGTGAGGGCCGCGGTAGCATAATTGGTCAGTGCATTCGCCCGGATTGCGAAGGGTGCGGGTTCGAGCCCCGTCTGCTGCCTGGTCCGCGTGGATTTTTTTCTAGTTATATTTTCTTTAGATTTAAACATCAAGCAGTTACATGCTTTAAAAATAATAAAAATTATAACTATAATTGCTATTTCTTCTTTCAAATGTTTAATACTTGTAAAAGTATTCATTTGACATTGTGGGTTTACCTATAATGCGAAGAGATGGCGCTGCCTTGCAGCTTAAGAATAGCTAGAAAGAATTTCGACGCGGTCCGTGAGGGCCGCGGTAGCATAATTGGTCAGTGCATTCGCCCGGATTGCGAAGGGTGCGGGTTCGAGTCCCGTCTGCTGCCTGGTCCGCGTGGATTTTTTTCTAGTTATATTTTCTTTAGATTTTTTTTTCTAGTTATATTTTCTTTAGATCGAAAGGGTTAATCATAAGGATTATTTTTTCCTAAATAACACAGCATTTTAAATGAATGGAAGATCATGTATACATACGTCGAAAAGGCAGAATTTGAATCATTTACTTCAACGGATCTCTTACCTTTTAAAAATGTAGTGAGAGGTTCTATTAGCGACGCGCCCAATTCTTTCGAGTGTTCGTGTGCTTTGCCAAATTCAACCCTAATGTCGTCGTCTAAAGTGAATTTTCGGGTGAACTGCATCACCTCACTCATGAGCTAAAACAATAAGGGTCAATATGAAATTTTAAATACTTCCATGTCGATTTTGATATTTTTTTATCGCAGAACACAAAAGAGGTTACAAGGGTGATCATAGACCGTTTGTACGGGAACCGATGTCGCCGGCTCGCGACCACAAAGATCGATAATAGCCAATGAAACGACGCGACATCAATCGAACCAATCTACACTCACACCCGAGAGCAGCGACACAATCAGAACTTTGTTTTGGTCATGTTATGAGCATTTGCTCACACATAACTGTGGCGCGCCTGTACCGCCCACAAGGCCCTACTAACCTTTCTGTATTCTGTGTTTTGAATACAAAGATTTTTGCTGGTTTTATTGACTTTTAAGTCGTAACAGTATACACATACATAGAAAACCTTTCGCATACTAAACATATATAAGTACTAGCTGTCCCAGCGAACTTCGTACCGCCTTAAAAAAATAGGGGTTGGTGGTAGAAGGGTGAAAATTTAGGGTTGTATGTATTTTTGTATGATGTATCATAAAAAATTAAAAAAAAATTAGCTAAAATTGAAAAAAAAATTAGGGGTGGATTACCCTTAACATTTAGGGGGATGAAAAATAGATGTTGTCCGATTCTCAGACCTACCCAATATGCACACAAAATTTCATGAGAATCGGGAAAGCCGTTTCGGTGGAGTTTAACCACAAACACCGCGACACGAGAATTTTATATATTAGACTAGCTGACCCAGCGAACTTCGTACCGCCATAAAAAAAGGGGTTGATTTTAAAGGGTTGAAAATTCAGGGTTATATGTATTTACTAATGCTGTATCATAAAAAAATTAAAAAAAATATATATATCTAAAATTAAAAAAAAAATTAGGGATTTTAACATTTAGGGGGATGAAAATTAGATTACATCCGATTCTCAGACCTACTGAATATGCATATAAAATTTCACGAAAATCGGTCGAGCCGTTTCGGAGGAGTTTAACCACAAACACCGCGACACGAGAATTTTATATATTAGATTTACTAGAAATAAATCCACGCGGACCAGGCAACAGACGGGACTCGGATTTTTTTCTAGTAATATTTTCTTTAGATATAAACAACAACCAGTTACATGCTTAAAAAATAAAAATTACAAATATATAAGCATGTCCATTCTGATTAAGAGATAGGCGACCCATGCAGCGATCTATATGCTCGAAAGCAAAAAGCATGTCAAGGGATTCCCCATTTCGGCCACCGAAGAGCTAAGATGGAAAACACCAGAGAAGGGGAAATACCGCGCGCAATATTGACTTTATACCTTACATTAAAACAAAAAGGGAAGATATGGCATTCACGGATCAAAAGTAATCCGCTTAAATTGTAGTGCATGACCACAATTCGCTTTAGTCACAATTGGACATCCAAACACGATGCATGTGCACTCAATAAAGCAATATTGCGTAATTCCTGTGTTATAAAGATAAAACAATGCCTTCAATGCTTTTATAAAGAACACAAATAGTTCAAGATCAAAAAACAAATGACACTCCAACATTTTTTATTCATAAAACTATAAAACATTTTTTTCTCAAAAATCACGGTTTGCCATGAATGTTAGTTATTGATACTCTATTTTTTATTAAGAAAAAGACAACAATACAACTCAGCCGTCTGTTAAGAGAGAAAAGAAAACGCAGTCGAGCGTTTGTGTGAGTTGCTTATATAGTTGAGTTGGATCATATTTTATTTGATGCTAGTATGAGCGTACCGTATCTTCCCTTTTTGTTTTAATCTAAGCTCTATATTTACTTTAATTATATAATCCGTATGATGTTGCATTAGTAAGTGTTTTATAAACCTCTTTGAACCAAATAAACTGGCCTGTAAAACTAAGTACACTTCCGGACACATTCATTGGCTCCACCTAGCATTTTCAGTATGGACAGACCCTAGCTAAAACTTAATGATACATTGAGCAAAAAGTTATTACCTAGGCAGTTTTAAAGCTGATTTATTAACTACCTATTTGTGTGTTTTTGATTGCTCAATTATAAACAGATATTTTTGCTTCAGACCATTGAAACTTATAACATAAGTGGGGCTACTAATGTGCCTGGAAGAATATTTTTAAAATTTCAGTTTTATCTAATTTATAGAAGTAAGAGAAGATCTAAAATAAATATGTTATATAGCAAACTTTATCAGCTATCTTTGAAACTTTATACGAAAATTAATGATTTTTCTAGACCTTTTTATTTAGAAATTAACTATATCTTGTGTATTATAAAAGTTATTGCAATTTTAAAAGTGTGTAACTTAGTTTTGTAGGCCAGTGTAGTTGTGATGCGCAAGTAAATTCTGGGTATTATTATCAGCGATGTCAATGTGCCCTTAAAGGCTTCTTTTACCATCAGTAGTTATATTTAGACTGGTGTCACTATTGTTGATGGAATACAAAATAAAGACAAAATTTGTTATAAAGTTGGAAATAAAGAAATCATTTATTACCTTTGCATTAGATTTCAATTTTATAACATTCTTCAGATGGTCGACAATATTTTTATTGAATATCCTCTGTCGATTCATTTCATGTTTCACACAGCAGACGTTTGCCCATTTTAATGTTGCTATAAGTACATCTTCGTCTTCAACACTATCAAGAGTGCTGCAAATGATAAAGCTTATCAGTAACTGCTAAACATGAGCTCAACAACGCAATTGCTTAGGACTTTTAGAAATCTTGCAATGACAGGCCAATGATAGCGGACCAATAAATATTATAATCTCAAGCTCCTCTGTGCTTTAAAAGACACAATTAGTCTTTGGTCCTGGTTGTATTTGCAATTGTTAGCAACCATTAATACACAATGGTCTAATTTTCCTATTCCATCCGTATAGGGAAGGCCTGAACCTCAGGAGTTAAATAATTCATAGGCAAGACAACAATGTTTTTCCTATGTGGATGCAGATTCCAAAAACGCGTATATAGTAAACTAATATGGAATTTTTCATTCATGTGCAATTGTGCATGTTCCCCTTGCACTTTAACAATTTTTTCGTTCTAATTGAATAGGTATACTAAAAACCAATCATCATATAGATATCTAGCATTTACTTGCTTATATAAAATCATACTTAATTAACAAATTATATTTCAAATTGAAAGGAATTTGTCATGAATGTACAGATAGACAAAAATACCTTATCATTATGTCAACACCTCTCTGGTCCAATAAATCAGGTTGCACATCCATTAATGACAGTAGAGTCTTGAGAATGCTCACAATCATCTCTTTGTTGGTATCATTTGTTTTCTCTATATATTTCTTTTGTCTTGATTCTAATAAGTTAATTAAAATATCATAAGCACCACATTTCCCTGCCTTCACTCTATGTGCAATGTCTTTATTACATTCTGTCTGGAAGAAAAGTAACAATTTGACTACATACTTGGTGTTTTTAAAGCATCAGGCTGCCACACTTAGAGATGTCAATAAAATTTCCAGTTTTGGGAAAAAGCCTGTCAATTTATTTGCAATATAGAATTAGATGACACAACTTCAACAAGTCAATATATTAAATTGACATCTCTGTGAGTGGTCATTCGTTTTTACAGTTGGAATGGGAAGCTAGTTAAATTTTATACATTTTGTATATAGACTGTGAATTTTGAGTTAACTGAGAAATTTAAAAAATCCTGTAAATAAAATATTGATACAGATTGTTAACAAAATATGCTAAAACAGCACAAATTTGTAAATAACATACCTATTTTGAAATTATTATCTGTTTAAAGTATGTAGATCCTAAAAGTAGACTTATTTGAATCAATTTGACAGTTAAAATTATTAAGGTTTCATAATTGCACAATTAGTAAGTTAATGGGGAGTCGTTTGTCATTAGTTTTTTTGCAGAAATATATCATAAATCATTGTCTGAAAAAGCTAGTAAAATCTCTCAGATAGCTCTAAATTCACAGTGTGGAAAAGGCAACCATTACTGACTGATCTAACAATACACAGCACAAACCACTGAATGGATTGAGCTGAAATTGGGTACACAAATAGCTATTTTGATGAAGGGGTACGCTTACAAAGGATTTTTCAGCACTAAGCAGCTAAATGGGTAAAGCGGGGATTCAAAGTTTGTATGGGAAACTAATATTTCCAAGCAGACAAAGTTGCAATCACTAGTATGCTTTAAAGTAAAATTGTTTTACCTGTAGACTGCCAAGTTTTTCCAAGACCATTTTGTCGTTACTGTTTTCTTCTCCACATAGTTCTTTTAAACTATTCACAATTGTGATAACTTGGTGTTCTCCCGTATCCAGTGCAAGATCTTTGATTATGTTTGATAAATCTACACCCTGTAAGTTGTTATAGGAAATGTTGTTTTAAATTCTAATGTTTATTATTAATTAAGTGCACATATCAATGATCTTAAAACTATTTACTGTGAAAAAATAAAAACATGATAAATATTCTTATACATAACAAATAAGTAGAACTACAATTACATTTTTTTATTCATTATGTATCACACTAATATTATAAAGGCGAAAGTTTGTATGTTTGTTACGTCTAAATGGCTGGAGTGATTTTAATCAAATTTGGTATGGAGTTAGCTGACACCCTAGATTAACACATAGGCTACTTTTATCCCGAAAAAATGTTAGGTTCCAGAGGGACTTTTTAAGAAACTAAGTTAACGCAGACGAAGTCGCGGGCGACCTCTAGTTAGTAATATAAAGTAAGTTGTAAGTTTTGTGAAACAGAGAGTATGTAAGTTAGTTAGAGAATTTTACATAATAAATAAAAACAGGAACTTTTTCTTCAAATATATATAATTAAACTTACCTGAGCCTGGAATTGGGCAGTGGCCTCTTTTATAGCCTCCTCAGGGCTCATATCGAATTCATCGATGTTCTCCTTTACAACTTCATCGAATGTTTCTTGAGTGATAACACGAACCATTTTTACGGTTTTGTTAATATTTTCTATACTATTTTATCACAATTTAAGTTATAATTAAGAATAATTAATCAAAAATTGCAGCATTCGGCTTTACAAAAAACTCTGCTGCTCAGAAATCAGCTGTCACTGTCAAAATAGAAAAACATTGCAGAAATGAAACTTCAATGTTTCCGAACGAATGTATAGTACTGTAAAACAACACATTGAAACACTTCGTAAGCATTTCATCATTTAAACTTATGTTTCTTTTTGGTCAGGTTATACTTTGACAGAAAACAGCTTTCCTATTGAAAACCGTTCAAAAACTATTAGTACTAGTATTATTTTCTTTAATAATAGTATTGTTTTCTTTAGTTTTACATCTCAAAATAGAAAATATATCCTAATATAATGACTCAGTTTAATTTCAGTTTAGTATTACTTAATTCATTACTTTGAAATAACTTCACATGAATTATATTTGGATGTGCAAAATTAATTTTTAGTGAATTCCGATTGTAGTCATTACGTTCGATGACGCATCGAATGAAATAGGTGATGGTGAATACATTTTTCGTGTTTTCAACGCGTAATTGTTGGCCTATCAACATATTTACACATTTTTAGAGATTATATTTAATTTGCGTGAGGCACAATGAGTTTTCTGGGTAAAATCTTCGGTGGCAAGAAGGAGGAGAAGGGTCCATCAACACACGAAGCTATACAGAAATTACGCGAAACGGAAGAGTTATTGCAGAAGAAACAAGAGTTTCTAGAGCGAAAGATCGACACTGAATTACAAACGGCGAGAAAACATGGCACAAAGAATAAGAGAGGTAAGGACTACAAACTATTATTGATAGTTTACAATGATCATTATGAAATAGATTGACATTGGTCCTGCTTGGCTCATTATTTTCCAAGGATAAAAATAATACTATGAATTCTATTGTTTGAATCACTGTGCAGGCACACACAAAATTAATAGGGTGATTGGATTTCAAAATGTGAAAACTATCATGACAAGGCGTTATTATAAACAATTCTACACTATAGAATGTAGAATAGAGTATATTTGAATTTTTCTTTCTTGTCCAACCAATGTTTCAATGTCAAAACATACCTACCTACTTCGGAGATGTGATTAACTTAATCATAGCGTAAATTAGAAGGCAAAGCAGAATAGAATGTATGTATTAAAAGATTTGTATTTGAAATACTCGCAAAATGGGAATATTTTGCAAGCTTTGCTTCTTTAGTTTTTTCATTGAACTTCACATTACTGCAATCTGAATCCAAATCTTGGAGGTTTCTATTTGATGAACATTTTTGAGCTATAATGTCCAAAGTTTGGGGAAATCCTTGGCTGGTTGAGCAGTTTACTGAAAATATACAAAACTATCTTCTTTTTGTTCATTGTTTACACTATCGTCATTCTACAGTAAAAACCCAGTAAATAAAAATCATTAACAATATAAAATAGACTTTTTTTGACTCAAAAAACTAAGTTGATTTTGTATTGTCAACTAATTTCGATTTACTGGGTTTTTGCTGTACAATGATGATGTGGTCAGTAACAATTTTATACCAATTTAATAACCTTTGCAGTTCTAATTTTAACTGGCCTTAAATTGTGTCCTTCAAGGCATGGCAAGGGTTCATGTGATATAAAATATGTTTTTTTCAAAACAATAAATTAATTAATATATAGAGGTATAAAGCGATTGTGGAAATCATGTAAATTTTGAGAGACTACCAGTAGGCAAGTAGCGTCAAAAGCCATATACTATGAGTTGTTTTTATAAAAATAAAATTTTCTATATTCGGAACTTGAGCCCCAAATAAATGATGTTTGTACATAAGTTGCATTAATAAATTAAGCTTGTAAAAAACCCTGAATGTTTAACTGCTGGGCTTTCTGGAGGAGCTGGGATGGCTGGACTGATGCCAATCCCCCCGCAAAATAGGCACACAGTGTCGAGTTGCAGAAACAGCCTGCCGTACTACTAAGATTAAACCCTAAATGTGGTACATAATATATATTTTCATTATAAATCTTGCTCTTATGACTCCCGTGCGGAAACTATTAATGCGTTTAAAAACCTTGTGAAGTCCCACTATCTGACATTGTAATACTTTTATTTTTAATATCTCATGTTCTAAAAACTGGACTGGATCAATGTATGTATTTATACTTATTGTATCTATGTATGTATATATATCTTATATATGTATATGTGTATGATATGTATTTACTAATAGATTATATTATACTAGCGATTTACACCGCCGTCTCTCCCACTTCCTTCTAATCCTCTCCATCCAAAGGTTGCCTGGAAGGGATCGCTTTAAGCGATAAGGCCGCCTATTGCATCACCTGTACTAAATGTTTTTGTGCAGAATGTTCAATGTTTTTCGTGGTGTTTAATAAAGAGTTTTTGTATTGTATTGTATATTTGTGCTCTTCACACAAATTAATTCCACTCCAGGGATTACCTAGAATGCAGAAATGCTACTGTTACAACAACTGGATATCTTTCAATGCCTTATTTGGATCAGTTCCAACAGATTTAATGACAAGCTTGATGGTGCAAGGGGTTAGATAATTCGTTCTGTGATCATGAAAGTAAGACTCAACTCACTCAGTGTTTTTCGTCATGGGAATACCTTAAAAGTGGGTAAATAGAGATGAATTTGCTACAGACCAAAAATATGAAACATGGTATTAAGAAGGCGCGCGTCGGCGAGCTTCGTCGCGTGTCTTATAAGTGGGAGTACCTTAATAGTTGTAAAATAGAGATGAATTTGCTTCAGCCCAAATGATGGGTGACTAAAAATGTATTTTCACTCACTCATCTGTGCTTTGAAAGGCACGTTAAGCTGTTGGTCGCGGTTGCATCTGCAGTCATTAGCACCCACCAAATAGCACTAGGTGGCCATCGACAGGGAAGGTCTGTACTCCTGCAGTAGGGACATTAATACGGACGATGACGGCTGTTGATGATGATGAATGTATGTTATGTATATCTTTATTAACCCATCTAGCTGCCATTGCGGCACTGAAGCGCAAGAAGCGTTATGAAAAGCAGCTTACCCAGATTGATGGCACGCTTACCCAAATTGAGGCCCAAAGGGAAGCGCTAGAAGGAGCTAACACCAATACACAGGTGCTTAACACTATGCGAGATGCTGCTACCGCTATGAGACTCGCCCACAAGGATATGTGAGTATTGCCGTTTGATATAATATACTAGTGAACTGGCTTTGAGCACGATAAAATATAGCATAATATGTTATGTGAATTAGTTCTTTCGTTATGTATAGACGCTAGGCGATAGTGTGACGGGCGATAATTTAACACGCTAAAAGAGGTTGTGGAAAACGAAAAATTTGTATGTGCAATTGAAGGAGCGCACTTATTCAAAGTCGAAACTTCTCTCGAGATTTTGGCTGTATGATTTATAATATCATTGCATAAAATAGTTGTTTTTTATTATGTTGTCTATGCTCCTTCTCTCTGGTTCCATCACTATTAATAGACGCTCTCTGTACGTAAGTTAATTATTATAATTAAAGAATAAAGTAGATACAAGTTAACAGTGTTTCCATGTTTCTTCTGCTGTGTTTTCTCATCTTCTTCTCGTATGGTCACAGCGTTACCAACTGCAAACCAACAGGACAAATAGGAAATACATTAACAGAAACACTAGTTTTAGCGCATTTTAGTACTTAAGTAATCCGAAAGTTCGTCAGGGCATGATATACTGATGTCCCTTTCTTTCACAGCGATGTAGACAAGGTGCACGACATAATGGACGACATCGCGGAACAGCACGACATCTCGCGCGAGATCACCGACGCCATCAGCAACAATGTCGCCTTCCCCAACGACATCGACGAAGACGAACTCGAGAAGGAATTGGAGGAGCTCGAACAGGTATGTTATCCAAATTTTCATTTTTTTATTTATTTATTTATCTTTGACAAAGTTTCTACAGCGATTCTTGTGGATGTAATACAATAAAATATAAATACAATCTTAAGGTCAATTACAAAAACACATTAGATACTAACGGCGTTACTATTTGACATTGTGGCAAGGCTAGAAGGAATTAGACACGACCATCAGGGCCACGGTAGCATAATGGTCATTGCATTCGCCCGGATAACGAAGGGTGCGAGTTCGAGTCCCGTCTGCTGCCTGGTTCGCGTGGAATTTTTTCTAGTAATATTTTCTTTGGATTTAAACATTGAGCAGTTTGTGCTTAAAAAATAAAAATTATAAGTATATTTAATTATTAATTTAAATCGACTTTCATCATCATCAGCCTATTCATCACTTCCTTTTTTTAATATTATTTTTTTCATTTCATTTTGGGGCAGTAGGGACTTTAATAGGCACTGCTGCCCATTGGTGGGTGCTGACGACTGCAGATTCAGATTCATTCTCAATGTTTAGGGGTTTTGTAGCATTAACTTTGAACCTATACTCTATTCAACTTCCTCTGAGACTAAAGGTAAACAAATAAACCAATGTTTCTACAATATTGTAATCAGAGCAAAGATAAAGATAAGACGGCGGGTGTAACTAGACTGATTATAAAATTTCACATTTCAACGTAATTTATTAACTTAATCACCACTCTTTAGTTTATATGTAGTATTTTTGAATATGTTTTTATATGTGTCCAAAATTCGGCCTATTGGAAGACCTTTCTAGGTCTCAAACGAAGTTGAACAGAGTATAGAAGTACATTAAGTAGATAAATGAATATGGGGGATTACGTATGCAGTGGCGGACTAACAGGGGGGCGGAAGGGGTGGCCCGCCCCGCACCCTGATCAAATCCTAAACAAGACTCCTTGAATAAGTATTTAGGTGGTTCAACAACATCCATCAACATCCAGAAACCAGGAAAAGTGAAGGTAAAAAGAACGATGCCGGGTGAATCAGCTCATGATGCTGGATTATCAATTCAAGAAGAAATACGTCGGTCAATGTATGAATGCATAGATCGCTTTATACAAGAATTTTCGAATTGGGCTATTAAACAAATCAAAAATATTTTCCAAATTATTGAAACAAAGTCTATGCTAGAAGCTTCAGATGACGCTCTGGCTGTAGCAGTTGACAATCTGATACAAAGTTATGGTGAATTTGACAAGACTGGTTTTAACGAAATTAACATAAGAATCTACATTTTTTTTAAAGCTGGGGGCCTCATTCATCTTTGCCGCCTCGGGCCTCTGACGGGCTTAGTCCGCCACTGTACGTATGTTAGCTTAATAAGTTTACTATAATATTTTGTGTATGTTCGTAGGAGGATTTGGACAAGGAAATGATCGGCATCAATGTACCCACGGTGTTGCCAGACGTTCCGTCCGCAGATCTGGTGCACGACAAACCCAAGCCAAGCAAGTCCAAGAAGGAGGGTATGTATATTGGTATTATTCACTTTCAATTTTTTTTTCTCCTTTCTTTTCAGTTTTTACTTCATTTTGGAGTTTTACTGCAAGAAACTTAACTTACAATAATGAAATAAAACTATACTTTATTTAAAATTATTTATTGAAAGCTCTTTTGAATCTTCTAATATTTTTTCTTTCCTAATCTCATTCAGGACATGTGTAGTGCAATCTTGATGTAGAATTAAAAAAGGCAAAAATATTTGAAGCAAAGCTGTCTAGAATGAGTAGCCCATGGAGGTTAGAGAGAAGGAGAACTATCGCTATATGCTACAGCATTAGCCCGCCTGTCCCTGAGAATTTGTAGAATTTATAGTTCATTTTTTAGCCACCAGCCGCGCTGCCGTCGGCAAGTAGTATCTGTGAAGTTAGCTGTTTATGAGTACCTTTAAGAAGATGAAGTTAGTTGAATAATGTACAAATTTTCTTAGCGGCATTTGTCATTTCAAATTAGCCCGCTTTCATTGAGACAACTTAGCGATCGCAGCGCCTCACTTATTTTGTCCATATTTCTGGGGCACTATTTTTATACAGCGATCGTTCCCCTTCTCTCTAACCTCCATGGAGTAGCCTTTGTCTTTTGAATGAGAAAAGATGTATGACCCTTCCATAAATTACTTTGTGGTGGCGACATCTACACTAGTGTTGTTGAATATATTTATTAATCGTTAAATTAACTAACAATAAAAATAACATATATTCAATAAATATTTTCAAGTATATTGAATTTAAGTATATTCATTCGAAGGTAGCTCGACAATTTTAAATAAAATCATTATTCTGACGATGCAGACCTGAAAAGGCTGCGAAACGTCAATAAATAAATAAAGTTTCGTGCATTAACCCGTAAAAACTAGTTTTATATATTCATTCAATTTATGTTGATTTTAACACGTGAGTAATATTTATTCCTATAGATAAATGTAACAGACTGATAAAATTGTTGTAATGAATAATTTCAATGACAGACCGAGCTAATTAAATTGTTGACAATAAATCAACTTGTGAAAAATATTCAGATATTGTAAGAATTTGAATAAAAATATTAATTGATATTCTTCAACTATTAAAAGTATCTGATATATTTATTCAATTATTACTTTTTCAACCATTAACGATCAACGAAAGCATGGAAAGCCAAAATCGGAATCCCCTGGCTCACATAAAATTTATTAAAAATTGATAACAAACGGCCGAAGTCTGAACTCAGAGATGTCATTGCAATAATATTTTTTTCTTTATTTGATGGAATTTAATGAATTTTAAATAATGTAATTTATTAACTTATTGTTCTTTGTGACATTTAATTTGTTCACCTTAACCCTAATTATTATATTAAATTAAATAACTACTGTTTTAAATAAATTTTAAATTGAATAAATGATTAGTTGTATTTATAGTGACATGTACCTATTCCTATAGTAATGATTATGAGTTATGTTGCTCGAAGTTAATGGTTTTTTTTTATATTTATTTATTAATGTTTTTTTCTAAGTGACATTATAATTTATGGATGCCTTATACAACTTTTCCCAATCATCAGTAGTATTATAATAGTTAATAGCTATAAAATAAGTGAATAGTTAATGCAGAACTGTATAGAACGAGTATTCATTCTAAATTTTACATTTAAAGAGTTTAAGTATTCTAATGTTTCTTGCTTTTGTAAACTTCGCTGAGGCAAAGGATACTTAGGCCCGTATTATAGAAAGATTCTCAGTGATTGATCTAGTCTTGAGCATAGTTAGAGTGATGTCGCTATATATAACACATAGCGACATCCCTTTCTAACTGTACTCAAGTAAAGATCAACACTTAGTTGTCATTCTATAATACGGGCCTAAGTCTTAATACATTTTATGTACCATACAGTAAAATGCAAAAATCATACCTTGATTTTAGCATTTTACTTTTTAGTTTTATTAGAAGAGTCTTACGCATTCTAATGTTTCTTACAGTATTTCTATGAGTTACGCACAAAATTTTATCTTTTTTTTTGTGTTACCGCTTTCTGCGATCAGTCTACACATAAGCAGAACATTTCAATGACTTTTCGGGCGTGCGAGATGGCTTTTTCAACAAAAAGCTCTTCTCTCATTGTTCCGCACTGATCTTCAGTTAATGCCTGTTTTCCAGCTCTCCGATAGTACATCTTTTAAGTCTTTTGGAGTGTTTGCTAACATCAGTGAGAGCCACCGCAAGTTTATTAACATGGTGAATAAGTCTGCCCTGATAGCGCTTAGCTATAGCGTTTATTTCGTCCTTGACAGTGTTGCTTTGCAAGTAGTCGTGCATTTCTGTGCTTTTCACAAACCATGGAGCATTCAGTATGGTGCGAAACACTGAGTTTTGGAATCGCTGCAGGATTTCTAGGTTCGACTTACTCGCTGTACCCCAAAGTTCGATGCCGTAAGCCCAAATTGGTTTTAATACCGCGTTATAAATGAGAAGCTGTTATTCAAACTGAGACGCGAGTGTCTTCCCATTATCCAAAGGAGTGAGCGAAAGCGAATATTTAGTTCATCCCTTTTCTTTTGAATATGGGTTTTCCATGTTTGCCTTCTATCAAGATGTATCCCCAAGTATTTAGCAACGTCACATTGTGGAAGCTGTTCTGTTCCAAGCTTAACTGGTGGACAAATTCCAGTCTTCAGCGTAAAAGTTACATGAGTGGATTTGGAGGCACTCTCCTTTATCTTCCATTTTTCCATCCACTGGCCAATGGTTGTGAGATGTGCTTGTAGCTTCTGAGAAGCAATTCTCGGATCCTTGCTGCAACTCAGTGCCACTGTATCATCTGCAAATGTGGCAGATAGTATTTCAGGTGAGTCAGGTAAATCTGCGATAAACAGTATATAAAACATAGGCCCGAGCACAGATCCCTGCGGAACACCTGCTTTTATATCGTAGAATCCGGAAAGGTCTTCATTAACAACTACTCGGAACATTCTATCATCTAAGTAAGATTTGATGAGAGTGAAAAAGTTGTGAGGAAAGTGTCTCTTAATTTTGTATAGAAGGCCTTCGTGCCAAACTTTATCAAAAGCTTGTTGAACGTCTATAAAGGCGGCGGAACAATACTGGCGCTGCTCCATGGCCGATCTTATCTGATTGACCACTCTGTGAACTTGTTCTACAGTAGAATGTCGCTCTCGAAACCCGAATTGGTGATCAGGTATTAGCTTTTTGTCTTGTACCAGTGTAATTAAGCGAGTGAGGAATACCTTTTCAAACAATTTAGATAGTATGGGCAGCAAGCTAATGGGTCGGTAGGTTGACACCTCATAGTGGTCTTTGCCAGGTTTAGGTATCATAACGATATATGACACCTTCCATGATTTCGGGAAATACGATAAACGAAGAATACCGTTAAAGAGAGCAGCAAGATATACAACAGCCTTTTTAGGTAGTTTTATAAGTACTTCAGCTGTCAGTTCGTCATAGCCGGGAGCCTTTTTTGGTTTAAGTGTTTGAATGATTTTCCATAGCTCTCTGGGTTTGAAGTGTTTGATAGGTAGACTTAGCTGTAAATCGCTACTTAAATACTCTTTCACTTCCCTATCCATGTCTTTGGCGCTACTTTCGTTCGGTGTAAAAACTTCTTGTAGGAATTCTCCAAAAGCTGCAGCCTTCTCTGTATCAGTTTTAGCCCAGCCGCCGTTGCGAAGTCTCAATGGATATTACAGATTTTGCGAATTACACGATGATTTAATTGTGTTCCATAAGCAATGCTCTCGACCTCCAGCCGAAAGAGATTCAAGGCGTTGCTGAAGAGGTTCATTTTCAACTTCCTTCAGAAATTGTTTCAATTTTTCGGATGCTATATTAAAAGCAGTTTTATCTTCAGTTCTTCGGGTATTGTGCCAGGTTCTTCTAAGTTTTCTTTTATGTAGTAACATTTCTCTAACTGCAAGAGGCACATTGTGATATTTATTAGTTTTGCTTTGGTTAGCTGGTGTACTTAGCCAACACGCTGTCTGTATAATTTCGGTTATTGACATAGTTGCTTCTTCCAACTGATCTTCCGTCTTCAAAGGAACTCTATGGTCTAGATTCTTGTCAATGTACTCTCTAAATGCTTCCCAATCTGTATTCGCGTTGTAAATATGTTGTCTTTGTTGCCTTTCGATTAATGTAGTGCTAACTGTGGCTATGATTGGTACATGATCAGAGGCACCATCACAACTTGTTTCAATTTTCATGTAGTGCTCTGTGATACCGCTGAAGACAAAGAAATCTATCAAGTCAGGGTTACGTAGTGGATCAGAAGGGTAATATGTTGGGTGTCTAGTCGTTAGTATGCCAAAATGTCTATTATCAATACAGCTCTTGAGTTCTCTACCCCTTGTTAGTGTCTTGCTGGATCCCCAGGCTACATGCTTTGCATTCCGGGGACTGGAACTACAATAAATCCTACAATAAATCTTGGTCCTAAGGTAGAGAAGAAGGAAGTGAACGCCTCTGAGTTAATTTTTGGCCTAGGCGGACAATAGATTGAGGATATATTCAAGTCGTTGTGTTTGCATTGCACGCGTATTGTTGTGGCTTGCATATGTACTGTTTGATATTGCGGCAATACGTGGTGTTTCAACTTCTTCCTTACTATTATTGCAGAACCTGCGTGACCAGTTCCATCTGGATGGTTGGTTGAATAAATGCAATAATTGTTACTTATACTTAGTTTAGATCTATCAGTCAGGTGAGATTCCGATATTAATACTATATCAATCATGTTCATATTCATAATGTTAACTACTTCGTTTACATGGCCTGTTAGACCGTTAATGTTCCAGGCTGCTATTCTAAGGGAATCTATTTGTTTACTATGTGGGTAAGCATTGTTGTTAACGGACTCATAAGAGTTCCCATTTGGCTAATTAAAGCGTCTAGCTAATAGCAAAATTTTATCTAGAAATAGAAAACAACTCTCAACAATTTTCCACTGTTTTTCCTTAATTTATTAATAAATATTTTTTTATTACAGAAGACGACGAAGACTTCAAAATGCTCCAATCCTGGGCCACATAAGTCCACCGGTGCCAGCCTTATTAATTCCCTGTTCGCTCCTGCGTATGAGTTTGTGATATTTTCGAAAGTAGAACGCGTAGAAATAGTATCTATCTCACTTTAACAAATCTAATTTCATATAGCGAGCGAACAGGACAGCAATAGTAGCTTTGGCCGGTCAAGTCGCGAGGTAATCTAGCTTCAGGTTGAGTTTGAAGTGTCGCTTTGTTTTGTTTAATAATATTTTTTATCGGTAATCAAAATTAATCCTTATTTGGTAGCTCATATTATTATTATTAAATACTAGCTATCTCGGCGAATTTTGTACCGCTTATCTTTGAATCGTGTTGTTTTATGAAAAAAAAAGAAACATACCAACCGAATTGAAAACCACCTTTTAGAAGTCAATTAAAAATGAACTTAAATTAAAAACTGATAATTGATTCGAAATTCAATATTTTTTATTCAGTTTAGGCCGTTATATTCTTTTTTCTTCGTCAGCTGCTAAGGGTTAGCACGAACCAATATGGAATTCGTAACGTTTGCGAGTGCGAAATGTTAAAATCTGCAAAATCTCGTACATAAGTACGGATTAAAATTTAAATTTAAACTCATTTATTCAGTCTAGACTGTTTCACAAGCCCTTGTGAAAGTAAAAACGGAAGACCAGAAATCTTGTATTGGTACGAGAAACTTCCAACCCTGTTTTCAGGAGAAGTATCATAGTGGCGTTAAAAGAAAGCAGTAGTGGATCAGTAAACAGCTTGTTGATTATCATTTACATCTGTCAAAAACTCTTAGCGATAAGACATACAGATGGACGTCACCTGGTTTGACTGCATAAATATAATTTAAAAAAAAGAACAGAGTTTTTGTCGGGATTTCATCGAGTGCGGTTGGCTTTTTATTTTGAGTAATATTAAATTCGGTCAAAGTGGATATTGTGATATAAAATTAGTGTGAATTCGTGTTACAACCTAGAACTATAATTAGTGGAAAATATACGCTGTTCCGGTCAAGTGGACCTGATAATTTTATGGTAGTGTTGGACTACCTCACAGGAGCTTATCGAAAAAGCTAACTCGATACATTTCGTTCCAAACACTCCAAAAAACATTGAAGAAATGCGTCACACCGACATTCTAATGTAAAAAAAAGATTAATAAAATTTAACACTAGGCTGTATTGGAATTGTTCCCTTTTCCTTCTCTGAAAAGGGAGAATATTAAAAAAAAAACAAAGCGACCTTGAAACATATAAAACTGTATATATAAAAACAAATTATGTATATTCTTAACTTTAAGGCTTCCGAGCAATGATTATAAAGTATTTATTGCCTTAACACGTCTTTTCATATTTAGCAAAATATTGATGGTAAAGTTTCGGAACTTAGGTAAGACGGGTACAATAAATATTTTTCACTTATTTTATTGTCGTCCTTATGTATATTTATGTTTGTAAGTTAAAATACGCACTTCTGTAGAGCTTACGTAATAAATTCCTTATTTTGTTTACCTTTTTCTTATTATTATAATTAATATAACATTAACACTGAATCTAATTCGTTTAATTAGTAAACATAAAAAAATACAAAGACAAGTGTAAATTCTCAACAACAAAAAAAGTTATTTTGTTAAATAGTGTATTTTTTTAATGGCATTTTATTTCTTATTTATCGATAACTTAGTGCCTAACATTCAATGAAGGCCGCATATTGTATGAAGGTATGAATAAATTGTGTATATGTTACTTGTTTATTTTAAAAATTCATAAAATATTTCCAACACTTACACCAATTAGCCCAAAGTAAGCACTCTAAGGCTTGTGTAATGGGATGCTAGGTTAACGGATAGAATACCTATATTGTACATATATAAGTATATTTATATAGAAATACATATTAAACATCCATGACTAGCGTACAAATGCTCGTATTCATCACACAAATATCTGCCCCCACCGGGATTCGAACCCAGGACCTCTCGAGTAGGCGTCACCTTGAAACCGGGCGTACAAACCACTCGGCCACGGAGGTCGTCGTTTATCCCTCGTTTATTAAAAAGAGGGGAAAATGCAAGTATGCAAACGGGATCTAAATTAGCGAGATATCGTGTTTCATATTGTTATGAACGACCAGCCCCCCTAGCATGAGCACCGCGATATGATATATAACGCGTTTTTAGAATAACAATGCGCGATAACGATGCCAGTTTGGGAGCGCGCATCCGATGAGACTGGATGCCGATGCCATCTAGTTTTTGTGAACGTTACTATGGCAACAGTGCCACAAACTTATCTGTGCCGTCGGAGATGTCGCTAGCGGTGAACAAATATGTCAAAATGAATGGTGATAAGTTGTAGTTCAAATTTTTGCCACCAGCTAAGTTTGTGGTACTGGACTTCGTTCAAAACCTAGGCTCGGAGTGCAATTTTTTATGTAATAATTTTGCCAGCATTCAGTATTTTCAGTTACCATACCGAAAAGTAAATAAATGGTATCGATTACATTTTCAAGTCATGATTCATGGAATCGAAGAGATACATCCACACAAAACGCGCATCTGTCGTAATTCATATCGTATCGTATCCTATGATCCTACGATTCTGACATTCACTTGGCATCGATGCGCGCATCGGATGCGATTTATCTGATACCGATGCGCATCGATTTCACAAATATCTAAAAACGCCCATCTCTACAAATATGGAGTTTGACAGTTACACACGATAAAACACGTGATATAATGTAAATTATGATGCTCATGCTACGAGGACCGGAACCAAATACAGTATACTCAATAAAATAAAACGAGCGAGCCTTACAGTAGTCGCGTATGATGTGTAACATTTGAAACCTCACCTTATATTAGTAAAAAAAGAAATAAAACCTACTACAAAAGGAATAAGCCATTTGAACATTATGTTCTAAAATCAAATCAAATAGCGCGTGCTTTCTGCACAAACTTCCTGTTACACACTTCCGTCCCACTTCACGTAATCACTCGCACAAATTGCATGAAAGCGAGAGGAGATGTTACACATCAAAAATAGTTTTTTTTGAGTGTGTATGCTGTTGGTCGCAGATGACCTTTACTCCGTCACTGGGTTTGGGGACGGCGAGATCCTAAGGGGACCTCAAGCCGAGAATTGCTAGTGCCTCTAGAGGTATTCCAGGCGGATGGCATCACCCCACGGGGGGAGTCTCCTCTCCGTCTGGAGTCTCTAGACCACTCGAACCTGAGTGGTCGGCTCAACTAGAGGGCGTCTCTGAGACTCGGAGCTCGGCTCCTTAGAGCATTTACTATCGTAAATGCTCTAAGCTCGGCTCTAGTTAGGCGTTGTCGTGGGGGGCGGGGAAAAACGCCCAGGTAAAACCTGTACCTGATATAGCTTGTCGTGTGTAGAGCGGCAGCTTTATTTATGAATCAAGACATTGTCTTGATTATGAGAATAAAGCAAAAATTCGTGGCCAATATTTTTTGATAATCTACCTGATAAACGAAGAAAAGAGGTTGGTTGTCATCCGTATTTAAAAGCAATAACACTAGAAGGATGCTTGTGGACTGAATAATAATAAAAAAACCTGTATCGGTCCATTATGCACTGCTGCAATTCGTCTTTTAAGAATCTCATAGGAACCTACCACTTTACCGAGATAATATAAAAAGTATCATAGTTATGTAATAGTTATATTATAGTTATATAAAAGGAAGTGTATTGCTTAGTTTCTGAATCCACAAAAAGCGTTCGACACGGTTTCAATCCCTATCCTGCTATGTCGATTAGAAAATTTAGGTATAAGGGGAGTTGCACTGAATTGGTTCAAAGACTATCTTCAAAATAGAAGTCAGACTGTTCGATTGAGCGGCCATTATAGTGAATCTGCTTCTTGTAATTATGGTGTACCACAGGGCAGTACTGTTGGTCCAACGTTATTTTTAGCTTATATTTTGACAACCTTTGTAAAATCCACCTGAATAATGGCGAGTTATTTAAGTTTGCTGATGATACTGCTCTCGTATTTTATGGTTCGTCTTGGGAAGAAGTTAAAATTACTGCAGAAAAAGGCTTATCTAAGGTTACAGCTTGGCTTGATAATAGTTTGTTACCCCTTAATGTGAATTAAACTAAATATGTATGTTTGCTTTTCCATAAATAAGGCTTCCAGTCCTCAGAAGTCTTTCTCACTACCTAGTCACACCTATCCCTGTAATCTTCTATCTGATATTCTATCGGACTGTAACTGTGCAAAGTTAGATCGCGTTAAAACATTCAAATATCTAGGAGTCATGATAGATGAACACTTAAAATGGGATGCTCATATTTCACTTATCTCTGGGCGTATCAGAAAGTTAATGTATGTTTTTAAGAACCTTGGTACGGTAACTAACCTGCCTTTATTAATTAGAGTTTATAAATCTTTAGAAGAATCTAACTACTGTATTTGTGCTTGGGGAGGCGCTGCAAAAGTACATTTAATTACATTGGAAAGAGCACAAAGAGCTGTATTGAAGGTTTTAATGTCACTACCGATTCGTCACCTAACAGCCTCATTGTATGAAAAGACTAAAGTCTTAAGTGTTCGAAAATTGTTTATATATCAGGTTATACGCAGATTGCATAATAATGTAAGTACAATAACTTATGTCTATAAAACAAGAGCGGCAAAGTGTCATATTCCTCCTTTTAAAACCAAGTTTGCCTCGAGATCATATGACTTTGTGAAAACATTAAATATAAATACATACAGACACAAAAACACACACGCGCGCGCACACACACAAATACTTATTTATTTTATTATTATTATTGTGTTATCACTTCTCATATTAATAAATACATTAATCACATAAATGGTACAAAGTTGACTTGCTCTGTTCAAGTAGTTTTGGGAGTGGAGGCCGGGTGTTTTGTAGAACAGGTTTATCCTATTGCAAGCACCAGTCTTCACATTAAGTACCTAATTAAATATTGTAATTAAGCACTTAATTGTAAATGTTTTTTTTCTACTTATGTGAAGAAATAAATAAAGAATTTATTATTATTATTTAATTTGTGACTATCCACTATTAAAGCACCAAATTTTATCCAAATCCGTTCCGCCGATTATGCGTGATTAAGTAGAAAGATAAATAAAGTGATAAGCGAAAATAGGATTTGAAACCGCATTTTTGGCTGCTATTACTATTAGGTAAGCTATGACATGACTTTATAATATGATTGCTAAAGAGATTAATATTTATAGAGAAACGTATGGGCTACCTCTGTTTTTGGAAACAGAGAAACACTGACGGACCGTACTGTATCTAATTCATATGCCATACACAATATGAGAAAGCATGTAATAAAAAAAAACAAAATGATGATTAACGAAATGTTTTTGTTCACTTATCTACCTGAATACCTATTAACCAGAGCAGTCACGTACCTCTCATTATAAATGTTAAAAGATAAATAAATATTATGGAAGTCTAAACAACTTACGACACAATACGCTATTTTCTGCATTACATTGGCTTTAAACACTTCTACAGTTTCTGAAGTCGTTCTGTCTGTAAACGAAATGAAATTATACTTTACACAAATTGACATACTGAAAGCTTTTTTTAATCTTCCAATTTTTTTCCCTACCTGAATGGGTTTCAGGACCTCTAACAGAAGTAGCAAAATTTATATACTTTTTTGAATACACTTACAGAAGTAATTGATGCGGGTTTTTACGTTTAAAGACCAGTACCCCTAGCACGAACCAATATCGAATTCGTAACGTTTGCGAGTCCGAAATGTCAAGCTGCTGTTCAAGTTTCCATACAAAATTTGACGTTGACATTTCGGTTTGTATATGGATTTCGATATTGGTTCGTGCTAGGGGTACAGTTCTGGATTCGACCACTTCTCGTAACTCATAGTTCTAGGATGGAACATTTCTGGTTTTGACCATTTCTGTTTAAGAGTAACTCGTAATACGACTGTTTCTCTTAGAGCATTTTTGGATTCGGCCATTTCGTCATTGAAGAAGTGGAATTCGTATCGTTTGTGAGTCCGAAATGTCATTGTCAAATGTGTACTGATTTTTAGTTCTCATTACGTACTTTGTGCCGCTGCTGTTCAAGTTTCCATACAAAATTTGACATTGACGTTTCGGTTTGCAAACTATTCGAATTCGATATTGGTTCGTGCCATGGGTACTGTTTTGGATTCGACCACTTCTCGTAACTCATAGTTCTAGGATGGACCATTTCTGGTTTTGACCATTTCTGTTTTAGACTAACTCGTAATACGACTGTTTCTGGATTCAGCCATTTTGTCATTCAAGAAGTGGTCTTCAAACGTCAACTCCATCCATTGATGCAATTTCATAACTGAACCGGCAAAAATTTTCGCATCGCTTGCGCCGTATAAGGTCAAGTTCGCTTTTACAATTATCCTACTTGTAAATGTGACACAGCGTACATTGAGGCTTGCATAATTCATAATTACATCACATATACGCAGTGTACATGAAAAAGTTCTCGCTGTCGATACCAACATGAACGTTTTCGATTCAGTGTGCGATCCTTTCTCGTTGTGTGCGATGAATTTTGATAAACTCCTGCTTGTGTTTACTTGTGGAATACTTTCGCTGCAGGAGTATTCTGTTCAATCACCCGATCGAATCGACATCGTACTTTATAATGCATATTACAAAAACCTTTTTTTAAGTAAAGAGCAGTTTTTTGTCAAGTATCTTGTTAATTTCAGGGATATTAAGCGAATCGAGGCCGTTGAAAGATGCTTTCGGCTCCAAAATCACTAGATTGTGTTTTTCAATTAATAAATAAATAATAAATATTTCCAACACTCACACCAATTAGCCTAGCCCCAAAGTAAGCACTATAAGGCTTGTGTTATGGGATACTAGGGTAACGGATAGAATACATAAACTGTACATAAGTAAATTTTTATAGAAATACATATTAAACATCCATGACTGGAGTACAAATGCTCGTATTCATCACACAAATATCTGCCCCCACCGCACCGGGATTTGAACTCGGACTCTCGAGTCGGCGACATCATGAAACCCGGCGTACAAACCACTCGGCCACGGAGGTCGTCAGAATTAGTATTGTGTTTGCAAGTTCTTAAGAGATCTCGTCTCAATTTCGTTACAGCTATGTCTGTTTAACGTAGGTAGATATATTTAACGTAAGGTATTAATTAAAAGGCTTCTCTTGACAAGACAAGAAGCAAAAATAAAACTCAAAAAGTGGCAGAAACAATGCATCCACACGTACTTACTCAGTACAAAGAAATGATTGATGTATTGCTTCTTGATTTCATTCGTCCAGAATAAGGCTCCTAGATTCAAATTAGATGCTGCAACTATGCTTTATATCAAGTGTGTATATGTGCAGTGCCCAGTCGTCCATTAGCTGCTCTCAGGTAATGGCTGGCAAAATGAGGAGTTTTGCACTGGTGAGTAGTTACCAAGTCACTTCAAATATTTTAATATTTTTGTTGGTCTTATTTATTTTTATTTTGTGTATAAGATACGATAGAATCAGTGAAGTGAAGTTTTCGTGTGTTGTTTTCGGAGTGACCTACTATTGTTCTTTTCATCATCATCATCATTAGCCTGTTAATGCTGCTGAGCACTGGAATTTCCTATAAATGAAATAGGGCCTGGGCCGTCACCCACCACGCGTGTGGATTGGTGGGTGCTAACGACTGCAGATGCAGCTGGGACGGCTTAACGTGCCTTCCGAAGCACGGAGGAGTGAGAGATAATAAGGTTTTGGTCACCCGTTGGGTCGACCAGTGCAAAAGTTGCTTAAGTTTCACGATCGCAAGCCGAATGCGCTAACTATCTGCGCCATCAAGTTCTTTTCATAGTGCTTTGATATAAAATTATTGTAATATTGTGTTGTCGTTATGTTAAATGTGCTTCTGAGACAAAGTTACAATAATTTCCATCGACTCAAAAGCACATTTACAATTTGGATCGGTTTATTGTTGTCAGTTATAACTTCACATTCTTTTACTATCATTGGGAAACAGCAAACTCATTTTCGAAACATATATTTTTTGCATCTAGTCCAGTCCAGTTCAGCGTGAAAGTAATAAGTATGTACTTTAACTACTCATATATGGAATCATCATCGGGTTATTTGCTTTTCAGATAATTTTGCTCTTCGCATTCCACGCGACTTCGGCAACGTTGGACGTCGAGAAACTGAAAGGATTAAAATCTACAGCGGCAGAAAAACTTCACACACTGACAGAAAAAGCTGCTACAGGTCTCCAGCAACTTAAAGCAACAGCATCGAATAGTCTTCATGAGCTAGCTGAGACAGCGTCGCACAACATACAGCATCTAGGTGACGATATAGACTTGAACAATCTCTACAAACTGGACGTTCTGCACGTGTTACCCGCTCTGAAGTCGAAATACAAACTCATCAAGGACTTGTATAACAAACCGGAGACCAAAGTTAACGTGATTCATATTTACGGAGATGATTTAAATTCCCATTTTGATCACGCGAAACTGGTGAAGGTTAAAGAATGGCATCCTGCCCTTCCATATCACGTTCACGAATTGCCCCATCATCATCACCACCACCATTCTCCACATCCTCATCATCATTTGGAACACTATCATATACCGTATTCCCTGAAAAAGCAAGATTGGTGATTCGATTTTTATTAAGTATATTTCTAAAATCTTCATTAAGTCGATTTATTTGTGATGATAATTTGTGTTATTGTTCTGCCTTTGGACCAAGTATGTTTTTGGAAGAAAACTTGGTCACCTGTTCCAGTAGTCAAAATATAATGCCGGCCTCAGGTTTTTGTAGATATGGTGCATTGCCAAAATCATATTGGTTTCAATAAAAAATGTTTGCGAGGTTTTTTCCATTCTTCAAATGACGTAAGGGGTGATGTAGGCGAATTGGGTCAGGTCAGGGTAGGCAACGCGTGAGTGGTATAGGGTTTTGGTGGCCGCTTACCATTAGGCAAGCCATACTATGCCATATTCCTTCATATAAAAAATCAAACGAAGCTTTAAAAGTAGTTTTAACTATTTTATGAAAGTTGGAATGAGGATCTGATAGATCTGTGTGTTAATGCGTTAGTGTGGTGTGGATTTGTTTGTTTTTAAATTATGAATAGATTATCTCCTTAAAATGTATTTTTTATACAGTTTTTATAAAAAAATAAAGAGAATTTATAAAATCTGCGTTTTATTGGGTAACTAAAAATCCATGTATTTATCAACTTTTGGGAGGTGTAAAGAAAAATTGAGAATTCACTCGGAGAGTCGCTGGTTCAAAGCACGCCTGATATAAGACTAGTTAATTTTAGTAAAAATTTCTTCAGACAGATAAATCTTCTAAAAGTAACTTTAATTTTTACTAGAATTTTTTTATATTCATTTAACATCCAGCAGTTAAATGCTTAAAATAATAAAGAATACACTTAAATATACTGAAGAAACAATAGTTTTTTATTTCCTATCCAAAGATTAGCCTTTGGGAAAGTGCTAACTTCGTTGTCCTTTAGTCTAATTAATACGCCATATAACTCTCCGATACCTTAAAAGGCACACACACTGGACATACATAGGACATACTAATATATATCTCTGATATGAAAGTTTTGATTTCCTATATATTTTTGTTTGTGTGTAACGAAAAACTTCAAAAAGTACTGGAACAAATTAAAAAAAAATCAATTAAGTATATACAGTAAAACCCGTTTAAGACGATTTCACAGGAACTCTACCAAAAACGCGTCTTAAGCGGGAAAGCGTATTTATGCGGGATGGATTTGACGCTTATAGGATGGATGAGCAAAACGTAATATCTCTCATTCCTCCGTACTTCGGAAGGCACGTTAAGCCGTTGGTCCCGGCTGCATCTGCAGTCGTTAGAACCCACCAATCCGCACTGGGACCGCGTGGTAGGTCACGGCCCGTCCATCAATAGGGAATACCTGTGTCCAGCAGTAGGGACATAAATAGTCTGATGAGGTTGAGATTCATATATGTTTTTATTTCAGGCTGATAAAGCATATCATTATAAGGTGCGGTAACAGCATCATTAAATATTTGTTTCTTAAGTATCCACGCACTCATTAATTAAAACACACTTATTTTAGTTTATTATTTTTCAACAAATTTGCTCAATCGAAAGTTCAAAGTAGTGTGGCTCGTAACACAACCAACCGTGCGGTAAAACATTTTATCGCATTTTATTTACAATAGTAATAAAACAAGTATCAATAATAATATAATAAATAATTTATTTAACACACAATAAACATAGTTTCCATATATATAAATCCATCTATTTTCCGATAGTCAGATCGCTTAAAAGTCTGTCAAATACGTCGTCATTACTAGTGTTAGGCATAAAAGCGTCCATTCCATTCTGGAATTCTCCGAAATCACTATCTAACGGCACATTGGTGTCTGCGAGACCCAGTTCTGTCAAAAGTGACAAATTATCAAGGTTGTCAACTTTGACAGCGCTGTCTAAAGTGTCAGAATTGTCGAGACCGGGTAGGAGTTGTTCTGTGCCGTCTTCGTCTTTGTCCTTCTTCTGTCTTCTGTTGAAAACTTTCGGTTCTCTCTCAGAGTCTGACAGATCGTGGTATTCCCGTATCTCTTTTGCGTATTCTATTTCTTCTTCGTCTTCTTGGTTGTCCTGTTGTAAACATAAAAGTTGATATTGTTAAAATTCAATATCTTTTATAAGACTAAAGAAAATTTTAATAGAAAAAAATCTAAAGAAAATATAACTAGAAAAAATTCCACGCGGACCAGGCAAATTTCTTCTTTCAAATGTTTAATACTTGTAAAAGTATTCATTTGACATTGTGGGTTACCTAAAATGCGAAGAGATGGCGCTGCCTTGCAGCTTAAGAAGGGTTAGAGGAATTTCGACGCGGTCCGTGAGGGTCGCGTTAGCATAATTGGTCAGTGCATTCGCCCGGATTGCGAAGGGTGCGGGTTCGAGTCATGTCTGCTGCCTGGTCCGCGTGGATTTTTTTCTAGTTATATTTTTTTTAAGATTTAAACATCAAGCAGTTACATGCTTTAAAATAATAAAAAATATAACTAGAAAAAAATCTGTCTATTCAGGCACCAGAACAGGATTCGAACCTGCAAATACCTCCATCCCGGCGGACACTAACCAATTATGCTACCGAGGGAACTTTTAAGTTATGTTCGCCTTTTTTTAGTTATGTTCTCTCCAGGATTCGACCACTTCTTTTCTTCCAGTGCATTCGCCCGGATAGCGAAAGGTGCGGGATAGAGTGGATTTTTTTCTAGTAAAATTTTTTTTCAATATGTTCGTTCGATTTAGACTGTTACAAAAAAATCGTTTAAAATCCTCGCTTTTGGTTCGCTATTCAACGAAAGGCAAAGAACTGGCTTAAACAGAGAAAAACTGGCAAGAAATTCAACAAACGCTTTACTCCCCGAATTATTATTTTATGTGCAGATTGGTAAGAACTGGCTTAAACAGAGAAAAACTGGCAAGAAATTCAACAAACGCTTTACTCCCCGAATTATTATTTTATGTGCAGATTGGTTCTTCAAGATGAAAAATAATTTCAATACCTACGAGACAATTTTTAAATTCACTTAAAATCTTTAGTTGATTTTTGCCTTTTTAATCATAATGATCACACAAACCTGTATTATCTGCGCTGTTGATTTATATTGGAAGGCGTTCTGCGATAAATCCACTTCAACGGGGAACAACGAAGCGTTCTCCTTGAGATGTTCTGCTGTTTCGCTTCAATGGAAAACAAAATACCCATATTATACACAAATCGTTATCTATATTTTAAAACTCTCCAGCACTAAAACTCTTAGATGAAATTGAAAAGCTAAAGATTTAATCATGTTTAAATAGGTTTCAACACCTTCATTCTGTTTCTGTTTAAAATTATATGAAATGAAATGAAATTATACTTTATTTAAATTAACTTATTGAATAATATATTTAAAAAAATAATGTCTCTATAGAACGTACACTCACATTTTGATTGCTGTGTCATACAGTGTATGTTTAAAAAGAAAATCTGTGTTAAACTGGATTCTACTTTTATATATTTTAAGAATGTTGGTACAAGAGGCCTTAGATATTATTTGTTTCACACTAGCATTCCAGCATTGAATTTGTTCAATGCTCCTTTTTTGGTAATTATTATATTAAATGTGCTTTATTATTATTGCATCAAATAGTTCACAACAGTAAGGATGATTTTCCACCAGAGATGTGTTATGCAGCTATGCTGTGAGAATGTGTTAGCTAAGCTGTAGGAAGGCCAAAGGGGAAGATCTTCCTCCGAGCTGGTTGATGGTAGCTCGGGGGCCGCGGCCCCACTGATGTTGGTCGGGCATCGTATATATGAAGAGTTAGCCTTCGAATTTCATTTGCGCGATGTAGGCTTCCATACTAATATTGATCGCAGTGCAGGTAACGCCATCTCTTGAGGATGGTGAGTAATGATTTCCTACATCCGTTGTATATCTGTGGGGCATATAGATGTCGCCGCCACAAAGCTACGAAACTACGTGACCGTTTCCACTGATGCTAAGCTACATAGCCGGGCGAGTAAGATGTGCTATGAAGGTGCGCCGTCGCAAAGTAGCTGCGCGAGGAAGATGACTTTTTCAGTTACAAACGCGGGCACTCTTCTCTTGATATAGCTACACCACTCGCGGCCATCATAGCCCGCATACAGAGCACGCATTTATAGCACGCATCCTTCCATATAAAAACATAGCTTAGTTGAACCCGTTTCCACCAGTGCTATGTGGACCAGTGAATATGATTGGTGGATATCAAACGCATCCACAACCAGACCCGTCTTTCCCATTTTTTTTTATAGATAGGTCCGACAAATCACTCCACCCCAACTGATGTTAAGTGAAGGTGAAGTCCAGACGCGAAGATAGCTGATACAGCAGTTCCACCTGCCACATAAGCCATCCTCACCATGTCGGCCTGCATGTTGCTTCTTCACGCCTCTTTTAAAGGATCCCAGGTTGTAAGAGGGAGGGAACACGTGAGCGGGCAGAGCATTCCATTTACGGATAGTGCGACAAAGGAATGAGTCTCCAAATTTCTTTGTACGCGTTGGAATTGTGGCCACAGTTAGACGGTGACAAAGAAGGCCAGCGCGCGTGGTCCTCTGAAGGAAGGGGCCTTCCCCCTTCCTTGAATATAAGAGAAAGAGAATGGAATAAGAGAGAATAACTCCTCAGAACACTCGCCGTGGTACAGACGATAGAACGCGCTTAGTGACGCCACGACACGAGGTAATTGAAGAGGCTCAAGGCACTTTGGGCAAGTGCCCAGGGCCCCGCGATCGTTAGGGGGCCCCCTCAGATCAAATACAAAGTCCCTAGTTCCTGTTAAATCGTCAAATGGAAGTCATAGGGGCCCCATTATCCTAATATGCCCAGGACCTCCAATAGGTCAAAGACGGCACTGTCCACAGCAACGTAGCATAGCACATCTCTGGTGGAAAAGCAGCCTAACTCAAATACATAGTTAGCAATGGTTGGCTTATCTCCAAAAGAGGGAGAGAGAGAGTGCTTCTTATTGTTAAGAGTTGCTTCTTGTTGTAACGTGTTATTATCGATGAATATCTATAATTGGCTTTCTGTTATTATTTCACTTTTTTTTACTTTTAAAATCAACTAGTGGCCCGCCTTCGCTTCGCTTCGGGGTAGAATTGATCAAAATTCTTTCTTAGCGTATGTCTATCATAACATCTACCTGCATGCCAAATTTAAGCCCGATCCGTCCAGTGGTTTGGGCTGTGCGTTGATAGATCACTATGTCAGTTTGTCCTTTGTGTTTTATATACAGAGAGTTACAAAAATACAAATAAAGCTTGAAGGGCGTTGAAGTACATTAAATAAGGAGTCTTTTCTAATTTTCTTAAAATATATGCAAGAAGTTTGAACTTTTTATAAAAACAGTTATTTTTAATGATTAATAAAAATATCGATCATTTTAAGACACGTCACTAGTTCGAGGTCCATGCACCTTACCAGGAGTAGTTATAAATCTGCTGTAATAAAGAAAATTAGAGAAGATTCCTTATATGATGTACTTCAACGCCCTTCAAGATTTATTTGTATTTTTGTAACATCCTGTGTATAGATACCATCAGTCATCCAAAACAAAATTTAATAACACTCCACTTACTTGTGATAGACAGCCAGCCCTTTAATAAATCTACGAAGCTGATACGCAACATCTTGTGTCTTCTTATTTTCCAACAATTCCAACTTTATCAACACATCGGAACGTAGCCGTGCGAATCTGGCCCTCTCCTCTTGTCGACATCGCAGTATTAGTCTAAAATATATATTTAATAAACAAAATACATATAGAAAAAAAATTGTGTGCACGGACCACACATCTGAAGTGAAACTTCTTTTCTTAAATAATGTAACATTAGGCGGAGCATAGGGCATATATACATATATATTGTCGCGTGTGTCGCTCGTAGCGTTTTAGCCTTCGCCGAATTACCCTATAACTTTCATGCTCGTTGGGAAGAACTGCGCACGCATCCCACACACACACACATATATATATATACATAGCCGAGTGACATTTCCGTTTCATCTTTTCCATATAATTTTTCCATTTACGTACAAAAAGAAGTTTCACTTCAAAAAAACAAGCTTTATTTGAATGCACAAAAGAAAACAGCATGTCGTAGACGTTAAGTTTCTTCGTATTCTGCGCAACCTTTTTATTTCATGCCCGTATTATGAGAATACACTAAATATTTACTAGTCCGCCATCTGGACCGTTTGCCATTTTAGATTTATAATGATTTTACTTAATTAACTATTATGTATGTCAAATTTAATCTCAATGAGGGTAAGTATCTAGATAGATACTTACCCTAAAGCAGATGCTTTATAATTCAGTTGTAAGTATAGTATTAGACTCTTAACATTAACGCTCCAACTTAAATTGACTATTTAAAAATTTATTTATTTTAAGTTAACACAGTTTATTACTTATTACCCTTATGCCGCAATTACATTTGGACTTCAGCCCGAATTCGGGTTAAGACATTACTCGAATCCTGAAGCAATATTTACACTGGTATACGGGCTGGAAGACGGTTGCGGGTAACCAAAAGGAAATCTACCCGAATTCGGGCGTACTCGACTCCGTTCATTTGTACTTAGTCGTTTACCTGAATTCCATTGGCACTCGTATTCGGGCTAGCGACCAAGTGTAATCCCGCCATTATTACATAACATTCATAGTACAGATATTGCAAGCCTCGCAGACGCGCCCCAGTATTCCTCCTAACCGTTTATAATAAATGTGTGCCAGCTTCCGCCAATATGTGAGTGTTGTCGGTACACACTAATTATGTATGATAATAATATTGTCACAAACGCTCTCGAAACGTAACCGTGAAAGTGGTAGAGATCGAATTTGCCAGATCACCGCGGGTCGCGATAGAGGTCGAGTAAGGCGGCATTCTAAAATGAGCCTTATGCAGTGCGGCATAAGGGAGAAAGTGCAACGACATCTGCACTTGTTTACAAGTTATGCGTGTTACCTGCGTAGGTATAAGTAGGTATTTCGTACTCGCGGGTGCTAGGTAATTCTCATTTTAACAGGTACTTTCTAGAATGCGTCGATCAGCGTATATAAGCGCGATTGGCGGCGCGCAGAGACAGTTGAGTTTCAACAGCGATTTCGGAGCGAATCCAAAGGCGATCAAAGTGCAACAAAAGTGTTCAGGTGAGATTGTTTAGAGACTTGTATAGTGAAATACAGTGTTTAGTGAGTGTTTTTGTAATTAACATTGTGTGTTAATTGTGTGAACGGTGTGGTGAATAAAGAACTGTCAAGCGTGAACTGGCATATAATTTCGAACCCCATCCCGAAACGTAACAATATGATAATTATCTAATTATCTTTTTATCACTAATTATAATCCTTCTACCAAATATTGGTGAGGCGCATTTACGTGGATTGCACTATCTGTATTATCCAACAATATCATTGATCTATGTTCATAATAACACTACATATTCATAAAATTATTTACGAAAGAAGAATTGTAAACAGGGTTTTTGTGCAAAACTGCTTAGTTATCGGTTTCGATTCTGGCAGGATTCTCTAAACTTCAAACTTAATTTAAGATCAGTATCTCCTTTGCCCAAGGTGGCTGGCAGGAGCTGGATGAGAATAGCCCAAGATCTATCTCAGTGGCGTGCAATTGGAGTGGCCCATGTCCAACAGTGGACTAAGATAGGCTGTTTATGATGATGATGATCTAACTTTTATTCTGTATAGAGAATGACAAGGATACGGGTTTTTTGCGGGATTTCATCGAGTGCGGATTGCGTCTTATTTTAATTATTCTTTAATTCGATTGATTCTTTTATAACCGTCTGCACAACTGAAGAATTAGTCGAATCTTTAAAATATACGCTATTCCGGTCAAGTGGACGTGAGAACTTTATTGTATTGTTGTCTACAAGCTTCTGTGAGAAGCTTGTCTAGAAAGCTGTCTCCATACATTTTATGCCAAACACTCCAAGAAACATTAGAATGCGTCACACCCACATTCTAATGTAAAAAAAGGAAGATTGATACAAAAATAAGATGATGGCTGCATGACTTTGCCTTTGCCTTTTACAATAGGGAAGAATAGAACTAAAAAAAAATACAAGGATACAATGTTGTCAAATTTAATTTTCGATTTAGAGAATCTTGTCAGCATCGACACCACACTACGTGTTGACACTAGTCTACAAGGGTTATATAACAAATATAAGTTTAGGTATAAATTAAGAACCTACCTATATTCATAATTCCCAGTTTCTACCCTGTACAAAGGCTCCTGCAATGCATTGTAGCCATACTCCTCGTCGTCCATCTCTTTCACCTTCAAACAATACGACAGATACTGGAACTTTGTGTCGGCGTATTTTCTTATGGTCAACTTGGTGTCCGGGATGGCTTTGTTCAGATACGTACCCATGTCTGAGAGGATCTGTGATGTGATGAAATTTTCGTAACTATAATATTTCATTGACGAAGTTCTACAAAAGTTGATGAGACATGGCACAAGACGTGGCGTAATGGAGATATGAAATCTTTGAGTGCAAACGTTTACAATTATCTGTTGTTAGATTTTTATTTCATAGGGACAATTTTAGATAGACAAAATTTATACCACAACGTGAATTCTTCGGGATTTATTTTTCTCAATTGCTTTTGTAACATAAGCGTGACTTAGCATCAATCAGCCGACACCAATCTTCTTCAGGGTCATTATCAATTTAGTGGCACGATCTAAAAAGACATTATCCCTCATGAGGAAAGCCTGTGCCACAGGCTTTCCTCATGGATGGAATAGGGAGATTTGGTCATGACTCATTACTTGGGCCCATTGTGAATTAGTGGATTGCCAACGACTGCAGATGCAACCGAGGCCAACGGTTTTACGTGATTGTCGAAGTACGGGATAATGTCTTTTTATATCATGTCACTAAATTAATAAAATACCCTCACGCTTATGGTACAAAAACTATCCAAAATCGACATATGGCATAGGTGTATTAGCTCCAAGAATAATACTAGCCAAAAACAGCCCTAGGCATGTCGGTATACTCATTGAAATAATTTCAGTGGCTTAAAAGCTTACTCGCCAAACTTGCTGAGTATCTATCTGGGGTTTATTGAAACAACTGAGCGGAGACAAAGCTTTCAGCATCTTGATGCTATCGCAGTCGTACAGGCCAAACTTGCTGAGCATCTGAGATTAATGTAAGAACGAACCTGTTTCAAAGCAGCATATTGGATCAATGTTCTTCAGCATCTTGGACTAATGTAACAACACACCGGCTTCCAAGCTTGCAGCATTTTGGATTCATGTAACAAATCACGACCTTCAAATCTTGCAGTATCTGAGATCAATGTCCTACAGCATCTAAGATGAAAGTTTTCAGCATCTTAGACTAATTTAACAACTTACCGGATTCAAAGCTTGCAGCATCTTGGATCAATGTCCTTCAGATAGATCAAAGTTTTCAGCATTTTGGACCAAAGTTTTCAGCATCTTGAACTAATTCAACAAACTCACCGGCTTCAAAGCTTTCAGCATCTTGATGCCGTCGCGTTCCAAATCGCGATGGTATTGGCCGAACTTACTAAAAGCTTCCGAGGCGCGAGCTTGTGGTTCCCTAACGCCTATGGCCGCGAATATATCTCCCAGCGCTTTGTACGTTTGGATAAGGTCGAAGTAAGCTTTTAACATCCTATAAAAATACGTAAATATTAAGTTAGAAAAGCTAAATGACGCAGTGGTTAGCGCGTTCACTCTGAGGAAATTAGGCAAGTTTTGCAATGACCTTTTTATGTAATAAGTGGCAAACAAGCATATGAAGAGAAGTAGGTCACAGCGCATTTTCCGCTCGGATTGGAGCGTCCTGTCGAGTAACCTACAGAAGACTTCAGTAAAAATAACACTACCTTTAGGTGGTATAAATATATATTAAAATCAGTACACCACAACTACAATCAGACCCGTCTTTCCCAGTGGGCACTTTGGGCAAGTGCCCAGGGCCCCGCGATCGATAGGGGGCCCCCTCATATCAAAAACAAAGTCCCTAGTTCCTGTTAAATCACAAATGGAAGTCATAGGGGCCCCATTATCTTAATATGCCCAGGGCCTCCAATAGGTCAAAGACGGCACTAACTACAATAAACAATAATATAATTTAAATTACAAATTTATTGGGTATGGGATTGGGTCAGGGAAGGCAACGACGTGAGTGATATTTTTGGTATTCTTGTCTTTAATTGTCGTGATGAATCAAGTTTTACATAAGTGGAAAACAGACATATTATTATGACCAGCCTCATAGTAACCGGCTATCATAGCAAACATGCTTGCGATACTACAATATCACATAGGTGATAGGGTAACATCTCCCACCTTGAGGAGTTCTGGAAACCTTATTTCACTACGTAGTTTTTTGTCAAGTTAAAGTGGCTTTCTCAGACGGGCTTTGCGATTCACAGATAACAATGCTGTACCCTATACCTTAATTTAAAATGTGTTATTTTTATTCCCTTCGTGCTTTGAAAAATATCTTTAACTGTTGCTCCTGTTTGAATCGCAACTCTTTCGGTGGAAGACCATTGCGAAAGTAATTTACCTTCCACAATCTAATTAAGGTGACTTCAGAATAATCTCTGAAGTCAATTTTCAACTTGACAACTCTGTAATAATAATACAAGGAGAAAAAAACAGCAACAGCTGAGTTTCTTGCCGGTTCTTGTCAGTACAAGGTCTCCCGCCGTAGTTTTGCGAGCCGATGGCGTAGCTTCTCGACTTTAGATTTGACTTTAGACTGTAGCTTCTAGACTGAATAAATGATTTTTGATTCTGATTGATTTTGATTTTGAATCCAATATTTAACGCCCTATAACTACCGCACAAACCAGATGACCTATTCGTTAACACTTTTGTCATTTATAGTATGTAATTAAAGAGAAAATTGTATTTCCATCGATGATTTTCAGGACAAGTATTTTAGTGGCGTTATAATAAAGCTATCGTGGATCAGTAAACAGCTTGGTGTATATCACTCACATGTGTCAAAAGCCATTAGAGAATAGGCTTACAGTACCTCTAGATTGTTGACCTAGATCACCTTTTAGCATGTTCTACCAGTCTCTTGTAAGTAGTCTACGTGTCCCTCAACTCATCCAACTTGGCGACTAATGTCTTTACAGAGTATAGCTTCGCGCTTTGAAAAATATGTTAAGTTTTTGGTCCAGGCTGCATTTGCATCTTAGAAAATATCTAGGAACTGTGAAACCAATTTAGCTTCCACAATTACAGATTTAACTATCTACTGCACAATCAAGTTCCGCATTGATTGCCGACAAATATTTGCTTATAAATTAACCCATAAAATAATACCTTTTAGCATGTTCCACCAATCTCTTGTAAGTGGTCTCAGTATCCCTCAACTCATCTAACTTGGCAACAAGCGTGTCATTACACAATATAGCTCTGGAGAGGCCCAATGCATCAGCGGCGCCAGAAGACATATTCTCCACCAGTCTATGCTTCATCTTCTTCATGATGATGTCCAGGGATTTCCCTTGCTTCGGATCCGCGTGTAACTTGTTGTAGTTGATTGTCACTTCATCCTGTAGAAATAAGCTTATTTGACGAAAGAGTTTTGATACAAGTTGAAGCTGTACGGTCTACACATATGTCAAAACGTCTAAACGTAGAGTATGGGCGGAATAATAAATACCCATATGAAATCGGGTCGTATGGTCTAGAACGGTGGTTGTTAACCTTATAGTGACAAGGGACCAAAATCTCTGCCCTGCCAAAGGCCACTATTTACGATTTGTACCCCCGGAATTTGTAAATTGTGTTCTTACATTATTATGTAACATTTTTTCGATTGGCTTCGCGAACCATCGGTAAAGAACCGACTAGCCTAGAATAAGATAAATTAATCGTGCAGCCAAAGCTATGTGATCAACTGCCTGCACGATCGTTCCGTCTATTTTACTTATATGCCATATTTACTTTACAGCTGGTTAGGGAACGCTCAGAACTATGTTATGTTCACGGTTCTAATGAACAAACTAAAGAGTATTGATAACAATCTTTGAATAAATTTGATGATTCCCTAAGTGTTCATGAATTCGCACGAAAAATCCCTGAAAAAAACTTCATTGTAACAGTGGTACCAATTTTTCGCGTGAATTTTCCAAAAATGCGTGAAAACCCAAAAATGTTTTCGAATTCTTACTTTGGCTGCTTGTATCATCTTGGCCACTTCAACTTTGGTCTTCCCTTTGACCGACTGTCCATTTACACCGACTAGTTCATCGCCACTTTGCAAAGTTCCATCCCTGGCTGCGGGAGTATTGTCAAATATCTGTAAATTAATGGGATATTAATTTCCTGTTTTCACACACATCAATTATTAAATAAAACACTTTTTGGAAGGGTATAAAGCGCCTTTTTATCAGTTTTTACGTTTTTCTTAACATTTTGGACATAGGCTTGTGGCGGCGACATCTACATGCCCCACATATAACCATCGGATGGAGGAAATAATCATTTGCCATCTTCAAAAGATGGCGCTACTGGCGCTGCGATCAATAAGTATGGAAACCTACATCGCGCAAGATAAATTCGGAAGCAAACACTTAATATATACAAGAGAAGGTTTTTCAAAGGGCAGGGCACAGGACCTTCGTGGTGGGACATAGCCCGTTATCTCTTCTCCACCTATAGAAAAGGCCTGTGCCCCAGCGGCGGGGACATTAATAGGCTGTTGATGATTTTGATATTCTTACCTGTACAATATACAAGCAGGGACACAGTGGCGCGCCTCCTCCAATACTGATTCCTATCAAATTCTTCTCATCCTTAGTTAGAACTACACTCCCTGATGTCACTGTCATACCCCTGAAAATGCAATAAATTATTATTAAAATCATAATTACTTTATAATTACATTTTAACCTTCCTTTTTTAGAGGCCTTTCCGGGCAGAGGTAGCCCCTTCGGGTGTTTTTTAGTCAGTACGAATCTGACATAACCGGCATTGCAGTCGGCTGTAGGGTCTCATGAAGATTTCTCACCCGCTCCCCCGCCAGGGAGGAAACAAAAATAAAAAACGGCGTGTGACGTTGAGCCGCTGATTGTTAACGGTATCGGAATCAGGTTGTACTTTTATTTTTCTTAATTAATCTTAATAATAAGTGAACGCTGTGGTAAGGTCTTGTAAGTTGATAGCAGAGATGAGAAGTTCTTATAAAACAATCAAGTTCATTCCTTTCATAATATGATCTAGGAAAATTTTTGATTTATTCAAAACAATAGGTAGCATAAGCGGGAAGGCATTAATCGGTCCAGCCGAGCGGTAAAATCGAATATGTGTAGATGAATGTTAAGCTAATAATTACTACGGGTCGGCTTTATTGTTCGACATACAATACTGCCGAACCGACTATGCCACCCCGATTATGTGTTACATATTTTTACTTACTTTTGTATGAGATCCATGTTAACGTTTTAAAATTACCAAAAGTAGCTTTTAATTAACAAAAATTGCTCTCAGATTTTTAAATGTTATATTAGAGTCGGAAAAATGAAATACATATTAACAAAATATAGAGCCAAGTGTAGGGTAGTAACGACGGGCATAGTGTTACTTATAGAATATCTCTAAAACAGAGGTTAGAGATAAGGAGAACGACCGCTGTAGAAAATAGTGTCCCAGAAATATGGACAAAATAATTGAGCCGCTGCAATCGCTAAGTTTTCTCAATAAACAGAGGCGGCGCTAGGCGTCGGCGACGTCGGCCACCGCCGACGGCTTCGCAAAAAATTTTTACAAGTTACCTATTTATTTTCGTTTTTCCTGGCCTGGCTTAGGTAGCCGACCCCGAACAATTTCGGGAAAAAGCTAAGCAGATGATATTGACTTTTATTATTTTCGAACACGTGCGTGATGGAAGCGGGTAGTACTTTACGGGTATTCAGAATCGTCTGTCTGGCAACACTATTTTTGTAATTAAATTTCTATGTTTGTAATTATTTTTTGTCATCATTTAATTATCAACAATAAAACTCGTTTACTCATACGTTATTTTATAATTTGGCTCACTTAATTTAACGGTTTTTTACTGCGAATTAAAATAGGCCTCGCGAACTTGATGTCGCCGACGTCCACATGTGGTCTAGCGCCGCCACTGTCAATAAAAGCGGGCTGTTGTGTGCTAATTTGAAAAAACCAATGCCGCGAAGAAAATTTGCACATTATTCAACTAACTTCATCTTCTTGTACTCATAAACAGCTAACATCACAGATACTACTTACCGACGGCAGCGCGGCTGGTGGCTGAATAATGAACTATAAATTCTACAAATTTTTAGGGACAGGCGGGCTAATGCTTTAGCACGTAGCGATCATCCTCCTTCTGTCTAACCTCCATGCTTCTACCCATTTCTTATTTGTCTTGGTTTTATTATTTTATATGCCGCCATCTTAAGCAGCTGTCATCAGACGTCAAATGGCCGGCTATAATACCGAGAATTCCTTTTGTTGGTCGTTAGCCCAAATACGAGTGCCAATGGAATAGCGTATTTGATAAGTTTTAGAAAACAATTTCACGTTATTGACTTATGTTTATGGAGCCCGTAAAAAGTGGATATTCATTATTCTGTTGTGTATTTCAGTAAAAATAACCAAATCAAAAACTCCAATTTCAAATGGCCGCGAAAACGTTTCTCTGGATAATATGGCGTCTTACTACTATGTGACGTAACACGACTGTTATTAAAACGTCAAACGATACAATGTAATGTCACTTTAACTGGATTTTTATTTGCGTGTGGCGTCATTTTAGGCTCCGTCAATCCCAAACGTTTTGGGTCACGTGACAATAGATAAGAAACTATTATCTTTTCCGTGGGTTTTTATTTTTTTGTAAAAATAGTAAAAACCCCTGCCAATATTTATTTTAAACACGGATGCTAACAATTGGCACTTTATTTTTAATACTGTCAAATACCCTATTCGGGTAGACGACTAAGTGTAAATGAATGGAGTCGAGTACGCCCGTATTAGGGTAGTTTTTGTTTTGGTTACCCGATACCGTCTTCCAGTCCGTATTGTAGTGTAAATATTGCTCCCGAATTCGAGTAATTTATTTCGTGCACCCGAATACAGGCTAACGACCAAAAGTAATTGAGCCATTACACTGTGCCTCTTTGCTACACTGTCCTCCAGTTGACTATACTATCTAGCATTTTGTGCATAACTATAATATTGAAAATTATTTTAGTGAGGTCCGATATTTATTAAAAAAAGGAATATTAGGCTACGGGTAAAAATCTAAATGGTCAAAATGAAACACATGTAATTATTTAAGTGGAATTTTATTTTATAACGTTTTACTAGCATTACTGTGCTGTTACTAGCGTAAACTCATGAGCTAGCTAGCGGATTCTACTTCTAGCATCATCTGAAAAAGAAAATTGATCTAATTAAAAATAAGTTCCCTAGCTATTAAAATTAAATAAGATTTTGTATTGCATCCCTAATAATATGATATTTTGGTTCTCAGGATCTGAAATAGCGAGATTGCATTTTCGTATACCTAATTTTCTTAAAGTATTTCATTTCGTCAAATCAAATCACAAGATATTTCATGAAATATCGAATGATCCTAATAATAATTATCTTATTTGGCATGTTTGTACGAGAATGGGTTTGTATAAAAATTGCCAGTTGAATGAAATGGCATAAGTCTCAAATTGGAGTTGGTATTCATTTATTATAGAATTTTTTTTGGAATATTTCTTCTTTCTTATCTTCTTTATATAAGTAATCTTTTTTATATAATTATTTGTATGAAACTTGGTGGTTTCATACAAATACTTATATCATTTATGTGCTAATTTATGTAGTCTATATTAAAACGAAAAGACAACGGAATGAATTATTAAAACTAAGATCGGAATGACTAATTTAAATGTAAAGAAAACTTTTCGTACACTAGGGACGTACCTAACTATAAAATACCCCCTAATTTAAATAGCACAAAAAATGGTGACAGGATTTTCATAAAAGGTTTCTATTGAAATTGAACACCATGGTAAATTAGACACTTACATGAGGTCTTGATTTTGAATGGAGTATCTTTCTTGACGCAAGTCGTTGAAGATGCAGTCAGCTGTTTCAGGTTCACTGGGATCCAGGTTGGTCTGTCTATAAATGACAGAAGAAATTCATATTAACATCAAGTATAATAAGAATTGACATATTATTAACGAAGCACTATTAAGACGCAGGAGGAGCGCAATGTTTTTTCCATACAAACGTCACCTCTGGTGTCTGGGTCTGAATAGGGATGGGAGGGTGAAAAGGGATGGAAGGGTGAAAAGGGATGGAAGGGCGAAAAGGAATGAGAGGGTGAAAAGGGGATTTGAGGTGAAAAGGGATTCGAGGGTGGAAAGGGATTCGAGGGTGAAAAGGGATAAGGGGGTGAAAAGGGATACGGGGGTGAAAAGGAATTCGGGGGTGAAAAGGGATTCGAGGGTGAAAAGGGATTCGGGAGTAAAAAGGGATTCCAATGTGAAAAGGGATTCTAGGGTGAAAAGGGGATTCGAGGGTGAAAAGGGATTCGAGGGTGAAAATTGTGATTGGAGGGTGAAAGGGATTCGAGGGTGATAAGGGGATTTGTCTGTGATAGTGGGGAATTAGTGGGTGATAGTGGAGATTGATGGGTGAGGGAGTGGGTTGGGTCTGGGGACACCCCTCTGGTGGTGGGCGGGCTGTGGCGTCTATCTCTTTTTTGCGGCGAAGGGAAGCCAGACAGACTGGCGCCGTAACGAAGCCGTTTACCCTCCCGTAAGAAGTTATAAGTTCAAAAAACCTTTGAATAAATTAAACATGCCACAATGATTTATTTATAAAATATCAACTGATGAAATTTTCAGTTTGTTTAAAGGATACATTTTGCTTAGATCTTTTTATTAGGGTTTTTCCAGGAGCAAATACGGTAGCATAATGTGATGAGCCTTCATATTTTTTTTAATAATGATTTATTGCCATAGTTGATGTTAGTTTCTGTGGCGTGATGATAATATGTGGTTCATATGAGTCTTTATCGCTACGAGTTTTTCCTCCGTTTTTTATAAAACTATTATTAATTGTCTTTTTATGAAAAATTAATTTATGAAATTTAAATGAAAAAAACACCACAATAATTACATAATTTCATGAACAAATAATAATTTCATTGCTTATTAAATAAGGAAGGTTGATTGTCCATTATTAAAAATTACCAAATTGAAAGTAGTTGGCAATTATTATGGTAAACACCATTTAACAATGACTCATAACATGGATCGCATTTAACCACAATTAAATCGACATTAAAAAAGTGATGAGTTTAGTACTTATGTTTTTATTCATAAGAAAACTTCGCTTAAGTACGGAAGCCAATAGAAGTGGAAGGAAAGAAAAAAAAGTTTGAAATTCCTTATTTTTTTGAAAATAATCGGTTTAAGTTCGAAGCGACGACATACATAAACATATGTGATAAATGTAATTGCATTTTGTCGTTTTTATCACAATAAATAAATAAATAGCTACTTAATGAAGTTATACCGCTCTCTGCGAATTAATCAAAGAACGAGAAAGAATTAAAAGCACTTACTCTTCTGAAGTTATTTCCTTTTGTTCTTTCATGGTTTCTTGAATGTGGATCGATGCACTAAATTGATAAAGAAGTGACGTCAAAAAAAGATTTGTAAATCACCAAAAATAACATGATTTAATTATAAAATCTTACCCTTCATCAATTGGTAGTAGGAGTTTGGAATTAACATAATTTTTCTCTTCGGGATTGCTAAACAATACAAAAAATAAGGTAAAATTTAAAAGGAAATAAATTATCATAATAACAAAATTTGTGACAAGAAAACATTCACGACAAACCGTGATTTTTGAGAAATAAATGATTTTACAGTTTTAAGAATGCAAAGTGTTGCCGAGGCATTTGTTATTTGACTTCAAAGTCAAATATAGTTCAAACTATTTGTGTTCTTTATAAAAGCATAGAAGGCATTGTTATATCTTTAAAACACAGAATATACGCATAATTCTTATGTTAAGTGCACATGCAGTGTGTTTGAATGTCCAATTGTGACTAACGCGAATTATGGTCATGCAACACAATTTAAGCAGATCACTTTTGAGCCGCGAGTGCCGTATCTTCCCTTTTTGTTTTAATCTAAGGCTAGGACTACTGAGTGCCATAAGGCATTGCACCGTCCGTACACACTTCTGTCGCTTCATGCTTCATTGCTACATTTCCTTATGACATTTTAAAACGATCGGTTCCATAAAGAAAATTCTATCCTGTAAATCCCGTCGTCGTAGACCTCCGTCGCCGAGTGGTATAGGTTTCATGGCATCGCCTACTCAGAGGTCCCGAGTTCGAATCCCGGTGGGGGCAAATGTTAGTATGATGAATACGAGCATGTGTATCTTAGTCATGGATATTTGTATATATTTCTAGATAAAATATATTTATATAAATATCAGTATATACATTTGTTTCTTAGGTTTCACGCACATCACTCATTAAATAAAACAATGGTGTCGATTCTGGTACGATTCTCTAAACTTAATACTAAATTTAACATCAGTCTCTCTTATTCGTTCTGTAAAGAGAGTGACAAGGATACTGTTGTCAAATTTAAGTTTCGGTTTAGAGAACCATGCCAGAATCGACACCAATAAGTAAATAAAAATATCATTATTACGACGTCGCATTCCTGCAAAGGATGCGAAACGTCAATAAATAAATAGAATCAGTGCATCTAACCCGTTAAAACTTTTTTTATTTAACCAGTATAATATGTATTCTATTCGTTACCCTAGCATCCCATAACACAAACCTTACAGTGCTTACTTTGGGGCTCGGCTAACTGGTGTAAGTGTGGGAAATATTCATTTTAAATGTAAATAGCTATGCGATTATAGGGATGGGCGTTTTTAGAATAACGATGCGCAATAACGATGCCAGGTTCGGATGCGCGCATCCGATGCGACTGGATGCCGTTATTGGATGCCGATGCCATCTAGTTTTTGTCAACGTTACCATAGCAACAGTGCCACAAACTTATCTGTGCCGGTGGAGATGTCGCTAGCGGTGAACAAATATGTCATAAAAATGTCAAAATGCTATGGATAAATTGTAGTTCAAATTTTTGCCACCGGCACAGAAAAGTTTGTGGCACTGTTGCTATAGTAACGATGACAAAAACTAGATGGCTTCGGCATCCATTAACGGCATCCAGTCGTATCGGATGCGCGCATCCAAACCTGGGGGCCATTCGCCTAACGGAAATGCTTTGGAAAACGCTAACGCTTACGATTTTATTTTGTAATTTCTGACCACCGAAGGTTTTCAAATACCTCTCGCTCATTTTTTTAAATATTGTTATTATCAACGCAACAGAGAAAAAAAAGAGCGCGAGGCATTTGACAACCTCAGGCAGCAAGAAATAACAAAATAAAATCGTAAGCGTTAGCATTTTCCAAAGCATTTCCGTTAGGCGAATAGCCCCCCGGCATCCTGCCTGCGTTCAAAACCTACGCTCTGAGTGAATTTTTTTATGTAATTATTTTGCCAGCATTCAATCTTTTCAGATAACATACCGAAAAGTAAATAAATGGTTTTCGATTACATTTTCAAGTCCTGATTCAAGGAATCGAAGAGACAGACCCACATAAAACACGCATCTGTAGAAATTCATATTGCATCGTATCCTGTGATACAAGATATCGACATTCAGTTGACATCGATGCGATGCCGGCATCGATGCGGGCATCCGTTGCCAATTATCTGATACCGATGCGCATCGATTTCAAAAATATCTAAAAACGCCCATCTCTATGCGATTATGCAGGCATAGAGTAACATGACAATTACGGGCGGGAGGGGTGTAGACATACATAGTTTTCCCCTCTGTCGAATTGGGCATACAAAACGATAAATATGTGCAGGATTTAGCGGTGTTCTGTGTCTCTGTTTATGTGTGAGTGGCGTAATTACAAAATTATTGTTAACGCATGTACATTAAATTTGTGTGCATATTCCCACCTCAAAAATGGCAGTCATCACCATCAGCCTATTAATGTCCCCACTGCTGGGGCACAGGTCTTCCCTGTGGATAGAATAGGGAGATTGGGCCATGACTCACCACGCCGGCCCAGTGCGGATTGGTGGGTGCTAACGACTGCAGATGCAGCCGGGACCAACGGCTTAACGTACCTTTCGAAGCACGGAGGAGCTCGAGATAGTAATTTTTGGTCACCCCTCCAATGACCAACCACTGCGAAAGTTGCTGAAAAACTGAAAAGTTCAACAATCGCAGCCAAACCACTTGCTACATCGAGCTCCTCTGAAAAATGGCAGATTAATTAAAATAGTCTATCTAGTATGTAGTTATGGCTACTCCCTTCCGTATTGCTCTATGGCTGCAATGTCTAAACACATAACCGGTTAGTTGATTTGTTTTTGCGAATAGGAAATAGAGCTTGTGGACTGGTCGATTTGATTTTAGGGCACGCCTAACTGCATGTCAAACATACATAGGGTTACCAACTTTTTTTCTATTAAATATAGTATTTTCGAAGCTGTCACCCCTAAAAATATAGAAGATGTCAAAAAAAATGGAAAAAAAAAATATAGTATGTGCTTAAAATATTTACTTTATTGTTGAAATTAGTATATTTTTGCTGTCTATAGGTACCTTAATACTTCAGTTTTTTATTTTAAGAAAGCTTTTACTGGCAAAGGTCAACTTTAAGCAAAATTAGTAGATTCACCTACAATATATATTTTTTCTAGAAATATAGTATTTGATCCCTTAATATAGTAGGATACTATATGATATAGGGTTGGCCTAAACATACATGAGCACATGAGCTTATTTATTATCTACGCTATCGATAAGTGTCGTGAAGAAGTGAAGGTCAAACTGTACTACTTTGTCTAGGGAAATACCATTTTAATTTTTTTGTTACAAACATGTAATAGTATACAAACAAATGCCTCTATTTAATATTCTAACCAGGTGCAGCATGAACGGGCGGATCACAGGGTACTTGAGCAATGGTGCATTCGGTACAATGCAACGGGTCACAGACTACGCGACAAAGATTTCAATATCACTTATATATTTTTACGTAAAGTTTATATGATAAGTATATACAAGGCTGTGAACAAAAACTATAGTCTACACCGAAGCGAAGCGAGGGCGGGTCAATAGTTTATTACAGTATTTTGCAATTAAACAGTAATTTTCCCTATTTCCATAAATATGAAAGGCGTGATTTCTCATTTTCGTTTTCATACGTAAGCAAGTCGATGTTCTTAACTTCGGTACATGATTAAAAAAGTTATATTATTCAGTGTAACCACCGTTTTAAAAAAAAACTTATTACTCTACAGTGGTGTCGATTCTGGCAAGATTCTCTATATCCTAAACTTAAATTTGACAACGGTGTGTATCCTTGTCATTTTCTATACAGAATGAAGAGGTGAGATTGATGTCAAATTTAGTTTTAAGTTTAGAGAATAAACTCAGTCATAATTGCCTCTTTCTTAATTTCGTATTGTTAGTGCGAATTAACGCCTAAATATTTTAATCAGAATTAAAAAAAGGAGATGCAAGAATAAAAAAAAAACTGTTTACATTTTGTCTTCGTACATGGTGTGCAAGCCGCTGATATGCGGATAAATCCGGGTATCGTCGAAGGCAAAGATTTGATTCTCCGGCCGCCACATCGATACACACCAAAGCAAATATAGTATTATCAACTAAAAACAGCGACAAACTTAAACACTGCAACATAAATGAAAGGAAGTTACGACAGATAAGGAATGATAAGGACAATAGGAAAAAAATACGTTCACATTAAAATATAACATTACACTCAAAAAAAAAGCGTCACTCACATTTTGTCTTCTTCAAAAAAGAAATCATCGTCGTATTCTTGCATCATTTTGATGGAGTTTTATATAAAAACAACACAATCATGTGAAATAAACAGTCGTGTCAAACGCGGGTTGTGTCAAAATTATTGATTTTCCCGGTCTCCTGGTCACGTGGGGTGGCGTCGGTAAAGCAGTCGACGAATGAAGTAATGGAATACGCGGGAAAACGTGAAAAGTTTTAAAGGTTTTATCCCTTTTTTTTAAGCTTGTTAAACTTTTCTGTATTTTTTTCGGAACATTGAAGTTATTACTTAGATTTGCTATTACTTTTTACATTTAAAGTGATTTTTCAAGTGTTAAGTATATAAGTAAGACACTAGTGGCCCGCTCTCGTTTCGCTTCAGTGAAGAGTTGTAGTGTAGACTATAGTTTGTGTTCTCAGGCTTGTTTTATACACAATTTTCTTTATATGATTATTAACCTTCCATGAAAATATATTTAGCTGATTTTGTTGCGTAATTTAGGACCCGTTGTTTAGAATGCACTATTTTTTTAGTTGACCGCGCCAATGTCAGGAGCTTATGGTCCGATTTGCAAAAATCTATTAGAGTTAGATAGTGCATTTATAGGAAGGCTTTTGAGCCTATATAATATTACGCTGCGACCAGTAGGAACGGAGTATAGATGTAAAATGTTGCAAAAACGGGTAAAAATATTCCATTCAGGAGATTCCGTTGCGTGCGATGCGTAAATTATTAAAGTTATACAAAATTTATGTTTTGATGGAATTGTTTTCCTTTAATTAAAAGTTCTATAAAAAAGGCCGCGAGAGCATACGGCCATCTTTTAAGTTTGACTCACTATAACCTTTTTCCTCAAATTAACGCGGGTGAAACCATTTTTTTTTTGTTGAAGTTCTCCCGTTTTAGGGAAGGCAAAGGGAACAATGCCCATACAGCCTGGTCTTTAATTAAATTAATCTTCTTTTTGTTTTTACATTAGAATGTCGGTGTGACGCATTCTAATGTTCCTTGGAGTATTTGGCACGAAATGTATCGAGTTGGCTTTTTCGATAAGCTTCTGTGAGGTAGTCAACACTACAATAAAATTCTCACGTCCACTTGACCGGAATAGCGTATATTTTAATGATTCCACTAATTCTTCAGTTACGCAGACAGTTGTTACACAAAACCACACCAATTTTATTTCACAATATCCACTATGAACGAATTTAAGAATAATTAAAATAAGACGCCAACCGCACTCGATGAAATCCCGCCAAAAACCCCCGGGTGAAACCATTAGTTGTGATTGTGACATAACTGTAATAGTTAGACAAATGACTTTTTTGTAGGTACTTATCTCCTGTATAAAACTTTAGTACATCACTTTGCTCTATTGTCAATGACTTCAGCAGCGTAAGCGACATAAGGTTATTTTTTGGTATTTTTTTCACACCCTGGGTTACATTATCGATTTTTTCATACGGAACCGAGTATTAGTACTATGTTCATCAGGGATAATGTAGGATTATACATTGTATAAATACAATCACTATTTTATGAGTCATTCATTACTAAGACTGATTCCATGTCAATGGAGCAAATAATTCAACTATGGAGTGAATACATTAATTTTATTGTTGAGTAATAGTTTCTTTTAAGTAGTGATATTTTCAGTATATAAATTACGTACCTACTAACAACATATTTTGATAAAGTATCTATTATGCAGTGTGATATGTATGAAACAAATACATTTGTTTTGTTTTGTGAATTACAAACAGAAAATAAGAATTCTTCAATTTGAATTAAATATCATTTCATCCAAGTGGTCTAAAAGTTAAATCAAGTATAAAGTCTACGTTCAAAACATTACGGTTTAAAATTAATTGGAGGAATCAGATTTGAATAAATCTAAATGCTGTCGCCTATACTACATTAACAAATAAATAATTGATGTTAATCATTTTTTTAAAGCGTAAATTACAATTTGACGATGGCTCAATATTCACTAGATGTGGAATGGATAAAAGACGAATAAAATATTAATAAAAGTTAATCATGTTGCTTCATTGACGGCTCGTAATGCAGGACCGCGGCCGCAGTCGCGTATTATATGTTTCGTAACTTGATATCAGCACATTAAGGCATGGTGGAGTAACCTGAACTGCTTTTAAATGTAAAAGTTGCAATAAACAACGTGGTCGGAGTAAGCCAGTGCTGTTTAGTTAGTCACGCGAAGTGGTCTCACTGTGTTCAGTTCGAAACAATGAAAATGATAATTGTAAGTGTTATACAATGTCGCTTCAATAACAAAAGAAAACCGAGCGCGATTCGGACATAGAATCCTTCAAAACTTTCCCTCCAAAAATTGACAGGTTCTTTTTTTTTATTTCAGTGGGCTTTGTTCTTGTGTGTGCTGCCTTACCGGTTAGTGTTGTGCGGAGATCCTTTAGGGCCCCTGGTGAACTTAATACGGACAAATTTTGTGGGGTGGCCCGTTATTCACGATAAACAAATATGGATATTCGATCCTGACGTCGCACTAAGGAGAAGGAAACAGTTCGTGGAACTCCATGGCGATAAAGGGGAACGATTAATCGAGAGACTTGGTTTGGGAATCGATGGAAGAGCCGATGAACTGCTAGTGAAGCAGAGACAAAGAGACGAAGGACACTTGGGCGGTTTGAACTATTTCCTGCCATAATTGTTTATGGTGATTGTGGATTATGAAATTGTGCCAGTGAGTTATTGCGATTCAATTGGAGATACACCAAAGTTATAATTAAAGTAAAGAAATTATGTACAAGAGGAAAAGACTTGTCGTTGGAGTGACTTAGATAATGATTGATAGCAAAAGAATGTAGTTTTCAAGGATGCATATTACTTAATAGCAAAATAATATTGTTTACTGGGATAAAGATGTTGAACATATACAAAAATACAATATGAGTACGTATTAGTAGTCTAATAAACTTTTTTATATATGTAACTGTTACTGAATAGAAAAAAAATTAAGTTCGTAAAAGACATATGTCAACCAGGAAAAGGATTGTCTTGTCACCACGTTGTCACCATATAATGTTCAGTATTCTTTGTATAAAATTTCCTACTTCAACGCACAACAATCGGAATCGAAACGTTATCGCCTCGCCTTGGAAACTCTCGTATCCCGAGGCGAGGCGATTACGTCACGAATGCGATTAGCGTGCGTTGCAGTAGGGAGTTTCCATCGAGCATGGGAGTTTCTTACTAAGAAAATTCAGTATGAATGGCTCCAGTTGATGCGGTGACGATTTTTTCTTGAGTTGATAACTTCTTACAACCTGGGGTCCTTTAAAAGAGGCGTGAAGAAGCAACATGCAGGCTGGCTAGGTGAGGATGGCTGGTGTGGCAGGTAGAACTGCTGTACCAGCTATCTTCACGTCTGGACTTCACCGTCACTTAACATCAGGTGGGGTGAAGTCATTTGTCGGACCTATCTATAAAAAAAATGTCTGCCACTGTAATAAGGCTGTAAAGAAACCCACTCATAATACTCACTTTGTGCCTTTCGCGTTGCATTGTAAATATAACGGGTTAAAACGCGTACTTTAAAAAGCATTTCGTACTCTCCTTATCCCGACGCTTCGACCAAGTTACACCGGTACTCACCACGTGACCACGACCACAGACTATTTAGATACTACACCACGACCAGTGTGACCTGTACCCCTAGCACGAACCAATATCGAATTTGAAGAGTTTGCGAGTCGGAAATGTCTATGTCCAATTTTGTATGGAAACTCGAACAGCAGCGTCACAACGGACGTAACGAGAACTAAAAAACAATACTCATTTGACAATGATATTTCGCACTTGCAAACTTCTCGAACTCGATATTGTTTCGTGTTAAGGGCACTGGTCGAAACGTCGGCATAAAAAAGTACGTTAACCTTTTTAAAGTACGCGTTCTATTCAACGGGTTAAAACGCATACTTTAAGAAGTTTTGTTATACCCACTCATAATGACAGAAAAAGTACTTTAATTCGACTAAGTTGTGATTGTACGCAATTGCTTAGCGTTGATAATGACAATAAAAACAGAATGAGCAAAATAATTCTGCTTTTAAAGTCATAAACCAGTGTATTTATAGAATTATTTCTTAAAAGTAATAAAATTTGACCTTTGAATAGTCTTTGTGATCCACCATCGTGACACATTGATACACCAGCCTGATGATGATTCAATAATTTCAGAATATTTTTTTAAGATTCCTATGAAAATAACTTTTGATTTAAATATCTATTATATTGCAATACTTATAATAAAATTAAGCTTTGTTTTCATATTTAATGTCACTCATGCACACCTATTTTGTGTAAATATACAAAAAGAAATTGTACTAAAAAAATATCCTAAATCCTCTTTCCACCAACAGTTATGACACTACTTTCTTCATAAATCTAGGGCATTTATCAGAGAAATAAATAAAATCGTGGGGCGTAGTGTAACCTGAATGAATAAAAGATACGGCCGTCTGTCCGTCTGCCGGTACTTAGAAGCTGTGAAATATCAAACTTCTAAGTCAACGTATAAAAAGATACAGCCGTTTATGTCGTGTAGTTTTATATTTGCACGGAACCCGCTGTGGACGAGTTCGACTCGTGTCTTTTTCGGTTTTTTTAAGTAACGCGTTCTACACCCACTCTTTGTTCTGGACGCCCACAAGACCCACCCAGTTAACCTTCATTGTTTATTTTTGCTGCCAACAATGAATAGGTAGGGAAAAATCAACTGCAAAATAAATCTCGAATTGGAGTGCACGTCTGACCTCTGCTGAAATATTACAGAAAAATACTGTTCTAAAACAATATCCCGCACCGCTATTCTGTAAGAACAAACTATTTAAAAAAAAGTATGTTCTAATTTTAAACGTTGCGAACTACACCGCACAGGATCCGCGGTGTGTGTCCGAAATTTAAAATAAGAACACGAATTTCAAATAAATTTCATTTCACATTTCCGAATTCCGCAGTGATGTGATTTTTTTTATAGAATAGCACTGCTGAAGTGGTTTTTTGTTGTATTGTAGCAGTTCTCAAACATTATTGGCGACTTTTAGAAACAACAAAAACTGGTAATCATAAAAAATAACCATAGACTCCATAGTAGTAAAATAATGAAATTAAAAGGAAACCCATAACGGCTATGAACACTTTAAAATTTTACGAGTTGTATTCAAAGATGATCGTACATTTTCAATAAAAAAAGAAAAAAAAATCTTGTGAACATTTTACTTTTGATATAATATGTAGGAGTTAAATGCTTAAATTATTTACAGCTGTGAGTTGTGGTTCACGTGTAGTGTCGTTAGCAAACCCCAATGGTCAAAACCAAGTCCCATGCCTAACCGACAACCGGGTGTAGATACTGTTTAAAACCGTGCCTAGACCCTGGTAGAAATCATCTTCTTATAAGCTCGGAACCCTTGCACTGCAGCCGCACCAGTGACATTATTTTATATGTAGGTATCGTGTTAGGTTAGCTAATAACTTTGCACACAGTTCCAAGGGATCACGGTAGTGAACGCGTGAGTTTTTGGACTAAAATTAAAAGTAATTTAGGAAGGGACAAAACAAAAAAAACCTAAAAACCTCGCAACAGTGCGAATATGGAGCGTTCGACATTTGAAATGTTAGCGGTTTTCCCGAGTTCCAAACCATGGAGGTTAGAGAGAAGGAGTCCCTGAAAATTTGTAGAATGAGGGCTACCGTTTTCTGTCTCACCAGATGGCGCCACTGTTGAGTGAGGTCCTAAATTGTAACTTTTAAAGTTTATTAATACGCACATGAAATCAAAGGTTACATTTAGATCGTATTTTAACACAAAAGAACCATATCCTAAACATAATAGGCCATGCCACAGTGACGCCCAGTTCCGTTTTATTCGGAAAAAATGGGAACATAATCATTTTATTAAGCTCAAATTTTTAATAACTGACATTCATTGCCATTATATATTTGCCATAATTCATATACATAACTCATATTTGCCATAATTAAGCCGAATTGTTACCAATTATTCACAACATTATTTTAATAAGAAATAAACCCGCGTAGTCAACCAACAAGCAATAACATTTGACATTTCGGAGACCTCACGCTACACTAGCGCCTCTAGCGGCGAATTCATACGCGATAGCCCTCATTTATAGTTCATTTTTCAGCCACCAGCCGCGCTGCCGTCGGTTAGTAGCACACAACAGCCCGCTTTTAATGAGACAACTTAGCGATCGCAGCGCCTCACTTATTTTGTCCATATTTCTGGGACACTATTTTCTACAGCGATCGTTCTCCTTCTCTCTGACATCCATGTTCCAAACTTTTAAAACTATAAAAAAGAAAACTATTTTAAAACTAACTAAAGAGGTTGGTCATTCGCGTTGCCTATGGAATCGTAAAAGTTTTTAATTCGCTTATCTACTGTAGCCGCTTACCTCAACTAAGCTTCCTTGTATTCCAATACACCACTCACATGTTGGAAATAGAAATTAGATTATAATTATCCTATAACGTAATTTAGAAGGTTGAAACGATTTGGCAATGATAATTTGTTGTTCAGCAACATATGTTGGCGTAATTTCCCTGCGATTGCCACAACGGACCTTGATATGGCATAGTACTTGTATTTTTTGATGAGATAGGTAGAGCATAGCGGATTTATTCCATTTCTGAAAGAACACATTCTGTTCAAATAGTATCCTTGTACTGAGAAGAATAATCGGAAAGAAATACAGCAGGGGCTGCTTTTTTCTCCCTGCTTAATATAGTGCCGATGTATTTTGTTATTTAAATTAAAATTATTAGTCTATGTTTTTCAATTAAGTAAGTCTGTGTTTTTTTTATTCCAAATATTACGCAATTACTTTTGTGCTTGTCTGTAAAACTGTGTTTGTAATATTTGTATGTTTTTTACATGCAAGACATATTTAGTTCAACTATGCAACAGGACTGTTATTTATCTTCGCCCTCGATTCATTGAACGAACTGATAATGGTGGATTGGTCCCAATCCACAACAATGCCATACAGCGTCATCAACTTCAAAGACATGACATCAAAGTTATTATTATCTGTTGAGGTCAACTTTTAATCACATAATCGAAGAAAAGCCTCGAAATATCTAGAAACAATTTTCACAACAAATTGAGCATGTTTATGAAAGAAAGTGCAATATTCTCTTCAAAACAGTACTTTGTCGTTAGGAAGCATAGACTATGCATGTAATTCAAATAAGCCTCATTTTAGTTTTAACTAAACTCCATTATTTTTAAGTTGTCCCTCATCAATATTTGTGAATAAAATTTTCTTTTCGAGCAAGATATTATTTAATAATGCGAGAGACTTGTGGGATATTCAAATACATATATTAGATTTCTTCAGATGGCTCCCTCAGGATTTGGCCAATATCTGGTGTTTGTGTCCAAAATTTCTTGTCTATGTTTGTTCGGTGAGGGCTTGTTTATTGTCTTAAACTCTGCTTATGGTGTGGAAGTGCTTTGTGCAAGTACAAGGACCTAGGATTTGGGAAAATACATATATTGAAATGTGACAAGAGCGGTTCTGACATCAAAATATAACAAACGTGATGTTCACAGGATATGCCAACGCCAACGAGAATATAGAGCGAATGCGTAGATGTCAAAGCTGCGTTCCACTAAGATACCGAATGCTAGTTGCATTCACTGTCTTGCTGGAACTTTTACATAAAATTATAACTTCACCGGCTGCATTTTTTAAAATAAACCAGCCACACAATGTTTCCTCATTATCATCTAAGAGGAGCGTGTTTTTACGAGCTGCAACAGATTACTCCATCCCACCTGATGTTAAGTAAGTGGAACCCAGTCACGAAGATAGATGATGCTGCAGAAGATGTGCCGCTTCAGCAATCCTCACCTTGCTCAACGATGGAACCAATACCCTACTCCGCGGTGCCTTGGAACCCTATCACCAGTAGAAACACAGAAAAGGTAGTGTTATTGTACTGTAGTCTTCTGTAAGGTTGAGGTTGCTACCTCAGATGAGCGCTCCAATTCGAGTAGAAAATCCGCTGTCTCACAAACTTGACTAAATAGAGCATAGCACAGCACAGCGAGGAGCTCGATGGCGCAAGTGGTTAGCGCGTTCGGCTGCGATCATTGAAGTTAAGCAACTTTCACTGTGGTCGGTCATTGGATGGGTGACCAAAAATTTACTATCTCGAGCTCCTCCGTGCTTCAGAAGGCATGTTAAGCCGTTAGCACCCACCAACCCGCACTGGGCCCGCGTGGTGGGTCATGGCCCAATCTTCCTATTCCCTCCATAGGGAAGGCCTGTGCCCCAGCCAGCAGTGGGGACATTAATAGGCTGATTTTAATGATAATGACAGCGCAGGGGCAGAGCTTCATGTTAGCTTGCCAGCGAGGCGATCTATTATGCTACTGAGATATTCTTCTAGCCAATCGTCGTCTCTTCGGGTGCATGGATGGAGCGTTCCTGTACGATGCATTGGAAAACTTTGGCGTCAGGCACTTCCCCATGTAACGTTCAACCTTATTTCTTGATGGGGGCCGTTCAAGTATTACGTAAGCAGATTTATTACAAGTATTTACCCCCTCCTCCCCAAAAGTAAGCAAAGCGGCTTGAGGTCCCCTTAGGATCTCGCCGTCCCCAAACCCGGCGACGCTGTAAAGGTCACACCCTCAAAATAATACGAATCCATTACGCGACGCCCCCGACCGGGACGCACCCACAGTGAAAGATGGCATTGTAGGTGCACTGTGGGTGCGTCCCGGTCGGGGGCATCGCGGGATGAGTGCGTAACGGTCGGACCCAAATCGTCGGGTCTACTGCTCATGTCAAACTACGTGGTTTCATGGCCCGTACTGTAAGCCTATTGGGCGTAGCACCAGGAGAGCTTCTAGTGGAATGTATAGGTAACGATGATCCGAACCGAAGCGAGGGCGGGTCACTAGTATCATATAAAATTAAAATTACTCGTATGTTACTGGTCACGCCATGGTGGAATCAGGAGTTGTGTTGCGAAAGTCTGTGGTGTAGTGAAACAAGTTGGAGTATAATTTAAACTCGCTCATTATAAACATGTTTTGTGGCGACATCGGTAGCGGAGTGGGTGGTAACAAGCGCTGACAAGACAGTGACGCAAGCTCGATTCTTGCCCCCTGGAATTAAAATCATGAAATTTTCCTTAAGATTAATAAGCCACTCGACGGGATTCGAACCGTCGCCTTCCGCTGACCGGTCCGGGTGGATCCACTAATCGCTATGCAACAGAAACCTAGTTACGGCACGTACATAGAAGATGCAAAAAAATACGCAAAAACGGACGGGTTTCAAAAGGTTGCTTTTTAACGGATCCGTCGCTACTGAAGGTAATATTCACAGTGTTTACTTACAGGACAGATTTTTAACGGATCGGGAGCTCTATTTTTGAATCATTCGTCTGGCATAGTATCGTCGAATGCGACATAAGTCACCTTCGACTTTCAAGACGCATGATACTGATTTTCCGTATTTTTGAATCGTTCGTCACCGGTGTTACCAGTTTTATACGAAATATAAAATTTTACTTATTTCACGCAGAAAAAAAAATACCGCAATGAAGAAGCAAAATTCTCAGTACATGACATAACTTGACATCAGTCTGCTCTTGTCGTAAAAAAGTCATATAAAGTAAAGTCTTGTCTCTCATATAAAGCATGACAAGGATAGATTATCGTCGTCTTATAGCACAATTATTCTATCATTCGCCTCCACCATTCGCCATGCAACGAGTGGTCTCACCCATTCGTTGTACTCGAGCAATTCAAAAATACGGATATATTATATCGAATGAAATTTAGTAGAAATCGAGCGTTCGACGCAAGGCGAGTGTTACAAAAATAGAGCTCCTGATCGGAGGACGCTACTGGATGTAATATTAATACAGGAGACCGAAGAGCTGGCAGCTACCTCGGACAAAGAATTAGTCTAGCTATTCAAAGGGGGAACGCTGCCAGTATCTTTGGAACCTTGCCTAAAGGGATTCCTTTTAATAATGTATTTTAGTTATTATATTTTTTTAAGGTTTTTGGTTAGTAATATCTTACTATTTGTACTTTAGTCAAATGTACATACATGTATATATTGTGAATAAATTTATATTAATACCTAATATTCTCATTAGCGCCATTGTGCCATGCCAAAGACTCACGCGGTTTCGAGCTGCGATGACTGTCATGTATGTGAATTTGTTATGTAATGTTTTACAGGTCGTTATGTGTATGCGCCTTTAGTCCGGGGTTAGTCCATTCTTTAGTCGTTTTACCAGGGTTGTTCTGGATGCGGATATGGATTACCTAAGATTCACATCTGCGGAAGCGAATGCGGAGCGGGTGTTAGGATATTATAAAGATATTTCAATTGATTGCTCATAAATGAATGTAAACTGATTACACTTTAATGTTTATTTAATCATATTAATCTGGAGAATAAAACTAAAAAAGTTATCTGTCTTACTTAATATTATTTTAAGCAAGTGCCACTCTGGCTCCGGCCACTTATTTCTGATATCTACTTGTTGATATGAATCCGCAATCTGGATGCGGTTGAATATGTCTGAGATATTGCGAATATACGGCATTTGCGGATTCCTATATCCGTAACATCCTTGGTGTGGCCAGCGGAAGGTGCTGGTGACCTGACACCAAAGCTTGGAGTAGATTTGTTTTCTCGTAAAATTTTCTAAGGATTTAAAAGTTAAGCAGTGTAACCTTATGGTTATGTTTTTATTTATTTTTAAGCATTTAACTGCTAGATGTTTAAATCTAAAGAAAAGTTTTACTAGAAAAAATCCACGCGGACCAGGCAGCGGACGGGACTCGAACCCGCACCCTTCGCAATCCGGGCGAATGCACTGACCATTATGCTACCACGGCCCTTTTCGCCGCGTCGAAAATAAAATAAAAACATAACTATAATTGCTATTTCTTCTTTCAAATGTTTAATACTTGAAAAAGTATTTATTTGACATTGTGGGTTACCTACAATGCGAAGAGATGGCGCTGCCTTGCAGCTTAAGGCTAGGAAAATTTCAACGCGGCGAAAAGGGCCGTGGTAGCATAATGGTCAGTGCATTCGCCCGGATTGCGAAGGGTGCGGGTTCGAGTTCCGTCCGCTGCCTGGTCCGCGTGGATTTTTTTCTAGTAAAACTTTTCTTTAGTGTAACCTTATAATTATTCCGGTTATATATTGTCTGAATTACTTATATGCAAGAGTCACATCCATCAGCTGAAGGCAGTTCGTAGAGTTGTGGTGAAGTGTAAATTACGTCTTCAACATGGTGATAACACTTCGATTACCCATACATACGCCATCACCACAGTGTGGAGATTGATTTTTTCCGCCGTAAAAACCTTACATTAAAACAAAAAGGGAAGATACGACACTCGCGACTCAAAAGTGATCCGCTTAAATTGTGGTGGATGACCACAATTCGCTTTAGTCACAATTGTACATTCAAACACGCTGCATGTGCACTCAATATAAAATATTGCGAATATTCTGTGTTCTAAAGATAAAACAATGCCTTCGATGCTTTAATAAAGAACACAAAAAGTTCAAGATCAATTAAAGAATTTTACAACAACACTTCTCATTCGTGAAATTATGAAAAAAAAAACCTAAAAAGCACGGTTTGTCATGAATGTTCTTCGCCATTTGTTATCAAGAAAACGACTCAGCCGTACTTATATATATACTGCTCAGCCGTTTGTAGAGAGAGAAGAGAAAACGCAGTCGCCAAACAAGACAAGCGACGCGGACTCGCAGTTTCGCTCGCGCTGTGTTGACGCTCGCTCTATTGAATGTTTCTTCTTCTTCTTCTTCTTGCTACGGACGTTTCCGCAACTCACTGCCGGATTTAGGGGAGGGCAACCGGGGCGAAAGACTTCGGAAAAAAAATCTTTCAAATTCCAACTAGTAAACACTAGTAAACATCTTTTCCTTTGATATATTTTTTTTGCTCTTTTTACCTTTACTCAGGGCTGAATTTAAGGCAGGGCAGGTGTGGCTGTGGCCCAGGGGCCTCCACAACAGCTTAAGAAATAACAACATTTCGATGGGTCAATAAGCATACAAATCCTAAGTGGCCCAGAGCCTCCACAATCCTAAATCCGGCCCTGCCGCAAATCGACGTCCTTATGGCGCCTGTTTTGCGTGGGGAGGGTGTATGACCGGAATCACTCCAGCCAGCCCAGCTCCGCCAGGGACGCCCCCAGAGCCTTAACATTGGTGCCTGCCTCTTGAAGGTTTCCCGGTGAGCCGAGGTATTTCGCCCGAAAACGATTGAATGTTTATTTACAGAAGTATGCGTGCGTGACAGTTGCTTATGTAGTTTATTCGGAGCATATTTTATTTAATGCTAGTATGAGCGTACCGTATCTTCCCTTTTTGTTTTAATCTAAGGTTAAAACCAGTAAAAGCTTACAATGGTGTCGATTCTGGCGTGATTCTCTAAACTTAAAACTTAATTTAATTCTCTACTTTTCATTCTTTATAGAGAATGAGAAGGATATACTGTTGTCAAATTTAAGTTTAGGTTTTGTGAATCATGATAGAATCGACACCAATGTATGGTACCATCTCCAATAAACTCCAATATTCAATCTAATCCCAACAAACACACAGTATCACCTCATTGCGTGATCAAATAGGTTTCACCACGGTGGAGATTGATTAAGCGACCTTTGACCATGATCTTTTTCACACGTGCTTGTGGAAGGTAATATTAGTCAACCTTTCACGGCAACGGCTAACTAGAGCCGAGATCCGAGTCTCAGAGACGCGCTCTAGTTGAGCTGACCCGCTCAGGTTCGAGTGGTCTAGAGGCTCCAGACGGAGAGGAGACTCTCCCCGTGGGGAGTTGCCATCCGCCTGGAATACCTCTAGAGGCAATCGCTAATTCTCGGCTTGAGGTTTCCTTAGCATCGCGCCGTCCCCAAACCCGGTGACGCTGTAAAGGTCATCTGCGACCAACAGCATACACAATTACACACTCAAAAACAAAAAAAATAAGGAATGTCCTTTTCAAAAAACGGTTCGGTTTCATTACGCTTCATTGTTACTCTCTCGTTTGAATATTAATAACACCATCAAGAGAATTGACCGTGTAATTGTTATACATACTGGCACACGGAGCTTTTTGTACTTACTGTGTGCTTACATTCATCTCATTATTATAGCGGTAACCGAAATGACATCCTTGGTCAAGGGCTAAAACAATTTATTATAATTTGTCAGTTAATCGCTTATATTATATACGTTTCGATTGAATTATATTCGCCGTTTTGAAGTAAGCACCTATAGATAATGTTAATGTACGGCACATAATGATCTTTTCGTGGCTTCTTTTTCTTGCTTAATTTTAAAAGTGTCATCTTTCCGTTGATGCCTGAACTAAACCATTAATTTCCAAAGCAAGCAGTCACATGGTCAGTGCTCAGTTTAAGACTTTAACTACAGATGGCGATACTATACATTGGAAATGTAGTAAACCCATGGTAAACCAGTGTTCTATTTCAGTGTTATTGTCAATGGAAAAAAATGGAAACACAGAGGATGTCTTAGACTAATGGCACGATTATACTTGGTCCTTAGCCCGAATACGAGTGCCAATAGAATTAGGGTAAACGACTAAGTCGGTTAAATTTCCTTTTGTTTGCACGACACCGTCTTTCAGCCCGTAT